TGATAGGGAATTTAGGAAGGAGGCTGGTTCTTGTCACCAAAATATAGAACGAGGGCCTAAGCCGAAGCTTTCATCAAATATTGGAAGAAATCTTATGCTGATGTTTGGCGGGAAATGATAGAGGAGGTATTGGACCCGGATTTCAGACCTCGTGATTTTGAAGCTTTGAAGAGCGGCCGTATGAACTGGATCGTTGAACAGTTTATGTACAAGCCGGGCAAATCTACTGAGATGGGCGAACTCACGAACAAGGCCATGCAGCGAAAGATGCAACACTTGAAAAGGAAGAATTAACGCTTAAATCAAATTTGGCATTCGAATTTAATATCAACTGAAGATTCTAGCTGGTCTTCATAATAAAAAGGGAAAAGCAAAGATGAATGAAAAATGGTTACTCTTCTCCCTTCTACCAAGAATTCCAAGGCAGAATGCCCCGAGTTCTGGTGATGCTAGTGATGCATTGTTGAAACAAAAGGTACTATATGATACCAATAGCAGCCTAGTAGCACTAACATAACCAGAATTAGCAGCATCATAATCCATGACCTGATAGATAGGACTCCGTCACTGTTTATTCAGGCAAATCTGAATGATATTTAAGCCCATTTCTTCATTATCTACTTACAAAGATCTTTTGTGCGAGCCAAGTGTGTACCGTTTGTTGTTAGGACTGCCGTACTCGCAGGGTAGATCCTTGCAGGCATAGAGAACTAGAGTAGAGGAACCCCCAGAGGGTGCTTTTGGATTAAGACTAAACACTAGAAAGCTAAGCTCTACTGACATTATGCGGGTGTATGGTAGGGTCGGGTAACCTCCGGGCTATCTGTGCAGGCGTTTGGTAGGCGTTTGGCGAGGGACCATAACATTTGTGTATAGTCACCTTAGGGCCCGCTATGGCCGTGATAAGCACCTCTCAAAGAGAACTTACTTCACTGAACCATGACCATCATAAGAGATGCTGATCTAGGGCCGGAACGGCGATAATGGGTAACAACTTCTGGTGCTATTATTGCTGTCATTAGTACGGCTATGTCCAGCGCTGCACGTGGTGGTGAAAGCTATTTCTGAATCAGTAATAAACGAACATTACAGTAATCGTCTGTCTCGAATTTTACAGTTCGGTATTGGAACATTATCTAAGATACTGGAGTAGCCATAACTACTAGTTAACTTGCAATTCATGCGGGAGGCCACTCATGCGGGAAGCCACTCATGCGGGAGGCCACTCATGCGGGAGGCCATTCATGCGGGAGGCCATTCATGTGGGTGGGCATTCGTGCGAGAATAATAAGCGAAACAGTCAAAGTTCTTCCACTTAGTGGCCCTTTGGTGTAAAGCAACATTTTTTGCTTCTGGGTGGCATCCCGAATAGAGACTAGCTCTCTATTGATCTTGTTGATCGAAGCTAACGAGCCTATAATCAGAGCCCTTCCAACACAGCTCTGTATTATACTCACCGCAATTTACATCTTAATAGACCAGGGATTATTAGAACCAGTGACTCACTATAAGAGCAAGTCATTGGAACCATATTGAGGAAATATTTCTGGAGAGCATATTTCCAAAATGTCTTCATCTATGTGTCATGAGAACCGAATTGGTATGTCTCTGAGGAAGCATACTGTCTCTTGCTGTCACCAACTTCTTGGTCAATATCAGAGAAAATTCTAATGATTTCAAGATCAAAATTTGACATATCATTTAAGTTTGCTGAAACTTGACAAATCAAATAGCCCTTCTCGCCCCCATTTTGACAAGCGCAGTGCTCAATCAACCTGCACTCGCTCCATTGCAATATGGGCTTCTGGGGGGTGTAAAGGAAATTGAGACACCTCATCAAGTTGGCACAGAAATCAAACACCCGAAAGACAATCCCCGGTTGTTTTTCAATGTCTCATCACCCTCTAGTGTGTTTATCTGCGGATCTCAGGGTTCTGGAAAGAGTCACACACTGTCCTGTCTACTTGAAGGATGTTTGATCCCATCCAGAGCTGGGAGGCTTTTGAATCCACTCACAGCTGTTGTCTTTCATTACGATACATTTATCTGTGATAATGGGGGTTCACCCTGTGAAGCTGCATTTCTGGCGTCTCATCCAAACATCAAGGTCAGAGTCCTCTGTGCTCCAACCAATCTCCGGACTATACAGGTAAAGTGAGCATACTGCCTACCTTTTACATTGCTCATAATACCATAGGGAACCTATTCAAGATTCAACATCAAAGTGGAGCCTTTACAGATAGACCAGTCCGATCTAAACACTAAACGTATGCTGGATCTTATGGCAGTCGATCGAGATAATGGTGCAGTTCCATTATACTTGCATACGGTACAGCGAATATTGCGAGAAATGCGGCTGTTGCAGCAAAGTGCAGGATCTCAATTTGACTATCAAGATTTCAAGAGCCGAGTTCTTTGTTCAGGGCTTCTGCCGGGTCAACTTGAGCCTTTGAAGCAGAGGCTGGATACCCTCGAGAGCTTCATGGCACCCCAACAAGCAGGCGCAAGCTACCAAATGAAAGGGAAGACTAAGAAAAAGAACGCAGGCTCCAGCTGGATCCCAAAGGTAATTTCCTTCAGCACTTTCCCAGTTTCCTCAAAGGCTCATCATAAATCAGGCCTCACAATTGACGATCGTTGACCTTTCCTGTCCGTGCATCTCACCCGACACGGCCTGCAGCCTCTTCAACGTCTGTTTTGGAATTTTTATGGAGCAGGAAACCAAGATTGGTAGGATTGTAGCGCTTGATGAGGCTCATAAGGTGCGATTTACAACTGAGATCGTAATTATATTGACATTAATTGGCTTTCAGTACATGAAGGATTCTGTCGAAGCACAAGGGTTCACAGATACTCTCCTCTCAACGGTTCGATTACAACGTCACCTTGGCGCCCGCATCTTGATCTCGACGCAAGAGCCAACAATCTCCAGTGACCTTCTCAGTCTGTGCTCCGTCGCTATTGTCCATCGATTCTCGTCGCCTGCATGGGCACGCACACTGCAAGCTCATGTGGCTGCGGCAGCCTTGAGTCTGCAGTCAACAAAGGAGAACCAGGCAAATTATGAGCAGGGAGCGCTTGGGATTCCCACAAAGCTATCCATCTTCCACCGAATTGTACACCTTCAAGTGGGTGAGGCCTTGCTCTTTTCACCCAGTGCCGTGGTCAGCGTTACGCCTAAGCAAGCTGATTCGCCGGGCATGATCAGGCTAGGTTCGGGCTATGTGGCAATCAAGATAAGGGACAGGCTTACAGAGGATGGTGGAAAAAGCGTTCTATCCTCTAGATACGGTAGAAAGTTCTCATTCAGATGGTGGACCAGGTTCTTGTCTTTGCCTTTTGAACGCGTATACAATGTCGTAGGGATTTAGTACAGGGATAAAATTTTTCTAGAACACCAGTTACGAAAGTCGCAATGATAGACTTGTTATGCAATATCACCAAAGAATTCAAACCGATGGTCCTCTTGGATGAGAGATGGATTCATAGAGAAGCGTATAACTTACTAGGATACTGGTAATCGCCCACCACCATCATCAGTCTCCGAGAACTGAGATATGGTCAAGGATCTTTTTCTTGACTTTAAATGGGAATATTTTGCTTGATTTTGCAATCCATTTGGTCATCGAGGATAAAGGCTTAAGCAGAGCGTTCCGCAAGGGTCTCCGCTCAAATTCCGAACAGGGAACGCAAGCCACAAGGTCTGCCATGGAAGATTTAGCATACAGAGCGTTTGTATGCAATTCTCGCTTGGTGGTTGTCATAGACTAGATCGAAAACGTCGCAGCGATTGCATATGCTCTTGCCGAGTGGAACGCCACCGAAGTGAGATATGACTAGCTGAAGTTCGCCGCACAATCAAATTATAGATCTCGAAGTTTGGCAGACAGGGGATATATAAGGAGTGGATCTCCTTGCATATGTGGACAAGATTTGTTCAGCGGTTTGGGTCCTGTTGAGGTATTTTGCTACTATGCATTCCATGGAACATGCTCCATAGCCATCTTGAAATTCCCTTCAACCAATACAAGTGGCCACAAAGGCACAGTTTGGTCGTGTTCGCATGGTACTTCAGTGCGAAGCTGGAGTTGGACCAATTTTCCGTTGCCCGCACATGTTCCGAACTGGACAGCGTACCTCAGGGCATTCTCTCCTGTCCGATTTGCAGACAAAAGTCAACATTCTTATAACCGAGCAAAAATAGGTACGTCGGTAGGAAGATGGGTTTTCGGAGGTGCTGTCCAGATCGGCTGGGTTTTATGTTAGGATCCCTACCTCCCGAATCCACCTATCCTTCTGCATTCCGATAATGGAACAGAGAGGGATATTGCAATCGCCAGGAAAGAAGAAGGAAGCCAGCAGCCCTGCCACTGGTAGAATGCCATCACACCTGGATGGATACTGGACCCGGTCTGAAGCTTGCCATCCTGGGTGCCAGGCTCCAGTGGGTCGGTATCCATGTATCCTTACGCCGTGAGCACCACGTCCGGGCTCGTTTCATCCCGTGGTTCGGCGGCCAATCGCGCTGACTGCCAACCGCATCCCAGCCCCAAGGGCAGACAAAAAGCATGTCAACGCTGGCCACTTTGAAATATGCCTTCTATGCAGAGTGGAGGTCTTCGAGGATCCCACTCTCAAAGACGGGCCAAACCCCGGCCGCAGTGAGTGGAATTTTTCTGTCCAGGCTTCAGTGATATGTCAGGAATGGAGGGGCTGAGTGGTCTTGCGATTAGCAAGGTGTCGGGAAAGCTCGTGGCAGAAGGATTGGAGACAGAAGTGTTTCAAAGGAGTCGGACGAGCAATGCAGAGTGGAAAAACTAACCCAAGCGACAGCAACAGCTATCAACCACCACACACCGAGTTGCGATTTTCTGACTGCTCGGCGTGAGGGCTCACCGTTGATCTTTAATCCCAACCACAGGATGTCAATCGCTCGTGCCGCAAATAACAGGAGAGCACCATGTTGTACGCGCTCTGGAGAGATCCATGCTTCCCCTCTATCAACCTCTAGGCCTTTCGGTCTGATACGAACGTCTCGCAAACTTGTTCAACTCCCAGCTAACATCAGCTAGAAACTCCTCTGCATTAACAGGTGCCATGTATTGATCATATTGGACGATAAAAGGTTCGTCCACAGAGCACGATCTTTTACGTTTGCGTGAATCAAAGCCAAGTGCTTCAACTTCGCGCAGTTTCCAGTCGTCCGTCTTTGTCCTTGCAGAGAAAGGATAGCTATCGTCGTCTGAAAATGAATCATCTGGTGACTCAGAGTGGTGCTGCTCTTCCCAAAACTGTCCATCTTGAGCCCGCTTAGGTGGATCACCGGAAATATTTTGACCAGCCTGACTGTCTGGGTTCCTTGACACTGAAGTTGACTCCAACATATTTATACTTGATAGTTTGGTCAGCTTGCTTCGTGGATCGAGTGGTGTATCCTTGCCAGATGTCGTTGCACTCTCCGACCATGGCATTGGCTCTACAAAAGCCATCTTGGCAGCCATGTTCTCAATACAGGACATCTCGTAGTGATGCCGCAGGGCAGCCCGATCTACAGACCTAGGCACTTTGGCGACAGCCCCATGATACCCAAGAAGGACATCATACGGCATGAAAACTCGTATCTGCAGGGTCTTGGGGTGTATGGAAAATAGCCGGGCATCGAAAAGTTCATGGAGGTGGCTTAAGAGAAGAATCCCATTAGTCGGATCCCATGTATTTTCCCAGGCCTGCATCAAGCGACGGTTACTGGACATTGCGCTCTGAGGTTGTACTTCGCCGGGAACCGCTTCCGGGTCGGGATATAAATGGTAATGCTGCTGTGGCACAATATGGCATGCGTGTAATGCAGGGCCGATCGTCGGATTGGCGTACCATGACCGCCCCATGCCCGAGACCGCACACTGGCGAGCTGATGCGAGACATGAATCTCGGAATCTGGCAATGACGCGTTTGGCGCGTTCGGCCTGGATGTTTTCTTGGGGAGGCGTAACCATGTCGGGGAGATCGTCTTCTTCGACCGAAGGCTGGCCGCTCTCCGAGTCCTTACTCGGGGATACAGAACCAGACGTTGAACGTTTCGAGGGTGATCGAGAGCCTTTCCGTACCCGTGCGGTCTTTCGAAGAGGGTATGCCGCGAATCGTGGGTCAGCAGAGGGCTTCTTCGGCGGTAGGTAGCGTGGTTCTACGCGACGGACTGGTTTGGAGATGTGCTTTGCACAGCCAGCTATGGGTATGGTTAGCGATAAGCCGTCACGCACATAGTGCAGCGCGTGTACCAACCGATGAAATGAGCGTCCACTGGGTGGTCAGTCGACAGGGTGCACCCCCGGTGGATAAACACACGGTACTGAATTACCGGCCGATCGTCTGGCATCTGCGATGTCCCTTGTGAAAGGGCTGGGACTGGGCGATCAAGATTCTTGCTATGTACAAATGTCGGGATAGGAGGGTGATCGTCGGATATGTTTATCAAGCCTACCACGCCGAAAGCGACGTCATCCCAGATATCCGCAGAGCCGGTACAGCTGATAGAGTTCCATTCGTCGTGCGGGATCTCGAAACACAGTCGCATCTCATCCACGATGTCGCGGAAAGTAATAAATGAATTTTGGTCGGGTTGAAACGTGCCAGCAAACAGGATGTCCCCGCGCGTCGCCAGGAGCTCGATGTTCCAGCCGAGCGTACGCATCGTCGGCGTCACAGCTGAACTGGACATCCTGGGTAAATGGACAAGACCAAGAGCGTAAGGGCCGGATTTGAAGGATTCGAAAGGCACTGTAATATTAGCAGTCTCAAAATAACGATATTGTGTCGCTGCTTAGTGGGCGACGGATTAGTGTTGATCCGAAATGGTTCACTATTCTTATTGGCTGCCCGCACCGATGTCCCGGCTTATGATGGTTGGCCCAACAACTGAAACTTCGCATGTGGACGCGAATGGACATCACGCCACTCACGGCGCGAGGCAGCACTTGTGCACGTGATCGGAGGTCGCAAAATGTCGAACACAGACAGGGCATAGTACCGCTAGACTAAAAATGCTCCATGGGCGACGTTCTTAGTCATACGGGCTGTTTCTTGTTCCGACACACCCCCTCAGGATACAGCGAATGTCATGTGGTTGTGTGCTGTTTTTTCATATGAGGTGGATCCTGAATGCTTGGAACTCTAGCCCCTATCCATGATCTTTCTCTGCTAGGTCATTGGCCATCATATTTTTGTGAGCGGTGAGATCCTTTACACCCTCATCGGAATTTTTCTTATGGCTTAGAGAAAACACCTCAAAAGACCTGTCCTCGGCTGGGTTCGTACCCGTGACCTTCTAGCAAGCATAGCGCGAAACGACAGTCGGGCTCATAACTGTCGAACACAGACAGGGCATAGTACCGCTAGACTAAAAATGCTCCATGGGCGACATTCTTAGTCATACGGGCTGTTTCTTGTTCCGACACAAAACCGCAGGCGGTTCGAATCACTCGGATGAGGGGAAAAGCAACTTCTTAAGTATACAAAGAGACCATGCCAACGCACAAATCGAGACGGGTATAGAGTGTTCCAGGTACTTGGGAATTAATTCCAATAATACGGCTCCGTTCTTGATCTGCACCAGCCTCATATCACAATATCACAACAGGTAGGAACCTGCCCATCTGTTAGCATCTCCGAACGCGTCTGTCTGCTCTCCCACCAGCACTGACAGTATGCTGGAGCGGATGTCCAATTCTCTCGCCTTCAACGTTGTTTCCCTACATGTGCTGGCTTAAAATGTCCTCCCTAAGGGCACTTTTACTTTTGATATACGATATACTTACCTGTGTGAAAACACCGACCCAGAGCCGAACGCGTCATGGTGATCACCAGACTCCACTATGAATTACAATTCATACCCGTCAACATTCATTTACTACCCCCTATCACTGTCAATCCTTCGAATGCATATGCAGTAAGCCCGGTGGCTCACACCCAGCCATAGAAATGTGGACATATGGCAGCTGCCCAGAATCAGCCGACCCCAAATCCCTTCGATCGCTACTTGGGAGGGACAGGTGGAGCCAGCACAACAATGCCGATGTCTGAATACCTTTTATAATGGGATACGGGTGACTTAGGTGGGATGTAGCCTGCTAGAGGCAACCGGCAAGGTGTGAACCTGTGACGGCAACTTATGGTCGGTCAAGTATATAGGGGCGCACCATCGCCCGCTTTCTTTCTGATTTCTTCCCTGGTGCGCGGACATCTCACAGCACTTTTGGGACCAGGTAGCTATTTTCACCTTCCTCTTCGTCTAATGATGAAGGGAGAGCAGCGGACATAAGCTAGGATCGGACCTTTTTCGAGATGGCGGACGAACTGTACTTGCCTAATGAGAAGCGCTGTTGTAGTAAAAAGGCTCTGAAAATCGAGTACGTCGGAAAAACGAAGCAGAATGGGAACGCGGGCCGTGGTTACTACCGGTGTGGCCGCTACAAGCGGTTTCGCTGGAATGATTCTCGGGGGATACATGAGGAAAATCCTCGCTGTCGCTGTGGGCTTCTTAGCCGCTTGTATGCTGAAAAGGCGTATATTGACGGCGAGAGATATTGGGGATATTGGAAACTGTTTTACAGGTGCCAGGACTCATTTTGCCGCAAGGTTAGAAGGGGTTTGATCTGAGAATGGGGTCGAGGCCTGCCGCTGAGGATGATGTTCTGCAGGTTTGGACGGCAATACTCATTATGCAAGAATTGGAGACCATGAATTGAGGTAACGAGACTGGACAAATTAAATTGTGGCGATATTCGTACACGGCAGATGATAGGCGCCCTAGAAGCATTTTGCGCTTTCTTGGTCTTAATTGATGGGGACATATGAACTGTGGATTCAAGCCTGTTAGTCTTCCTCTTCGTAGAGAAGCTTGACTAGAGACTCGATCGCTTGTCAACCAGATACTATACAAGCCTGGCGGCGCAGGTTGGACTTGGCTATACATGTGGACTCTGGGGTCAAGAGAACCCTACTACCGCCATAGTCTCTTCGGAAACGGCCGACCATTTCACGCTTTTTTGTCCCGGCCAGCTGCAACGACCTGTCCCGCCATTACAGCCAATATCTATGCCCATGTGCTTCCCACCCATGTGCTGTTTAATATATGTAGGTATCATTATCATTGGTCAAACCTTGCGTCGTGTAGTTAGCTATCAAAGATAGATTTTGAACCTGAGCTAGCTATTGTAAGACTTATTAGACGTTCAAGTACCGAGACTACTTTGGAGAATCCATTTACTACGATTTACCCGCCCGAGGGGGACATGGTAAGTGGTTTTGTGCAGTACAACAGACATTTTCGGGTCATTTCCTTAGTACAATTTGACCAGGAAGATAGATCAACATCTGGCAATCAACATCTGGCAAGGCACTGCTAGGGTATAGTATCAGAAGATTTACAGCCGACAGTATCGGATACTTAAGGGACACATATCCTACTGTCAACGCGCGAACGCTCGAGGGAGAAATTTTATATTCGTTGTCGGAAAGTAATGCACTTTGACTTGTCATTGACGATCTAGTGTTGAAAATCTGCTTCAGAACTCATGTATTCACCAAGGATGAATAAAGATCTGTGGCGCATTAGGTGCTATTTTCAACAATGTAGATACCAAGGTTTCATGCAAGACGTATGCGTGATGGTTGCTGCAAGATAACATACCTGTACATAAATTTCTACCAAGCACGAGCTTGAGGATACTTGATTATTCCTCTCTCTCTGGCTTTGTAATTCAATTCTCAAGCTAGGCTCGTTCTTATCTAGTAAACCAACTCGTTATATGTGAACCTTCCAACATCCATACGTTGGACCAATCAGATGCCTTATTCTGATTGAGAAAATTAAAAAGCTTTGTCTTGTGACTTTCCCCGATCATCAACCTTGTAATGATAAACAGTAAAATAGACAGAATCAGGAAACTTCTTGACCCGTCACTCTAACACAAGCTAACCTGATCCCGACAGCGCTATACGAACAAGCAACAAAGCGATCATGTCCTTTGCCAGAGACTATTCAGGCTACGTAACGCGCATTTAGGGCTTTTCATTTTAAAAAGTGTTGATGGGGTGACGTTCTTCTCGCCTCGATACTGATGCCTTGAGCGTCTCAAAAGACGGGTTTACTCTTTGGTCTCCTCCATATTTAGCCGCTTCAGATTCGAAACCAAGCTTTCAACCGTATCTCCTTCGTTTTCCATCTTGACCAAGGCCGATGCCGGATTTAACCTGAGGCTCTTTGCCTTCCATCCGCCGTGTAACCCTTTTCTAATCTCCCTTCGCCATATATCAGCGTATGCATCGTTCCAGTCTTCAATGAAATCTTTAGCCTCGCGCTCGGTATTGAAACGCTGGTGACAAGCGTCCTTATATCCGCTGGTTGACTTCTCTACTGCCCTACTTCGCGTTATTAACTCCCTAATTTGCTTTAGCATGATGCGTACCTCCAATCTCTAAAAACGCCGATAGTTCGGCCATTTGCCACAGCATAGTAATAATTTCCTCGAGGTTGCAGCGTAGCTGCGTCGCTTGCCTCACATTTGAGAGCTTCGTCAAATTCTTCAAATCCTTTTCGTCTCATTGAACTTCGCGCATCTTCGAGGCTCTTGAAATCTTCATGTTCTGCGCCATCGAAACCTGTCACCCTAGGATGTACATGTCCCCTTAGCGAATCAGTAATTAGCGAACATATCACTCGTGCTAGAACTAAGTCTTGTTTACCAGGAAGAATATATGGCTGGTCTGTCAACACGCCCCTTATATATGACGTAAAGTTTTCCTTCATGATGATCTGGTGGACCCATTGCTAGTATGAAGCATCAAACAGAATGATGGATGTACTGTAGGTTGTCACGAAAGCTTGGGATGCAAAATAAAATGGAAATTGTGAGTACCGGCGGGGGTTTTACTTCGCTGCAAGAAAAATCTTTGAGCGCGTACCGCTGCCCTTGGAGGGGGCTTGACGTGTCTCTGCATAAATGGGCAACTTCCGCACATGACTTTGGGAGGTGACGAGGAAATGGAGGAGTACTGTAAAATACACCCGAAATAGTTTAGTTTCATTTGTGTCGTGACATCTTTCTTTACGCTCGGGGATTCCCGACATTCCGAGAATTGGGACTTTTGACACCCTCCCCCTCATGTTAAGCAAGGACACCCTGTTTAACGTAATCCCTATGAAGCGCTGAAAAAGTAAAGCATGACAATTGAAAGGGGAGGAGAGGGCGGTTTTATTGAGGTGTTGCAGATTTCAAGAAGCCCTAGCGGTCTCTTGAACAATCAAATAATTCAAGTGTTCAATATCCTAACAACAGAGCATTCAAGTAGCTCTACATCCGGTTTCCCACCACATTGATGCAGGTCAAATATTCACTCCTGATATAGTGCAGTAAGAGCACAGGACTGATAATGACGTTTTCCCCTCAATCTTCAAGAATTACCGACATGAGGTCTGTGCTGTCCCTATCGAAACCAACATCCTTCCGAACTCCAGCTCCCAGTCCACAAGCCCTCTGCGTTTCGCGACTGAACATTAATCTTTCTCAAATTATGTGTAGTAATATTCAACTAGGGACTTGAATTCCCTACTCGCCCCGACCTGGACGGCGTCAGTATATACCCATAGACCAGCTGCAGTTATCACGAGAATGTCCCGTAGGATGCTTCGCATGAGGGTTGGCCTACTGTTTTAACATGGAGATCCTGCACATCTCGGGCGAATCCTTCAGACTGATCTCGAAAAGCATTCACTTCCCTTCTCCAGGAGACCCACTTGGCAAGAATAGCGTCAAGTCGTCACCTGTCAAACATGATCGGGTTTTCCACCGCAGAGTCAATTCTATTCTTTTCGATCTTTTTATCCTTTGAAGCACAACTTACCCTTTAGCTCTTTGTATGATCAAGTTAAACCTGATCTGTCTGGGCCATTTTTGGGTCCTCAAGGCTTTGGAGCCACGATCGCATCCTTGATCTGACTGATTCAATCTCCAACCAGCTGTCCCTAACAACTTCATCATCGGACTGTGGGGGAATATTGGAAAGATTTGGTCAAGGGAGCGAAGGGTTTGTTTTAAAAAGACAATGCGCTCATCAGGACTCGGGCTATAGCCGAGGTTTTTGAATGATCGTTCGCTGTTATCTATGCAGGCTTCGGCGGCTCTCGCTTGGGATAGCATTTTGAGCCCGATCCGAAGTGTATTTATGTCTTCGTCCGAAGGTCGCGAAGCAGGGAGAGGCATTATCTTCCGACGAGTCATGTCGATGGTCGATATGAAGGACAAAAGGTTGTGCGATCAGTTGCCCGATGTAACCAAAGGGCGATTTTAAGAAAAGTGAGTTTTGGCAAAATGACCGCCCTTGGGCCAACTGTTTATATGGAGTGGGACCTAACCCTGGAGTGTTTCCTCTAAGCCTCGAGAGCGGTGTTGCGCGAACGATCTACCAATGACCATCGGTTTACAAGGATTTGCCGCCTAACAACCTCCAGTTTGAAAACTTATTCACGTGTGAAGAAGCGGGGAACTACGTAACAGAGAAGTCAGGATCCAATCATTTAGCGCCGGCACCTGACCCCGCCCATGACCATAAATGTCTACGGAAAGAGGTTGTAAATATTACCATATTTTACGGACCCTCCCGTACATTTGCAAGAGGTCAGTTATTTGCTACCTTCAAGAATACTGAAAATAACCCGGGAAAACCGATCAAGTATTTTCTTTTTATTGCCGCAGGGGCAATACATGATTTCCTAAAAGATCTACCGGTGATCAAAGCCGCAATTGCAGATCTGACACCGTAAGCCGGGCCTATTCCTATTAAAGTCGAGGTTCCGAGCGAGACGATGCTAGGGCTGATAAGATAGCATCAAATTAGGCAATTGGAATGAGCCAGAGCTCCATGGTGGTGAATTCGACCATTCGCCATGTTCTTGGCCTATTTGAGGATGAATTGTCACCCAATATTGAGGTTCGGACGCCCTGGCATATACATTGGCTCCGACCACAGTCTACTTTATCCCCGCATCTTGCGTGTAATGACATCCTTATATTCCGCGTCATATTGCACCAGCGCCGATGGGCCCTCTCGCTCAAACGTCTCCCAGTCAATCACAAAATTGACGAAGAAGACTGCCGGTTCGGTCTCGCTGGCGTTGGCACTAATCCGATGGTGACAGCCTGGCGCCTCGTACCAGGAACCACCTTGGTCAATCACTTTCATCGGATCGTTGTTCATTTTGTTCAAGAGAGAGCCATAGATGACATAGGCGAAGACCGAGGCGCCTCCGTGGCGGTGAGGAGGTGTGGCACCGTTCGGAGGATATTCGACGAGCATGCCGGCGATGGTTGTTGCGGGACAGTTGACCAGTTGATACTGACAGGTAATGGTGGTCTTTGCCATAGGGCATCTAGTGAGGTTATGCGGTGAGTTATCTGGTCTGGTTGGATGCGCGGTCTTTGGACGACCTACTCCGGGTTGTAGACTGGCTCTTGCATTGTGACAGGACGAAGGTGATGGGCTTGGTTGGTTTGGTGGGTTATGAGCGAAGGATAGTTCGAAGATGTAGGGCGCCCATATATGTGTAATGTCTTCGGACCTCAAACTATTCAACATTTACTCTCAGCGAGGATGATTGTATTGCGAGTAAGGGCGCTGCTGATAGGCTAACCGGGTATCCGACATTTCTCGGAAAATACTACTTCTTCCCGGCGGCCGTGATCTGCGAACATCGGCCTCCTAGATTAGACACTGTTGGGGCGTCATAGTTGTCTTAAGCCGTTGCTTCCGTTGAAGTCGATGACCGACAACAGCTCCCTGGATTATAAAAGTCTCTTTCTGCAGGAAGAAGAGCGGCGCAAGCAGCCCGAAGCACAACGGCATTGTTATTGGCGTATTAATTTTCTCTCTGAGGAGTACTTAGATCGGGTTGAATTGATAGCAGCTATTGCCAGTAGCCCCCTTTCTCTTTGGGGGCCCGATGGATATGAATGCACATGTATTTATTGTACGGGAAAGCATCAGATACACGAGCTCCTTTCCGGCATAGATCTGTTAACGGAAAGAGTCAAAGTCCCTAATCACATGATAAGTTACAATGAGTCGCTGAACTGCGAAGTCCAGAGAATGCTCCATCGTCGACCCACATCCCGTCTCCCCCCACTCCTGTTCCAGATAATGCATGGAATCAAATTATAGGACGGTATCAACAGAGTCAATCTCAGCCGCAACGAGATTGTGTCGAGACCGCACGGCACGTCTCCGAGCTCACACCGTGGGTGAAGCGTACCGGCATTTACATCCATCTCCTAGGGCTTGAGCTCAAAGAACTCGGTCCAAGCTACTATCTCCCTCGGGAGCATGAAGAGCCGTCGTTATTCCTGATCTGTGAGAGTATCGGACGGGTTCTAGAGAAAACGATGACGGTCCTTGTGCACGACCAGAAAGTAGAGGCCCGATGCCTCAGCCGGCGCAATGCACGACTGCTCAATACTTTTACGCGGAGGGAGACCTCCCAGGATCCCATCACCGAACTACAGAACCAGCAGTCTCGTCGGAAATATATCGATACCTAGCAGAGGCTGATCTGCTACTGGGACCGCGTCGTCGAGCAGGGCCATCTCCGGGACACGCTGTTGCAGCCAAGTAGCCGACAGCTCGAAGCATGGTGCGAGGTGACGGAGGCAGCGAGCGAACTCACCAGTCGAACAGATCCCGATCGCGACGAGGTGGACATCGAGGCTTTCCATGACCGGCTCGATCGGGCTGTTCTCAAGTTTAGCCTGGCTAATATCCAACACTCCGTGCGCCATCGCAAGTTCGATTTTGTCCTTGTGTCGTATGCTGCCGTGCGGTCCTGGAGCCATAAGCAAGGCGCGTGGATGCTCATCGGGAACTATACATCGATTCTATCGCAATTAGTCTACGACTGTCAGATGGTGGTGCTTGCCCAGGTATTAGCAGAGACCAGGGATGACCGGGATGCGGACATTGGTGCTATGATCGTCGAAATTCGGGATCAGTGGTTGTTAAATGACACGGAAGGCCCCGTCGTTGAATTTCCGGATTGGCCAGACCGAAGTTCCACCGGCACAATTCCGCTGGCATGCCGATGGAGAGACACTGGTGTGGTTGGATGTGATCTTCCACCTATCAGACCTTCATCGGATCATCTTTGAAGGGATTGCGGAAGCTCGGCGGATTTTTGACCAAGAGCTATGCCTGAGTGGCCGGTCTAGCCCTGCGTGTGATATTCCTGGTCTGGACCTCGGACTCCTAGTCGATAACTGGGATGCTACCGCGCCGGGTCGGTCATTCCTGACTGACTCACGGAACGCATCCTATTTCGACCCCCTTAAGGACTGGCTGGTCTCTCGGGTAGGCAAGACCCAGGCGTTGTTCCACACGCTCTGGTCGCAGACGGCAGCGGGTACGTGGGAGGTATGCGCAGACGCCGTGCAACAGTATGAGGATGCGGTGCAGCGGTTCCTGCGCGCGCTTATGGTCCCGTTTTTCCTTTGGTCTGGCCAGCAGGGACGTCGTACGGAGTTTATTGCGCTCCGGTGGAGAAATACTACCTGGATCACGCGGGACCTATTTCTCCTTGACGGGCAGATGCTATTTATCCTCAGTTACCACAAGACCCGAAACCAAAATAATGCATCTCGATGGCCGGTTCGTTTCCTTCTCCCGCAGGTCGCTAAGCTCGTTACCCAGTACCTCGCTCTCGTTCAGCCATTCCGAACGTTCCTCCAGCACGAGACACTAGGGTCTCGGCGCATCTCTGACTACCTATGGTCCCGGGGCCCTGATCTGTTGGGAGCGGATGGGATGACTCGGGTCATTGTTGATGCAGGGAAACTCACATTGGGGAAGCATATCCATGTCCAGAGCTGGCGACAAATCACGGTGGGTATCGCACGACGGAAGTTCGCGAGGGCCGAGGCGAATCTACTGATCGAGGATGGTGGAGATGACGAGGAGGCAGATCCTGCGCTCGGTAGTATGTCGGACGGGCTCCACTGGCAGGCCGGCCATCCCCCCTATACCGGTAACCGTGTCTATGGAGGAACGGTGAACTTTCGGGCCGGGTTAACGGGCACTGGACTCCAAGAGTTCCGACACGTTAGTCAGCTCTGGCACCGATTCTTGCGCGATCCGGTCCATTTCCAGCCTGCACCAACCCAGCCACATCAGGCAGTCGTACCCCGAACGCCGTGGGTCTGGGGAGAATGGGATCAGACTCCAGGTAGTCGTCCTAGCATCACTCGGAACGAGGCGGCCAGTGGTAGGAGTGTGCCCGGCAGTAGTTCGATTCGAGCATCTATTACTCCGAGTAAGCAACGCCGGGATGAGGAGCTAGAGAGCCCGATTGTACGGCGCATCGCGCGACGGGAGGCGCCTGCTCGGACACGGCGGTGATGGCGTATGGACCAGGCGATGGAGGTGCTCCAGCGGATGTATGGCTGGAATGCCCAGTATCGAAGCAGTGGGCAGCAGCAGGCGATGGAGTATATATTGGCGGGCAGTGGCCAGGTCTTAGCGATCCTGAGGACCAGCGAGGGAAAGAGCTTGCTATATCTCCTCCCCTGTCAGCTTCCTGGTGCCGGAACGACGGTGGTCATCCTCCCCCTTGTGGTGTTAAAGGCTGAGATGCGGCGGCGGTGCGCAGAGGCTGACATCGAGGCGCACGTGTGGGAGGCAGACTCTGACCCAGATCGGCTACATTCCTGTCCACTTATCATAGTTGCGGTTGAGCAGGCGTGAAACATCGATTCCGCGATTTCTTAACTCGGTTACCAATCGCAAATGAACTGGACCGGGTGGTGTTCGACGAGTGTCACCTCGCCATCACGGCGGTGTCGTATCGGACTGCAATAGGGCTCCTGCAAGTGCTCCGGAAATTGGCCGTTCAAATGATATTTCTGACGGGCACAATGCCACCATCTAGGTGCCCGAATTCGAGCAGGCGATGTTATTACGTGGTACGCGGATGGTTCGCAGCCTTACCATGCCGCGGGATATATATTTCCACGTCAGCCATTGCCCTCCGAACCGTGATTTTGTTCGTGATTTTGCTGTCCCTGGAATCCAAGATGTTATCAGAGGTCCTGCGGTTGGTACGCATGCTATTATCTACTGCAGCCTTAAGGATGTGGCGGAGGAGGTTGCCCAGATGATCGATGCTCCGGTGTACCACTCTAAGTCTGGCAGCGTCGAGGAGAAGGCGGAGGTCCTTCTGCAATGGCGAGCTGGAGAACCGTCTTATATCGTGGCTACGTCTGCATTTGGCATGGGTATCGACCATCCGGCGGTCCGGTGGGTAGTGCATGTCGGGGTACCGTGGAGTGGTATCGACTTTGCGCAGGAGGTTGGACGACTTGGACGGGACGGAGGCGGAGGGCAATCGGTCGTTTTAATTCCCGCGCAGTGGAAGGCCACGACAACTGACCGAAATGGACGACCACTGGACGGCGCTGAAGCGGCAATGCAGAGCTACATCGGGGCCAGTGGCTGTCGGGTGTTGGAGCTATCGCGTTTCCTCGATGGTGACGGTAGTCCTTGCACGCGAGAGGCACTAATGTGCGATAGGTGTCGGGATGCTGGTGCGGTCCAGCTACCTGCCAGTCCGTCTAACGGACATGGGCAGAGTTTAGAGGAGACGGACGGGGATGATGACCTAGGAGATTTACAGGCTGGGGCGGAGCTACTTCAGACTCGGATACAGGGGCAGGAACGCGGATTGGCGGACTATATAGCGTCTCTGGAAACGTGGCGCGGAGTATGTATGATCTGCTACCACCTCCCCCGGGCGGGGTCCGGGCAAGCCGGGCATGCACGGCATGGGCTCGCAGGATGCGTGAATCCGGAGCGGTTTTGGTTCTTCGAGGCGAAACGGGAGGCACAGTCCCACGGACAAGGACGTGGGGGGTGGTTCGGACGGTATAGTAGTTGCTACCGGTGTTTTAACCCGCGGGTTTTGTGTGAGCAGGTGGGGGCCGGAGGGTGCGAGTTTGCAGATCTTGTGATGCCTACTTGCTGGGCGATCTTTCAGAACAAGAGCTGGGTTGCGGGGAACCTTGATGAACTCGGCGGCGGACATGTGGCGGAGGACGAGGCCGGGTATATGTTATGGCTTAGAGAAGAATAAGATGTGTTTGGGGAAGCAGGATCGCGGGCGATTACAGTAACGGAGGTTGTATTTCGGCAGATGGCAGGGCAGGAGGGGAAGGAGAGGGCTTTGAGAAAATAGTTAGGTGTATAGAAGGGTGGAATAGAGAACTGGGTGATATGGTTCAAGGTTGGAAGATTGACATAGATATACGGCGAGTGCCGAACGTTGGTTAAGACTGTTGATATCGGAGAGATCCGCTTCTGGAGGCTGTGGGAAGAAGACCTCTCGTAGTACCTCCACCTTCTCCTGCATCTTTTCCGCGACTATTTCATCTCTTCCCTTAAGCGCTGGGATAATGCCACTGCTCACCTGACTCCGGTTACGGGGCCATTTCGCAGTTCTCCAGAGGCCCCGGGGCCCCTGGTTAACTGTGTCTTGAACCTATGAACGAAACCCTTTGCGGAGAGCCTTCGAAACGGATCCTTCCCTTGTCATTCCTCGCCAATCGGTATATTTCCCAGTCTTCTTCTGTGTGCGTGGTGGTGTATTGGCGTCGGAGTCGTCGCCTCGTTTTGACGGCATCACAGCATCCCGTTGTGAAGCCCTATACTGTGTATGCGGACGGACGGGGCCATGGCGTTGACTCTTCGACACCGCGCTGCACGATATCAAGTAAGTGTCCTACTGTGTCGTCGATCTCCCGATGCATTAATCCCGGTCGAGGCACATCCACACCTTTCCGGAAAGGTTCATTTTCACGAATTTGACGAACTTTGCCCTGTCCATCGCTTTCCAGTTGCGTAGTCTAGTCAGTTCCATAGTTAACGTTGCTATGTCGAGTATCGTGCATATCGGTAAGTGATCTGAATCCGCATGGATCCTCTGGTTAACCTCGCACGCTACCATTCTTTCCTCTAGGGTACCCGAAGCGAGGACCAGGTCGATCGTCGTTTGGCATCTTGCCTGGTCGGGGGTGATCGTTCCTGGTTCGAGCCATAGATCCAGACCGGCCGTGTCCATAAGCTCAAGTACATCCTCCGACTTCTCATACTGCACCGCTTCATCCCCTTCCCAGGCCGGATGATGGAGTTAACTATGGATAGTATTGCTGTGCCGTAAGCTCGAGATCTCCGTAGCCCGCCCAGGCTGCCCCCAACCCCCTCCCCTGTTGTAATCTTGCGCCAGCTGGGTCGAGATTCGGACTCAGTTCCCTTTGAAATCGAATCGTCCATTCCGGAGCTCCTAAACCAAATCCGAGGAGTAGAAGTCTAGCTTGTAATAAATTGACAAGTAAATGGTTTGTACCGTGAGAGATTATGCACCTACCACACAAAGTCGAATCTTCCAAGGTCTGGAAGATGGAGAAGTAAATTTGGGTACATACGCCCCTCTATATTATGAGCAAGTAATCCTGCTATTGGTTCCCTTTTCTGCAAAAGCTTGTACTATAAATTACGCAGATAATATAAATCATCTTCTTCCAGCTTGGCCGAGCGGCCTCTTTTGCTAGTGTGGCATACTAAGCCCGAGGGAGTGTACAGGCCACAATACTGTTCAGCTAGCTGCTCCAATAAAGGCCTAGATAACTGGCGGGATTTGAACAACTCCGCCACAGTGATTCATGGGATAACCGTTCCTGCCAAGATTCGGGTTGTGTGTTCGGGTGAAAGATTTCTCGCACTAGGCGAACCTAACCTAGGCTGCGTGACCGGTGGTGATTGTCGTAGGCACGTTTGTGCTGTTGGAGTTCATTCCGTAGTTATTCGCACCAATATGATAGATATTATCGCGGTAGACAAGAATTTGGGGCTATGCTTTTCCCTAGCCTGAGACAAACCCCTTTGTCTACTATTTGATGTTACACCCTACTTATCTCAACCTCGACAGACTTGCTATAACTAATACAAAAAAATATATTATATAATCGAACTGTTCATCCAAGCTTGTGGGTGGCCGGGGCCGTGCCTTTAATGAGATGTACTGGCTAGCCGCAAGAATCCCTGGTTAGGTTTAGAATTCTACTATACTTGTGGGAGGCGTCCTATAGTATTGATTACAATAACCATGAACAACCGAAATCATATCTATTAGATATGATGGCACTAAATATATCAACACACCGCCAGAAACCCCGTAGAAAGAGGTACAAAATGTTGCTTCTCTCGCACTCGACAATCAATCATCAATCCCACTAATCCCAACATACATAAACATGACAGCCATAATCTTATCCTTCCGCCCATGATGTTGCATGATTGGATGACTTTCTTCATCAAACTGTGCAACAATATGTAGTTTATCTCCCTTTCTAATTTCTCCTGCCTCGTAGCAAGCCCCGGCTCCTGACAAATGAACTCCATTGGGAGATGAGTACCCAGGGCGTCCCCCATAAGTTTGTTGAGACTCGCAGACAGGTACTCCATTGATATAGAGAGTCACATTTTGTCCACCATCATGCATATGCCCACGGGCTTCAAGAATAGGCCCGGATACTGTTGAAACCCACACATCTGAAATATAAGTTGTACGGCCAGGTTCGGCGGAAACCTCGCCATCGCCACATGGCGGCCCAATATTGACCCAGATTAACTCAGCATCCCTGTACCTTTTGCCTTCATCGGAAGATGCAGGCACCCATTCATAGGTTACAGTTACCTGAACATCAACTGGGCTTGGTCTCTCATTCATAATTTCAACAGCAGTTACCCATTGGTCGGTAGGGTGTACATAGTAACCCCATTCACCATTAGCATTAAGCCTCCACACTGGTCGCTCATTTCCCGACCCATAGAAGTAGTGACCACTTAGACTTGGGCAAACAAGGTCGGTTTGATTGTTATTAAACTGCATGAGGTGGTGCAGCCAAACGCCAGAATCCATGTGAAGTGAGTTGCTGTTGGTATCTTCAAGTCTCGTTTCCATCATCGTGAGATAGCAATCGTTGCACGGTTTTTCATAGGTGAGTTGTGGTGTATGGGGATACATTTTTCTCGCGCCAACATAGAAAGGTCCATACGTCACATTGGTTCTGGTTGCGCCCGGGGTGATTGGGATAACATTCATTCCATTGTCTTTCCATGAGGTCGAATTGGCAAGGCAGGGCTGTAGTAGTGTCGTAAGTGTTATGGCTCCCGCTGCGAAATACTCCAAGAAATACTTCATTTTCGGGAATAGAAGGCGGCGGGCAACGACCTCAGTGGCTTAAAAGGTATAGAGAATAGGAAGAGTGCAGTTCACAGCGTTAAGTTAGGAAATATCCTAGGGAGGTTTGGGTTCCTCTCATTTTGTGTAGTGACTTCCAGGATACTTATAAGCCTTGAGATCTCTGGCATGACCATTTTCTGGCATAAGAAGTGCCCCTGAATACATAGCCGAGGGCAACCATAAAAAGGTGGTGGGTCTAAGGTTTATTCCAATTTACAGTTAGGGCCAGGAACACGGCCGTAAGGGCAAACTATTTCCCTCTTTCTGGATGATTATTATACCAAATTTGAAGAGCTATACCCAGGTTTCAGACGGAATAACGGACGATTCTAACAGCTTCATTAGAGCCCGGAGTTAATAGGAACTGCCTATAGCTTCGCCCTATTCAAGCATTCATGTGTATTAAAGCTAAAGGCACCTGTTGAGCTAGGAACATCCAATTAAAAGTGAACTTCGCAAGTCCACATTTGGGCCAAAGCTCAATCTCCGAGGTTTAAAATTGTTGTGTTAATATATCTTACAATCTTAAAGAGCGTACTGAGGTACACTGTGGGTGTGTTGGACTTTGCTATTTGAACTTACTAATCATATCACGGCATTTAACACCGTGCTCTTAATATATAAAAATAGCTGAAACAGTGATATATCATCTCATAATTCCAAATAGACGCTTCCAAACCGACGTTTGGGGCTACGGCCGTATGTAGATCAACAGAGTGATAGCTGAAGTAGTGATATCTCATCTCACGCTTCTAAATAGACGTTTGGGACTACGGCCGTATGTAGATCAACAGGGTGATAGCTGAAATAGTGATATCTCGTCTCACGCTTCTAAATAGACGGTTGGGACTACGGCCGTATGTAGATCAACAGAGTGATAGCTGAAATAGTGATATCTCGTCTCACGCTTCTAAATAGACGTTTGGGACTACGGCCGTATGTGGATCAACAGGCTTATTTTTTTCTCCCTCTTTTTAGTTTCCTCCTTATGACTATTCGCGTCAGTAAATTTAATAAGCTGAAAAATGTGCCACTGGGTCAGACTTAAATAGCCCATATTACGTCCCAGTGAACAGCTACTAATTGCCATCTGCGACTTTCATTGTCTATTATCCCTGAAGCAGCTAAAGTCGCGTATCCAATTCACTACTATTCAATTCCTTTCATTCTATTACACGAGCAGCCTTCCCAATCAGCTTCGTTTAGGTCCCTCGTGGTCTATACAACAGAGACTATGAAGATTCTGGATGTTATTGCCTGTTCCGCCTCTATCGCAGCACTACTGCCGGGAGTGGCACTAGGTGCTCCTAAAGATGCAAAACCCCTACACTCCCTGGAATCAGCACAAAACCCAGAATCCAATTGGAAGGAAGAGCCTGTCCCTGGCTGGGCACCAAGTAGCAATGAAGAGGACATCCCTCCTGAAGATGAACCAACATATGTGGAGGTCAGTATGCACAAGTTACCCGTTAAAATTAATATTCGCAGTATATTGACCATCTATCCAATATTTTAGAGGCGTGAGCGTATTATAAATAATGGAGATTCATACTGTGCGGTGATGTAAACTTCTTAAGTTTCTACCTTTAGGGGCCAAGTGAATCATGTTTCGTGGAAGTGAGTTGTATGGATATACATATTTAGACGGAATATTTAAGACTTCGGCTTGGATCACATAATGGAAACGCTGTTTTGCTATATTATATTGCCAGTTTCTGATCAAGCGATTTGAAGTTAAGAGTTTCAACACCTGTTGTAAACGCTGTTTGTTTGATTGCTTAAGAGTTCTCTGGAGGGAATAACAAGTATTATTCAAATTGGGTCACAACGTTCTACGAACGTTGGTCCTGGTAGGTAGTATCGTGCTATCGCTGATGATGATGATAATGATGAATCTTATAACCTGATAGAGCCTAACTAGTACGTAATAGCTATGCAGGTGGTCTCCAAGAATCAGTCTTGTTCTTATCCTTCTTCTTATTCCAATCCGACTTGGTCGCTTCTATCTCCAAACACCTTCTTCTCCTTACCTAGTTAACAGGCCCCTGTCCTGATAAACAGCACCCTCTTACATTGACGGGCTGCCCTAAATACCCTAGCTCCCGCGGTGGGGTCTGCGGTCGCACCCCATCAAAATTAATAGACCAACTTCAACCGCGCCAAGCTTACAGTTTTCTAGACTGGATTGCTCTGAATTCCGTAGCGTCAAAGACCGACCAAAATGGCCAACTGGTGAGTTTATTGGGGCATGGTGTCACTAAAAAGATGACAGGGATTTGGGTTGAAAAATGGCTGGTATTCGCCGATACCAGCGACCCCCATGAGATGCCACAATTCTCGTTCACCGTACATAATAAACTATCGGTATAAGTCGCTAACCCCTCGATGGGTCGCTGGACATGCGTGGGGAAAACTAGCTGCTAGGGATCGTGAACCCACCCATCCCACATTAACAACAGTCTCCTGCACATGCCGGGCATACGACGGGAAGATATTGTGGTTACCCCGTCGTAAATGCTCTACGATCCCCGTGGGCCGCACGGCATACTGGCACTTGCGACATACGATGACCTGATACTTGGGTAACCGGATGAATAACTGGTCGGCGGTTAGGCCTGGCACGACGGGCGGGTGATTGATTGATTGATTGATTGATTGATTGATTGATTGATTGATTGATTCATACTCGGATCTGTCAGGCGGTAACCGGCCCCTTACAAAAAGCACTTCTTCCTCTCGATATCCATAGCTCTCTAGCGGCGTATAAGGTATTCAGGATGGCGCTTAAGGAAGCGGTTTAACCACATGCCGCCGATAGTCGGTGCCGGTACTGGTCGGTTTCTACCGGTCGTATTGCTAGCAGGTTGGCCAGTCGCATCGCTAGTAGGTTGGCCAGTGGCTTCAGCGTAGGCGGCAGCGAGGATAGCATTAGCAGCAGCAGCAATTTCTGGGCGAGAAGGAGGCGCATATATCGAATCAAGGATGTCGATATATCGGCAGAGGGCAGATTCTTGTGCTCCATCAAGCTTCCGACCGCTAGGAGAGCGCTCAGAGCGAGAATGGCGGCCCTTGTAGCGCGCCAGAAGCCGCTGATATGGTAGGTTATGAGAGCGCGCCCACGCTTTGACATTAGGCTTATCCACACTCTCTAATTCGTGGAGAGCGATTTTGATACGATATTCAATAGATTTATAGGATTCGGCCATAGTGGTAAGTAGTAGACACGTGTTGAATGAGAAGGGTGATGCGGGACCGGGAGAGAGGCTGGCGGTATTAGAGAGGGTCTGCGAGGTCAATGGCTACTATTATAAGCGATATAATTAGTATTTTTGAATTGGCGAGTCAACGCCATGGCCCCGTCCGTCCGCATACACAGTATAGGGCTTCACAACGGGATGCTGTGATGCCGTCAAAACGAGGCGACGACTCCGACGCCAATACACCACCACGCACACAGAAGAAGACTGGGAAATATACCGATTGGCGAGGAATGACAAGGGAAGGATCCGTTTCGAAGGCTCTCCGCAAAGGGTTTCGTTCATAGGTTCAAGACACAGTTAACCAGGGGCCCCGGGGCCTCTGGAGAACTGCGAAATGGCCCCGTAACCGGAGTCAGGTGAGCAGTGGCATTATCCCAGCGCTTAAGGGAAGAGATGAAATAGTCGCGGAAAAGATGCAGGAGAAGGTGGAGGTACTACGAGAGGTCTTCTTCCCACAGCCTCCAGAAGCAGATCTCTCCGATATCAACAACGACCGAATCCTTCACGGACAACAACTTCAGTTCCCTCCAGTCACGCAGCAAGAACTGCTCGATGCTATGCGAAGGGCTCCGCCAGACAAAACACCAAAGGAGGACTCATTACCGAACAAGATATAAAGGATCGTGTCCGCCAACGACGATTTCTTTAAAATTGTCACCTCGATCCTCGACTCCTGTATACGAACCGGATACCCCCCCCCCCCCCCCCCTGGAATATATGATATTTAGATGTAATGAATGAAATATCTTAGTTTTCGGTGGGAAAGCCAACTAGAAAAATTCCCCTGCCTTAGTTCCGAAGGAGGAAAGGCCAATAACAATAGGCACACGGGTAACGACGTATAATCATCGTCTCATCGTGCCGTCGTCTTACAATGGTCAACAGGAGTGGGGGTACATAACATAGGACCCATCTTGTCTCTCTGATTCAACCCATCTTTGCTGTTATGCTTGATGACTCTAATCATCAGTGGATCGGCGCACAGAAATTGAAAGCTGAGTCAAAGACTAAAACGCGATTTCCACAAAGCTTCTAGGTCTTGTCAACGAGGATCGTCGCAAACAATGGCTCATAATCGGTCACCTAACAAAAGGGGCGCGTGGACGGCCGCGGGAGATAGGGAATTGCAGGAGCTGAAGATGTGTCTGGCCTAACGTGGTCTTTATTCAGATACAAAGTACTCGATGGCCACTTGATGGCCACTTGATCTGGTTCCCGGGTGGACCGGGTAAAGTTCATTGTGCCTCAGTTGCCTATACAGTCACGATGAACACCCGCCGCGGTCGCGGGTTTATATATTGGTTGATAATTGGAGGAGAGAGAGCTTTCATTCGCGTCAATTTTTGAATTAGATCACGCCGGCTATAGCTTTTCAATGACGGACCTTCTGGAAAAATTACGAGATGCATCAACTACCAACGCCACCTGTGTTGCAAGAGCTACAATCTCCCCGCGCTGGTCCAGCACTACAACGTCTAGATCCCCACGACTTCCACGGACCATTTTTGTGGTCACTCGGCTGTGGAGCCATTCAACTCCTTCCGGTGGAAGCCTCCTTTTTAAATCAATGGTCATTGTCACAGTTGGATACCAAAAAACCTTTTCGAAAGAGCGGACCTTCATACCGGTATCTCCCAGTAATCCAAGGGACGAGAGGCGGCTTATTTCCATCGCACACATCCGGTCTGATGCTGCGGGGAACATATCCACTAGAAACATGACTGCCTCATTTGACCATCGCGCCGTTGTTTGTCCCTCAGGGCAGAACCTTGCCCATTGATCGACCGCACGTTTCATTCGGCTGCCAAGAGTTGCTGGATGCTGGGAGCGAGGCCCATATATCTCCAATTGCTTTGTTGCTTTCAGGACAGGTGAGAACGTATGTCGCATCCATTGACCATCGGCACAGTCCTCCAGTAGCGCTGGAAAGTTGATCGAACCGTCAGCGAGCGAGCCAGGTGCTGGCGGTGGATAGAGGCTCCAAGGTCCTGCAATGCTCGGTCCCCCTTCTGCCTCGGGAGGGCTAGCAGTGATATATGCCGCCAATTTAACCTCAAATTCGCTATTGTGTCTGGTCAAGGGCGAATGATCGCGTTTGAAGTCCATAACCTTTGTCAGATGGCTGTCAGGAAGCTGAGATAATGTGACATGAATTGTGCTTATCCGTCCCCCAACCTTCATGTCTTGAACTTTAAGGAGCGCAGGGCCAACACTAGTTCGATTCAAGAATGATATTTGGAGTGTGGTAGGCTCAGGGATTGTTCTAAATCGAGAAGAGTGCGTGTTTTTGAAGTGCGTTGCTCCTAACCTGTATAGAATACTTGCTGTGTATCCCCCGTGCGGCACTGCGATATAGTACTGGATCAGCTATTGAGTTTTTCCTGACCAAGTATGAAAACCTACCACTCCCCATACACCAATTTGCATCGAGGAAAGCCCAATAGGTGTGAGAGTCCACCGGCGTAACGCAGATCGCCTGTTCAAATGTCGTTGAGTGAGAAGGCTTCTCCATAACTGGAGACTAATTCATTGAACGATATTGTAAAAGACCTGGGTTTCGAAAACATCCTAGGGTATGGTAAAACTCGATAGTCCTACCGTTGATGATTTTATCTCGCTTTTCACACGGCCGTAGGGTGCATTGCGTCATCCATTAAGGTGTTTCTAGCCTATTATTGCAAAGCCTCCTATTGATACAGTTACGGCCGTTGCGGCCGAAACGATTTGGGAAAAGAGAAAAAAGCACGTCCCTCTGCATTAGTTATCAGGTCTTTTGCTTCAGTCGAAGAAATGGAGCGGTAACTTACCGCTAGGACAGGAGGATTACAGATTGACCCACATTTCCTTATGATTTGTACAGTAACTTGGTATTCCTGGTAACTTGGCTGTCGTAACCCCAAGTACCAGAAACATTCAAGGGATATTTCAACTTACCCCAGGGCATCTTCTATTTACTTAACCAACCATCTTATTCATCTGATGCTGGTTCCGCTTGATCTCATTCGCCAATATGCATACTAGTCTATACTGTATCAGCTTGCTCTGACAGCTAGTTAGTAAAACGTGTTGTGTCCGTATCAATTCCCGTTTAGCTAACTGTCAGAGCAAGCTAAAACAGTATAGACTAGTATGCGACAGAGCGGATGGGATCAAGGATCTGTCTATTGATTGTGGTTCGTTGTGTCTGGTTGTTCTGTGTAACAAACGAAAAGGGGCACATGAATATATGCGTAAGCGGGCGGATCTAGCTAGATGTGGCTAGTAGCTAGCCGGACGATACCGGTGGACCATATCTCTCGACACTAACTACAGCAAACCCGAATCGTCTAAGTCATTCATGTTGCAGTAATGTACATAGGAAGCTTGTTATTCTCATTCATGACGGATACAAGACGCTACTGTCAAGGAAATGGAGCCGATACTTACGGCTAACTCGTTTCGGCAGTTCCACCTCCCCATCTCTCTTTGCTTTTTTGTAACTCCATGCTTTTTCTACAAGTAACCTTGGGATCCTTCGACATCTTTGTCAAGCCTCTCACGGGTATTTCGGCATTGCCCAGTAACTTGGCCTTGCTCGAAGGGTATTTAACATGCCCTCTCACCTTCCACACTTTTAATTATTCAATCAATTCAATCCTTTCAACCCTTCTCAATTGGTTGCCCTTGGTAGATTTCTCCACTAAATGCATACTAGTTTATAGTTACTGTTTTAGCTTGCTCTGACAAAAGAACTGTCATGGGGCAGGTTGAACTACCCCATAGATGGTTAAGATACACGGTGTTACGAGAACCGTAATGCCAAGGATACTAAATTACTATACAGAACACGAAAGTAGGTCACTCAGTATAACCCCTGTCCTGGCGGTAAGTTACCGCTCCATGTCTCGACACTAACCTGCCGTGCTGGTAGTAAAATGTGCGGTGTCTGTAGCAATTCCTGTTTTGTGTCCATATAATTGTACATACGGCCGTACCCCCACATACTTTGCGAGACATTAATAGTTTCTTTCAAGAATTCCCTTTACAAAAAGATTTTCGAGCACTTGCGACGCCGCATAGCCTCCTTTCAACCCTTACAGTAACATCTTTAGGCAATCTCAAGCGGCCGTGAACGATCTTCCCTATGATATTAAATCATATATCAACAAAAATCGCTGCAACCTGTGAATCCAACATCATCTTCCCAAGTGAACATGGCGCTACTTACCAACTTCCGCAACGACTTGCAGCAACTGTATCGTCAGTCTGCTTTTTTTGTCACTGATTGGTCTATTTGGATTTGCGGCTGTGCGATCATCGTTGGTTACTTTATCATTCGAATTAGGCGCGCCCGGTTTTCATACCTAGACTTGGTATGTGATGGCAGTTGTCCTAACCGGCACTGGAAGGGAATCACTCTCTTACTGCGATTTGATAGCCTCAACCACCTCACAATGCTGTTTTTGGTCACCTACTTGCGATGGGAGAGGTTGCCCGATCCCTTCCAAAGGATATTTCACCGCACATTATGTTTACTCAGCTACAACATAAATACAACCTTGGGTCGCTCTTTACGGTGGACTTACGCCCGTTTGCCCCGGACAAGACTTTAGTTATTGCAGATCCGATTCTAGCGAAGAAGGTTACACAGGCACCAGTGCTACCGAAACATCCCGTGAATGGAACTATCATTTCTCATGTTGTCGGCCATAAAAGCCTTATACTATCAGAAGGTAAGGAATGGCAGGCAATACGTTCTATCTTTGCACCAGGCTTTGCTCCTAGTAAGATCATTGATCTTGCCGGTGCAATCGTGGACGAAACACTTGTCTTTTGCAATATCTTACGTCAATATGCGCAAACTGGGGAAACATTCAGACTTTGGGATGCTGTAATTAATCTCACCATCGATATCATTGGACAAGCAATCCTTGATGTTAAGCTCAAGTCCCAGACTACCGAGAACGAATTTGTGGTAGCTCTGCGCCATCTCATCTTATCTACACCGAATTTCGGCAGTCTGAACCCATTTGCGAATCTGAACCTGATTCGGCCAGTCATACACTGGTACTATGGACGCAAGGTAGACAATTATCTTTCCAAAGTTATCGATATGCGGATGAAACTCGTGACAGAAACGAAAACCTCAAAGCCTGTTCTGGACTACGCACTGGAAGAAAATGGTCGAAATGGCCGGACAATCATCCCCCAGCACGAGCTGAATCGCGTTGTTCTTGATAATATGCGTTCTTTCATCTTTGCAGGTCATGATACAACAGCTAGCACTATTTCCTACATATATCTTATGATTGAGCGCCACCCGGATGTACTCCGGAAGGTACAACATGAACATGACCAGGTCTTCTCGACAGATTTATCCCAAACGGCACAAAAAATTAAAGAAACCCCCACGCTCTTGAACCAACTTCCCTATACACTTGCTGTGATCAAGGAGGTCCTCCGGTTATACCCTATTGGCCATCCAGCGAAAATTGTTAGTGACGGGTAAGTATCAATCTTGTTTCATGAATATCTAACGTGGATCCTTTTGAATTTTCTGCTGACTCCGATAAAGATATGAACTTACTCATGATGGAACAAAATATACTTTGAAAGGTAGCTACATGATGATGATAGCCACACACACAATGGGACGATCCGCGAACCTCTTTGCGGACCCCGACGAGTTTCGACCCGAACGCTTTCTACCTGGTGCATCAGATTCGATTTCCACCGATGCCTGGCGCCCTTTCGAGAGGGGGCCTCGCAACTGTATAGGTCAAGGGCTAGCATTACTAGAGATGAAAATTGTCATGGTGCTTACATTGCGCGAGTTCAACGTGAGGTCAGCCTTTATAAAGCAGCAGTGTGGAACACCAGATTCCTTGCGAACTATGAACGGTGACCCGGCTTACCAGGTACAAGGCATCGCGGCGAAGCCCAAGGATGGTTTACCGTCCAAGGTTATCGAACGCGTGTTGCCCGTTCACAAGTAGCCTTTCTGATTTATAATCCAGCACTTGAACAAACAGACCTAACTGAGGTCGTCTACGTTATCGGCAATGAGCCACATTTGTCTGCCTGAGATTAACGAAGACCCATCCAACTCTACCATGTAACTCTACCATGAAAGTATCGACTTTTGTCCTGGTGCAAATGAGTGTATTCGAGTACTAAAGTCGGTACTGATCGTCTATTGCGTAACGTGGGCGCTGGAAGATCACTTGCTCTTGTTGGCGAGCCCGAAAGATTATCCCAAGCCCTGAGGATCCTTCATGTAAATGTAAGCTTTCCATTGTGTATTAATCAGTAAATGTTTTCGGAGTGGTCGGGCTGGAGGATTGTTGATATCTAACATATTGATTATGCCGGGTCTAGATCAATCTTGTATCTATGTCTTGAGCGAGACCCGATGATGCAAGCACTGTACATGATTCAATGAGCCTTTTTGGTTCATATACCTTAATTTCCAGCTTAGAGAACTGTTACCTAGCAAGTTCATTAAGCTCACGTTCTTAGGTGGAGTTGGGTTTGCGGTAGGATGATTCTTACTGGCGATATTGTCTATGTGTAGAGCAATATCTCGGAAGGCACTTCTTTTGCTGGAGCAAAAGCCTGGCTTAAACAACAGCCTAAACATAGTCGGGCCATGCCCCGCCGCCGGGGGGGGACGGAAATTTAAGGTTTAAATTCCCCGCCCCCCCCCCCCTCTCTCTACTAAATAATGGAATTTTCCGATCGGCTCTTCGAAATCTTTTAATAAGATAGCCTAATCTAGCTATCTATCAAAAAATATTACTAGATTTCTAGCTCGAAGGGGGTTACCCTACAGGGCCTGGGTTATATGAATTATTTTTTTGATGGGGGATGCTAAGGCCAGGTTTAGCGGGTAGACTATACTACTTTCGGCTATCCTTTCTTAGCCTATCTTAGTAGCCTTAGCAATCTGGCTATCTAGGGCTAACTTAACGTGGTCGGCAAGCGAGCTGCGCAGCCAAAAACACATAGTAAATGCGATAAAATACATCCTAATATCTCAACAACAATAACATATTTCAAAGTCTTATTATAGGCTAATGCTCTACATAGTATGTCTAGCATGTTAATGAGGTCCAGGAGTATTTATAGGCAGCGTGCTTGGGACATATATATTTGGGTTGCTACATTCAGTGTAATTTTTGGTAATATGGTCGACCAGTAATAGGGCAAACTTCAATTTGATAAATAATACTTAGTTCACCGAGAAATGCTAGTACACTAAAAATCAAGTAAGAATATCTTGTGGTTGTTGATATAGCATCTTGCATTTTCTATGTGTTTTTGGCTGCGCAGCTCGCTTACATGCGCAGCTCGCTTGCCGACCACGTTATAGGCCTATTACTACGAAGCCTAATAACTAGCTAACTAGCTATGCTATTCGAATCAAGTTTTTTGTATTAGCTAGGTAGGAAATCTAGCTAGAAGGCTAGTAGGGGAATTGATAGGGACACCGCAGATTTGGCTAGTTAGTTAACGTAATTCCCAGCCGATCTGGACACCCGGCCGTCCTGGACACCCAAAACACCATAGTAAATGCGATATTTTACGACTTGATTTTTCAACACTCAAGGCTTAGCATTAGGTCTAAGTTTATCCTATCACTAGATGTCTCTCTAAAGATATTTATCAGGTTAGTAAGAATTTTAAGGCTTCACACCATTAAGATATATATCGGCATCAGTAGACCAGAGCGTATTTTTGGTAATGTGAGTAAATAATAATTTTTCGCATACCTTAGTTATGCCATGCTATTTCTAAAGCTCAGAAATGCGATACTACAAAAAATCGAACAAAACCATCTTCTCGTTGTTGATATACTGTGACCTAAGAAATTGTATTTTGTATGATGTTTTGGGGTGTCCAGGACGGCCGGGTGTCCAGATCGGCTGGGAATTACGTTAACTAGTTAGTTAGTTAGTAAAAAGCTGCTGTGTCCCTAACAATTCCCCCAACACCGGGAATTGCTATAGACACCACACGTTTTACTAGCGGCACCACACATTATGTAATATCCCGATCACATAATCAACTTTGCCAAGAATCCTTACCATACATTACCGCAGCAACTACATTACTTACGACTATAGCAACTATATTCTATTAACTACTATTATAAGAAGCCCTCTCTTTTTCAATTGATCTTCCTTCATTTCATATTATTTATATACACTATTATACCCTGCAGGAACGGATTGTATGGCCAATTTCTCCGCAATTGGAGCACTTCGAGGGCGCTTTCTTCTTAGTGTTCTTTTGGTCTGATGATTTGTTGTTATCTTGGTTTGATTTCCTTGGTGGCGGCGGTGGTAATGTATGGTAAGGATTCTTGGCAAAGTTGATTATGTGATCGGGATATTACATAATGTGTGGTGCCGCTAGTAAAACGTGTGGTGTCTATAGCAATTCCCCCAACACCCCTTTAATTACATAATATACTGCTGGTCGCAAAACCTCCGCCAAAACTCCATGAACATATAACCTACTACATAACTAACTAATACACACCTAGCGGTCCTAGTAGGGCGTATACCACCCTTCTGATTCGATAATTGCTTGCACCCGATTAGGCATAGTCTTCTGACCGCAATTGCGAGAAAACTATTCTTTGCGTCATTGCTCGCTGTATTCTTCAAGTGATTCGTATCCTATTGTGGTTATTTATTTTCATTTATATCAGTTGCCGGGGAAAGCTGACAGAATAACATACTTTGCACTTTTTCCTCGGAGGAAAAGTATCACAAATGGTCATATCATGTGAAATATCGCGATCGTGTCGAAAACCTGCTGAATGTTATAAAATGTGAGTTTCAATCTATCGGGTCGTCACTGAGGACCCATCGGGAAGGCTACTCGAACCCTGCATTTCGTTCTAAAAAGTCATCCCATGCACTCCGGCTTTTGAGTATGGAACCTCGAGTCTGATTCCGCACTAGCAGTCTCAGTGGATTCCAAAAAATTTGTCATGCGTCGTTTTTCCTTTGGCGGAGTGTTAATCACAGGGCGTCTTACTTGCGCAGTGCGTGGGTTACAGGAATAGCGGGGTTGGATGTGCAACAGAATAGTTCGACTCATTATCCGTCTACAGTCCATTCAACTCACTCCATGCATAATTCTCCTCCTGGCCACACAGACCATAAAAAACTTGCGCGTCTTTAACAGGAGCTCCGTGGTGTTCATGATGACCTGATCTGCAAATTGTTAATTCGATTAGGACACCAATATTCGCTGGCTATACCACCGAATGTATAAAGTGACCAATCGTCCGAGTCTGAGGAGATCAGCTTCGGCAAGGTCAAGATGATTGAGCGCCGCCTGAAATCGCATGTCGATAACGTCGTCGATAGTGCAATGAGCGAGTGTCGTGATCAAATCTACGACGAATGTAAAGCGAACGAAGCCGAACTTCGAGAACAAATTGACGATGGTAACTCCGAGATCCAGAATACAACCAATGAATGTATGAAGGAAACGAAGAGCAGACACAAAGGTACATGCATGAATTAGAAGACCAAGCCCAACGATACATGGACGGTATCGAGGACCACGGAATCGAGGTGGGGTTGTGTGCGGAGGAAAAAATCGCAAAGCTCGAGTGCTGGTTCAATGGTCCTGTCCGGTCCCCAATTGATAGCAAGTCTGGGCCTAGCCATGACCTGGACGCTAATGCCAGACGCAGACTAGGCTTGCTTCTGTCATTCACCGGGTAGATGATTATTGACACCCGGCAGAAGATGCGACAGCCAGCAGCATGTGGAGGCCAACAGGTAGATTCAATATTCTGCATTGATACTAGTAATCCTGTATCAGCCCATGCATTGAGAAGGGAGGCTCATTACCCCAGTTTTGTCTCACGAACGTCGTTTTTTCAATCACCATTCCATCTTGGCTTCTCGACCTGAAGCTGACTTGGGGGCTATCCTGCGCGCGTCGCGTGTTGTGGCCCTCCTCCTTCGACCCTTCCCACGTAGGTGGGTTGGTACTCATTTCCGTAGATTCACTGGATCCCCCTTTTTGTGTTATCCTGTGATACCGTTTGGTCTCTCTGTGGACTCCGAACATCAAACTCAAGACAGACATATACATATGGAAGGTTCCCCAACATGTCCACTTGGGACCTTTCCTGAATTCCTGAGTTAAAAGAGGCAAGCCTAATTCACTCAAGGGTGACATGAACTTACGAGGATTATAGAGGTGGCATGAATATCACGAGGAATACTACTGCACACCAACGCGACGTCCCAATCCATCTCGTTGCTGGGCATGCTGCGTAAACGATGCTTTGCGAAGTGCTTCATCCTGCATTCGCCACACAGGCCGTATCATTTCGAGAAACCGGGGTCCGAAATTATCTTTGATTTTTCCAACGAAATCATCATCGCGCCCATATTGAGTTGAAATCGGTTCTGCGATATTCGTGAACTCTTTGAAAGTCAGATATTTCCAGAGGTCTTTCCAGTATGATATTGATGTTCTCGCAACGGGATGCTCCAAGTTGACATTTTTGGCGATCAGATAGAATGAGGGCTTTATAGCATGTATCCTGGGGTGTTTGTAGAGTTGAACGTCGGAAAACTGGTTGAATGCGTTGAGAATACACACAGTATCCCAAGACTCTGGAGTAGCAACAAGATCGAACCCCTTTGCTTTAGACGGTTCATTGCAAACACCAGTTGCGAAACTGTTAGTCGCGATGACTCACGTTTTTCCCGGTATGGCTCCCCCTGGTGACTTTTGCCAACAACTCCCCCACAGATCACAATGTCGTATAGATTTCCCAAGAACGGCCGCCCCTTCTGGAATTTGCTGTGGTCAGGGTGTTTACTGGAAATATCCTCCTCAAATGCCATTTTCCTTGCATACATCATGATATCGGCATACTCGATATTTTGGCAGACTTCCTTGTCAATGACCTCGAAACCACCGTCTCCAGAAGGAAGCGTAACGGCATCGACGACTGCCCCTGGAAGGTATTTCTTGGCCGTTGCAGAAAAACCACCGGGCGCCATGCAGAGGTCAAGTACATTTGGGCATGTAAATTCCAGTTTGAATATCCTTGTTCTTTTCGCTAACCCATTCCCTACTGCCTGCGTCATTCTGTCGAAGCCGTCTTTTTGTTTTCTGGCTCGGATTCATTGCAGCTCGATCTCGACGCTGAAAAAATCTGTCGCCGGCTTCATTTGACCATCCCTTCACACTATGATTAGGTTTCAGCCTGTAAAAAAGCAAAGACGAGCACACTTGTTCTTTCAAATCTCTTAGTTCTTGATAGAGGCTAAAAAATCTGTCCACCTATGGGGAAAGCCATCCTTCTCTTCGATTTGAGGTCTAGCAATAACGGTGGCTTGGATTGAAAGTGCCGTAGAAGGTTTGCACAATCAGCTCAAAATATTGGAAGAAAACGGTGAGCTAGAGTGGATGTCGAGGGGGCATCAAGCGCGGAATGAGGCTCTGCACGAGATTTAGGTCTTGGCAAACTATCGGGATTAGTGAAGCACCCAATCAGCTTAGACCACATCACATACGTTGTACACCATGACCACGTACACTGTGCAGCTGCATCATACCACCCCCGCTTCACACGTTAGCATGCACAGATTCTATTGAACGATACGCAGAAAGATCCTTGCAAGCATACAGCGATGATGACAACCACGGTAACCAAATCCCAATAAGCATTGACCACGATACCTTACATGGTCGGTGTTGACATGCTGTACGATAATTCACGGATTACCAACCTGGGCTAATGGCTTCATCTGTGTGGTACATAAGATCATTTGCAACCGCCTTAGTATGATGTTGCTTGAATACCAAAAACAGCACCCGAAGAATGAACAATACAAACACTATGGATTCACCAACACACATTATGGATCCGGAAGGGGAAGTAATTCTATGTCTGATCAATGATGATGGTCCATTCGCGGTGTGGGATGACATCTTAGTTCCCCAAAATCCTCCTGAAGAAGATTTGAAATCAATGATTGGTTCTGATAGCAACCATCCAGAAATTCAAGGAGTCGCATTTCCAGGACAGAGAACCTTCGAAGTGGAAATGACTTCAAAAGAGAGGAGGAAAGCAAGGAAGAAGAAGAGTAAAGGAGTCCCTCTCTCTACCTGCGACCAGGCTTCACTTGACTAACCAACCTCCTTGAGAAGAGTTCATTGTAGAGCCTGTGGAAGTCGCCGAGCCTGTTGAAGCAACCGTAGATCTCTCTGCTGACTCGCCGGTTGAGGAGTTAGTCGTCGGCACGATTGACGAATCTGCCGAATCACCCTCTGCAGGGATCTCCCACATCGACGGAGCCATGACAGAGCGGTGCAAGAGTAACGAAGACTTTTCCAAAAAGAATCTCAGAATCCAAGTCTCGGCAAAGCATTTAACACTTGCATCGCCCATTTTCAAGAATATTCTGACGGGTGGTTGGAAAGAGAGCGTCACTCTCTTACAGCAGGGCTCTATGGAGTTGACGACGTCAGGATGGGATCTCGAGGCACTTCTGCTCTTACTGAAAATCATACATTGTCAGCATGACCACATACCTCGGAAGCTCTCTCTCGAAATGCTTGCCAAAATCGCTGTCATAGCAGACTACTATGATTGCAAAAAGATTTTGAGGTTTTTCTTGGATGTGTGGATTGGAAACCTGGCTGAAGTGCCCGAGATATATTGTCGAGACCTCGTCCTCTGGCTATGGGTATCCTGGGTTTTCAAGCTCCCTCGTCAGTTTGAAAGAGCGAGCTCGATATCCATATCACAGAGTAAATATCGGATTAGAGGCTTGGCATTACCGATCCCCAATCATGTACTTGGTGAGAATTCTCAGACCTCCCATATGCCTGATCTAATAGAACGTCAGATGCAATGAATAGCCGGCGAGAACATAGTATCGAAGACCTGGTTCATCTGCTTCACACGCAACATGCGACTTTTCTGAATGACACAAACGGTTGCAGTTTCGAATGCAGGTCAATCATGTATGGTGCTCTCACAAAGCAGATGCAATCAAACGAGCTGCTTTCGCCAATGCCTGTAACTCCTTTTACTGGATTGAGTTATCAAGGACTTGCGCAGAAAGTGCGGTCGTTTAAGTCGCCACAGTGGCGCAGTTCATCTCCAGGTTATCCAAGCTATGGGCCCCACAGTTGCTTCCATTCTACTTTTGAACCCCTTTTTGGTCACCTACATGACAGGATTGGAGGCCTTGCGCTCGATGATGATAATCTAGACGTACAGGCGTAAATTCCGCTTTCATTGTTTATTTTCCGGATTTCCTCTAGCAATAGAGAATTATGAACAGCCGCGCAGCCCAATTCAGGTTATTCCATTTAGCATCGTGTTTCTTTTTTACTAAAGCGGGGGGCGTTTGTAAAACCGTAAGACTAGATAAGTAGTGGCCTACGGGAGAAATCACCTCAGTCTCACTGGGCGGAAACAAAATATTTGCGTAGAATTGCCTTTCATGCCTGTTCCTGTACTTCTCAAGCCCTGCCGCCTCAATCACGGGTAATACTCGTCCACGGGACAGGGGTGGGAGATCTAAAGTTCGCCAAGTAGCTTCGTCCTTTTCCTTGAATGGGATTGTTTCTGGCTTCTCGGTGGCTATACAGCTCTTTTTTTTTCTCTTGATCGAACGGGACGTTTCTTGTGTTCCGGTGGCAGTGGCGTTCCTGCCTAATCCGAGGTATGGCCATTAAAACATGGTATTGATTCCTTCCGTTTTGGGACGATGATGACGTGAGGGAAAAAAGCGGCCAAATTCTGACCGTCTGCGAAACATGGTTAGCAGGCCAGCCTGTCCTATATAACGAGTTTAGTCTCACTATCCTCCTTGCATTGAAAATGCCCTTTGTGTTTCATAAATGGATCAGTTTTTCTCTATGTTCAAGAACAAAAAATTTTGATATGTAAGCTATGCGCTTATGCAATCCCACCAACACTCCTACACATTTGAAAGGCCACCGGAACCAATGGCCAGGTGTAGAAAACGCTGGGGATATATTAATACTGGAACAGAAGCTAAGAGAGCTTCCTTTGGTCGATCCATCGAAAGACATAGTGAAGGTTCCTTTACCAGATGCGACAGCCTTGCCATACTTAGCAGTTCAGGAGGGTCTTTAATGCAAAAAATGCGGCTATATCGTCTGCGCCAAGGCTCGGACCCAAAAGCATATCTAGAGTCACTGGTCGGTAGAATACCCGCGCGGTCGACTTCGCAAAATAGCGGAGAGTATAAAAGACTCTGAGGATGCTGGCCAACGTCTATGGGAGAGGGTCCCTTGCCAGCGCCTTTTTGACTCAGGCCCCAGAGGCGGTTCTTTCGAGTGGCTCCGCCTCTTGAGCCTACAACTAATCTGGTCGATATCATTCACGCCTAAGTCGACGAGCAGATCCAGCAGTGTGAGCAGAAGGAGAACTAGTACTGCCAAAAAGTCCCGGAGAGGGCGGAGAACAAGATTACATTATAAGTACGATCCCAAAATCTCCCTGAGCTCAAGAGCAAAAGGATAGACAGGTGTTATAAAGAACATGTAGTTGCTGTTGGGGCGGGTAGACGCAAGCATCGGTTACAATCACAGTTGTGTGGTCGGGCAATTATTGGACTGCTGGCGCTGCAAATTCCGCCAAAATCCGAGCGCGTCTATCACGTGCGACTGTTCTCTGATGCATTGTTATGGCAAAGTTGCGCGCTTCCGTATCGCGATACCTAATCAAGTCCCTAATGTGGACATGTCCAGCTGAGGACCAGGTAGCCTTGTTATCAAGATGGATTCTGCGACGCATCGACCTCGGTCTGACATTTTCTTTCGCCGGCTGAGTAATCACTTCTGTGGCCGCTTAGTTAACTAGCCAGTCAAAGACACGGGAACAAGTTTACCCGTATTCAAATTAGGGGCCTCTGAGAGCATCCAACCTTCCGTTTTTCTTCAAACAAGGGAGGCTCAAACGCCTCAAACCCACTCAAGATGCCCACTAATAACGAGGACGTCAATGAGCCTTCTCCGACCACTTGTGACAAGTCGGACGACTTTATCACCTACAGCCATGATAAGGTGCTTCGACCTCTCCGGTTTGCCGACATCTCATTTTCCGAACTCTCATCTGAACTGGAAGGTTACCTGTCAGTGTTAGATGGCGGAGCCAGTATTACTTTCAACCGTGGAGAGGAGTTGTCCAGCATCCGCTTGAGCGAGATATTAGAGACCTTTTTCAGAAACCCAACCCCCACCGTGCACGAGGGACCTCCATTGACATGGACGGCGATCGTCCTCCACGCCGGCCCTGATTTTTGAGGGCGCCCCAACGCTCAGGATTGGACAGTCCTTGGTTGAACTTGCAAAAGATGATCTTGAACTGCTTAGGTCGGGGAGACCCTGGCGGTTTTTGAACCCCTGGCCTTATAAAGGCGATTGCAAAAAAGAACTTCAGTCTAGTGAGATGGCAATACAGGAGATCAATGAAACCCGGCAGACTATGCATCAAGGTATCTAATTCACATTCTTGTCTCTTGAATGGCACATGACATGCTAAACCGGGTGAGGTCAGTCTTGAATAATATGGCGGTCGTTGAGCAACGCCTCACGAATCATCGCAATGTCGTGGCTCGACTGTTTGAAGATCAACATCCTTCTACTCTTCAAGAATAAATTCCGGAACAAGTTGTTGCACGAGACGTTTCACTTGAAGGATGCGCCCGCTATGCCAGCGTTTCGAAAGAAAACGCCTCAAGTGAAAGAGATCGACCTCCCACCCGTGCAGACATTCATGAGTCTAGCCGTGGTCAAACTGCGCGACCGAAAATTAACGAACCGAACCAAGATAGGCTAACAGATAGCTCCACTGTAGGAAATATCTTGCAAAAAGAGAGTCCGCAGCCAAGTGGAAGAATGAGTTGGAATGAAGGAAGGTGTGGATGAAAAGAAGTTGGTGGTGAAAGCGGCAAATAAAAGCGGTTGCGCAGTTGAAAGACCCGCCACGTGAGGCTCTCTCTCGATGGCCTGGGAATTTCACCGACTCCCACTGGCCTGCAATTCGGGGCAAAAGTCAGTCCAATTCCATCTGCGTGGTACATTCCACGCTCGCTCAGTGGACTAGGCACCCTGTCTGAAGAGTTGCCCTCGGGTTGCACCGTGGCAAATCGACGGTGCGCTGTGGCTGAGTTCTGCTTCTACTGTCGTCCCAGTCCTCCACTAGTGCGTCTGCAGCAGACTATGTGGATATGTGGATGCCGATGTGCAGAGTATTCTTTGTTTACTTCCTCCTACTCACCGTGGATGCTTGATAGACTTGGTCCACGGGTCGACTCTGGGCTTCCCGGGCGGCTTTCCATGGAAACCGGGCTGATTCACACGGTTTGTCTGGGTCTGGTGGGCCAGCGCCCAATACAAGGCCCGATTTGTCAACCTTGCCCATTGATCCTCAAATATGATGCATCCATCAAGGCGCACTACGGTTGCCCGATTCTCATCAAAGACCACGTTCCTTTGTTCATGGCTATAAGTCTGCGGCCTGCGCCCCTTCATCAAAGAATGTGTCGTCGACAACGGTCAGCAGGAAACGCTGCGCCTGATCTCTCGGGTGCCTAACCCGTCTTTGGGTTGGGCCTTGGGAATTTGGGTGATAAAGCTATGATGATCTTTCTGATTAAGGTTACCATGATGAGCTCTGGTTGAGGATAGTACTCCTGGTAACAGGGAATCCAAGCTAATAACTAACCTACGCTACGATGGAATTCAGAACCCTCCACACGGCTGTCACTGTGGGGGTTGTCGTGATGACGTCAATGGCTCCCTCAACGCGCTTGCTTTGTTTGGCCCGCCGCTTCAGCTGGGAAAATTGTGAACTCAACCGATCAAATCATCCTATCATACTGAACCAAACGGAAATAGGGCTTTTTGATTCTCATTAAAGAGCTCGACGGGCCGATCGTACGAAGATGGCGAAACCACTCTGAGGAAATCGCTTCGGCCGGGTGATTGGTGCTTGACGGGCACATCCTAGGCTTGACTCTTTGGTGATACGTGTAACAGCTCGAGATGAGGCGTCCTTGTTCGAGTGTGTGACTCGAGCGATTTGAATTTGACGTTGGTTGTAACTCGCTGCGCATATGTTGTGTAACCCAATACTAGACAAGGCAGTGCCGGACAGGACATTGCCCTCGTTATACAAGGGGCAATCAGAAGATTAGACATCTGGAGGCGGAATCGAACCTCCTCGATCAACCGAAACTAAATGAACAAATTTGGTACATAAATGGTTCCATTATGATCTGAAATACCCATGTTTCCGTTGGTTTGAAGCGCACGACTAATGTATCCCACCATCTTGTGTACCTGTTCCAGACTACTCCATCGATAAGGCTATTGAGGGCGGCAATATATCTTCCACTGGTGGTCTATCTTTGGAAGAGAGTCTCTTTATCATTCACGCTACATTTGACGGGAGTGAGAAGTAATTGGGAATGATAGGGTAAAGTCCTCTAGTCGATAATTGACTTAATAAACTGGCCAACGGCTTCAGTAGCGGGAGATTCAAAGTGTCCATTTCCAAAATTAACGGAGACCAACCATCGGGATGAGGCTCTGCTGTACGATTAGGGGGCTGTAAGACGCTGTGGCTTTATACAACGGATTAGCACACAGTCTTCAACGAGCAATGGTGCTGGCCACATTTCGCCCCAAATGCTAGGATGTATAGAAAAAGAAAAAGAAAAAACCTATCATACGTCGCAGCTGGAGATCCTTTTGTTATCATCAAAGGTCATTAGTTCGATCTATAGATATAAATAACAATTCAAGAAAAGACAGACATTATATCAACCGATGTAACTCCACCGAGAAAACCAATTGTCCAAGAAATTCACCAAAAACTCCGCTCCAGCATAGTGCCGGCCTCCATGTTCAGTTGAATAACATCTGGTTCAAAAGTTGAAAGTCCCCCAAATCATTTCAAATCCTTCGCTCCCTTGGACTCTGCCTCTCACTTCATCTTTATCACATCTTGATCACTGACTGCGCTTCCGCTTCAGTTGTACCCAGATAATAACCGCACAATAAAACAACCAAACAACCTCAGCCACAACGCTATACCCAATGATAGCGCCTCGAGGGGCGATGGCCAGTTGAAGCCCCAGCCCACCATTGAGGATTCCCAAAAGAATCATAATTCGTCCAAACCACCGATGAACATAGGCAAAGATGCCCTTCCCTCCAGTCTTGCGATAGGAGCGATGTTGCAGTAGGCCCATGGCCGGCTGGAACACAGTAAGACCTAAAACGACCACAAGCCCTATAATCGGGTGGTGGTTGTTCAACAACTGGACTTCCCTGGCCATAGACACCCCGAGCCCGAGCCCGACCAAGGCCACAATCAGCGAGAGCATTTGAAGCAATCCGTGAACGGTGGCCGTCCTTGACGATGGGAAGAAGTGAAGCGTCAGCGCGAAGAAGGGGAGCATGATTACGAACACAATGCTCATCATTATGCCATGGGCCGTCCTCTTCTTGTTGAAAAAGGAGTTTCCATCTACAGCAGTAGCTGTGGTAATTGTCGCAGAGGAGCCGGACAATTGGAGGAAAGGATTATCAGAACTCCCTCCCGTGGCTTTCACCAAATCAATAGAGACCGCGCCCGAGTCGTCATGTTGAGTGAGTTCCGCAGAGACATCGCCCGAATTGAGCGGCGAGCCGTATTTCACAGACCAGATCCAGCCGCTCGAGGCGCTTGTCACGTCTGCGCTTCCTCCGGGCCAGGTAATACAGCTGTCGCATCGTATATTGGCGGTTATCGCACCATCGGCGGAGACTCCGCTCCCATCCAAAAGTGAGACCCGGGCAGCGCTATTGTACAGTGGCTCGATTTCGCCCACCCCCAGCCGCGGCGAGACCGTCACGTTGTTGCCGTTGGGGTACACAATGAACATATTCCCGCCCACCATGCGCGTGCCTTGGCCTAGGGCGAACCATCGCACTTGGTTTGTAGCGCTTGATTTTAACTGGAAATATATCGATCCCGAACCAGACTGTGCGGTGCTCTGAGGAATATTGATGCTGTGGGTAAGATCATCGTGGCCAGGGGGATGAAAACTCTGAAGTCGAGCAAGGCTGGTCGCAGCCCAAGCTAGCCAGCAGAGGTGCAACATGGCCATGCTGTGGAAGCGACCGAATGGCGATGTGAGCAATGTGGGATTTCTCACGGCGTAAATAGAGTGAGCTTATGTGGAGAAACGATTTCAACGAAAATAATCGATCATCTCTCGTCAGGAAGAACGTGCGTCGATCATCCAAGTAATCATCAGTCATTGAGTTTTCGTTTTCGTGTCAGCAGCGGGCCAGGCACCATATCTGGCATGGAGAGAGGGGGGGCCACTTTGAAGGGCAACCGCCCCAGTAAATGTACGGCCTCATTTTCGTATCCGTTGATATCATCGACAGATCTGATCCTTGGCTCTGGGTATCTTTGTTCCTGCGATCTGCGACCGAGATGAACGCACAGCCTCGGGGGTACGGGGTCAGTCTTAAAGCAGCAATACACGAACTGCCGCATTGAGCAGGGTCCTTGGCATTCATCCCTGACTTTGGTGGTTCCGCGGGCGATCCTCGAGAGCAGGGTAAATGATATCACACACACACACACACTCCTGTACTTCCACGGAGACTTTCCGTGGTCACTAAAAATAGGTATCGTGGTTTTAAACCACCAGAATCATATGACCGTAGTCTTAAAACTACTGTGGTTTAAATACTTCCATGGAGACTCTGGTGTCAAATAGGTGAGCTTCTGGGGCCCCCATAGCTTTAGGGAGACCGTTTTCCGGCCTGTGTGGTCTCCTGGCTGAGGGCGACCCCATCTCCAGTGCCTGAAGGCCCCTAGTGAAATAAATCCTGGAATTGTGTCCAGAAGGGCTTTGGGTCTAGAGATGTGGATCCATAGTGCTTTGGCTTCAGGCCCCGTGATCTAGAGCAGTTGATTTGAGGCTTCGTTCCCAAGGCCGCGGACGCGGATCCACTTTGGACGTACGTCCACAGCTCCCGGCCTACCACAGCTTTCAATCCGTCAACTGGCGGCTTATACGGCCAAGTAGCCGTGAGGGCCACAGATCTGCAGACTACAGTCTATACAAGCTACAAATCTCTGGATTCAGGGCTCAAGAAGGATACATTGTTCAAGTCTGATGCATGCGTTTCGCCGGCCGATAATAATCATCATCGCGGTCGGCTTGGAGTGCCCTTGTGATAGATTCTACCGTCTCCTCACTTACAACCAGATCATCCCCGAAGGTCATAAAAACCGTGTTCGTGCCATCCTCAATCGCTGCCTCGAAGCACTGCCGTCATCTTGTTCGCTTGCATGCTCTTCCATGTTGGCATCTTCCAGGGACTCCCTCCCAGCTATACTCTCTTCACTCCCTCGTCGTGGCTGCTCGTCCTCAAATCCTAACTCAGCATGACCTTCCGATTCTTCATTTGCACTGAAACTTGGCTCCTCCCGAATGGGTTCAAGGTGCTCGAGTTCATCTGCTACAGACGGTTCCATGTCAGGAAGACTCTGCTCATTTTCACCCATTATACTGTCACTTCCAGATGACCCGAACTCAGTCTCGACCGGCGGCTCCAATGCCTCTTCCACACCGCTACCATCCGAATGAGTGCGCTCGATTTCCATATCAGACTCGGGAGGCAACATTGACAAGTTTCTGGAAGGAGATACTGAATCATGGTCGGAATGTGAAGATTGGTGCCTTCGTTGCTCTCGTTGTTGTCGTCTCTCTAACTTCTTCGCTCGCTTCTGCTGTCGTCGCTCTCGGTGAGCATCTTTCAAGCATTGCTGATCTAAATTGCTTTCCCATTCGGCTATCTCATTTCGTGGCGAATGATTACTCGGGACAAAAAGCGGAGACATTGGCAAGTCAGTATTTGGGGATGCGCCCGTTGTGTCGCCATTCACGCTCGGCATTGACAACTTGCTGAAAAAAGTGAAGTAGACACTGCTCCTCACCAAAATGGAAGTCACCTTCCGTTCATGTTTGATGGAGTCACCTTCCGTTCATGTTTGATGGAGTCACCGTGGATTCGGTCAATGAAAAGAAACGGGCAATCTTGCATTTGTGCATCGGTTTGCGAACGTCCACATCGAGACTCCTTTTTGGCCTCTCTTCCACCAATGCTTCGCACTGGAAGCTGATGGTCAAGCGGGATAGCCCTCAAGAAGCACTCGGTGACTTTGTTGATCAGAGACTCAATTTCTTCCTCGTTGTACCGGTAACGATCTGGCTGACGGGCTCTCAACAGATGATCTTTCTGACTCCGTGAAATTTGAAAAGATTTCGCCGCTGTGTACGAAACCTTTCACAGCGGTTCTATCCTTCGAGGAGACTCCAGGTGCCAGAAGTTGAAGTGTTTCCACGGTATGCATGTCAATTCTAAGCATTTTAGCACGATTATGTCCCACAAGTGAAGACCAGAATTGTAGCAGCTGAGTTGGTGCATGAACTATCTCCTACGGCCAGAATCAGCATCCCTTTTGTCTTGAGAGTCGGATGATCCTACCTCGTCGCAGCCAATTGCAAGAGCCTGGGGAAGAGACCCAACTTGCATTCCGTGTATCAGCAACGAGGGCAAGGCGAGTAACGAATCAAAAGCAGCTCGAACGGTCGGATGAGACTCTAGTCCACGAAGCCGCCTTGCTTTGTTGTCTGACAGCCGCGACAACTATCGATTCTCGAAGTGTGCATTTGCTTGATTTCGATATTGGCGGACTTTAACGTAAATTTCACCATCGCTTGGAACCCTCTCGTTGCAATATTCGTCAACGAGGCTAGCTTGGAGATCCGGACTAATGTCTTTGGGCTGTCAAGAGGGGTTTGGTATGGAAGAGGATGTGGTAAGATGTCTGGCTTACCATCCAAATACAGGTCAACGGCCCACCACTGGTCGATCGATGGTAAAAACTGTTCTCCGGCCTTTAATCGATGTTGGCCATGAAGGCATTCTATAGAACCAGCGGGAAAATGGAGATGTGGAAAGCGACTCGGTTGATCGGTCAGCAGGTCAGCGGTGGTTACTCCTGCTGCTTGAAGAGCCTCATGGAGATGCTGAATTGACACAACAGCGCTCACATAGTTGTCGCTATCGAGTCTCCGACAACCTTCTTTGTCAAAAATTCCACAGAGCCTCTCTACATTCTTCTCACTTATATGTTGCGAGACAGACGGAGGGACAGTGATCTGACTGATATTTATCTTGGCTGTCCCTTGGTATTTCCGACACCTTTCGTTCAGGGTTCGCAGCTCGGGATCTGCGTATATAAATTCTACCATGGCTGTTCATGAAGCACAATTGAGAATTCTCGGAAAACGCGAATGTTATTTATGTCCAACAGGTCTTAGCTCACGGAAGTGAGGTCCCACTTATTTTCTGCTGACTCAGCGTCCTGGTGACCAATGTAGTTAAACATGATTCATTTTATTGATGGAACGGCAATATATAGTGCCCTCTGCGTCTCCAAATGCCCTACCTTTCTACCCTTTTTTTTTTTTTTTCCTTTTTGAACCTCTAAAGTAACTACAAATATGTCGAGACAAGACAAACACTGTACAAAGATTGACTTCACGAGCTACCAAGAACTGTCAGCGAACAGTCCATCACGAGAGGCGGCCTCGAGCAAACATACGCTGCCTCATGTGCCCCCACAATTGAACCGTAATCCCAACTCGAAAAAAAGAGATATATCTCCCCAGAGCGAAAGTGCACGAAAGTAGTGAGAGGAAGCCCCAAAAGCTTACAGAGATATATATATTTAAGTCTTAAATGTCAAAAATACGCGGTATTTAATGGTAAGCTAATAAAATAGTCCTAGAAATAATTCAAGATTTGAAGATATTGTTCTTTAAGCCTAGGAGAGCTTATATTCTAGAATGATATGACCGAGATTGATGGTCAGAACTCCTCAAAACCATGACAAAATGACGGCGATAAGTGGTGCATACATAGTGAAAAGGAGGTAGAATACTAGGCGGATCTTGCGTTCGCTCTAGTCAAGTTTCCTCAAAGTCTAAGCATTTTGCCCTAAATTCGCTCCGCAACATGTAACTAACCCCATCGTCCTGTTCCTCCTGGGTAGCTCTTGGGTTGGATAAAATAGAGTCAAAGTAGTTAGTGCAAGCCTAGAAATGTATAAAACCCTACAGTAGTCAAGCTCAGGAAAAGTAAACGTACGGTTCTTTCTTCTCGAAACACGGATATAACGATTTATTTGACTGGGAGCACTATCGAAAATTCAGGGAGAGATGTATTCTGAGGCGATTTTTCAACTGGCTACATCCGCAATAGCATCTTTCTGCTGTGGGCTGCCGCGGTTTTGGGTCTGATCACATCTATTCCGCTCCTACTGTTTGAATTGAGGTGGACGAAAAGTGAAAAATCCAACGTCCCTATTCCAGGCCTGTCTTGGCCAATACTACAGCAGGAGATTGGCAGTGTATTTCTTTTACTGAGTAAGCAGAACCAAACTACAGAAGACTCGGACTCCGCACTCGGCCGACGACACATAGGGAAGCGGATATGACGTAATGGGAGGCGGAAGCGGAAACCAAAGCAGACAGAGAGAAATTGCGACGATATCAGTGCCTTTCTGCCCACCCACCGCTTTCGCTTGTGCGAGGATAGGAGGACTATTTTACCTCTATCTTCCCACTGGCTTGCTCATTATCGTGTTTCTTATCCTGTTATCCTGTTATGCTATCTTGTTATTTTGTAATCTGTACTATTTCTTATGTTAACGTGTTAGGGGATTTGTTAACATGTTATACAGGTTGCCCATGTATGGCTGGCCGGGACAATGTTGACGCCTCGGCGGACGACTCCGGGTACAGCTCTAGATTCGACGGCATTCTGTTACAGTATGGAGAAAAGCTCCAGGGGCTACACAACAACATCCTGTAGGTTTTAGTATGCCATACTCATGGTTTTAATACGCATGCCATGCATGTAAATCAGATAGTAGTAGAATGGCTATAGTGCTGAATACACCCACACTCGCACTTGCAAGAAGCAAACTGTTCTGTAGGCCGGCAGCGCATCGAACGGAAGTGATTCGTAGGCTCGCGAGCTATCTGCCATATCGCCTAGTATCACGTACGTTAGGAGGCGTAAGATAAAGAGATAGATGAATAAAGAATGCAAGATAAAAACATGGAAATATGCATTGATGGTGACCTGCATTCTTGCTCTTCTGGCAGGTTGCTACAAAGCACCTACTTGTAATCACGTCGCTAGGCCGACATCTCAATACAAGAGACTCCATACTATATTCCTAAACCCAGAAACAGTTCTTCCTTGATAACCTTTAAAAGCATCATTACCTCCTCCTTTCCGTAAAATGCTTCGTTGAAAGATCCACTGAGTACAATTTGGCCGGCCCAAGACCACAGAAATGCTTCGATCTCCGGAGTCTGCATAGTATCCGCTAACCATACGTCCTCAATCTTCCATTCAGAGCCAAATGAGCTGCTCAGAAATCTGTCCATAATCCCAATGCTAGACAACACTGGAGTACTGCTCAGTTGCGGTCCTGCAGCGAACGAGTCTGTGACTAGCTCTCCAAATATTGGAAGCAGGCCGATATTCACAGACTCAGTCTTGAAGCCAGCCTGGTATTGTTCATGGACCTCCAGGCATATGCCGTCAAATGATTTTCCTTCAGCAGTGACATGAAAGGGAATCCCGGTGTGGTAGCAAGAAACAGGCTGCTCTTGTGCGTTAAATGATGTTGGGAAGTATGGCCGCAAGTCAAAGCTCGTGAAACTCGTATAGGAGGTTCCTATCTCGCCTGCAGTAGCTTGAATGTTCCTGACAGCAAATATCAGGGCGGCATGCCAGGCAGATGTCACACTAAAGTGTCTTTGCTTGCATACGCGAATGACTGCATTGGTCTCCTCGATTGAGAGCTTCAATTCTTGTCGGGAAGTGCCTGCTGGAGATCCTCCCATATTTTTGACCGGCATCATAATCGGTTTATCCTGCAAATATCGTTCAAGAAGCAGTACAGCATTCTTTCTGTCGCGTTCAGTCGAATCACCAAGCCCAAGTAATTCGTCTTCAGTCAATGGCAGTCGGGAAGCTTCACTCGTGAGGTTGAAGTCACCTGGATTTGTGAGTGCACTGAAAAACGCATTATATAGTAAAAGCATTCCCCTCCCATCCATAAATGTATGAGCGGTAGTAATCATGAGTTCCTTCGACGATGGGAAGCAGTGTAGTGTAATGAAAGGTGCCAGAACAAGTTCCCTCAATATCTGATTGGCAGATTGGTCTCGGTGAATTTTGAACGATGAAGCAAGCCATTTCGTTAATGTGTCGTCATTAACAGCCCGGTATACCTTTTTGTGGCCAACCACTTGGCTTGCAAGAGCCGGGTATTTATAGCGCATTTCTACCCAGGCACTGCGGAAGGCATCCTCAAGGTGAAGTGACGGACCGCTATAATTGTACTTGACGGCACTCGCAATCATCCAATGCATTGGGTGGCCTTGAGAAGGTGTAAGTGAAGCGTAGAACTTGGTCATAAATCCGAGCTCTTGCTCCCAGACGCCATTTCTTAACTTCCAAGCTTGTTCATTCGCCATTATGAGCAAAATTAAAGCGGTTCTCCGCGTGAGATCCCTGGCTGTTTAAATGAAGACGGAGAACGGAACACGACTACTGCAGGCGTCGTGGTTGTCGATGTAAAGAAGCAGAACGAACAATTAAAAAGCTGACATAGATGGCAGAGTATGGGAAGGCAAGTTTCCAAATTTATGTCTCAAGTTGGCAAAATATTGCGGCTTTAAATATGCTGCAGAAGTTGCATGCTCCACCTTCGCGGAGAAAGTCCTCTCGAGAACGACGGGCTGTGTAGTGATAGTTAAGCATATTCAATACGGCGAGTCTGACAGGCTTCCCTTTAAGTGGAAATGAATGGGACATTAACCAATCAGAAACGAGCATGTTAAATCCGGTGTCCTGAGTCCTAAAATTAGTGGGAACCGTTGGCACTAGGATATCGTACGCCCACTGAGTAGTGGAGAGAGATTTAGTACGAATGAGACAACTAAGCCCTTTTTTGGTTCCGCTTCCGATGTTATCCGAGCGGAGGTAGCTTCCGTCCACAGACGTAGACCACTATTCACTACAAAGTGGTGAAATTGTAGTTATTACTTACTGTACCATACGTCCGACTTCTGAAGGATGAAACCGTCATTGAAACGTGAGTGATAGGGTAAGTTATCAGCATCGTGTCCTTAAAGACCCTAGCCCGCGCCATATCTACTGCCACTAAGACAGTAAGGTACCCAGACAAGCTCATCTGCAGAATGCCATGGAGAAAAAGGCTCAGGTATATCTCGTTGGGGTTCACATCCGCGTCTCAGTCTCCAATTAGGCACATCACAACCCCGCAAATAAGAAGCTCCAGCGTTAACACGGCCTGCTTACGTTTTGTGTTACGAATCCTCCAACTAACCAGGCACTCGTCAGCTTTGAGCCGGGCTGTACGGAAGTTCCTCAGCTTGGACAATGTATGTATAACCGGCCCCTTACAAATATTACATATTTTACGGACCCTCGCGGAGCGAGGGTCCCCACCCAAACGATATCGCGTTTTCCCATAGTAAACACCCCTTTTCTACACGCGATTTCTCGCCACAACCATGCCTAAATTGAATGAATCGAACGAATCTATCGAATCTCGCATCCAATTGGCCATTCTTGAATTAGAGAATGTTGATAAGCCTAATATTAAAGCGTGGGCGCGCACTAAAATCCTGCCGTACCAGCGGCTTCTTGCGCGTTACAAGGGTCGCACATCGCTCTCTGAACGGCTACCTAACGGTCGTAAATTGGATGAATCGCAAGAATCTGCCCTTTGCCGGTATATCGATTTCCTCGATTCGGTCTTCTTTCCTCCTAAGCGACCGGTAATCGCGGCTGCTGCCAATGCAATTCTAGCCAGTGGCCATATTGGTACAACTAAACCACCTACAATCGGCGACCACTGGCTAAGACGCTTCCTCCAACGTCATCCCGAGTATCTCTCTCGTCGTCAGCGAGCTATGGATATAGAGAGAAAGAAGTGCCTAGATAGGCAGGTTGCAAGAGAGTGGTTCAATTCCTGCCAGGAGACGATTGCCCAATACGGAATTACTGCGGACGATATATGGAACTTCGATGAGACCGGTTTCAATATCGGCGTAGGTAAAGACCAGTGGATTATTACCCGCGAACCTAAGCGCCAAATCTCTGGCGGTTTCAGTACTAATCGCGAGTATGCAACTGCTATTGAAGCGGTCTCAGCCACTGGTTCTACTATCGCTCCCGTAGTAATCCTTAGCGCTATGGTCCTTCTACAGCGGTGGTTTGAGATAGTAGGCGATGAGAGAATTGCCGTGACCGAAACTGGCTATCTTAATAACGCCCTTGCCCTACAGTGGATACAGCTATTCAATAAGCTTACCAAGGATTCGGCTAAGGGGACGCATCGTCTACTAGAATGTGACCAATTCGGCTCGCATCTTACATACGAATTCGTCAAATACTGTGAGGATAATAAGATTATCCTCTTCTTTCTACCGCCTCACTCAAGCCATATCCTTCAACCACTAGATGTTGGTGTATTTAGTGCATATAAGCACTGGCACAGTGAATGGGTATACGATGCTACCGTCAGCGGCTATGAGAAGATTACCAAGGATGATTTCCTTGGTGCGATCGCGCAGATTCGGCAGAAGACCTTCAAAACTTCTACAATTAAGCTTGGCTTTCGATTGACAGGCCTATGGCCAATCAATCCGAATATAGTCCTCGAGGACTTAGTCGATTCGGTCGAGGAGGATTTCGGCTTTAATACACCAAGTCCGCCGTCATCAATTGCTAGCGGTGGCCAAGATTCGTCAGATCTTAGTACACCAAAGACTGCTGAGCGTGTAAAGAGGCTAGAAGAGAGGCTGGAGGATAAGATTACTCGTATGCAACAATCGCCCTCTCGTCGCCTACTTAGAAAGATGGCAAAAGCTGCGACCGAATTCGCATATCTTATTGAGGAGCTGCAGCAGAATATCGAGAATTCGAATTACCTGCGAGAGATCCGATACGCTCGCGAGAATCGGTCGCGAAAGGCTTCCAAATTGACTGGGATAGTGCATTCTAGCCAGGTTGAACGTATGAAGCGAATTCTAAAGAGTGGTGATGACCTGAAGGCTATCATGAAGTTACGGCCATATTTCAAGAGAGAGGTCTTGCCGGAGTTGAAGGGGTTTGCAAGAAGAAGGGCTATTTCATTAAAAAGTAGCATCGCTTTCTGTATTGGCCAATCAGATGGCTGCATTTCGGTATATTAATTATCTTCTAAATCGCACTGCTTTGGTGGTTTAAATTGCATTGAAACTAGGTGGTTGAATTGTATGGAGATCCGATATCGTTTGGGTGGCGGACCCTCGCGGAGCGAGGGTCCGTAAAATATGTAATATTTGTAAGGGGCCGGTTAAGTAGTGTGAATTGGTGAAAACGGCCCTTCCGGTAGCAAAGGCCTTTCCGGTGTAGCGCACCCAGGGAAGCAAGCGGTGTGGGTGGGCCGAAGGGCACGAATAATCACTAGCCAGGTTGTGGTATACGGCCGTAGCCTAGCGACATTTGTGACTCACACCGATTAGGGGCTGCAATACGGCTGTATCCTAGCATGTTCCAGGATATTTATTTTGCCGGATATAGAAATACTTTCCAAAGGCCGCAGAGTAGCTAATATTCCAATTCGGCCCCTACTGGACAGTTTCGTTGGATTCCACCATTCCAGCTTTGTTTATTTCATTATAAATTCAGTGCCTAAAATTTGAGTTTCCCAGGCAGTGGTAGCATCATACGCAGCGAAAGAGTGATTACATCATGCTTCCAAATCAGAAAATAACGGAGGCATTAGAAGGGGGATGCCTCTGTGGCTTGATCCGATATCGAGTTGCCCGGCATGATAATAAGCAACTCTTAAAGGCAAGCCAGGCACCCTTAGTTATACCAAACCCCTTAGCACTATTTCTGACACATTTAGCGTTCAATTAGATCGTGATATGTCATTGCAGAGATTGCAAGCGAAATACTGGCTCGGCATTTTCAACCAATATTCTGGTCCCAAGGCTGTCCCACACATTCTGTGGCTCTCCAACGGTGTTTAGTCGCCGCAATGAAGAAGGCCAGCTGATACTACAATATATGTCATCACTGTGGGAGTACCCTGGCAGCGGAATCACCGAAATACCCTGGACTTAGAGTGGTGAAATATGGCACATTGGATTCTAGCGATGGCCTCGGCGTGCTAGACGCACAGATATTCTGTTCATCGGAGGAAAGTTGGCTTAAAAGATTGAATGATGATTCGATGGAAAAGTTCAGTGGGAAGTTTGAGAAGTGATATTTCTTAACATATAGAACAGTAATTTTATCTTAGAATCAAGTGCGATATTATGAAATGTTCCTGCTAAGGAAGAACGTAGTTCCAGAGGTTTGTGAGAAACCCGAGTTTGATCTCTAGGGTTGATTCTCGTGGCACTACCCTACCTTCCCTTTTGATGGTCAATTTAGATTGAACGGAGGTCTCGTCCATAGCGATGGTCTCTGTTGAGAGAGACAATGAGTTCAAAATGTTTGCAAGGTTGTCCCCTGTCGACTCATCATCCTTTACAACAGGCTTCAAATCACCAACACATCCGTCTGTCTCATGGCGCACGAGAAAACTCACACCACCGAGATCGGTAGGAAATTATGCGATGGTGCCCAGTGCTGTCTCTAACCTGAGGGATGGTGTATGCTTTCTCGAATTCATGACCAAAGCCCCGGAATTCGCCCGGCCCAATTACTTCATAGGTAGCGGTCTCGTCACGACAGAATATCGCAGTCTGAGCGGCCATATCCACCTGGATGGTGAATGGATCGAGTCCATTTTTGGTCAAAGTGGGCTTGATAAACGATAGAAGCTTGCGAATGTTGTTTCGGTCGGTCACGACGTCAATTGAGCTGATGTCGAACAAAGGCTGCTCGATATAAAGGGAGCGGAATAACGGCTCTAGAGGGCTATCAGGATGACGAGCAACATTCTGAGCAATATAAACAAGGCCGCTATCTTTCTTCACGCGTCGTGGCCCTTGAGGAGCAGACCATCGAGCTGGACTGCCTGGGACAGCGATGGTGGGTGTGGATGCTTCGACCCAGTTATAAGAAGCCAGGTGCTTCACATCAGTAATGATTGCTTTTGCTGGAGCAAAGGAGTCGAGACAGAGGCGGGAGATCTCGACGAGCTCCTCGGAGGCTGTTTTGGGTTCTGGCATTTTATGAATCTTTAGCCTGCGGATTGGAAGTTTACCAGCCTGAGCCTTGGAGGAGGGTCGTAACTGCATAATAAGCCGCCGCGTGGTGCAGTCAAGTACAAAAATTTCCACACCACTTAATCTTTTGTTAGCTTTCCAATGGTGCCAGCATCAACTGATAGGGTGTATGTCAGGAGTGAAATGCAAGTTATCTGTCAGCAATCTGTAACTCGCAGATCTGCTGCAAGCCAAGCAAATCGCATTTGAACACGTTTTGACCGGTCGTAGGCAGCTTCGCATCGCATGCTCATTTGACGTATCATAACCTACATTGAACAGCAGAACTCTTGGCGGCTCTCGTCGTTGACAGTCTCTCTTCCCTTCTGCACTCAGGAAGAGAATGTAGCCATCGTCAGCTTTTTATCTTCAAACATGATAAGCAGGGCTGCTGCAGAGGCATCCAGAGTCGAAGAATTTGAAAGAACTGTGTATCCATGGCTCGACTTATTAGGACGAAGAGTCGATCTGGTATGATGGTTGAATAGGCAAGGACTCTGGCACCCCTAGAGTCACTGCTAGTGTCCGCAAGGCGTCTTGCCACACTAAGCACTACCGAATAGGAGGCCATTGTTGTAGTTGTATCTTGCCAGTGACCCACTTCACCAAGCAATGAACACAATGGGCCAATGGAATCCCTCTTCCCTGGAAGCGAGGACAAAACCGCTGAATTATGACCGTTTAAGCAGCGGGCTGTCGTAGGGTCTTAGAGTCGATCGAAGTGTGATCTACCGACGTAGGAAAATTGGCTGGCTCTTACGTGGCTCCGTAGTGATCGGGCTCGGATCCTTGGGAACCCAGTGATGCGTGCGCCCCATACAGAGCCAATGCCAAGGCCCATATACGCACCGCGAAGTCACCTGGATGAACCTAAGAACCACTTCCTTCAGCTGAGGGTCAGCAAGGCCTCTCTGTCTAACCTCTAGGTAACGCATGGTAGTTTGAATATGGCGTCCACCTCCGTTAAATTTAACGGAGCCAATAATGGACTCCAGGTTGGCAATAATCCAGGAAATATTATAACAAACCTTAATTCGTCTCCGGGTAAGTATCTCAGAATCAAATGCGTCGACTAAGTTAACTGACTATTTGACGACCTGCAGCCAGCGACATAACCAGTACTGGCGATGGAGCTAATTTCGGCGGGAGTTTAAACGCAACTCGCGACATACATATAAGTAAGAGAACAAGAAACAGGGTTAAGCTCCGATTGCTAATCAGTCAAAAATAAAAGATCATATCACATCCATACCTCAGGGCCTCGCTGGGCAAAGACGAGCAAGGGATGACAATTCTGAGGAATTATCTACCTGCTCAGACGAGCATAGAAGGAAAAGGGTTCACCAGGACGATAATAGAGGCTCCTTTTCTTCCGAAGGAAGTGAGTTTTGGAAGAGTGCTGACCTTAGTATTCTTGACAATCCTAGGCATGAGATGCTACGGGACGTTCTAGAGCCTTCGCAAGTGACTCAGAGTACTGAAGATTATGGAAGTCCTCTAGATAGTCTCACTAGTGACAAGGGCGTATCTTCCTCGGAGGAATCCTCGGAAGACCAAGGGGTCGCTTTGGTTGAATTCCACAGTGAATCGGGGTCCTTGCAAGATACGCCACTTTCGGATTCTTTAAGTAGCTCTGAGGGCGATGCAGAATAAATTAAGGGTTACTGTACCCAAGTGACAGACAAAGGACTCATAGGCACCATTGAGCCACGCCAAGCTGATCAGCGGAGGTGGATTCTTCAAGAGGTTGACTATGAAGAATTATTCCAGTTGACTTTTATTGTGTTGCTTAATTTGGGGGGAGGATCCACTCCTGAAGCACTTGTTGTGATACAAGGCAAGACCACATCAGGAACAAAGGCCGCATCAGTACGATTTGGGGCCAATTCTCGAACGGGAAAGAGTGCTTTTGTGTGAGACTCGGGAAGCACACTGTGTTCCTATTGAGGGACGACTCCTATTTTTAGCTGACTAAGACGGGACGCAACCGGAAGGAGACGGCAGTATCCTAACACTTTGTACATCGCTCGATCAAATTCTTCTCCGGCGCGGTGTCTACTAGTCTCCAGGAAGGTGAAATCTACACCCGTCGCTCTCCGCTCTTGAGCCTATCCTAGAGTCTTGGAACGCATGGGCTGGCCCTGGGAGCTGTCATCCTATTATGATCGGTTTTCTGCGTCTAATGCAGACATCCTTAGGTTTGCCACTGAACTGAAGCTTTATTAGACTCCCTCAAAAGCTTTCTGGTCCCGGGATGGGCAAGTTTAATCCTAGGAGGGGTTTAAAGCTCCCAGGATCGCGGGTTAGCTTCCTAGGAGTGTAAAGTCTGTCTCTGGGAACATGAACCACCTCTCCTGGGAGCTATCTTGCTCCTGGAAACTCTAGGCAAAGTTCCCAGAGGCCGCCACTCATCATCCCAGGATCGACGGAAGTGTCTCTGGGATCGGGTTCCTTCAAGTATGGATGAAGAAACTTTAGGGCAGTTTCATGTACGGATCCACTCCTTTCTTTCACAGCCCTATCGAGTTCAGGAACTTATTGGCCAGCCCCGGGAACTCTACGGCCCCCGGAAGCTCAAGCCGTACTTAAGAGGTAAACAGCGGGTCTTCGGGTGACCGAATTGCCTCTGGGATCGCCCGGGGTGTCCCAGGGATTGGTCCCTTGGATCGATGTCAGGGATATACATGAGCTTACATAGCACTTCCATCAGCTCCAGGAACGTGTAAGTCAGTCCTGGGAGCTTTGTTGCTCCTGGAACCTCCAGTACAGTTCCCAGAGGTAGCCGCAGGTCCCTCGAGGATCGAGCGGAGTGTCTCTGGGATCGGACGATTTCCATGTCTCCTTTTCTTGCGGTCTCTTGAGCCCTTATTTTGACAGAAGCAACTGCCATGAGGCAAAGACAGTTGGGATATGCTGTCTATTCAGAGCAATACTAATTTGAGATTCACTTTCCTGCCTGACCCATCTCTAAAACACGAGGAAATATCAACGCATGTTGGGGATAGAGCCAGAGGAATGACATCACTAAACCTTATTGGTGGTGATCGGTGGGGCATGGTGGCGATTCGGGACTCCTAACCAAAAATGGACCAGATGCCCTCAAAATGCAAGGGCATAATACTGAACAACGCGACTGCGCGGTATACCATGTCCGCCAATCCTACAGGACTGCTCCGGTGGAGAGCACATCACTGCTAACGCAGGCCTACTCGAAAACTACTAGTTCGGAAAACAACCTTTTCGACGGAGCTGAGCGTTGAAGTCGGCATGTCAAAAGATGAGGCAATCAATCCATTGTAGCTAGGATACATGCCTGGGATTAAATTAAGCATTAGTGGAGCGGTAGTCAACGGTGGAACGATATAGTCAATACCTCGGGGAAATTTGAGGCCTAGGATAAGTTAGTTAGCTCAATTTTATTTTGACGTTGATGGATCTTGGAAAGATGAGGGGATGGGCTAATCTACCAGATAAGACATCTCGGTTCAGAATACGCTTTAGATTGCATTTAATTGGCCCTGCCGAAATTTCGCGCACGTGCACATCATGGGTAAGAATAACGTTAGAGTACTTAGCCGGCGTCTTGAGGCAGAAAAGGATTGATTGTTTTAGCGGGAATCAGGCAATAAAGAATATTGGATGAGGAGTCTTCCAGATGACGGGAAATATGCCGACATGACAATATCTTGTCAAGAACATAATTTCAAAGGCCACCGCGCCATCATCTGCTCTCAGTCACCCTTCTTTGACGCTGCTCTAAACGATGGGTTCAAAGTGAGTGGAGTTCTGGACTTGCCCGTTGTAGTCATGATCGAACTTCTAACAGACATGATAAGGAAGCAAAGTCATCACAAGTCAACCTACCGGGCGATAATGTTGATACCATAGCCCGCGTTTTGTCATTCTGCTATCTCCAAGACTACGGTCAAGTAGATGATTCTATGAATTTAAAGCCAGATGGAATACCACGCAGTCATCGTGGAGTATATTTAGCTGCAGACAAGTTTGGTATCTTTTCTCTCCGAGAACTCGCAAGCAGCCGGATCGTTAATTGGGCAAAATCAAATTGGAACTTGGGATGTTTCCCGCACATTGTCGAAGATATATGGTGCACTACCCCGCCTCATGAGAATGGACTTCGCGATGCGATTGTAGAGGTTGTTTCAACCAATATTCAACATTTCTTGACACAGAACGAAGGGAATAATGTTTTTAATGATAATCCTGCATTTACAGTTGCAGTTTTGAAGCGAGTAGCATCTCTTCATCCCTTACAGCGTTCTTGAACGCCTCCCATCCAATTTGGCACGACAAACTTGTTCTTTATAACAGCACACTTTGGTTGCTTCATATTGACAGTGTGATGATTTTATCAATCCTCCCCTGTATGGAGTCAAGCTCCGTCTGAAGGAAGGTGATTGGTTCAGTATAATGTTCACTGCTGACAGCACTCTGTCTTATGCTCCGAAGTACCTCTGGTGCAACATAGTCCTGACTCCTTAACTGATTCACTAGTAGATCCACTTCATTTCGCCTTCTCTCCAAATTCCTCAACTCTGACAACACCTCTCTAGCAGATTCACTGCTGCCATATTTATGGTCCAGGCACACGCTGTACAATTGGCAATAGCAGAAGGCCTCTTCAGGGCATACAACGGACTCTGAAGTTCCCAGAAATATCATATGCCAGAAGAACTCGAAGACCTGTCCTGCATCAAAACTTGACATTGAAGTCTGCACCAACCAGTCTCGCATATAGACCAGCCATTCCAAACGAATATTTTTAACAGCCTGCCGAGTAACAGCAAACTGGCCACCTCCAGCGGCGGAAATCACAGGAGGGATCCCTTGGTCGGGAAAAAGATCGCCAAATGCACTTTGGGCACGCAGAAAATGAGGGTGGCGTGGAGAGTTTGGCTCTGACTGGACTTTATTCATTTGAAGAAAGTCAGGGCAACCCCGAGTCCAGTCACACCAGAGATTGACAAACCCTTTCTCTGCAACATAACTGCGACGTAGAAGACTAAGCATCCAACAGACATCGCGCTGGAGCAATGTGTTGTTATGCCAGCTTTGTCGGTTTGCGTGTACAAATATCATAATTTCAGGCAGACGGTCATAATGGTCAATCAGATATGTTAGATATTGCATCGCCTCTCTCCCCTTATTTAACGGTGGGTGATGCTCGGCTGTGAAGTCATCCGCAACATAGACCACGATATCATCATAAGACTGTAGTCCAAGTCGATTCTCAGCCCAAGACAAGTTGTCCCCCTTTACAGAAGCAATGATAACTGTTGCAGGATATTCTTTGTCAAATAGCGAAGGTGTGCCGGGACTTAAGGTTGCTGCAGAATGTGCAATGTCGCGTAGAAAACTGAGGTTGGCCCATAGCAGTAACACGAGAGATATCCATAAAGCAACCACGAGATAAGATCGACGACAACGATGCATTCTCAATCCATTATCCAAAAAAGACCGGGGGAAAGAGACAGTAGTAAGTTACAGAGTACTCAGACATACCCTTATATATGTACTGTTGAGCATGCAGGACGCTCGGACCCCTGAACAAAATGGGTACTCGCTTGGTGTGGGTCTAATACCCCAAAGTCACTGCCATTTCTACCTGGTGGTGAGACCCCAAAGATGCTTCTAATGTTATAGTAACCACAGCTTACCAGGTCACGTTGGAGTCGGAGAGTTGCTTATATTGGTGAAACGAATCACAGAGGTAAGGGTAGAAGAAGCTATCACAGCAATATGTAGAGTCTCCAGACTGTAATAGATGGAATTACTTCTCTTAGTAGATTGATTGATTGAAGAACTAGAAACACAGAATAGAAGATAACCGATCCTTCCCCTATCGCCTACAGGATCCCGGTTACGCAACAAATAGGGGTCGGAGGATAGCGGAATATATTGGGACCAATCATATTCCTTTATCAATTGGCTATTGCCTATATCGGGTACTGCTTATTGAGGATTTACTGTATAGGGTAAATGATCTAAAAATATAGAAGATTGGGCCGCGAAGGGCCGAATACTTGATAATAATAGCAACCTGTGATGGCTGTGGCATATTACTGTACAAGTTGACTCACAATTCTAAGTAAACCTGTCAGTTCCGGCACACATTCACAACTTCTAGCGGAGATACACCCAGCCACGGACAACTGTTGGCCACCTTATCTAGGAACTCATTATGGCCGCGCTATGAGGGCAGCCTAACACCGCGAACGGCAAACAGGCCGCGATAGGCCTTATCAGGTGAGGCTCAAAGTTCACTGGTCAGGAAGTTTTGGATAATCTTAGTAGATCAATTACCATGTATTTACAAAGTTGTTGTAGCCTGCATATCATTCGCGAAGTTGGATTCTAAACCACAACCCCACTAGGCTGGGTACGGATTCCTATTTTAATCTAGTTAGGAAATCAACTTTCTGCGAGGGGTCAGGGTAAATGACATACACACGCACACACATAATATAACAGCAAGCAATTTGCACATGGTCACCCGTAATAGTTTCTTCAATATTATCTATCTAGGTAACCCCGTGGTGATTTTCTGCACTGCCCAGATTTACTAACATCTCTCCCATTCAACAAATGGTGCCACTTCCAATACCTGAGATAAAACTGATAGGACCAAGACTTCTATCCATTGCCTACCTAGTAATATCTCACATCCCCTCGTCTGTGCCCTCCGAAAGGCATTGATTTCTGGTTGTTCCAATTTGTTCGCCTGTCCAAAAGTCCCAAGAATTAGTCAAGAGAAAGCAAACAAAAAAAATGTCAACTAACCGCTAGCATCATGTAAAGTTCCATCATCTTCGAGATAAACGTCACCATATTTGGACGGCCATTTGTATACAGATCCTTCACAATTCGATAGCCAAACCAAAGCCCAACCATTGGCAACGTTATTGAAGGTGCGCTCATATCGGTTTACTCCATCTGTCCCCTGCAGCCACACTTTGTTGTGTGCTGAGTGCTGTTGGTAGGGAAGCTCTGTTAGTTGAACTAGTTCCCGAGGTATTTTATGTATCAGGGAGAAGCAATACAAAGGTAGTGGCTGCAACAAGCTCAACAGCAGCATAGGCTAAAGTAGCACAGAGAATGGATAGACGCATAGTGAAGCTAACGAATTTCTTAAGTTTTGTAAGTCTGTATTTGGCTGGACGGAAAGTGAGTACTTTGAAAATATTGCATATGTAGCTTTGTAGGACAATCGAGATAGTTATATAAATCCAAGTTGCGAATGTCAACGTAATACTTTTAAGGGGATCCTCCGTACCGATTTATAATACATACGGCCGCAGGGAGGGATAGATTTGGGAATCTAATATATTCGGCCGTAGAAAAGTATCAGCGGGGCATACTATCGCTTCTATTCTTGGCTAGATAAAACAATCCGCATGAAAGGGGCTAAAACCTGTTCTATTATTAGTGAAAGTCCACGGCCTAGGTGATAGCCAATGTGCTTACCGCCGTGTGGAACTTACCCACCACCTACCCAGCCTTTCCAATGGATGATTAGGCATGTTTAACATGCTGACCTTTTTTCGTGTTAAAATCTGGCATAAGTTCAATAATAGTATCATTTTATGGCATGCGCTGTTCGGTGGTTGACTGGTTTATAGCACCTCTTAATGACCATCCTTTTTTCGAGATCGCTAACTTAACGGAATGGTGAAGTCTACATATTCGGAAACAAGTATGAATATATAATGATTCATACATAATATAACACTGCAGGAATAGGCCCATCGCCATTAGATCCCCCAAGTAGAAAAGGTAGCATATCAATATAATTATCCCCCTTCACCTCTTTTGCTGCCACCCCCACACCAGCTATTAAATGATGTTCCGTTCCTTCGCCCGCCTCCTCACTCCTTCTCCTCTCCTCTCCTCTTCTCTCCTCTAGATGCCCCTTCGCTTTTCACGCTCTCCTCTTACGATGTCGGACCTCTTCGCTACTATTGAAACTCCCGTCACTAAATACGAGCAGCCTCTTGGCTTGTATGGCGTCTTCCTAACCTATATACACTGTCTAGTCCCTTTCTAACCGCGTACTTAGCCGGCGTCTTGAGGCGGAAAAGGATTATTTTAGCGGGAATCAGCCAATAAAGAATATGGGCAAGATCAAACTACGCCAACTAGCCAGAGCTTCGGTCTAATCGATGGTCGACAGATGCATCGAAGGCGGAGTATCCCACATTCCCCAGTAGTTTTCTGCTGGGAGGACTCCAGAACATCAAGTTCTTTGCTGCGTTCTGTAATGATAAAATCAATAACACGCTGAGAACGAGCGCGAATTGAAGGACGTATATGTTAACCTCAATAATCGGCACATTTCTACGTGCAGGGCAGCAGATGGAAAGCTTAGGCAGGCGGCCATAGAAAATCGGTATGCGAATTGAAGTACCTTGTTCCAAATACTAATGAACGGCCACGGTAGAGTGGATATCGTCTTTTTTCATGCTAGCACCACCTTATCTCATTCCCTCCTGATTCGGCCACTATCAAGCCAATGGGTACCATGTACCACTCGTATCAATCATGAGCTCACTAGGGAAATTTGACATCGTAGTGGCTAATTTTACTAACAACGTTGACCAGAATCTTCAGCTCCCCACCTTTCATTTGGGCAAAGAGATCTTCCTAGGTTAAGTCAGTTCCGTTCCACCCCCGTTTCGCTTTTCGGCAGCGGGACTTACCCGCCACACATCATCCAAACGGGTAGTCATCAATCGTGTTGCCAGTCCCTCAGCCTGAGGGCTCCATGGTTCGAGTGGACTCATTTGCGTTCGAAGACCGTTGATGATATCCGATAATGCAAACAGCTTCAGCGCGTCAGCATTCATGTCCGCTGCGTGAATTTCGCAACTGCGTTCCACGCCCACTGATGTGGGGAACGATCCGACATTAGTACCCAGCCCATCCTGGTGTAAAATGAGTTCCAGCAAGTGGATTGGCACCTACCAATTCTCACGCTCCCAGAATCGGTGAAAAAGATTGATTCGTACGTGAGGGAGGCAAGGGCACGGTTCGAGTCCCGTAAGTATCGAATTCCCTGGATGATCTGAACGGTGGTGAGCTGCGGTGCTAGAAGCGCTAATACTGTATCGCAAGGCAAGAAGGGGAAAATCAAAACTAACTGGCCACACTATAGACACAAGCTCTGCTTCCCGGATTGCGTACTTTGACCCCATAAGCTGGGCCAAAGACAGCTCCACGGGCTCCCAAACCAAGAATGCCGACCCTTCGTAATGATAGCAGCACAGAAGTGGAGGGAGTGGAAGAATTGGGGGTGCAAAGTGACGTTGGGCAGTGGAACACCCACTTCGTGGCACGGTTAGTGCTTATGATGGCGTTGATCATCACTCAAAGGTGCCAAATTTGGATATCAGGGGTTGGTGAGCAATGTAACGTAACTCATCATCCTGTGATGAATGTGAGTAGCCAACTTCTTTGATAAGGAAATGGTATTGAGACCTGCCGTAATCACTGACCCAAACTAACTCCAGAGGTAAGGCGATTCAAGTGTATAAATAGGATGGCGGGCACCCTTGAAATGGACAATCGAAACCACAATCTTCTTGCCAATCCAAAGCTGAGACTTGCACTTTTTAGCAATATCCTCGATCTCTTCACCAACACTCACCCACCGCCATGCGTCTCCTCGCCGCCCTCCCACTTTTTGCTCTCCTCGCTGTTGCTGTGCCCAGTCCTAAAGGGCAGGAGCTGGAACAGCGCGAAACGGGCGGCTGCTGTGTCATGGGAACTTGCCAATGTGACATCTACGGGGTCCCTCTGGAGCTAGAACAGCGCGAATCGGGCGGCTGCTGTGTTATGGGAACTTGCAAATGCGACAAGGACGGGGTCGCTCTGGAGCTGGAACAGCACGAAACGGGCGGCTGCTGTGTCATGGGAACTTGCAAATGCGACAAGGACGGGGTCCCTCTTGATGAGAAATGAGCGCCTGCTGTATCCTGTATCGTGGGGGGCTGTCCGTGCCATTAGATGACTCGCTCCCGGATTTCACCAAATTACTAGCATCGGATGGGATTTAGGAGGCAATGGGAAGATGTATTTCACTTTGGTTACTGGGTAGTCAGTCCTTCAATTTCAACCCGAATCTCGATCATTGCTATTGGAGTTATTGTAACTAACTATAGTATATGCTTTCAAGTATGTTATACTCACTCTGAATACCATTGTTGCGAGGTATAAAAAGTGGTACGCAAGATACCTAAACAGAGCAGTGACATAGAGCTACCCAGAGGTATTTGATCTCTTGGCATCGGGAAACACTGTTAAGCCAAAAACAAATGCTGTTTAAGGGTTTCGGTTTATATTCCATCGAAGAGGAAGATAGACTTGAAATTCACGGCTTACGAAATCGTTGCGGATGGTGGAAGTGTATCTCTCTGCGCTCTGCTGTTAAAATACAGGAGGTCAAGGTTAGTCGACTTTTGTTGAATGTTAACTTTAAAATCTGACCGTACTTATAGATCCACGCTATACGAGCGCAAAGCAACAAAGAAATCGAAGTTACGCTGCTTCCAATCAATTATGCCTCAGAGATAGCGGATATACAAAGAGCGATTGAAGAGCTATCTCCCGACACAGCTTTGATAGGTATGTCCCTAGCGTAGAAGCGAGATCCTCGGCTGAAATATATCCATATGCATGATTTATAGCTATTTTTGACTGCTTTTTCGCAAAGGTCCTTAATATTCGATGATCTCGTATTGGTTTTCGGCGAAAGAAAAGGATTAGTTTCTGCTTTCGTGGTAGACTCTAATTTCACAGGGACTATCGTTAGAACCACATAATTATAGTCAGTCGAAATACAAACTCACCGACCGTTACGGCCAATCTGACAATTCCGTTTGCGGAATCAAGGCTTATTATGCCTCAATGTTGAGAGTAATATTAGTCTTGGATTCTTTAGAATAGAGTAGGGGAAATACGGGCCGAACGATGCTTATATGCATGGCACAACACACAACACTAAATATAAACTACTGTAAGATGAAGTCTCTACGCTGCGATTGGACTGAAATTGGCGCTTAGGACAGTATGTATAGGCGCTATTCCACTGCGAACGATATCCCACCCTGGCGTTAGCTGCTGGTATACTCCCCGTATAGACCAACTTCCTTACTAGCTAATAAGACATATTTAGCTAATCGATTCATAGAGTACGTAGGCGGGCACGAAGAGTAGGCATCTAGAGAGAATTTCCAACAAGATATCACCGATTTCCTTTTAATCACTAACCTACTTTCCTACCTTAACGGTTTTTAGACAAGCAACTTTTACCACATTTTGCGGTGTCTAGTTTTAATTACTATTGAGAGCCCTTAGAAAATGCACATTATTAGCCCTTTAGCTCAAATGCGTACACTAACGACTACCGAACAGAGAGTCGCTACGGTATTAGTATCCTTCCTACTACCCCGGTGCTTTTCTTCTACTAGACGTATGTCTCGTGAAGTTTCTCTTATTCGCTTGGTCTGCTTATACCTAAGAGCTATCTGCTTCGTATTGCCTTCGAGCTCTATATGCTAGTTTTTAAATGAGGAACGGCTGATGGTACAGCAAAAATTTCGGTCTATTAGACTAAACACACCTAGAAATCGCTGCCGTGCCACGTCGACATCGTCGACATCTCCCTTGTAAAGCTAACATCAGTACGTGCTATCCGTCATTCCCACAGTTTCTAAGCAATAGTGCTTCGATATATAAGTCGAGAAGATCTTTAACAAATTCGGGCACGCTTTAGGCAACACTATTATAGGCTATCTGAATAGCTTCCTCCCGTAGATAACTCGAAATATTGATCCGCGCAACGCGTGCTGTATGTGAAGGGCTGAAGCCGACTTGATTCAATCTAGCTAGGCCACGAACTGTTTACAACAATCTTGGGGAAAGGAAGGAAAAGGGGGCGTTCGTGCATGACTACGACAATATGCTACCGCATACGGAAGCTAGTGTGGGTTCGATAAGGAGGCAGGCAAAAGCAATATAGAAGGCCATGGTCACATGGCCACTCTCGGGCAACAGCCCGTTGCATGTTAGCCTAGTACAATTAAATCAATTCTGCTCTAGCCCTTCATACCTACTAACTAATAGGCAATTATTATATATAGAATCTATAAGGAGAACAGGATAAGTAGCCAGCTATTTTCAAGTTATGCGGTCTAACCTAAGGGTTCGGAATAGAGCGGAGTTACCTATATCGTTGTCCTTGTAGATAGGCTGAAATAATATTCTTCCTAGCGTGCTAGGGGATGCGAGACTATTAGGAAATACACAGACCTAAGGTCTAGGTAGCGAAGGAGTTTGTTTAGCCAATCCTATTTAATTAACCCTACGTTCCCAGGAAGAGGACGGTGTTTAAATGAACACCTTTTCACCACTTTCTGCGGCCTTATATTGATATCTGTTTAGGTATCTGTATTCGTGAGCAGCCGAGTAGTATATAGATTCTACGCCGATACTACGGGTTTCTAGGCCTTTATAGGAGCTTAATTAGTATATATTCTCTTTGGCTGATTTTCCTAGGACTCCTATTACCTAACCCTAGATCAAATCACCCAAAATGACGTCACTAGCTGGAAAAATAAAGGTTTAGCGAACAGGGGAAAGTGAAAGAGCCAAAGCTGTTATTTACTTCAGTAGTTCAGTCATACCTAAACGCCGTTTCTTTGTTATCTAGAACGCTGAATCTGTTATTCTGTCTAAAATTTACTTTCTACACGGGACTAGGGAGATACGGATTTACTGCAACATGTCTTAGGAACTCTGTAGCCGTAATATAGAAATAGGGTCGCTAACGCTTACGGCCGTATAGTTGATTGTAACGCTATAACAACTGTCGAATCATGAATGTAGCCGTAATATAGAAATAGGGTCGCCAACACTTACGCCCGTATAGTTGACTGTAACGCTATAACAACTGTCGAATCATGAATGCTAACTCCCTATATGGTTGACCCACATTAGAGCAAAATAGAGGGTAGGATATCTTATGACTGGTATAGGTTACCAAGAGGGTAGTATTCTGCTCAACACTAGCGCTGATCACTTCATTAGTATCACTATCACCTCATTGGAGTAGAGTGAAATCAAAGCATGATAAAGGATTAGCCGTGGTAGAAGGTGGTAGAAGACGGAGACAGAAACTCCAAAGTAGTAGTCTAAAGTCCCTATGTGAAAAGCTATAAAGGGCCTAAATACCATCCCATAATTTCTCTTGTTTCATGAGACCTAAATCTATCCGTTAAACAAACCTGATCCACCAAGATGAAGCTCTCGGTTGCTAGTATTACTCTTTTCCTCGCCGCCACTGTTATGGCTGGTCCCCCAAACAAAGATTGGAAGCGGGCTGAAACAGATGCTGCCCTCCCTGGCCCACCAAACGAAGATTGGAACAAAGATTGGAAGCGGGCTGAAACAGATGCTGCCCTCCCTGGCCCACCAAACGAAGATTGGAACAAAGATTGGAAGCGGGCTGAAACAGATGCTGCCCCTGGCCCACTAAACGAAGATTGGAACAAAGATTGGTAGAATATCAATCTTGATAGAAATGGTCATGCACGATTTCTTAGGACCAATTATAAGCGTGGGTAATACTTCTAAGGACCTCAGGGGAGTTGAACATACTAGGATGACTGACATGGTGTATAGTACAACATTGTTGATATCGCACGTAACCGACCTCATTTTCAAACAAATCGGCCGATGTCAAGAGGGGGGAAACTGGTATATTTTGTGAATTGTTCTATTGCCAACACACTCCTTAAATAGAATGACTTTACCTCTATTACCTAGGCCACTCCCAGGCCTCTTCTAATATCTATTTCCTCACTTCGTTCGTTTCTGTGCACCCGCTGTGTGTAGACATTTCCAGCCGTCTCTTCGATTCAGAAACTCCCCTGCTTTCCTATTACTTCAAAATGAAATTTTCTTCCCGGCAATGAATGTGGGAAGTGCTGGTCTAGCATAGATCAAAGCATGATTCCCATATTCCTTCAACTTATTACTCCAAGTAAACTCGCTAACCTTCACAATCTTTAGTTCTGCTCGCTGAAAGTAGTTCCAGCGCTCTGTACTTTTGCTTCCGCTATATTAATACATCACTAGAGAAGCACGACAAGCCCCTCTCCGTCTTGGCTGTTATTTTTTGGACATGGTTAGGAGTATCGTAAACACATCTCTATTGCAGCTTTTATAGGGATAAAAGCTATTAATCTACCAATATAGTAACGAAATAAAATCATCCTTACTATATCCACAAGCCCTAGTAACAAATTTAAACTCGTGATCGTTTCTGCAAGTCGGTAGGTCTAACCATTCAGTCTTCAATATAAGTTGACACTCTCCATTACCTGCTTTCTTATCCTCTCCCTTAGCAGCATCGAACATATACCGAAGCACTGCCCGACAGCCTATCTGCGTCCTAGCGCGTCTGTTATGAGATTTCTATCATGAGGCTACTCCTATGTTGATGCCCTAGGCCCTGTAGGGGCCTGAGGATCCTGTTGGACAACCAGCCATTCCTCCTTGATGGCGCAGCTGAAGGCTGGTTACACAAGCTCGTATTCCTTCTAGGATTCCCCCTCCTTCTTATGTTTACCCCTCCTTCCAATTTCACGAGGAGACTGTATATAAATATGAGTTGTGAGGAGTAGGTTTCGAACTCCTCAAGAAACAGTCTCTGACTCAATTGGACTTGGTGTTTTTCTCCTACCTGATTGACAGGCCTTCTACCCTGCAAGTAGACCATACCTCTACATACGGGGCTATTAGCCGTATTAGGTTTATATATTTAGATAATTTCTTAGGTTAACGAGCACTCACCGACGATCTAGTCCATAAACGGAATTTATAGATATCTATATTACTTGTGACGATCGAGGACGATAACGCACTAGTCAACTGGTGTTTGACGGGAGGTTCCTTTGGCCTACAACAAAAAGGCTTCCACGCGGTAGATAGAACCTTTCCTCCTTTTCTCCCCTAGATTTAGTTGCTTCGTTGAATGCACCGATTTGAACCCCTTCATCTCGCCTGGCTGTAACATACAACTAAATCTCATCTTCTTTATCTCTTTCCAGTTGACTGGCTGAGCGAGGAAACGCGTACACACGCGATCTCCTGCTACCCGGCAACTCCCTCTTTTCAAACCGAACCGAAGAACTCCTAATCTCAGTAGAAAAATGGCTGAGAAGGTGACCGATCGAAGTCGCTCGAGACGAGAGAAGAGCGCACGCAGAACCTCGCTGGTATTCGGAGCCCAGCAGGATGACAACGGTGTTGAGGTAAACACCGTTGACGAACTGATCGCCTGGATTCAGGCCGAACACGAGACCGCCTGGCGCCTGCTGTTTAAGCGTCAAGGACAGATTGATGAGCTACGGATTGCTCAAGAAAAGAAGGATTTGGAGCATGCGAGCGAGACCATGCACCTACGTGAGCAGCTAGCTGCTTTGGAAGACCGAATGACCCCTGCCGGACCTGACATGGAGGAGGAGTACGCTCGCTTGCGTACGGAACTTGACGATACCCGCAAGGAGATGGCCGCCCTGCGCAGTGAACGTGATAGCCTGATGACCGTGATGCGCCTGATGGGCCTGTCAGTTGCCAACCCGAACCAGATAACCGATGACCGAGGATCCCCTGCACCCTCTCAGCTCGGAGGCAAAAGATCCACTAAGATGCCCGATCCTGCGATGTTCAGCGATGGAAAGCTGGTGAAGTTCGACGACTGGATGACCGACATGAAGCGGAAGCTCCTCCTGAACGAGGACCATTACCCGACTGACGCACATCAGCTCGCGTACGTGAGTAGCCGGTGTGAAGGAAAGGCCCTACGACACGTCCAACCCCGTATGAAACAGGGAGCCACCGAAGCATATCAGACTGCGGAAGACGTATTCGACCACCTCGGAAGCATCTTCCTCGATCCCAATCGTCGACGAATGGCCCAGGACCAGTACATTGCACTGAAGATGGACCCGAAGCAAGGTTTCAACGACTTCCTGTCCGAATTCACCTACCTGGCCGACGAAGCAGACCAGCCGAAGGGAATGCGGAAGGATGACCTCTACCGCAAGCTCCCGACTCTGTTACAGAACCAAGTGATGGCCGATGCAGGCGAGGACTCAGTGACCCTTAGCCAGTTCGTGCGCAAGTGTCAGGTTACATCCCGCTTGATTTCGCAGCAGATAATCAGCCGCGCAGAGAACCGATCTCGAAACCCGAACCGAACTGATACGAACGCTCCAAGCCGGAACCGAAACGATCCGCAGACCCCGAAACCCTCGACCCGTCTAGATGACAAGGAGAAGGCCGCTCTTCTGAAGGAAGGCCGTTGCTTCGTCTGCCGCGAGCAAGGTCATATCTCTCGCAACTGTCCAACTAAGAACCAGACGACCGCTGCCGCCGCTGCAACCGAAGCCACCGGCAAGGATCGGAAGGAGAAGCGCAAGGAGGATCTTTCGACCGCGGAGGAGAGCGATTCGGGAAAAGAATAAACCTGGGACAAGTCTCCATCCCAGGTTCGATGGTGTCAAAGGTAGACTTACGGAAGCTGTTGTCCCCAGCTAAAGATAGCTTAACGTTTAGAGCTAGAGTAGCTATCAATGGACGAACAGTGGACGTTTCTTGCCTTGCGGATACCGGAGCAGACGGATACATTTTCATCGATTACGACCTCGCAAGCGCGATGATTGGAGGCCTAGGCCTGCGAACAAGAAGACTCCCCCGCGAATGCCCAATCACCGGGTTTGATGGAGCGCTTCGAGAACCGATAACCCACGCGGTGAAACTTACGCTTATGATCGATGAACGTGTGCAACAGCGACAACCGATGCTGGTGACCGATTTGGGGAATCATGACCTGATACTTGGAAGAATGTGGTTCGAAGCCCACGGAGTGCTCCCAGACTGCAAGAGTCGGAGACTTCTGTGGCCAGATCAACCTTCTCTGCAAGAGGAAGTCCAGATCAATTTGGCCAAGCCGATCCCCCGACAGATCCTCAAGCGGCCGAATACTTGCGAATCTCACCAAATCGATGCAAACCGCCGGGATCAGCTGATAGCCGAGCAGGACGCGGGTAAGAAGAAGGGGATTCGGAAGGCCTATGGTCACTCTTATCAGGAAGACACGCTAACTAAGATGAACCGATCCCTGCGCGGTGAATCGATTCTCCCACCGCACGAGATGACCATTACCGACGAACTTCCTCGAAAGAGTATCGAGATTGCGGCGATCGGAGGAGTTGGATTTCACCGCTATATGCAACGTGAAGGAACAGAGACTTTTGTGACCTCCCTAGCCCAGATTGACCGAATCCTCGAAGAGATGCATAGCCCGGAGCGTACGCTTGAAGCCGAAGAGATCAGAATGCGTATCCCAAAGGCTTACCACCAATTTGTCGACGTGTTCTCGAAGATCGATTCCAACAGGTTGCCACCATTAAGAGGTGCACCCGACCACCGACTCGAACTCGAAGGATCCGTACGTTTGAATTACTGCCCGCTTTACAAGATGAGCGAAGAGGAACTCCGATTTGCTAAGGACTACATTATGCAAAATCTCGCGAAAGGATTCATCATCCCTTCAACGGCCCCGTACGCATCTCCAATTCTGATGGCCGCAAAACCAGGGGGAGGTCTCCGTTTCTGTGTGGATTACCGGAAATTAAACGAACTGACCAAAAAGGACCGGTACCCTATTCCACTGATTGATGAGTTGCTCCAGCGAGTTAGCAAAGCAAAGTTCTTCACCAAACTCGATATCCAGCAAGGTTTTCACCGTGTCCGAATGCATCCTGATTCAAAAGATCTCACGACGTTCCGCACGAGATATGGCTCATATAAGTACAAAGTGATGCCTTTCGGATTGACCAACGGACCCGCTACGTTCCAACGATACATAAACCACGCACTCGGTGACTACCTTGACGATTTCTGCACGGCTTTTATCGATGACATCTTAATTTACACGGACGGGAACGAAAGACAACATACGGACCATGTCAAGAAGGTTCTGGAGAGACTCAGAGCAGCGGGATTGCAAGTGGCTATTCAGAAATGCGAGTTCCACACGCAAGAGACTAAATTCTTAGGCTTTATCATCGGGACTGATGGGATCCGTGTAGACCCAGCTAAGATCGAGGTAATTGAAGCGTGGCAGCAACCGAACACTGTCAGAGGCGTACAATCGTTCATAGGCATGTGCAACTTCTATCGAACATTCATCAAGGACTACAGCAAGATAGCGAAGCCCTTACATCGATTAACTCGAAAGGAAGTACCGTTCAAATGGGATACCGCATGTGAGGAAGCTTTCCAAGAATTGAAGGGAAAGTTGACGACTACACCAGTTCTGGCACACTATGATCCCTTTGCACTCACGCAGATAGAAACCGACGCTTCTGACGGCTGCATTGGAGCGGTACTCTCGCAAAAAGGACCAGATGATCACTTTCACCCAGTCGCATTCTTTTCAAAAACGATGAATCCGGCCGAGCAAGGATACTACACGCACGATAAGGAGATGTTGGCAATTATTCGCGCACTAGAGGAGTGGCGAGCGGAACTAGAAGGATTGCAACGACCCGAACGATTCGATATCTGGACAGACCACCAATCTCTGCAGTATTTCATGACGAGCCGTATGCTTAACGCCAGACAGGCCCGTTGGGGCGAGTTCCTTTCCCGATTCTTTTTCCTGATCCGCTACCGACCGGGCAAAGGGAACGTGGTCGCTGATGCTCTATCCCGGAAGGACAAGTCTAGTAATCAGAAGGTTAAACAGACCCTGTTGCCTAGAGAAGTGTTAGAACAAGGAACCTATCCAGATGACTCCGAAACCCTTCAGACAGAGACGAAAGTGGCTGCGACTTCAATCTCACTCTCGCCGATTGTGCAACGGATCCTGACGGCAAATCGAACGAGCGAAGCCTTACAAGAACAGCGTGACCAAGTAGCTGGAAGCGATGATAAGTGGACACTCGAAGATGGATTATTACTATACGAAGGAAGGCTGATAGTGCCTGACGATGGGGATCTCCGAACGAGGTTACTCGACGAAATTCATCGCCAACCATCAACCGCCCACCCAGGACGGGAGAAGACAAAGCGGATGCTTACTTCTAGATACTACTGGCCAGGGATGATCAACGATGTGAGACGATATGTGGATAACTGCCAAATCTGCAAGCGAACGAAAGCATGGAGGGACCGAACTCCAGGATTGCTACAACCACTACCAATTCCCGGAAGACCTTGGCAGCATCTCACGATGGATTTCCGCTCGTTCCCGAAGGACCGCTATGGATATGACACCGTCTGTGTGTTCGTGGATAGATTGACCAAACAACCGATTTCGATACCCTGCCATAAAGATATTAACGCGAAAGGAACAGCTCGGTTATTCGTGGACCACGTCTACCGATGGGTGGGACTGCCGGAGTCGATTGTGTCAGACCGAGGGCCTCAATTTGTGTCAGGATTTTGGAAGGAGTTCTGTCGAATTCTCGGAATCGAAAGGAAGTTGTCCACTGCCCATCACCCTCAGACGGACGGCCAGAGCGAAATCGTGAATCAGTATATGGCACAAAGGTTAAGGCCTTTCGTGAGCTACTACCAGGACGACTGGTCAGATTATCTTGCAATGGTGGATTTCGCTTTCGCATCCTTACCACAGGAAACGACAGGAGTGTCACCCTTCTTTGTGGAACGAGGATATGAACCACGCGTGTCATTTGATTGGAAACCAGCGGAAGCCTCTGATTGGCTTAGCCAGATTGCGCCTCGAAGAAGGAACCTGTTATCGCAGAGCGAAGAAGCGAGCGAGTACACCAGCAAGATGCAGGAGATTTGGGAAGAAATACAGAGAAAGGCTACCCACGCGCAAGAACGTCAGCGTCAGCAGGCAAATCGTCACCGCAGAGCAGAGGATTTTAGCGTTGGTGACCGAGTGTATGTGACAACAAGAAATTGGAAATTGGACCGACCAGGCAGGAAGCTCGCAGACCAAGCAAGTGGACCTTACACGATCGTGGAAAAGGTTGGTAACGCATATAAACTGGAACTGCCAGATTCGATTCGCGTACACCCAGTGTTTTCAGCAGAGAAACTCCGATTAGCCGCACGAACGGAGCCATTACCAGGGCAAATCCAGGACTCGAAGCCGCCTGAAATCGTGAACGACGAAGCAGAATGGGAAGTGGACGAAATCGTGGCAGTTCGCTTGCATTACCGAAAGCTTCAGTACAGAGCAAAATGGGTTGGCAACGAGGATGACGATGAGTGGTATCCGGCAGGAGATTTCAAAAACGCACCAGAGAAGCTGTTGGCCTCCCATACGAAATACCCAGATTTGCCAGGACCGCCGAAGCGGTTGAACGCTTGGATTGAGGCTGCTTTGAATGATCGATTTGAACCGGATCACCCAGACGATAACAGAAGTCTCTGATTGGCCAGATCGAATTGATTACGTGAGAAAACGTGACCTGGTGGGCCAGGTCCTTTTAAAGAAGAGGGCAATGTGACGATCGAGGACGATAACGAACTGGTCAACTGGTGTTTGACGGGAGGTTCCTTTGGCCTACAACAAAAAGGCTTCCACGCGGTAGATAGAACCTTTCCTCCTTTTCTCCCCTAGATTTAGTTGCTTCGTTGAATGCACTGATTTGAACCCCTTCATCTCGCCTGGCTGTAACATTACTGCTCTTGTGTCCCGTGGTTGTATTAGTTAGGGCACAGGGGTATGTTAGAAAATCTTGTTCTCGTAGAAGCACTCTTGACCCTGCTCGTTTAAGATATCGAAGGGGCGCAGCCTATTTCTAACGGGTACGAATACTATAATAGACCCCGGCCCTAGGAAACAAATCTGCCTATATATCTCCGGATCGACGTGCTCGGGCCTATACCCGATTAAACGTAGCGGGCCTAGTAGAGCTTTAGTGATAAATTATAGAAGTAGGTCGCCGTTCGTGTGAGTATATTAGAACGTCTAAAGATACATAGGTAGCGGAAAGTTAGCTTTATTTTGAACGCCGCTATAACTAAGCATAACTGTAAAGATATGGTCTACTTGCAGGGTAGAAAGCCTGTCAACTAGGTAGGAGAGCAAAGCACTAAGTCAAATTGTAACAGAGACTGTTTCTTAGGGGGCCCCTTTGCCCCGTTTACTGCTGGGCCTTATATACAGTAAGCCCCTCTTTCGAAGGAGGGGTAGACATGCAGGGAAGCGGATGACTATCCTCCGTGGGAACAGCGGGGAAAGGGTGATGATAGATCACCGAACCAATATATCATGGTTGGTGATCCTTGGAGGCCTGAAGCCTCAGGCCTCAACATAGGAATAGCCTCATGGTGCAAAATATCATAACAATAACTATTTTTAGGTGTTAGTAGCGTAGCGAACTTTTCGAGTCGATAGGCCCTTATAAGACTATACCTGTCCTAGAGCAAAGGCCACTTTAAACTGCATAATCCAGAACATGATTGTCCACCTCACTTTTCCTTGGTTTGGGGCGAATGGCGCAGTTTTTTGATGAAATAGAGACCTCCAGAAGGGGAGGACCTCACAAGTACCATCACAGAATAGACGCCCATCTGGGGCATGTCCATTTTGGGTATAGTCTAATATGGGCTGGAAGAAAAGAAGAACGGCTTGCTGACTGGACAATGGGTGTTGGCGAGTAAGCAGTGACTGAGTGATCACTGAGCATCCATGATTGTTAACTAAGCGATCACATGACTGCACTGACCAGATCACTGAGCCTGAGCCCAGTCTCCCTCATAAAAGAGGAAAGCCCCACTCGGCAGACATTATCATGTGTATATAGCCGCATCTACAAAAACATGCTATTCATCAAGCTTCAAGTACAATGCACAATAAAGGTGACTAAATCCCAGATAGTTTCGGTTTTGTTCTCATTATCGCTTCTCATGAAACCCCCTCGGCTCTTACTCCATTTTGCAGATTAATTCGGCAAATGCGCAACCACTTCAATCTCTACGCGCATGCCATCCTCTCCAAGGCGGGGAACACCAACGCCGGTCCAAATCGGTTGATGTCCGGGCATGTACTTCTTGAAATTGCGTACCATTGCCTCCAATGCCTCATTATTGATGGGCACATGGTACGAATTGACACGGAACACCTGGCTCCACCCTTCACCACCGGCGTCCTTGAGGTTATGTTCGACATTGGCGAATGCTTGGTCAATCTGTGCATTGATTTCCCGGGAAATCTCGCCAGTCTCACGGTCCCAGCCACCTTTGAATGAAAATCTCAGGAACTTGAACAAGTATGTCTGTCACAGTCAAGTCTAAAATGAAGACTTACCTTGGCCAGCACATTCGATCCGGTCGCCAATTCTGACAGCTTGGCTGTACTTGAAAGTTTCGCGGTTCCGCTCGCCAACGCCCTTGTAGGAAAAGTACTGAAGGTGAGACATGGCGAACTGGTTGTCATTGGATTATGCTCGAGGTCGGGAAACCAATTTATATAGGAATCTTATCTGTTCCAGGGGCCCTGGGCTTATTCAAAAAGTTGGCATGTCGGAAAATAGAATTCCGGTGCATGCGCTGGCAAATTGCCTCGACGGGGCGGCGGTGCGACTCCCTGAACTGTCTTTTCCAGATTGAGTGGATCATAGGTTCGGATTCTCTTTTTATCTTTGACCGGGAACGAGGTACGATCATAGTCATAAGCCTGCTCAACCTTTACGTCAATACCACTCCAGCCATCTCAGCGGGAGGTATTTATGGACATAGCAGAGCACTCGAACTCATACGTAGTTCCGTAATCGAAAATTGGCCGACCCAGACTGTTCAAATCCTCGTATTGGTGAATTAACTAACGAGATGTGGGATTAAATTACTGGTTGACCAATTTGTAGAGTTGAATAATGTCGGCGCAAGCTGGGACAGTGTAGGCTAGTAATCCCTGTAGGCGAATGAGATAGAGGGTAGGGCCAAGCGGAACCAATCTTGGATGCAAAGGTTGATTGATTGAAGAACGAACGAATGTCGTTGGGCAGGTTGAAATACCCCATAGATGGCGCGGGTACACGGTGTTACGACATCCGTAATGCCCATGATACCAAATTACTATACAAAACACAAGGGAAAGTTGGTCACTCAGTATAACCCCTGTCTACGCGGTCAGTTACCGCTCCATGTCTCGAGACCTATCAACACCTACGGCCGTAAAGGGCCCCGGCTCGGTGGTTGTCGGAAACATTCTGATTATTCTAACAACTGATGAGCTGCTGGCCCGGCCGTAAGAAGTTGGAAAAAAATTGTTCCGCTTACCTCGAGCTGGAATACGTGGGCGTCAGCTGCCTGACAAGTATTGGATATAAAAATTATGATGTCCTCTCTGCCTCAATCGGGGAATGATCTGGCCAGTTTTTGTCGATCCGAGAGCATCCGTTGCGCATCACGCTATCCCCTCTACACATTGCGCGGAAGCTGGCCCTCATCCCCGAATACATCCCCGACGAGAATCCCGAGCGCATCCCCGTCCTCCATGCGATAGCCACGTTTTCACCCATAGTCAGGGTTTATCGCCATGTCTGCAGAACCTCGCGGTGCGGACCCTGCGTCCCCCGCCCAATCATTACCCGTCATGGCTATGACAACGATCAAAGTGGATGGAATGGCCTGCGGAGCCTGTACATCTGCAGTTGAGGGCGCATTCAGGGGAGTAGAGGGGGCGGGCGATGTGTCCGTCAGTTTGATCATGGGTCGCGCCGCTGTTCAACACGATCCGTCTATACTTTCGCCCGCGAAGGTTGCGGAGATGATTGAAGATTGTGGATTCGATGCCGCAGTTCTGTCTACTGAAGAATATGCCAAATCCAAGGATATCGGTGCGTCGGATGCTCCGGTAGTGCGATCCTTGACGACCACCCTCGCGATCGAAGGTATGACCTGCGGCGCATGCACTTCTGCGGTGGAAAGTGGACTCAAGGATGTCGCTGGAGTCAACTTGGTCACCGTATCGCTACTGTCAGAGCGCGCGGTAGTAGATCATGATGCTCAGACCATTACACCGGAGCAAATTGCGGACCTGATCGAGGATCGTGGCTTTGGCGCTCGCGTGGTAGAAACAAAAGCCTCATCTGTTGGCCAAAAGGATTCGTCCCAGCTTGCCAACCGGACGGAGAATAAGTCAGGGCATATGGTCACGACAATCGCCATCGGCGGTATGACCTGTGGAGCTTGTACATCCAGTGTCCAAAATGCTGTCGCCTATATGGATGGCGTGGTCCAGTTCAACATCAGTCTGCTAGCTGAGCGCGCCGTGATTGTACATGATCCGTCAATACTCCCAGCACAGAATCTTGTCACGATGGTGGTGGATGCTGGATTTGATGCATCTATTGTGTCGTCTGAATCCCAGGAGCCGCTCTCAAGGAAGACCCAGCAGCTCAATCTTAGTATCCATGGTCTAAGGGACGCACCGTCTGCTTCGGCCCTCGAGGAAGAGCTGCTCAGCCGACCAGGGATTCAGTCTGCGTCTGTCAAACTAGCAACTTCCCACGTACTTGTTGCATTCGACACATCTGCCATCGGCATCCGATCTATATTCGAAATCATCGAGGGTGCCGGTTACAATGCATTGATTGCTGATACCGATGACACAAATGCACAGTTGGAGTCCTTGTCTAAAACGAAGGAAATCCAGGAATGGCGGCGCGCTTTCATAACCTCCGTCTCTTTCGCCGTTCCCGTGTTTCTCATCAACATGATTTTCCCAATGTATTTGCGCGCCATCGACTTTGGCAGATTCCAGTTAATTCCAGGTCTTTATCTGGGTGACTTGATCTGCTTCGGTCTTACGATACCTGTACAATTTGGCATTGGTCGACGGTTCTACGTCACCAGCTACAAATCACTCAAACACAGATCTCCCACAATGGACGTTCTTGTCATGTTGGGCACGTCTGCAGCTTTCTTCTATAGCTGCTTCACGATGGCCATGGCTCTCTTTGACGATCAACACAAACGGCCAAGCACTGTTTTCGATACCAGCACCATGCTCATCACTTTCATCACACTAGGAAGATGGTTAGAGAATCGGGCCAAGGGACAAACATCCGCTGCCCTGTCCCGTCTCATGTCTTTGGCCCCCTCCATGACCACCATTTACGAAGACCCTATTGCGGCTGAAAAGCTTGCCGATGGATGGACCTCCCAAGGGACACCGAACGAGTCGAAGCCCACATTATCAGAAGATACATCGGTGAACCAAAAGGTTATCTCCACCGAATTGATCCAAGTCGGTGACATCGTCATCCTTCGTCCTGGTGATAAGGTCTCTGCGGATGGTATTGTCATTCGTGGTGAAAGTTATGTCGACGAGAGTATGATCACAGGAGAAGCCCTGCCCATCCACAAGAAGAAGGGCAGTCATGTAGTCGCTGGCACCGTGAACGGAACGGGTTCCATCGACTTCAAGGTGATCCGTGCAGGCAAAGATACCCAGCTCAGCCAGATCGTCAAGCTCGTGCAGGATGCACAAACAAGTCGTGCTCCGATCCAGCGCATGGCCGATATTGTGGCTGGTTATTTCGTCCCAACAATCATCGGTCTTGGTTTGGTTACCTTCTTCGGATGGATGGTCCTTAGTCACATCCTGTCCAACCCGCCCCAGATCTTCCAGCCAGAGGATAGCGGTGGCCGAGTGATGGTTTGCCTGAAACTCTGTATTTCGGTCATCGTCTTCGCCTGTCCGTGTGCTCTTGGCCTCAGCACCCCGACTGCCGTCATGGTGGGAACTGGTGTTGGCGCTGAGCATGGTATCCTCGTCAAGGGTGGTGCTGTTCTCGAAGCCGCCACCAAGGTCAATCACGTTGTCTTTGACAAGACGGGTACCTTGACTACGGGCCGGATGAGTGTCGATCACGTCCGAATGGAGCCTCACTGGACGGTCAATGACTGGCGCCGCCAGCTGTGGTGGCTGCTTATCGGTCTCGCAGAGATGGGCAGTGAACACCCAATTGGCCGGGCTATTCTTAGCGAGGCTAAGTCCGAATCTGGTCACCCAGGGGAAGACGGGTTACCTGGAAGCGTTGGCGATTTTGATGCATCCGTCGGAAAGGGTATTTCAGCTGTCGTTGAGCCCATGTCCAGCGCGGAGCGTGTCCGCTACCAGGTTCTTCTAGGCAACACAGATTTCCTACGATCGAGAGATGTCCCCGTGCCTGCAGCGGCTGACCCTGACTCCTCGGCAGCCGAAGAGGAAACGGGACAGATAGCCCCCAAACCTACAAGTGCTGCGTCCGGCATCACACGTATCCATGTTGCCATCGACAACCGCTATGCAGGAACTATTTCCCTCCGCGACAGCGTTAAGGACACTGCGGTTGCCGCAGTTGTAGCCCTTCACCGTATGGGGATTTTCACCTCCATGGTCACAGGCGATACATTGTCGACTGCGCTCTCAATTGCCTCGGCCGTCGGCATTCCGGCATCCGCAGTCCACGCATCTGCCTCTCCGTCTGACAAGCGTGCCATCATCTCCTCGCTCCAGCTCAATGGTGAGCGCGTCGCCATGGTCGGTGACGGAATCAATGACTCCCCAGCGCTGGCAACTGCATCTGTGGGTATCGCTCTAGCCTCGGGCACCGACGTCGCGATGGAGGCAGCCGACATTGTCCTAATGCGCCCCGATGACCTGCTCTCCGTACCAGCCAGTCTATCACTCTCCCGCTCAGTCTTCAACCGCATCAAGCTCAACCTCGTTTGGGCCTGCCTCTACAACGTCATCGGCCTGCCCTTTGCCATGGGTCTATTCCTCCCCTTCACTGGCTTCATGCTCCCTCCCATGGCTGCCGGTGCCGCCATGGCAGCGTCTAGCGTCTCGGTCGTGGTGAGCAGCTTGCTTCTGAAACTCTGGCATCGTCCGTCCTGGATGAAGGTCGAGCGACTGGAGAAGGAACTTGGTTCGGGAGATATCCCTGCCGATGGCGTCTTGCGCAAGGCTGGTTGGTGGGCTCCCGCTACCATTCTCTCAGACCATCGTCGTTCGATCCGCCGCTGGGTCGGTGATAGCGTGGCCTCCTTGTGGTTCACGGCTACTGGGAGGCGGACTGCTGTTCGCGAGGATGAAGGGTATGTCCCGCTGCAGACTGTTGAGCCTCTTGTCTAACCTGGAACGTTGGCGTGGACTCGAAATTACTGTCATGATTCCACACCCGAATGGAGTTGGTTCGGAAATGGGATATAAATACGTATTTAGATATTGTTTCGGGAATGGGCTGGCTTATTTCAAGCCGGCCTCTCAATTGGCGGCGTTGCGATTGTGGGTTAAATTGTGTTTTTATTTCTGCGTGTGGAACTGAATCCGACTTGGACCACGCTCCAGGATTTGCACATTGGCTGTAATCTCGACCGTAGTGAAATTGCAGCGAATGCGTGATCTCTCCATACCCTCAAAAAGGTCTGGAAAGGTGAAAAAGGAAGAAAGGCGGATGGGTTGTCTTTTAACCTCCTGCGATGGGCCCTGACCCATGCCGCCAATGCGACGGGTGGCCCCCAATCATGTCTCTTTCCACAAAATTACATACAGGGTGCTGTTGTAACCCGACGAATATTACGGTCACATATAATCAGGATAAACCTAAATACTTTGGCCAATACGCCATTCGTGGATCTGCCTCGCATAACCCTGCGTCATCGGAGAACACCCTCAGCTTGACCACGATGCTCGCAGCTCAGTGGCCGGCTCAATCATCCGAACCTGCAAACTACCTAATAAATAATTAATAAATTTTCTCAGACCCTTTTTACAATAATATTCTATCAATAGGAAAGTCTGGTCTCGCCGTTGCCAAACGCACAAATCGAATATGGCAAGATCGTCCTGAACGGCCCAATACGGTGTTATTATAGTACGATGAACCTGGTGTACAAACCCAACATCCGCTTCTCCATTTCAATCCTTGTCATTGTATTCTTTGCATACTATGAGGATGTGTGGCCGGATACAGTATTGTGATAAACTCAAATAGGAATACCATGGTCTTCGCAAGTACTCTTGATTTGTCCCATCTTTATCCTTTACCTGGATAACCTCCTCATTCAAACCCCTACTTCCGGAGCTAGTCTAAAGATCCTGGATTTATCCGATAACAAGGTTTTCCAGGATATGGGGAGTCGAGGATACATTGGGGATGGAACAGAGGCGAGACATTGCCGGACATTACCAGTCAAGGTAGGAGGCTTGTGGAGGGGGCATTTTTTGATGAATCCTGTACGGACACTCGTCACCTGTGGTTTCTCAGTCGTCACATGATAAGGCTCCACTCTCCCCTGGAACATGGTAGCCGATTCTGAACGTACATACAGGATCCAATGGAGCTTGAGCTGGATGAATCCCGCGAATACCTGCCTGTAGCCTCTAGGGTTGTTACGAGGACGGCCGCTTTGCACGCCATCTTGGAAAAAGGAGGACAGCGGTCGGCGGTGGACAGCCTTCTATTAGGCATATGTCAAGGCTTTGTGGGCCCCGCGCCTCAAGTCCTCATTTACCTCTTTCTCGTAACTCGACTGTAGACGATGTTGGCCTGAGTTATAGAAGATCGTCCCCGGTTGGAGGGTACAGGGTTGTTGGCCGTATTGGATTTACACATTCAGTTAATTCCTTAGGTTAACGAACACTCATCGACTATCTGGTCCATTCAACGGAATTCACAGATACCTACATTACTGCTCTTGTGGCCCGTGGTTGCATTGGTTGGGGATATATTGGAAAATGTTGTTCTCGTGGAAGCACTCTTGACCCCGCACGTTCAAGATGTGGAAGGGGCACGGCCCATTTATGACGGGTACGAATACTGTAAAAGACCCTGGCCCTGGGAAACAAATCTGCCTGGCGCGTCTCCGGATCGACGTGCTCAGGCCCATACCCGATCAAACGCGGCGGGCCCAGTGGAGCTTTAGTGACAAATTGTAGAAGTGGGTCGCCGTTCGTGTGAGCATATTAGAACGTCCAAAGATAAACAGGTGGCGGACGGCTGGCTTCATTTGAACGCTGGAACCAAGCAGAACTATTTTCAGATGTTGGTGGCGTAGCGAAGTCGTCGACTCATTAGGCCCTCATAAGACTGCAACTGTCCTGGAGTTTCTGAGCGACTTCTTGTACTTCTTTTTCTTTATCCCAAAGACAAAGTTAATACCTGAGGTAAGTCCTCGGGTTCTTGGGTGCAATGTACCTAGTGATAACCCCATGGTAGGATGCACAGAAACTGTTTTGTTTGATTTTGCCGCGTCCATCAGCAAATCCATTCCCTTCGACATTGTATCAGCGACAGGGGACCCTCATTATTCGTACGATTAACGATACGATTGCGGATTTACAAGCACAACGATGAAAAGCAGGAAAAAATCAGATCCCTTTCGGAGCTATGTAGAGGCCACACGGAGCCAGTCACAAGTGGCAGGATTCTTGCGGGACCTGCGAAAGGAGAGAAGGCGACTTCTACGGCGACTCAAGCAGATTTACGTGCAAGTCGGGTGAACTTCGGAAGAAGGGTGCAGAGGGTTGCGGGACCAGGCCATCAGAGTCGTGGCCCTTGGTATTTTACTTGAGTCCCTGATCCAGAAATCAACTGTACCCGACGATATTTGTTCCGGAGGATCGTGAGATCATGCTGAATGTGTTAATGGAGCTCGATTGCCCCACTGGGAGCTCTCAGCTTATCCAGAAATATTGACCACATTGTTATTTTCGTAGCCCGGGCCATTTCTCGTATGAATTGTAAAGAATTACTACTACGCTTCGCACAGACGGTTCTAGCGTTGGGAGACGAGCCAAGCATTGGGAAGGACCAGCCATCGCAGCCACAGGAAAGATGGACCCAGTAAGTTTCAGCTAATACGGAAACAATATTTCAGTTACAAGAGCAGTTCCGTTGGTGTATAATTGCTGGCATGTTCGTCACTGGACGAGTCTTTCTTTGTTAGAACGTACAAATCACGGTTGAGATCATCGCTCAGTAAGATTGTTGAACGCTTTTTAGTTGGCCTGTGGGGTGCTACAAAACAAGCAATAAATTACCCACTTTCGCACCTCGAACAACCTCCTGGCAAGCCTGGCAAGGGATTTTTTTATAAGATTCAGTCAGCCTTTTGCCTTTCGTCAACTCTTCTTCACCATGCCAAAAGCCGCGACCACTTCGAGGAACCCAATGGTGCCGCCCCAACGGGCGGTTCGCCGGTCAGCAGCAGGGGCAGGAAGATCTCTTGCGCAGCCCATAGGAGCTTTACCTGGAAGCGATGGTGGTGGTCTTGAACCAACGTCGCGACGGCCAATGAATGTCAGACAAGTACCGATCCGCTCGTCAGTGTCGCGTTAAGGGGCGTACATTCTTACTCGCATACTTTTTGATAGGAACGAACTTCCCACACCTCTAGACCAGTGAATCAAGGTGACACAGATGAAGACTTTGAGACCGTCCACGCGGAATGCAGAAAGGATATGGAGAATGCTGATGCGGTCAACCAAAACCTGACGGCTCGGTATAATGAGCTGCGGCGCGAAGCCTCAGCTAATGCACAGCGGTTCGCTAGAGAACGAACCGAGACCATGAACAAGATTCACCAGTACCGTGTGGAGATACAGAAGAAGTCAGACGAGGTACAGCGCTTGAATGGAGAAAATACTAGGCTGGAGAAACTTCTTGAGTTGGCCAACTCGAATGCCCGTAACCTGCTCTCGCGAAGTGAACTACAATAGATCCTGCAAGGCATCCATACTGCTTCCCAACCTTTCATGACCCATCTCAAAGCTAGAATGGACGAAAACGAAAGTCAGATGGACGAAAACGGAAATGCGCAGAATTTCAGTCAGCTGCCGGGAATAGATGTGACGGGCGACTGGCTTAACATAGAAGGGTTCGATGTGAAAATGACTCGGAGGCCCTTGCAGAGATGCCAGGCACTATGTTCCCTGCACTCGACCTGGAAGGCGTTCCAAATATCTAATCTGTTGTAGTGGAGCTGGATCATTGGGCCAATGCGCCATGCATGTCATCCTAAGTCCTCAATGGCAACTTGCGTTCGTTAAGACATCTGCCTGCAGTATGTTCTATCAAATATTCCCCTGCGATTATACGAACAAGTAGAAGTAAGTATCTACTTTGTATACGGAGCTGGCCCATTTCTGTTGCCGCATTTCAGCAGTTTGGAAACTCCTCAACAGCTAAGGGGCTCGTATGTTACGGTATTAAGACCGGCGGGTTGTGTAACTAGAATTCAGCACTCTCCAGGTCAAGGGGAAGTCCTTCAGCGACCGTCGCTGACATCATTCTTCAAATAAACAACTAAGCCTAATATCACCTACTCTGCATTCTCCTCAACCTGGCTCCTCCAACGTGGGTTCGTCCGCTTGATGCGCTCTCTATTCACCTATGCACGCACGCTGAGTCGTGTAGCTATCCAACTTTAAATCTACGTTGACCTGCACGGACTGCTATTGTTCCATGGCCGATAAAACTTGCAAGGGAAAGCCACGACATGTTAGAATGATCCTGGCTTGGCGATCGTGTGGAATTGTGATCGATGCCAATGTGCCCTAACCGCAACGTGTGTGCTCATCTCTTACTGCAGGTAGATAATCACTTTTATGTGAATCAGCTTTTGTGATCGAAACGATATTTGACAATACGGCTCCAGCAAATCAAATAGGCTGTGCCGCTCTTCTAACAAGCTAAGTACACTCGGTTGGGCCTAGCATGTTGGCCTGGTCTCATATGAAAGGAAGGGTAAGACACGTTTTTGTCAGGGCGGGTTGCCACCGTACTTTGCGCTCTCTGGCCTAGTCGTTTCGAGCCACTAATCACATTGGCCGCATCAAGCGCAGATATGAATAGGTGGTTCACCCGATCCTACATCTTTCCTGTGACCTACGTCTCGTACCTCCCCTTGGGTATTGATCTGCGGGCCTAGTTTGCTCCTAAGGGGCCACGCACAGGAAGCTAGGCAGGGATATGGCCCTCGGATAGTGCCATTTCATCCGCTGCGTCCCAATTTGTACATCCCGCTCGGCTTTACATGGCGACCCGATGGTGCTATTCCGATCACAGCAAATCTGAGAGCTTATGTCCTCGAGATCGGCTCCGTTACCCGTATCAGTCTCTCGCGAGGAGGCCAACCGGGTGGAGTGCGCATGTTGAATAGGTCCAGAAAGCTAAAGCGTCACCAATGGAGTCACCAACGGAGTCACCAACGGATTCACCAACGGCCCCTACAGGCAACACAATATTGGCTGAACACACCGAGCCTTTCTCTAAGGTTAGTCAGGATGCGATAGCACGATAGGTTGTGAAGCGCACATTCTGTTCTTGTTAGAGAAGGAATCGTCATCTTGATCAACAAACGCTTTACTTCCCTCGTCACAACACCGGAGATGTCCGAGAAGTTGGTTATACAGTACAGGCACTTTCTCATCTTAAAGTCGATTTCCGTTCCAGAAAGGAGAAATCTCTCAAGCAAGTACATGCCCCTTGGTTGCCTGCAATATATATGCTATACATAGCAGCCACAACCTTCACGGATGAAGGAGTAGTCCATACCATGCTCCAACAAGCACAAATCTACGAACAACACGGAAGAACTAGTGTAAATAAGGTACTTTGTCACCCCGTGGCCGATGGCTAAGGTTGCCCTAGTTCCTCGAGCGTGCTTTTTCTTCGCCATTTGCGACTGCTTGCATACCGGATTTGAGGCACGTGACTAGATGAGAACATCGTCCGCCTACCATATCTTATTCGTAACCAATGGGGCTCTATGTTTTGCGCTTTTCCATAGCTATCGGTGCGCCTTGATCGACATTGCCCATGCAAAAGCAAATACTTGAAGCAAAATTACCAGGGCAAAGCAAGGTTGAGGCAAATCCTAGTAATGAGCTTTGAGAGCACCTGTTCTGGGCCAAATGGAACAAGACCAGTAGCAGCGAAGCTATTTTGAATAACATGTAGCTGAAAGGCCTCCGCACGCACCCGAGGGTAATCCGCGAGGAAATCGAGTTTGTCGATATGATTATATCCAACACGAGCTATATCGCTTACGAACCGACCGTACGCGCGTTTACGCACAGCAAAACATCCAGCATCAAGCGGTTGTAGTAGATGCGAGGAGGCATAAGATGGCTATCGTGGCCGTCAAGAATCAATAACCGACATCAACCGCGTACGCGCGAATTCGTCCATGGAATAAATAGCTTTTGTAGCCAGCGAAGGCCAATCTCATCAGTAGTCTAGCCGTTATTCGAGACCTCGATCCGCCGATCTCCTAGTAGGTTTGATTCAAACCAACCGGCGATATAGACTTTGCCCTGAAATATCACCCATGGCGGGAGCGAAAAGCCATCGGCGCAAATTGTTTCGATCGCAGTAACCCATTCGCGATTTCCAGGTTGTAAAGCCGATCGCCGACCGTAGTAATCAGCTCGAGTAACTACTTTTTGCGCTGAAATAAGACCCATCGCAAAGCCAGTCTCATCAAAGTTATAGATATCCTCCGGTTGAATCTCGATCACGCGTTGTACGGTAGTAAATCACTCTCGTAGCGACTTAGGTTCCTCACTTAGGGCACGTTGATCATTGTAGCGTCTCGAGAAGCGTGTACAAAGCTCATCGCGGCGTTTAATAAAATTCGATGCCCAGTTAACGCCGACGGTCAAGGGGATAGTCGATCCACGCGCTGCAAGAAGAAGATTGGCCATTTCTCTTACGGTAGAGCGCCTAGAGGCTGCTCCACTCGAATCCATAGAGAAGATCTAGTCAACAAGCGAATCCTCTTCCAATTGTGTCAATTTTGGTTGGTCTCTACGAGGGTCAACTGTAGGTAATGTTTTCTTGGGTTCGGATAACGTCCGTTTGAGCCTTGTCGTCGCTGGAATTATCATTTCCGGCCGGGTGACTGGGATGGGGCGGGACACCATCATAACCCGTCCACTGCCGCTTCGTAGCAGCCCTGTACCCCAACACCCTAAACTGCTCTAATACTATGCAAAGCGGAAGCGGAAACAGAAGGGAAATAACTTCGCTCTTAATATGAATTACAAAGCATAAATTCCCTATCACCTAACATCAGGAGTGTTACGCTCAAGCACGGGGATATCAAAATCAACACGGTAGCGTTCAACGAAGCCCAAGAAGGAAGATGGAAAGTATCTAGCTGGAGGTCTTGTTCATATCACCCCCTACCCAGTATCTTCCATCTCGGTATCTTCCTGATATCTTAGGCATCCGTCATAAGTAGTCCGCGAGAAACACTGCAAATGAAATTTAGAATGCTACGACATTATTGTCAGGTACACACACTATTGAGCCAGCCACCCCAGAATGCCTACCATTAATCGATGAATACTCGATTGTACGATGCCGGGCCTTGTATGTGCAGTCTTAGAATATGCGAGGCGCTATTTGAGCTACTAGGCCCAGTAGAAAGATTAGCAGCTGCCATTTCTGGCGTACTATTATTCTACCACGTCAGTACATATGGTACCCCAGGAGATCTGTATTGGTTCCATACTGTGGACACTAGTCTCCCCCATAGACCCGTAAATTGCGCATGCGCAGATGACAGTAATATGGGGAAACCGGGGAAAGGTAAACTATAAAGGGCGTCGGCTGCTCGCCAAATAAAATCAAAATGACTGTTGTTGTCCCCTCCATCCTCTCACCAAGCCTGAAATAGCGGCAGCTATCACAGTGCTGAACGAAGTAGCTACCGCCTCTGCAGAAAGCTGTGCCTGCACTGTACTGACCCCGCACCACTGGTCATTGAAGTTGGAAGTTGCCGCTGGATATTCTCTTTTCGATCATATCCAATCTGTCCTCATCAATTTCAGGGGCGGTAAGATGCAGAACATACTTCTTCAGGGCTTAGGGCTGGGGCTGCTGCTAGCCACGATAGGTGTCAACGGTGTCGCTTTAGGTGGGAACCCCGGTACATTCTCTGTGGTGGAGTCGGAGTGCAACAAATATATCACACCGGCTGCGCGGCTGACCTATCGTGTAGATTTCACTCCACCTGACCCCAAGCACCATTCGGGCTGCAAGTGCTTCCCCGGCGATAACTGCTGGCCGCGACAATCAGACTGGAGCAGACTCAACGCCACCGTCAACGGCCATCTTGTTGCCACTGTCCCCCTTGGTTCGCCGTGCCATGACCCACGATGCCGCCGAGTGCGCTAATCTGCGCGACCAATGGCTCTACGCGCCGATACAGTAAGTTCAAGATCTTGCCATTCATTTCCCCCTTTTAACAACCATACAAAATGGCATCTATCCCCCGCCATAAGCATCGTCGCATCTATTGCGTCCTATGGCTCTTCCATGTTATGACTCTTTTGTGGCTGACGTGTATCTCGTAGCTATTCGTCCTCCTCGTCTGTCATGGCGCCCCTATTTGCGAACCAGAGCTGCGATCCCTTTCAGCCTCCGGCAGGCCCCTGTATACTGGGTAACTACGTGCGATACGCCGTCAACGCGACTGGTACCAGTGACGTTGTGTCTGCACTTGCTTTTGCCGAGGAACACAATATCCGATTCGTGATTCGAAATACGGGACATGATTTTCAAGGTCGATCGACTGGTGCTGGCACGCTTTCTGTGTGCACGCATAATATGAAGCGTATCAAGGTCCTGGACTGGAATGATGCGTATTATAATGGCAAGGCACTTACAGTCGGCGCTGGTGTGCAAGGCTTCGACGCGCTAGAGGTGGCACATGCTGCTGGTCTTACTGTCGTCTCGGGCGAGTGTCCGACAGTTGGTCTAGCTGGAGGGTATACACAAGGAGGCGGTCACTCTGCTCTCAGCACCGTCTTTGGCCTGGGTCCTGACAATACTCTCTCGTTTGATGTTGTCACGCCGACCGGTCAGCTTATCACGGCCTCACGTACTGAGAACCAGGATCTATACTGGGCTTTAAGCGGAGGTGGCAGCGGTAACTATGGTATTGTCATCTCTATGACTGTCCGCGCACATCCTGATTCTAGGGTCAGCGGCGCCGAGTTTACCATTTCCGCGTCTGGGGATAAGCTGTACGATGCGGTTGATGCCTTCCACAGTGCATTGCCTAACATTGTTGACTCTGGCGTTATGGTTCTCTACTTCTTTGGGGAAGGATTCTTGCAGCTCTCTGCTATGACGGCCTATAACAAGACCAAAGCTGAGGCAGAGCAGATTCTCCAGCCCTTTGTCAATTCTCTAGATAATATTGGCATTGCGTTAACGCCTAACTTTACCGAGTACCCAAGCTACCGGCAGCACTATGATCATTATTGGGGACCTCTCCCTGTGGGCAAGACTCAGGTGGGCAACACGCTCTTTGGCGGCCGCCTGATACGGCGTTCTGTGCTTCCTGACTTCTCCCCAACTTCCCGCAAGCTTATCGACATGGGCGTCACCTTTATCGGCGTGGGTCTCAACGTGTCTCATTTCGGCCTAGACAACGCCAATGCAGTGCTACCTCAGTGGCGCAACTCGATAGTCCACGCGGCACTCACGTTGCCTTACAGCTTCCAGGCGCCGTTTGAGTCGATGGTTGCTCAGCAGGACAAGATTACCAATGAGGTTCAGCCCGTTATTGAAGCTACTACGCCAGGCGCTGGCGCGTATATCAACGAGGCTGATTTCCAGCAGAAGGACTGGCAGGAGACCTTCTTTGGATCTAACTATCCGAAGTTGCTGGAAATTAAGCAAAAGTATGATCCGAACGGCTTGCTCTATGATCGGATTGCTGTGGGTAGTGAGAAGTGGACTGTCCACACCGATGGGAGGATGTGCCGAAGCGGGTACTGATCAGCGGCTGTGCGGTAGTGAAGAACTTTGGACTTCATGACTGAATAGTTACAGTCATTGCGGTTACGTTGATGTGCGGGTGAAGCTGGCCCAGTATTGATTGTGCATTACCTCTGATGGTGCCGAAGATGTTCACCGAACTGGAAGCGGAATTCAACATTACAAGGTATTCGGGAAATCAATGACCTGCAAATTATACTCAGTAGGAATTTTGTGTCTGCAAACTTGCCGACCATTTGTATGGTGTTCACTCGCCTAATACCTTCTAGAGACCCGCGCACGAGAGGTTTTAGTTTCATAGATCATTCTTCTTCCCAGAAAAATATGCAGGCTACCTCCACTCGTAAGAGAAGGTTCTGGGAGGTTGTTGCCGCTAGTTTGAGCTGTTCGTGAAGGCCAGGGCTAGAGTAACACAATTGTTCCCTCGGCAGCAATGAGGAGGACGGGCCTATATCAGATTTATCAACGAGTTAGAGTGACTGGGCACGAAGAATGCTTCTAGCAAGGTAAAAGTGGCGAGGAAAGATCTGCGGTTGGCGGGATACCCTCCTAACCAGCCCGCATATTAAAAATATATTCCTGTCATTTGACGTCCACTGTCCATGTTTGACGATCCGATTACTACAATACTTGAGTTTGCAACTGCTTCCACAACTTTCTACTTTCGGACTAGACCACTGGCGGAGTGGGAGGATGGCCAGGTCTAACCTGAAACGATCTGCTATTAGGACGTGTCGACCTGGCCACAGTATCCGGGTTATCGCCAGTCATATATTCCTCCATTTCATGATCACAGTACAGCTTTACCATGTCAAATGGGCCATGGCTTGTTACAGGACCAGTGGCAACACCGTATTCGCTTCCGGCGTACCTGTCCGGCAAAAGTGCAGCCGTCTACAAGGTTTGTAAGCATCTCACTTAGGAGGTGAGAAAGGTAAGCTGCAAGTCACAGACACGAAGATGGTCACCCGGAAGTGGGCGGCTAATCTGGAGATATCTTATTTCATTGGAAATTCCACCGCCAGTCCGAGATCGCGAATTTGGGGCATCTTCACCCACACCACGAGTTTAGCATCGTACTCGGCCAAGGTGAACCTTGCCATATACGGCAGCGGATGCCTGCATCAAGCACCACTATATTGCTCTCGAGACTCTATGCTTTAGCTGCTTGCACTATCTTAGAGGTCCGTGGCGAACATTCAGAGTTGACTGCTTCGCTGGTCATTGTTCCCATTAAATAAATCCTTCACACCGAACCGCGATCTTTTCTGCGAATCGCTATGCTTTGACCGTGTTCGCGTACCTACATGAACCGCCAATGTCCAAATGTTGTGACGCGAGGTACGGCCTCTCGATGATAAGCATCCTCGCTCGGTCCCAGTTAGATCCGCGCCATCACGACTCTCGGAAAAGAGCTTCACCTCTACAGACTACTACATTTGCAACTTGGAAGTGATGGTACGTGTGACAAACGGTTTGCATGCCAATCTGTGATTCCTCATCATAGAATGACGCTGGTTTTGGCCAAAGTTCCTGATCGTGCAGCCGAGTTTTGAGTGTTGCATGATATAAGTTCGTCCAGTCAGCCGCGAGTTATATCGACTGTCTTTCGGTTGTATTTCAAGTTGAAAGCGTTTGATTTCTCATGGTACTGGCCGACTTCGGTCCAACGTTAGGCCAATCGCTCGCGTCGCGGAACATCATTCCCCGCATCCCCGCTTACGCGTCGCGTGCACAACAATGCTAATCTCTCGGAGCCCACCCAACTTGCATGTTTATCTGACCCTACGGAACCTTTGTGCTTGGGGATCGGTGCTGCAGGAAGTCACTTGGTGGGGGCTGGACTCTGCTCGAACTAAACGTCTGAATTGTGAGCTTTTGCGATTGTTACCCCTGTTTACCCTTGTCTCGCATCGAATCATGTTTCTGTTGAGCGTATGGCGCTGTTCTAGTCTACGGACTAGGTACACATTGGTTACGTCGTAAGGCTAAATATGAGATAAAGAAGTAGTCACGTGACGGAGTCAGGAGTATTTTTTCGAGCAGATAGCTGCTGCGGTTTCCTCTTTCCCTTCCCCCCCCCCAGATTCGAAGTCTTCGCGCTTCGATAGTACTACACTGCCAGATCTCTGGGCCGGATTGTAAATTCGTTGTCACAACCTGCATGTCCAAGTCTTGCTGGTCATATCCGTTTGACGCTAGCACCACCGCCCTAGTCGTTAGTATTCACCACTCCAACAGGGTACTTCTTCTCTTCCTGCGCTTGCTATTTATATCTCTCTCACTCTCTTCCTTCCTAACATAGATAGCACTATGCATTTGCATGCCTGCCCGTTCATATTCCCACATCGTAGCCTTAACAATAATGAATCAAGCAGTATCCAGTGCTGACTCTCAGATGTCAGACCCCCGCAATTGGAACACAACAGCGATTCTCTAGGTAGAACGCACCATTGAGTTTATGAAGTGCCATAGATTCCAGGATACCTTAAACGAAGTAATAGAGCGGGACATGTAGAAATACCCAACTCGTCTTGCTTTGACCACATCCTTCTCACCTATGGAGTGGAGCGATATTCCAACGAAATAATATACCATGTCTCAAAAGGATTCTCCAAAGAATCCTACTTGTTAGAGTCCTCTTCTTACATTTAGGCATAATTCGAAAGAGCGTTGGTCAATTTATCTGCACGAGTGGTGAAATCTATCGTGATGATGTGGCTGGTGGATGTACTTGCCGAGAATTCAGCCCTCATGGTACCTGCCCCAACCGTTGTCCAGTTCGTCAAACTACTTGTCTGGTATTAGATTCAGGGATCTACCTTGCCGACTGCAATTCTGGTTGTACATCAACGACAAACAAGGACTACGATGCCTGTGGGGTATGGCCCCATTCACTCTGTCAGTGCGAGCAGAATCCATCACTCTGTGATTGGCAGCACGGAAAGGGAGTGGAAGGCTGGGTGAAGATCGCTGGGAAAAATTTAGCCACGCCAAATCAGCCGATCCGCAACATCTTGGCTCTACAGAATCACCAGAGTCTTGCAACGACCGGTTGGGACTTTGGTCAGCAATTTTCTGTCCTAAGTGCTCAAGGTCTGACTATCAATCCTGTGCAGACTATATGCGCGACTTTTTAACTGCCGTGTCCACCGCCTCTATTTCAGCCTATCAAACACTACAGAAGATTCCACTCAGTGGAGCGCAATTTATACGAGGCTATCCAGACGCACTGTGGTGCCTCGCTCCACAAAGCAAAAACACACCTATCAACGGGGCTCTTGTTTACGAGGCTATTAACAGCGTACGCCCTATGCCGGGCATATGCAATTATAATGTGGCTGCTGCAGTGATGCGTGACAAGAGTGACTGTACATGGGGATGTGTTACAGCTGATTATGGTGATGCAGAACATAGGTTTTTGAACCAATGTCGAATGCTCTTGACTTGCCTGCTTAAGTAAGTAGGATGATTCGTTTTATTTACCAGTTGATAAACCTTCCGCTCTGTTGGAGGCCTTACCTTTTAGTATATTACCTTGCAGCACGATTGAAATTGCAGTTGCTTCCCTGCAATATATTGGAGTTTGTTTCTCTGTGTTGGAACACAGATGAGTAAGCCATGTAGGTGCACTATCTGGCATCCTAGAGATTAGGCCTCTGTATGGTGCGGTCTCGAATTCGGAGGTTGAGACCGTACCAATAGTGAACCGCAATTGCATAATTCTACCAAGACCTTCCCTTTTCGGCTGCATAAATTGATGATTCATCCCTTTTGTTTACGCCCGGTGGCTCCACCAAATCGAGAATGCCCGGTCAAAGCTAAGTCTGAAAGAGAGATCACCAGCATATATCGTCAGGGATATCCAGCACCGAAAATGAAAAAGCGGATTGATGCTGCAACACTGAATCAGCGGATGATTGAGATTTGCTCGGCGAGAGGATATACGGGCAAGCTTGTTAGCACATGAGCGTTAGCACATGAGCATCTATGGAGCTGGGCGTTGCATATTGTGTCAATTTGTGTATTGCAAAAACAAAGTATAGTAACTGTTGTACAAATAACCAAAGCGCGAGAAACGGATACTGTAGATTCCTTAGGACTCGGGGCGATTCAGGTGTTCAGAAGAAATATCTCAAATCGTCATGTAAGGCGATGAGTGCGCATTCTGCCGACAGGCCCCCGACAACCTGATCGACGGATATATAATTTCCGATTCGCTCGCAAGTGGGTAGGTCATTTGGAGCCGGATTGGTTTCTTCGCATCTCCGACATGTCGTTCGAAACATCCACTGGGACTCTTTGTTTCCGGGGTGCTTTGAAAATTTAAGGAAAGCAAATTTTTTTTTTTTGCAAAAACCTGACAAGTGCTAAGCTCGAGCAGCGTTGGCAACGAAGAAAGAGACGATATGGAAGGCATTGTCCTTGATTTCTCATTTTTCGGGTATCTTGAGAATCGGTATGATGTTTGAAAAAAAAAAAAAAAAAAGGATTGTCTTGTTATGTGAGAAGACAAAATGTGAGTGAAAAGGATGAGGTTCAGATATAGCGAGCGCTCGGAAATGATAACAGACATCTGTAACCAGACCATATAACCTTCTTAAGGGAAATATCTCAATTGCTGATTTTCTTCAAGGGGCGACTGACGATCAGGCCCCATAAGATTAAAGAAATGTTCGGCCCCTTGGTGTTTGATAAGTTCAATCTTATACGAACAAGACCGGTGCTGGATCCATCAAATTTCTGCCAGGCCTATTATATATGGGGGAAATTATTTGCGAGGAATGTAAATCTGAAGTACAGTATGTCAAGTGCGCTCCCTGCTTATCGTCAAGAATCTATTAGAGAATTCAATTTTTATTTCTAGGTGCGTGAAGGTTTTACGAGTATTTTGTGCTATGTACAGTACGGACTCGAATGACATCGAGCCACTTAAATCTCTCCATACATCTACATTTAGTGATATTCCACCGGCTATGCAACCATGTCGTATTTCTCAGCCCTGGTTATTGTGCTGGGACTTCCCCGCTCTGTGGATCGGACTATTTCGGGTAGAATTAAAAAAAATGGTCCAACCAAGTGCTCCAAAAGCTGGGTAAAAGCGAGCGAAAGTTGGTCAAAATAGAGGGGGCGCACAGACTGCGCAAAAACGTGTTCAAAAGGTGTCCGATTGGGCGATCTCATTTCTGAGATTCCGAGTAGCAGGTCGAAGCGGTCAATTTGGCATGATTTATTGGCAGCGATCGATTTTGAGATCCATTTATTCAGCCTTTCATCGGTCTGACTGTTAGGGATATGCAAAAATATGCGCTATTTGGAGTGAATTCCGGGATTCCTGGTCATCATTTGGGATACCTTCGCTTGCTATGGTGTGTAATATGGAATGAGCAAACAGGTACGCCATTAGGACGAATTAATTTGCTGTGTTAGCGGATGGGCGCATTTTCAGGGTGGAAAATAATGTAGGGATGACAGATTGATCAAACCAGAGAGAGCAAAACGAAATGCGGAACAGGGATGAAGATTGGATTCAACAAAGTTGAGCAAAAATTGGGCAAAATCGAAGTCAATAAATAACGCGCAAAAACTGGGCGAATAATTCAGTAAGGAAAACCTAAAGCAATGAAGAAGTGGAGCAAAAAATGTGCAAAAGGCGTGCAAAAGGATGGCGAAGCGTGGGCAATTCAGCACGTAACTCTGGGCTCCGAGATTCCTGGGGGTGATCATCGAAGACAAAGACGTCACCATAGCCCGCTACAATCAGAAATTATCAAAAAGACCCCAAATTCTCTGAACCGACAAGAGCGGGGAAGTATTGGAGCGGCAGCGATCACATGTATTGAGGATCAATAACGTTCTTAGCCAGATGGGCGACGAAGAAACGTCCACGATGTACGCTGTGGAATTTCACGCTAGATGGGGCTTATGCTAGTTCTAGACAGGACGGTCAGATGACCAGGTGACGACTAAGTCAGAAAGCCAGGGATACCTAATTGATAAGCTTTTAAATCTTATATACACTAATCTGAGTTCTACGCTGCCTATCCGATGATCGAACTCGTAGATCCAACCCTAGAACCGTGAAGGTTCGGGAGATGACCTCTGTGTTACGAGCCAGCAAAAGGATCAAGCCCAGGTATGCATCAACAAAAGGGTGAAGACCAAGTTCGCGCTGGATTGCAGAACGCTAGATAAACCGATATTTGACTTATTAGAGCAGCATGCTAACGCCTGGATAGGGTATCTTCAACTATAATCGTGGAAATATAACTGTTTAGCGTCAATCCTCAGAGACGCCTAAGGCATTCTCCCGAATCCATGGCCAGTACACGTCGCTGGCCCATTTGGCGAGACGTTGCAGGCTCCATATTGTCTTGTATACCCCAAGGATATTACTACTCGACCCAAATACTTGCTCCAGCCATAGTAGGGTAGTCTCGCCCTCCCTTGTCGTCGCCGCAAAGCTCCACATGTGCCCATGCACGACGATAGCGGGCAGGAAAGGCAGTCCATCAAACGTACCGCCAGTTTGAGCGACGAGACGTTCAAGCAATCTCCATTGAGCAGTGTGCCAAGTGCCTAACTGCAGCTCCGCGGCTGCGAGGCGTTCTTCACCTTGTCGTTTAGTCTCGATGCTCACGGCAATAGGCCAATTTCGGAGAGCATATTCGTCTGTGTGGTTGATCACTTGGGCGGGGAGCGTCCGTGTGAGCTTCTCTGCTTCACTGCAAGCAACTGGCTCCGCTTCCGGGTTGACGTATATGCAAAAGTCCACCATTTTTCCTGTTGCACCAGGGGGTAGATACTCCCGAATGATTTTTGCGGTTGTGCATGGTTCAAAACCTATTAACTGACTTGGTCTTGCTGAGTCACATATAGCTTTGCGAAGGAGAGGATAATGGACCGCCATGTTCCATCCAGATTCGGACCGCTTCGTGCCCTGACAATGGAGCGCCTCCTTGACCAGGTCGGAGGCATCATCGAATGAAGGTGTCGGTCCGAGTTGATCTCGGTCCGCGGAGGGAGCAAACACAAACTCCCGGAAGACACGAAGTCCTGGTACTTGCTTTTCCTTCTCTTTGATCTCTTCCTCTCGGCGATTGGGATATGACACCATACCCATCATTGCAGTCCTCTAGCTCCACAAGCAACTGAGATAGTGCGACTGGCAAGTTCGGATCTGTCGAGTCTAGGACCTTTGTCTTGATTCTCTCGGAAGATAACTCCATGGCTCTGAGTTGTTTCAGAGGTGAAGACGGACCGGAAGCTTGCGATCGTTCCGACGATTCTGTGGGCGCCGGAATAGAAGGTACTGGGGACTCCGTGATTGCTCCATCTCCCTGATTACTTCTAGCTCTCGGTGTCTCGTCAACATCTCCCATCACTTTTCGTCTTTTATGCGTGGAACTGAAGTTGCTCGCCATTGTTTGGCGTCGTTTGCGCGATTCGGGTGGCGACGGAAGCTGTAGCTGATTCTTATCGGCCGACGGGTTCTGGTGCGGCGTAGGGATGATACTCCACGCACGGTCTGCGGGGCTTTTGAGGTTTGAAAGCCAATTGAGAATGTAGCAATCTTTCATCTTGTCACATCGTTGCGACTGGATCTCTCCAGAGAAGTAGCTTGAAAATTAGTGCTAATACGGAGAGCGGGATGTTTACATGGGGGGGACTTTTCTCTGAGACAACTGCTGACTCAGCTGTTAACCCCAGTGCCCGCCCACCACGTTTTTAGATGTAAACACGTGATTACTCTTTGCTGCTGATCCCTCGCAAACTCATCGATTCTCTATGATACACCTATTTCATTGCTGGCTAGCCAGTGACTCGCCAACATATCCATTACACTAGCCCTCCTTCTCCGTCAAGGAACCTGATGTAATTGGAGATGGAGCGATTTTCTTATCTTTCAAAGTACAAGGTGCTAATTTGAAAACCATATGTGCGTGCCGCGGCCACAGCCCCTCTCCATGCCCATCCAAGTCACCGCAAGGAATGACCGAGCTTGAAATTTCGGCTCCCCGTCGTACAGGCCGACCACATGATTCAGCCGACAGCATAAACCAGGCCCAGCCAATCGACCAGGCGCTCTGTGGGAAGTTCTATTGCCAGCACTTCCATGTCTCGGAGTTCCCACAAGATAGCGCTAACTCCCGGGGGTTTGATTGGTTCTCGGTCGCTACTCAATTAGGTGCAGCCCCCGCACTTCGATGTTCGTAATAACTGCGACTAAAAGCAAATCAACCTCAACAAGTTTCCGCCAAGTCTCATTTCGATATTATTATCTAGCCTTACCCTCCCCTCAAAATTGATACAGTACAGCCTGTTTATTCCATGTCATTTACAGGGAGTAATAGCTCTAAAGTTGGCAAGGCCGAACAGCCATATAAATATCACGTGGTTTCATCCGAGTTGCTGTCGGACAAGCAGCATTGGTGGATACCCGGAGGAAAGGAGATACTAACTAGTTAACTTATAGGTTAGTTAAGTTAGTTAGATCCGCCGAGATTAGTCATTATTATGCCCACATAAATTGCCAGCAAGGAGCAGTATAGCAATTCAGACTTCTTGATATCCTATTGGTGCACCAGTATGACTCACTGAGCGTCTTCCGACCAATAACTAAGCGTACGACGTGGTCAGAGTTTGAAATAGTAAATCTGTTCCTAGACATGAAAGGCAATATCGGTCGCCACGGTATATATTTGACCTTCAGAACAAAGAGACCAGGGAGCTTAGAAGAAATACATCCTAAGAGATGAATATGGATATTTAGTTAATGGTTAAGTCATTTTCAGACAGAGCTGTTGCGAGCATGTAGTATGACAGAGTACATTCCGTCGAGGTAGCTCCATTATGGGTAGACTAAGTACCAGTAACCGCCGAAGACATTTTTGGGGTTGGAGATTGATGGACTCTCGCAACGTATCCAGAATTGCCTTCAGTGTGGTGTTGTGGACTTCCTCATTTCTAAAACTTTACATCATTACCAGTATCAAAGGAACGGCAGGGTATGAGAGACGGTAGCTTACTGATGTAACATACTCTTTCCAGTCGAAAATCTATGCAATGGAAGTGGAGTGTCCTACGTAGCATTCAGGAGAAAGGGTATCAACTGTCCGTACTGGCTCTCAGAAACTCCTGCCAGTCGCTTTGAGAGCATACAGACTCCGGAGAGCGGTAGTATTCCAACAACCGTAGGACAGCTGCCTGAAAGAATCCGACTTGAAGATAAGTGGCGAGAATGCCTCAGCGCCAGGAGGGATAATGGCTTGTCCGCGCTCGATGGCAATTTCCGCCATCCAGGCAGAGTACGGGCGCGTCGTGCATGTTGCAGAGGACAAAGGGGTGTCTGTAAGGAGGCTCAAGAAGTAGACAAGGATCGGGAAAACGCGCGCATGATGGTAGATACATATGTTGTGTTCAGGGCAAAATTCGATTGCTTTGCGTCGTCGTTCTTGGGTCAAGCTATTTGCCAGGCTCTGGTCAATCGCTGCTGTTCACAGTCTTATCTCCGAAATTCTGCCACGACTATTTGATACGACCAACCACATCTGGCAGCAAGAAGATCTCTCCTTCGGATGCTGTTGTCCGGGAGAATGGAAAGCTGCCCCCAATATTGAAATTTGTCTCGGAAAGGCGAGCCAAAATGGAAGACAGAGTTATGGCACCTATCCGTTATAGCTATTGGTGTTGTTATTTAGAATACATTTGATTATTTCCGATGAGATGTAAGAGGCCAAACAAGTGTCTAAAAAGGAAACGACAGGATCAAGTTAGCCATGGTGGCCATGGCCCGAATCAAAAAGACCTAAGAATAAAATTAGATCCTGCGCATCCTAGAGAGCAGCCTTCGCCTTCTCTGGGTTCCAAAATTTTTACAACCCCTGCAGGATTGGCGTGTTATACTATGCACCACACACCGTTGCTGCTATACTCGCCAGAATATTGCATCACACCTACTGGAGAAGCATAAATTGATGAGAAACCAGCGCCTGTTCATAGAAAATGGACAGTTCCAGGCTTTGGCTCTAACGGCGGGAGATGTTCTGCAACCGCCAGATGGAATCGCAGAAATTCATGGACTGCCGACCCATATTGGGTTCCTTTGCCACTTTGACACCTGTCACTTTCGCACAACTAGCAAAGATATGAGGCGTCAGCACTATAATCAGAAGCATCAGTGGTATGTCTCCCACCAAGGTAGCAGGCCATGGCACCAGGCCATTTTTCAGACCTTCTTTACTCAGTGTCAACTGGTGCGATATTTTATTGTAACACCAGCAGTTGATGGGAATTAGTGCGAGCTTGATTTCCGCATGTACAGCCTATATATCTTTCAATAAAGGCAAGTATGTTCAATAGTCCCTTGAAATTCTTGATCATTATATTGTGTCTAAGCGTAATCACAGTATCACCGCATCAGTGGTGGACGCAGAATGTGATGCGTTTCCATCGTACATCCGCGTCCTGCCAGAGAATCTCTCTCGCCATCTATTAGAGAAGCATCGCTTACAGGCCAGTAAGCGAGGACGAATTGCATCCTCTAGTGAATTAGACTCGGTCGCCACCTCCAATGCTGGTGCGGTACAGCTACCTGATGGGAGAGAGGAGATTCATGGGCTGCCGACCGTGTTTGGGTATCTCTGCCACTTTGAACGATGTGACTTCCGCACGACGAGTACTGATCGGATCCGACAACAATACAATCGGCGGCACCAGTGGCAAGTTTCCCGCCAGGGCGCGATGCCATGGCACCAGGCTTATGTTCTGACATTGTTTTCCCAGTCGCCTGCTCAAAGAACTCGGTCCTAGCTATTACCTCCCTAGGGTGCAGGACGAGCCGTCTTTATTCCTGATCTGTGAGAGTATCGGACAGGTTCTAGAGAAAACGATGACCGTCCTCGTGCATGACCAGAACGTAGAGGCCCGATACCTCAGCCGGCGCAAGGCACGACTCGTCAATACCTTTACGCGGAGGGAGACCTCCCAAGATCCCATCACTGAACTACAGAACCAGCAGTCTCGTCGGAAATATATCGACACTTGGCAGAGGCTGATCTGCTATTGGGACCGCGTCGTTGGGCAGGGCCATCTCCGGGACACGCTCTTTCAGCCAAGCAGCTGACAGCTCGAAGCATGGTGCGAGGTAACTGAGGCCGCGAGCGAACTCACCAGTCGAACAGATCCCGATAGCGACGAGGTGAACACCGAGGCTTTCCATGACCGGCTCGATCGGGCTGTTCTCGAGTTCAGCCAGGCTATTATCCAACACTCTGTGCGCCATTGCAAGTTTGATTCCGTCTTTATGTCGTATGCTGCCGTGCGGTTCTGGAGCCATAAGCAAGGTGCACGGATGCTCGTCGGGAATTACACATCGATTCTATCGCAATTGATCTACGACTGCTAGATGGTGGTACTTGCCCAAGTGGTAGCGGAGGCCGAGGATGACCGGGACACGGACACTGGTGCTATGATCGTCGATATTCGGGATCAGTGGTTGTTGAATGACACGGAAGGTCCCGTGGTTGAATTGCAGGAGAACCGGCTACCCGGCTTCCGGATTGGCGAGACCGGAGTTCCCCCAGCACAGCTCCGCTGGCATGCGGATGGAGAGACACTGGTATGGTCGAATCTTCCACCTCTCAGACCTCTATCGGATCATCTTCGAAGGGATTGCGGAGGCTCGGCGGATTTTTGAGCAAGAGCTATTGGGATATCGCATCTTTCGTTTCGAGTTTCATCCTTCTCCCACGTGATTGATAACAGTTGTTAAGTTAGTTAGTCAGGTTTGTCACGCTTAGGGAGCGACTAAGCAAGAGCGGGTTCCGGGCTTAACTTAGTTAACTAAACTAACTAACTAGTTAGTTAATCCCGCGCGTCGCGGACAGGCACATTACGTGTCGCGTACCCGACAGCTAGTTTAGATGAATCACGTGATTGCACACCAAGAAGTCCCGCATGGCGCGTCTTGTCTTCTGGCACATTTAACACCTTTGCATTCGGGGCAATCCTCGACTCCGCTCCGTGTCATGAGCGACCAAGATGCCGATCTACACATCGCGTTTGACCCGGGCACAACCACCTGGACTGTGTGTTGGAAGTGGTCCTGTAGCCTGACGGTTCACACTCTCAAGTTTAGCTCAACCTACTCGGAAAAGGATAATGAGGAACTCGACGCCACGGTGGGCCGGTCACAGAGCAACTGGCATTATGGTCTTGATGTAAGATATCTGGATGTCCAGAAGTTTGAAAACATCAAGCTCGGGATTCTGGGCCAAGAACCCTACACGAGTGAATTGAAGCAATCGTTTCAGGCCACGGCTCGGGCCTATGGGGCGGCGGAGACGCCCGCCACTCTCTTTGAAAATCTATTCAAACACATTCTCGCGACGCTAGCAGAACGGTACTTAGAGGTACCGGAGAGTGAGGGCTTGATTCGTGGTCGGCGCTTCCAAGATATTCGGAAGCACTGCTGGGTTACTTACCCGGTCCGTCACAATAACTCATTACGAATCATTCTCTTCGAGGCGGCGCTCGCCGCGGGATTCAATCGTGTGGAGGGGGTCTCCGAGTCCATGGCGGCTGCCCACTTCGTGGCCTTGCACACTAAAGGCCAACTCTTTACTGTCGACAAGACAGCCCTAATCGGTGATTGTGGAGGCGGAAGCACGGTAATGCTCGCTTACGTTCAAGATAGTGACGTACGTACTGATAGTATTGGCAGGACTTTGTGGGTGTGCGCCGGGAACTGGAGGGATGGATTCGACAGGCGTGTGCGACTGATGGTTAGGGAAAGCCTGTCCCTAAAATACTGATGGCGGAACGGTGCGCTAACAACCGACATACAGGGCTCAGCCAGGGTGGACTGATGGTCAATCGTGCCTTCCAAGAGTGGCTATACGATACTTTCTCTGATAAAGATCTTCTGACAGCGCCTCGCTCTTGGCCCACGATCTCATTCGAGTTCGAAGGCTGTAAACGGGTGTTCAATGGGGTGGACCCTGTCCACTTGGACGTATTTGGCGAAAGAATTCAGATCAGCGTGTGAGTCTCTCCTTCGGTTCTGGCATTACGAACCAGTGTACCTAAGGGGCCCTGAGCTGCCTTAACGTCCTGGGATTAGGCCGGCCAGGACTGAGCCTGTAGATGATCGTGCCGGACAACCCACTTATCCGAACGACTTGCATTAGTGAAACCATGACTGGTTTTTTCCAGGACCTGATAGAGGGTATTCTGAGGGTGTTCTGGGACCAATACACTGCCGCTCAAGATCAGGGCCACGCGGCCGACTTCTTCTTCCTCTGCGGCGGACCAGCCCGAAATAAGTGGTTTGCCAAGAGTATCTTCGACGAGATACAGAAACGGGAGCCTAATATAATGTGTGCTGCGGAAACGCAGTGGGTAACCCAATATTCTCTCGCATAACTTTCCGATTGCTAACCAGGCTCGACTCTAGCGTGGGCACCGTAGCCCAAGGGGCGCTTTCGTTTGCGCATAACCCGATCCGAGAAACTAGCGTTGCCGGTGAGGACGTTGGCCTGACGTTTTTGATGGACCGATCCGTGTCGGGCGTCGAGTTAAGCGGAGATCGCGTGGAAGAGGCTATAGGGTGGGTTATCGAAAAGGTACAGTGCCTTTCGTAAACGATACCCTAGAGAGATGCTTATTACCTGAAGGGCCAACCGGCCGGTGACGGCAGTCGCGTCGAATTGATAAAAACGGTCTACCGTGACCGGCCCGGCCGACCCAACCGGGTCATCTCGTCTGATTTATACACCACCAACGACCAATTCAACCGAGCAAACATGAGGTCGGATCATGATGTCGATTGGGATTGTCGCATCACCTATCCGTTGGTTGGCGTTCACTCCCATCTGGTATACCTCGGCCGCATCGAAGCCAACATCCCGCATGACGAATTGTTCCCTGCGTCTACTACGCACCGCGAGATCGAGGCGCGTTTTATATTTTCCATTAAGCCTGAAGGACAGCTACTGAAGGTGGAAGTTTTGATCCAGCGCGAGAATGACTCGCTGCTGCTCACAAAATCTTACGTGCCGGCGGCCAGCTGGATACCTCAATCTGAACTGGACTTGGAGCCTGGCCATCACGATGGCACGCTGGCCTTCTTCCCTCGTGCCAAGCGGCGACGTCGGGATAAAAGGGGAAGACGTGTGCTTTCCACGATGAACACCAACATTCGCGAGGATCCCCCCGTGGCGACCTGTCCTGCGATTACACCTGCCTCACTGGTGGTCCCTTTCGTCGGAACTGAGAACGAAATTCCGTCGGTCACTGTCGACCACCGTCCAGTCGAGAACGACAATTCCGCAAATGGTATTTCCTTGCCGCCGGGTCGCAAAATTGTCCGTCACAGCCTAGGACCTAGGAACATGGCTTTTCTACTCTCGCCTCCCGATTAGGTCCGTGTCCTCGATGGAGGGGGAACGTAGCCCATCCAAATGCATTGTTGTTGCACCGGAGGACACTCTTCCCGCACTCGCTTAGCTTGGCATTCGGGATGATGTCAGAACGTGGAGAAAGAGCGGGAAAGAAGAGGGCTTTGGGAACGAAAATTCTGGCTGGACAGCGTTTGAGATGCGCGGAAGATATGTACATCTAATAATACACCTTATGTCCGTAATCCTCCAGGCCGCCTTAAATCTGACGTGCGTCAACCTTCATGCATAGTAGTCGTGCATAATCCCTCCGGAATGCCTTATGTGTCCTTGAACCATGGCTGGTCCCTTCGCCAGCTCGTTGGTTGAGACATTTCATGTCCATATTGTCTCCTGAAGATCTCACAGTCGCGTTGGTAGCAGCATAGTCGACGTCTGATTGGACATGCATTAAATACCGACGACCTTGCCTGAGGAACTCGCTCGGTAAGGATGTCCTTGATGATGCTATCCGAGCGTACCCTCGTCGATATGTGCTGATCGCCCGCAACATTCCGCCGATGCAACTGGATTCTCGTCTGTCATGTCACCAGATACGTCCATGTCAGCTCCAGGCCGACTGAAACAATCGCAACCACCAAATCGGATGTTGCCTCATAGCAGCCAGTCTCAGCTTACTGTTTGTTCGAGTTTCAAAGTCAGCACTCACAAAATGTTAAGACAGCTGAGTAACCGTAGATCGGTATTTCCCGCCCAAAAAGTCCTCACGGGTAAAGAAGTCCAGGACAAAGCGCAGAAAAAATCGAAAGGCAATACGATCCCAGGGTCTCCCTGAGCTCAAGGGCGAGAAGAAAAGCATAGGTCTCGGGGCGGTGCCATAGTTGGGAAGAAGGGTCCATGAAGGGTTGGATCTTTACCTCATTGTCCCACACTTCTCTGTCGCCTGCCCCGAGAGTGGGGATAGAGCTCCAGGAGTGTAGCTGCTTCATGCATGTAGCCGCCTTCCAAAGCTTCCCTTCGCCAGCTTTGGTCGTACCTAAACGAAATGGCTAACTTTCTATGGGATGAATTCCAGATGCTTGCAACTACCTCCAGCATCAGGAGGGCCCTCGTGTCCAAAGGCTGGTCCAGAAAGACTGCCCAACAGAAGGCCAAAGAGCAGAAAGCTGAATTACAAGAGTTATATCTTCACGGCCTTTTCGAGTTGAGTCTTACCATGTTGTTTACGTTGATGAATCTGGCCGCCATTAGGTGTAGCACCAAAATAATTGTCACAGTTCCACGGTGACGAGCGGTATCAAATTCTGCCTTCATATACTCAAGATGGTATAGTTCTTTATCGCGTCTTTTGTCAGTCAACGGATGCCTCTGTGTTCGAAGACTTCATCGATGAACTGCTGCGGCATTGTGGAAGATGGCCGGAGTCCTAGTTATCGATAACGCATCATTCCACCCCTCCGAGAAGCTTTCACAGATGTGTGCTGATGCGCGAGTAAAGTTGGTTTATTTGCCTCCGTACTCACCAGTCCTGAATCCAATTGAATGGTATCATGCTGAGCTAAAAAGCTTCATCAGACGTAATTGGAGCTAGTACGCATGTGATCACAAACAAGGATTTGGTTCCTGTCTCGAATGGTGTATTAATCGGGTCGGGGCAAGAGAAGACAGTGCTAGAGGAGATTTTCGGCACTCCGGTCTGAGCGTTGAAGAGTTGGTATAGTTGATTTCTCCTTCCGACGACATAATATGATTAAACCATACTCCACATGGCAAAGTTCGCAATTCCAAGCTGGCAACAGGAGGTAGATAGAGGAGAGCGGAGGTACCAGAATAGAGGCTATGACAGCTACACCACCAAAGCAAGTACATGTGAGTAGAAGCTAGGGAACATTTTAAGGTTAAACAACTAGGCATTTCTGAAATGCAATGTAGTCGAGTCTCGACTGGTCAACTGTTCATGACAACGTCTCGTCACTGATCTCATCAAAGATCTGGTGCCGGGTTCGCCGCCATTGGCCGCTTCATGGACGTGATCGCATCCTTACGATCCGCCACTGTTTCTTGGTGGGCCAACCGTAGATAATGGTTAATTGAGGAGGCAGAAACCGAGCAACACAAATAGATTTTTTATGTGCTGATTCTCTGCTTCCTTTTTCTGCAAGGCGATTCGATTCTTGATGTCCGTCCGCTTGGTTTCCTCTTCAAACGCTGCTAATTGATGCTCCAGCTCCCGAACGTACTCCTGCTTGCGAGCGCGGCTTCTCCGCTGGTTCTCCTGCACGCGGGCGAGTCGATTGACTTCCTGAAAACTAGTCAGAATTGACCATCGTGACAAGTTCTCAAGGATATCGTATACCTTCTGCGACTTCACTGCTGAATCCCATTGTGCCTGGGCTTTGGAGTGTTGAGTATCTGAAGAGTGATGCCAGAGCCTGCTGATATCCCTCTCAAATCATTCTGAACGAGGTTGCTTCAGGACTGAAACAACGTTCAACCGGGTAAAGTGTAGTAACCAATAACCGACTGATTGTCCTGAACCAACCTTGGATTTCGGAAGTCACACCTACTGAAAGCTTCCACCTTCACGTGGCACCATACTAAACCATACCCGCCACCCGAAGCACAATTCCTTTCCATCCCAGAGGGGGTGGTTAGTCATCATTATTCACATATAAACAGCATGTGGCAACTGCTCAGTATCCAATGGGCCCTCGAGTGTACGAATGACGAAGAATGTAGCTGCAAAACCTACTGGTGATGCGCGATGTCGCATGCCGTTGCGCTGAAACGACATGTAGAAAGGAACGAGGGTAAATACCCTAAAATTTAGCTCTATTAGGAAAAAACTGAGAGATAGTCGAGAAATATTAAAAGATAGCCAATTCAACTGCCACTTTATTGGCTGCGTTTGAAGATATATATATTATATTTCAGACCTAGAAGGCAATAATTATGTACCGTAGTTTAAATCGAAGATACATTTGGACGGCTAATCTATGTCCAATTCTATATATACCATAGTAGATTCCCTTCTGCAATCCCACATACCCACTGCAACGTCCCACTCCAGGAGGGTTTAAAACCTCTGATGACATGCCTCGTTACCTAGTTCACTAATCGCAATCAATACTAACTTCAATATAGCTGTTTCGTGGACATTTTCTTCGGACTTCCTTATCTTCGCGCTTTTCATAGTGTCCCTCTTTCGAATAAGGTTGATACCTTTAGGCGGAAAGTTGGTCGCCGACTCCGATAGTTCTAGGCCATTGACCGCGGCACCACTGCTCTCAGTAATATCACATAGCTTTAGGCCATCTCCATCACAACCCACTTCAACCAGGCCTGATATACTCGACTATTACCTCGTTCTCTTGTCAATTTCTATTTCTGTACTACTTTTGTTCCGTACAACCAGCTCCCTGCTCTAAGAGTACACTAAGCTCCACCAAACTATCACGGTGGACTTATAAATTCAACCGATAAGGTTTTAGCCTAGGCACGGGAGGTTTTATTAAGTTCGCTTGGATATTAGTACCGTGGCTTTCGCAGAGTGTGTCCGACTTGATGTTTGTCTGGTGGCATAGGAGGTTGATCCGAGACAGCTGTGTCAGCACCAGGCCCCCGCTTCTGTATCGGCCGAATCTGGATTGGATGGCATGCCGCGGAAGCGGAACCTAATGGAGTTTAAATCCGGCTTTAAGTTACTATTACCTAGGGTTTACTAATTAGTTTAAGGTTAAAGAAGTTACCGAGTACAAGGGAGATTAGACCGAGGTTTGCCTCGGCCTGTCCTTGGCAGTAAGTATCACCGCTCAATTCGTCATCACTATCTTTGTATTGCCAGGCCACGTAGGCAATTAAGTCTCCGGCACTTGCGGAGTATTGGAGATTCATGTCCGAAGATTGCCTTTAATGAATGAATTTGATTGGAGTCTAATTAATAATGCCACCAAATAACTGCTTGGAACGGAAATGATAGGCTCTCTTAACGAACTAACTATGATTTCGCTGTTGATAAATTGATCCGTGTTGTGATGGCCTACTGTATGATTAGAAATCGCTCCTCGAGGCTCGCTGCATATAAAAGCATTGTACTTTACTGGCTCATACTAAAAGAACGGATTTTGCTTAACTTTCGATTTAACTTCGCTATGGCTGCGAAGGTCTTTGTGTAAGCATGACTACCAGCGTACAACGATGACCTGGGTATACTGATCGGCGACAGTACAGGGATCACGGGGTATATTGGCGGCCAGGCCGTGGCGCACCTGGCTCGGAAACACCCTGAATTGGAGATTATCGCCCTTGTCCGCAATGCAGGGCATGTCGAAACTATCCAGTCCGTTTTCCCACAAATCAAGACAATCATCGGTGATCTGGACAGTGTGGAGATCATTGAACAACAGAGCGCAGAAGCGGACATTGTACTTCGTAAGCCTGTCCAGTTTCCCTGGAGGTTAGTTACGACACACCGCTAACCACCACGTTTACTCTGATAGAATGCGCCTCTGCAGATCATCCTGTGGCAGCCGCTGCTATCGTGAAGGGAATCAGGTCCAAACCAGCAGGCAGTCCACCAGGCTTCTATATTCACACCTCGGGAACAGGCATACTGGGGGACCCCTCTCAGGATTATGGCCAACCCCCTGACAGGGTGTATGATGATATCGCCGATATCAAGGTAATTACATCCTTTTCAATGGATCGCTGGCACCGCAATGTCGACAAGATCGTCCTGGATGCCGCCACAAGTGACCCGGTTGAGCAGCCTAAGATCAAGACAGCGATTGTCTGCCCACCCACCATATACGGCACCGGCATTGGTCCAGTTAGAAAGCGCAGTGTTCAAATTCCGGATCTGGCAAAAGCCTCTCTACGCAGAGGGAAAGCGCTTACTGTCCGTCAGGGACAGAATGAGTGGAGGAACATTCATGTCGCCGATTTAGCGGATGCGTATGTTAGTCTTGTAGAGGAAGCCTTAAAGGGGGGTGGAAAGGCAGATTGGAACGGCGATGGGTACTACTTTGTTGAAAACGGGCAGCATGTTTGGAAAGATGTGGCGAAGGCGGTGGCCCTCTATGGGTTCAAGAAGGGACATTTGAAAACTCCCGATGTTGAACCGCTTTCCGTGGAGGAGTGTCTTCGTATTCAAGGAGACCCTGTGCCTGGGCCTGCAATCTGGGGAGTAAACTCTCTGGGTATTGCAAGTCGCATCCGCAGGCTTGGCTGGGAGGCACGTCAGCCATCCATATGGCAGTGTATTTCAGAGGCAGTTGATGTGGAGGCCGAGGCTCTGGGGATCGCTTTGTGATCATACAATACGCTAAATCAACTGCGCTCAATTCGTAATAACTAACACTGGCGTATGTAGCCTGAATCGTAAGTGTAAGAAGTTTTCATGCCAATGCTAGATTGAAATTTCTTTATCCGCCCCCTACTACTTTCCACCCTTGTAACTCGAAGCGTAGCATGGTTTTAGAGATAAATAATCAGTGGCCTGAAAAGTCATATTCCTGAAAGTCCTGAAGGGGAAATGCATTATGGATCGCAATTCACCACCGTTCATATGATTTCGGCCCCGCTAATCTAATTGAGAGAAAATATTATACTACACACTTGCCCAGTTGTTGGCCATGTTTATCAATATTCACTTTAACCGGTCTAGTTTCATCGAAATTTGTCTGTGAACTTGTAAATATTAATCCAAAACAGTCTCATTGAACAGATGTTGATGCTTCTCGGGGCTCTAATCGGTAGACAAGTAAGCTCTACTTTAGTTCCCAGGATAAGCTCACTTTACCCCAGGTTAGACACGCAGTCATCGTCATTGATTCACCTAGTAACACTAGTAAGGGCTGGGATACTGGAGTAGATGTACTCATGACAGCTATGTAACTGCAAGATCGTCCTTCCCATATTTTCTAGATTCCGCCCTTTCGTCCATGCAGATATGAGGAAAGCGCTATGTTTTATGCTCACTTTTAATATCTTCGAAATCCCTGATAACCTTGCCATATCAGTTTGGAGGATCGTAGCCCAGAACCAAGATTTAACATCTCAAAAGCCACTTCTCATTCAAGTATTACCGACTTCGTGATCGCCTATTTTCTAATATACGTCTACGGCCTACATGAACTGAAGGTGGTGCTCAATAACGGGAGCGTAATGCCCTCTCTCCTTCCCCGTAACACACTCGCTCACCTGAGTATGAAGGCTTACCTCACGACAGCTTCTCTAGATCTCGCTATGGCCCATGTGGTTATCAATTTTGGGACACTCAAACCGATGTTTATGCAGATGGCAGATAGGCCGACTGTAACTATTAAATGCTTAGGTTTATCTACTGCTGTAGGCACATGAAACAAGAGATCTGATATGCTCTACGTGATGGATTTTTGGAAGATCACCCTGAAGACGACAAATCTTTACCAAGGTGCTATACCTAACCTCAGAGGGGGCGCAATGCCGGCTCTCCAGGCCTAAGGTAGCTAGACGAGCCTGGCAGCTGAGGTAGACAGGTAGAGTTTTTGGCGAGGCCCGACTGGAGGTGCACGTTAAATATGATTTGCCTACGATTGAAAAAAGATAATTAATATCCGAAGCAAAGCGAACGAAGTGAATTTGAAAGGGTTATAGTGTTCCTAATGAAGTCAGTCGGCATATCGTTCGTGGTCATTCGGAATGTCTCTTCGAAGCTTGTTGTAGGGCTTGCACACTTAAGAACAATGAAAACCTGCTGAAAAGTTGAGGATTAGCTAATTGAACTGCTAAGACTAGTTGTCCTCATCTCAATGGCTGGAAAGTCGATCAGATTTGAGAATGAGGATGGAATTGGATTTAGGGAAACTCTTTACTCGGGATGATTGGTATTTTGCCATGTATATAATTTTTAGGCGCACGGGAATTCTTTTCAAAGTTATGATTGAAAAAACTACAAGGCCTCCATATGCAAATCATCTGGCATATCAAAATAACCATCTTTTGGCTGAGGGGGAAATATGCGGTCCCAAAGGTTCTTGATATTTTATCAGTAAGGATGTATAACAGGGCTTTCCGAAAAGAAGACCAGGGATCTCTTACCCAGTCAATTTCAAGCATTTGAGAATCAGTACTGCCATTCCTACCATGCGCTCCAACGCACTGTTTGGTCGGCAGGCTCTCATTCGGGCTAGCACTGGAGGCGGAGCTGGGGAGATGGCTAGGCTGGAGCTTCGTGTTGCTGTCTACTCCAGGGTCTAATTCGCGGTATTGAATCCACGGAGGGAACTCCCCAGTTGATGAAGCCAATGGAGTCACTATATTGTCCACGGTGTCATTGTGCTGACCTGATATGGCGACGCCACGGTATGGTAATATAGAGGTCAAATGACCTATGTATAGGTCCACCTCCTCGGGTGAAGGCACTGGAGGATCAGGGGCTGCTGGTGGATTCTGACTCTGTGCGGCTGATTCTGGCTCCCCATGGGCATGGCTAAGGGGCAACCTGGGGTCTGTAGTATCACCATCTTTCTGGGGTGTGACGGCGATCATCGAGTCCTCGAATTGAACGGGATTCTTCAAGCCCTTGGCTTTTTGATACACCCTCATTCGATCACATACCATGCTCAGCAAATATCTCGCTTTCATGTCTCGATGTCCAATAATATCGTGGAGCGTCGGGATACCCCTCTTCATATCTATGGGAGGTATAGTGATCAAGGCATCAGCAAAAACGAAATCCAAGCAGCGCCAAATCCGATTTGCCTCCCTACGCATTGGGAACATGAACACCTCATTTAGCAACAGGAGTGCCGAATGATATTGCTGGTAGGCACCACTATACCAGGACCACTGTTTGAGATCCTGGGTTGATTCGAGTCCCATGGCAGCTTCCAGCGCCTCGGTACCTTTGGTCAGAACGATTTGGCGTAGCTTATCAGGAATGCTATAAGTAATGCTGTTCATATACCGGTGCAGGGGAACGAGGTACATTAGGCTGGTGAAGAGCTTCAACACAAGCTGTGCCATTCTTTGCATTGGACTCGGGTTCACTGAGTTGAGATAAGGGCCATATTTTGCATCCATCGAAACGCGGAATGCGTCAATCTTAGAGATTGCTCTGGTAAGGCCGATTTTTTCCTGGTCGACCCGGATACGCAGGTATAAGCACTTGCGCTGCATCTCCTGGCATTCAAATCGGATCATGGAAAATATCATATCATTCCAAGTGGATGTGGAATGCGGAGAGGGTGAACTGGAAGAAGCCACATCTAATGGAAGTTGTGTGGTGTACCCATCGGGATGGATGTATGGCCTAGGTCCCTGGATTTCACTGGTCTGGAGATCTAGGTAGGAGATTTGATACCAGATGACGCGTCTAACTTGGCATTCGGATGGAGAGAAGTCGTACTCAGATGGATCACGGTGAAGCCCCATACATTCTGCTAGCCTAATTGCCATGCCAGTCAAAACAGTGTGCGCACGGGAGATTTCATCTACACACATTGGCATCTGAAACGATAGATTTGAGTGAGTGATTCTGTTGCCAAATAAAGTTGAAGTTGAAAGGCCAAGGGCAAACCATGAATACATACCAGGTAAGCCACAAAGGCTAGTAACGTTTCAATTTTTGTGGATGTGAGCAATTGAGCACGCCCCAGAGAAGCCTCAACGCCCAGCTTCAAGCAGTTCTTCAACTCATGCCGGGAATGTTGGCAGACTTCAAAGACTTGCTCTTCAGACATGCTGACCACGGCTGAGAAGAGAACAGAGTACACGATCGCTAACAGAGACGGTGTGACTCGTTCTCCATCCTCAATGGCTTCCCAAAGAGTTTCATATCGCTGCACAAACGAGGGCCTGTGAAGGACTTGTGCGACAGGATGAACAGCATTCCAATACTGCTCAAGCAGTTTGTCCGCAATAATGCGATGAGGGATATACCACAGCAGAGGCTCAGGAGCCGAAGGCTGACAGAATAAAATGCTGAGCGATGGAGCCGTAAAGGACCGCGAAGGCCGTAAAAGCTCCTCGGCTGGGATTAAACTATAGTTGGTGGGACAAAGTAAGAGCCGCGCTGTGGGACATGTTGAAGACAACAATCGATCTAGAGCCACGTGAATTAGCAATGTTCAAAGGCAGCTCGGTGGTTGCTTATAGTACATACCTCATCGGCTATCCTTGGGCGATACAGACCCCCAATTCTCCTCGGAATAGGCCTACTTGTGAGGTTAACCAGGTCAGTAGCGTATCGTCCCATCGAACGCGCAGCGAAGACAACACCCTCAATGCGCACTACACCCAACTTTCGGGACGGTGCTCGAGGCAGCCGTCTACGTAGGAACGATGATTCCTCGTATCCAGATGTCAGCATGGAAAATAGTTCTTACGATTATTTTGAACAACTCTGCAATCCTACTTTCACTCGCAAAGTCGCATCTTCAAGGCGGACACGCACTTATCACCTCAATTACTGAAGCGATTAATCGACCGTCAGAGATGGACACTACAGTCAACTTGCAGCTACTATAAGAAGGGCATAAGGAGAATATAGGACCAGCAACCAACTCAGCCCGCGAAAGAGTAGAGTACAGCGAAGTCAAACCTCCGCCATGGACGCAAGCCCAGTGGGCAAGCGAACCCAACGAGAGAGGATGGCAGCCCGATCTCAAAATTGTCAGGGCTGTCATCCAGTTCGCAATGGGGACCGAACGGTTGGTTGGAGAGAGGTGAGGTGCGATAATGGATGCATTACGAGAAGATCGTACGGTGGTGAACGTACCAAACGTAGTCAAAGTCATCGGAGTAGCGCACACTAGCTAGGGGGCTGCATACGACATAAGGTCGTGAAAACCCCGAGGAGTTAACAAAAACAATAAATCAACACAATTACGCAAAGGGATGTCATTTCTTACGTCTTCCACTTTATTACTACTAGCGCTCGCTCCTCTCATGGGCTGTCGGCTGATCTCTAGATTTCCATGGGGAGAAGTCATTCGGAGGCCGAAGAAGGGCCATGAGAAGTTGCGATGAAGCTGGCCCGGAAAATAGGCCGGGCGAGGGTTAGCCCAGCATAGCTAGGTTGACCCGATTGCTGCCGCTTTAGATCACCCCTCCACTTCTTTAGCACTATAAAGCGGAAGCGGAACCACAAGGGAAATAAATTCGCCGCTTAATACGAATTATAAAGCACGGACAACTCATCTGATCTCGGAAGTTGTCTGAGTCGTGTCCATCTAATACTGAAGGTCTGGTGTCCAATTCCAACTCGGATGGACGAAAGGATAATCACTACATCTCGAGTGGCCTCATCCAGTACAGTGCTTATCTCAATACCCATTCCCTAGTTACTAAATAGTTAATTTTTATAATGAGAGATGTAGTTGTGTATAGTACATCGTAGTAGCGGTAATAGTTCCAGGATCCAGTGAACTGTCTTCAATGAAAAGCGTGGATCTCGGGTGATGCAAGGGAATGGGAGGTCAACTGTCCCCGCCTATTATGACTTTCCCAGTGTAATAACTGCCTGTCATTGGTAGGACCAAGGAAAGTAAAGGCGAATATCCTCACAATTGGTAGACTTATCGAAAGTCTGCCGCTGACTGATCGGACAATTGTGGTGGTAACGAGACGCAATGCTCTACCAAGGAGGTTCACAAACCTATCGATCCGATACAGACAACACAAGTATATCCCATACTGACTCATCTTCATAGTTAGATACTAATGAGAAAAGCCCAAGTCTTTCGGTCGAAGAGGCCTTCAACCGATCTTATCACATGCAAAAGCCTCGACCAGCTTCTGTTGGACATGACATTTCTATACCTTCTGCCACACCAATCCTGGGAGAACAATCGAATATATGCTCCATGGGATCGGCAGCCGATATTCATTCAGGACTGATTGCTGTGACTGATCTGTTCATCTCGGATCCAGAGCCATATATTCTGTGCATACGCGACGAGGTCACCATTTCATCGATGTGAAATGTCGAAGCTGGACGCCTAGGTGAGTTATTAGATTGTCAAATCCCAGAGGGTACGGTTGTCACTGCATCAGCCGATAATCAACAATATCTATCAGGCAATTGACTCTGAAATCAGTATGGATCCCGCAACCATCATATATAATCTGAGCCGGTCTCGGATGATGGCTTGAAGTTACTGATGACAAGATTGGGAACTCTCCCTGTTGCCGACGATGGAGGTCTATGCTTCTTTGGAGCCCCATCAAATGTCCATTTAATACAGCAACGGGCTTCTGATCTCTGCTCTATCGTAACACCTTACGCGAGGATACTCAGGCAATCCTCGAGAAGACTTGGCTGAGACAGGAGGTTCTAGGAAACCTAGAAGGGTATCTCATTAAGTTGTATCTCTCATGGGAAAATCTCGATCCCCACGTTATCAATAGAAAGCTATTGTGTGGCCAAAAATCAAGCTCTGCACCATTCACATAATGTGGAATTACTGTGCTACTATTCCATACTACTATTCCTCTAAAGTGCTGGTCAACGCAATATTAGTGAATATCCTCTATTGAACTTGCTGAATCCGTTTGCCCTCGCCCTGAAGATTTGTTTGGAGTCGAGTTTGATAGCCCAAGTGTTGCCACTCTACAGCCACTGGTTGTGTTGACTGCAGATGAGGCAGCATTTACCGTGGATGCTCGAGGATAGTGGTACAGTGAGATGGCGATGAGGCTAGCCGTCGATCTCGGCCTCTACGCAAACGTGAAGACTTGAATAACCATCGGTGTATTGAGCAGGACCGAGGCTACACTATGACCAACAACTTACTTTGGGTATATATGCCGGACCTGTGCGATTTCACCGATTCAGAAGGGCATTCTCATCGGGATCGTAGAGCAACTTCTCATATAGCACGGGCATCAAAGCATCCGGACCATGGCTCCGATACGAACCGACCCTAGGTACCAAAGGTAATAAATAGTAGGTGAAGCAACAGCTAAAATTGCCCGGTTGACCCTGATACATCACGCTTTAAAACACCAGAAGAGCGGAATCTCAGCTTCGATAATTGACACCATACTATTATGATTCTCTATCTCAACCGCGGCATTGTATTTAAGGATTATCAGTCTATAAGCTTACTCAAAGCTCATCAGGTTCCTGGTCCTTCCCAAGTGTTCGATCTCAACCTCCACCATGTCCCCGTCCTTCAGATACTTGGGGCCCTTCATGCCCATCGCTACACCGGCCGGAGTTCCCGTCATGATCACGGTGCCTGCTTCTAGGGTGGTGCCCTGGCTCACAAAGCTAATGATCCTCTTCACACCGAACAAGAGATCGTTGGTGTTGGAGTCCTGCCGCAGCTCGCCATTGACGAATGTCTGGAGTCGGAGATTGTCCGCAGCTCCAACAACCTGGAACCGATACTTAGTCACCAATTGACTATAAGAATAGTGGTTTTCGGAGAACACAGAAATTTACCTTTGGCGACACGATCATTGGACCCAGGGCTGCAAACTTGTCAAAGCCTTTGCTAAATCACCACTGTGGAACACCTCCCGCAAAAGCAGGGTCACGCTGCCATTTTCTGGCAGAGACGTCGTTTGATGAACAATATCCAGCGACATAATCCAAGGCATCCCGCTCAGGAATATCTTTACCAGTCTTGCCAATCACGATTGACTGGTGGCGTTGTTAGTATACAAGTCAGTACAATGGAGGGACGTGTAGAGAATATGAGTACCAATTCGCCTTCATAGTCCAATTGGTCATCCTGTGCAAGTTTAGGAATAGGAATATCTTCCTGGAAGCCTGCAATGGAGGTCGACGGCTTTATGAATACGGAAGGATAGGGAGGAGGTGCACGACCTCCTTCCTTGACTTTCCGCCAGAATACTGTTAGACAACTTAACGAGGATCAGGGTAAAAATTCACTTACTGTGTTTCATGTAGTTGAGACCAATGCAACGGATGATAGGCACGTCACGCGGCTGAAGAACTCCAAGGAGTTCCTTCACGCGAAAACTTTGTGTGCCTGGGGACAGAAGAAGAGGACTGTCCCCCACATATTCGGTGGCATAGAGCTCTCCCATGGCTAGCAGGTCAGAGAGCTCTTTAGCCTCAGTGATCTTCGGCTCTCCAAATCGAATGTTGTTCGCATCATCGGCAAAGCGTATCAGCATAGACCAAGTCATTTTGCTCGTCGGTTTTATATTCACACTCAGAAATTCCAGAGTTAGACCTGAGAGCAGAGCTAAGTCTCTTTCAACATATACTTCATCCTCTGTATGATTTCGGTGAGGGGGTCCGCAATTAGACTCTTGTAGATACTCCACTGAGGGACTCATCGGGATGTTGCCCCGACATTAACGGCCATGGCTCGCTAATCCCCTCAATTCTCGGGCAAATTCCATTACTCAGCTTTCTTCGTCTTAACAACCAGCCTTGTCTTCTTTATCGTTAGCTGTATACCCCAACGCACTCGTCGCCACACCAGGATATCAACATCTCCACCAACATCATGCCTCGACCAACTTTCTCGCCATGCCCAGTGGGCACAAAGATGTGGGTAGGGCTTTCTCCATCGCTGCAGCGAGTATGGAAGTTATCTGACCTAGTAGCTCCTTGACATGGGAACATTGCACATCGACGCCAACTTCCTGCTTGCGGGAGGGCACGAGAATGGTAGGTCATAGCATGGTTCGAGTTTCCCAGCGGTCGTAACTAGTCTGTCCAGCTGGCTCGGCGAGCAACCCAAATCCAACCCACAAGCGGATTGAAATGATCGTATACGGGGTCCTTATTGCGCATGCCACGGCCGGTCTGATTCTCTTTGAAACGGGCTGTCACGATGATATGGAGAAACACTGGGGCCCGGTCAGGACTCTTGCTGCTGGATGATTTCGATGGATATGAACTGATCGGTCTCGGGATAGATGTACGATGTATCGCCGCGCAAACAATACGCCTCGAAAAACCGGCTCGACGAGCAGATCGCGATAACTGGTCATTCCATCAAGGATATTCGAGCGGTGATCATCGGTCATCTTCGTATGCACTCCACTCCGTCCATCACTATTGCAATAGAATTAATTAACCCTGGTGGCGAGCCCAGATGCCGACCATTCTGGTGGCTTAATGCACTTCCTTGGCACAGATGTTCCTATCTATGTACATGACTTGGAACTCAATAATGCCTTGTGGTGCCTTTTCACCAAGGTTCGACTGGTCTCCCTTATACTCTCACCCCTCTCGGATGGGCCGACTAATCATATATGTTAGGCTGACGCGGGTCCATACATGCCCTCATACCTTGACCACCGCCTGAATTGGCAAACATTCAAAGACCCAGTCACGGAGCTTTTCCCCGGACTAACGATGCATCTTTGCCCAGGGTAAGAGAGAAATACATACATACTGCTCTGGAATCCGCGTGCAACTAACAAGGTGTCTACAGTCACACCCCCGGCCTGTGCTGTCTCCAAGTAGACCTTGAGAATGACGGGTGCTTTATCTTTACCGGTGACCAGTTCCACGTGAAAGAGAACTACACTAAGAGAATTCCCCAAGGTTAGTAGTGACGTTCTAGCATATTTTATACGCGCAGTTAACGGTGAACTTTATGAAAGGCCTTCTGGGACGGGACCGGAATGCTTGGTTCCAGTCAACTCTGTACATCGAAAGATTGGAAGTAGTACTGGACGCTAAGATTGTCTTCGGCCATGATTATGAGGTTTTCAAGTCGCTTAAGCAAGCTCCTGAATATTATCATTAGACTGCTAGATTTAATGTCATGCACATATCTGGCTAGTAAAAGCTATGGCACTAAATATATACCTTCTCAGGGAATCTTATCCCACCGATCCATAACTAGGCGATAGCCGTCACGCGACGCTAATGCTTGCTCCCGCTGACAGAGAATAAGAATAAGGCGAATGAGGACTCAATTTTCCTCCAGATTTTGGCCCCAGCGTGCCTCAGGCTGCGCCAGCTACTTCTGACCAGTGTTTCTTAGAGCGGTTAGGCCCCAGTCTGCGGAGTCATCATTCCTGGGGAAGCGGAGAGAGCTCCCCAGTTGCGGACAGCGCCTCCGACAAAACTTAAAATTCCTCTGGTGTGATGAGGGCTACCGCCATAGCTCTTGGGCCAATGAATAAATACCGAGAACTCCTGTTCCATGCTGACGCAGTCTGTGAAGGTTCCAGTTTCTCCGAACGCCATCGAGCATGACCGTACTGGATAATTTTTCCACTCTAGCAGGCCTGGCATTCTGCCTTGGCGCTGTATCCGTTCTCTACCGATTGCTATTCTCGCCTCTGCGCAATGTCCCAGGGCCGCGTCTTGCTGCTCTCTCAAGTATTTGGCTATGGGTACAGGACATGACTGGAAACTCACCGCAGTCTATTTCCAAGCTCCATAAGAGTCTCGGTATGTCGACCTCCTTATATCACATTCGGCTCATATTCTAACGATCAAGGCCCAATCGTCCGCATCGGCCCTAACGAGATCAGTATTGACGATATCGAGATACACAATCGCGTCCTATATTGCCAGGCTCCCAAGTATATGAAGGTATGATTCAATGCTCTCGTGGGCAAATAAATTCACTAACTATTTGGAGACAGGCCGCTTACTTCTACGACCCATTCAAGACCGGGCCATCAGGGATCTTCCAGAGCTCAGAGCCCAAAGAACATTCCACTTTGCGGCGTTTAGTCAGCAAGCCATTTTCCAGAAAGAGTGTTCTGCAGTTCGAGCCAGAGATCTGGAAATCAGTCGATATGCTCTCAGACGTGTTGCGCCAACATGGCAAAGCTAACAACACCTTTGACCTCTCAAAGATGTCTCGCTGTCTTTCACTCGATTTTATCACGAATTTCACGTACGGGGAATCAATGCAGGCAGTTCTTTCTCCTGAGTTCCATGACGATGTCCTGGACGCGTTCGATTCTTTCGCTGTTAGCAATTTCTTAGTATGTGATCTCCTCTGATGTGATAAACGACTTTCTGATTGCTATTCAGTTTATGATGATACCTTCTCTTCGTCAACCCTCAATAACTCTGCTGTCCATGTTACCTTTTAAGGTGTTTCAGGCTATTCCAAGCATGAGACGTGTGAGTCCAACACCACCACCACCCTAGTCATCATGCTTATAGCTCTCCCATAGCGCGTCCAAAAAGCACTGGAAAGATACGATAGTACGGGGAAGTCTAGCTCGGGGTTCCAGCCTCTCCTGCAAGCCGAACACGCAGCCTCTATTGCGCAGAACTACCCTCTAAGCAAAGACTTTCTGGTCGCTGATGGCTTGGCGGATATCTTTGCCGGGACAGACACAACATCGACAACGCTCACTCTAACACTCAACGAGATCTTCTCCAATCCCAGAGTATACGGCCGTCTCCATGCGGAGCTAAAGAGAGCCATCCCAAATCCCAGTGACACTGCAGAGCTATCCAACCTCGAGTCCCTACCGTACCTCGCCGCTTGTGTCAAGGTGCGTCGCCAGCTCCAGTCCAAACCCCTTTCTCCAATAGTGACTATAGGATATCTGCTAATTATTTTACAGGAAGGCCTCCGCTTCAGCACGCCAGTCCGGTCCCGCCTCCCCCGCGTAACTCCCGAATCCGGCCTTACCTACGGCAAACACTTCATCCCATCCGGCACCTTCATTTCCTCAAGCCCCTACCTAATGAACTACAATGAGACGGTCTTCCCCGATCCCTGTACCTACAAGCCAGAGCGTTGGCTTCTAGACAACCCGGCCGAGATCAAGCAGCTAGACAATTGCTGGGCTCCGTTTTCGAAAGGTTCACGAGGCTGCATCGGGATTAACCTTGCTATGGCCGAGATTTACATAACCATTGCAGCTATTGTGAGGCGATTTGAACTGGTGGAGAAGAAATTCAGGGAGTTGAAGATTAGGGAGATTTTTGGGGTTATTTTTGATGAGCCCCTAGTTATGAAGTTGAAAAGCGTCCAGGAGTGATTATGAGTATCAAATAGGTGGAGTGATGGAGACATTACGACTACTCGGTACGGGCAGATATTTGTATTGACTGCTCGAGATGTGATGTTTTTGACTTCTATCCTTCGGAATCGTTAGTATTCATGACTTGCTTTATGCGTGTTTAAGATTATAGTATGGTGTGAGTACTTGATGCGACAGACTTCACCCTTGTGTTAAATCCTAATTGAAATGAGTGGATCCCGTATAGAAATGATAGAAATGAAACGTTCATTCAAGATTATTAGGAATTCTTCCAATCAATAATAGAAACTACAGAAGTCTCCTTCCTGACCGGCTCGGTTTGCATGTTTTGCTTCTATTAACCATTTTCTTCCTGTTCCCTCGGAAGATACGTAATCGCCAGCTTATCTCATGTTGTGTCCTCGCTGGAGAAGTAATTATCTCCCAAACAACTCTGCATATGTCGCTCGAAGGATGTGGATAGTTGCTCTCGTGACGATTCCGTCAATCAATCTACTCAATTTTCCATCCAGTGATTCTGTTTCCGCCTGGTGAGATAACTCGTCTCATCGGATCCCCCAGGATTTCCTAGCTTCCCCTCGATTAGCAAACCCACGGCCGCTTGGGGAAAAGGCGCGCATCGAGCAATGCCTCCTCGGAAGCTCGCTCCGTGAAAGGATCAGGCGGATTATTCGATTACGGACCCCCTCTCCGACACACTTTCCCTTACAATGCGGAAACCGTCTACACCAATGCACTGTACTAGGCCGCGTAGATTTTGACAATAAATTTCTGGCCAGGTGATACTTTGCTACGGGCCGTTATGGAGCAGTGCAGTATCGGGCGGGTCTATCGAGGGCAGAAGACGGCCATGGTGGGACTTTATATACCCTTTCCCTACCTCTCGAGAGCGCCAAAAAGAACTTTTCATAGAACTTGGTAATAACGGATCAGTATGGCTGGAAAGAAACTTGCTATTGTCATTGTTGGTGCGGGCATTGCGGGCCTTGCAGCCGCTATTGCCCTGCGAGAAAAGGGACACCAGGTGACCGTCCTGGAGGCTGCTCCGCAGGTTAGTCCCCTCATTCGTCTCCCTTGTTCCAGGTTGAGAGCTGATAAATTTGGTTAGCTGTCTGACATTGGGGCAGGTATTCAGGTCCCCCCGAACTCCGTTCGACTTCTTAAGCAACTTGGTATCTATGAGCCGGTACATCTAACACGCCATTTATCAGACCCAGAGAATATACCTGACATTTTATTCTACAGATATCGAAGCTCGCTACCTGGCCGCGCTCTATTACACTTAAAAGATGGCAGAACGGAGCCAACATCACCAAGACACCGCTGTATCCTCGGATGGAGGAAGTATACGGTTACCCTTACTTCCTAATTCACCGAGGGGACCTACACAAGGTGCTCCTGGACCGCGCTTATGAGGTGGGCACCGTAATTAAGGTCAATTCCTTCGTCTCAGAGGTCAACGAAGCGGCTCCGTCGGTCACCCTTAACGACGGTACTGTGTATAGGGCGGATTTACTCATTGGTGCCGACGGTACGCTGTCCACGCATTCAGATCTCCTTAAGCTTGTTGCATTCGAGCTAACAACGTCTGCCAGGAATCAAGTCTCAGGTCCGAAAAGCTGTGATCACCGATCGAGACGTGGAGATTATCCCTGACCCAAACTGCGCCTACCGAACATTGATTCCCGGGGAACTCATGATGGATGACCCGGAACTTAAAGCGCTTATCGAAAGTCCCGCCGCCAATTGCTGGATCGGACCTGAGGGCCACATCATGGCGTATCCCATCCGCAATGGAGCCCTGTACAACTTCGTCATGTGTCATCCTGGTTCGGTGCCGGTTGGACAGCCCAACGAGCGGGCGAGCCTAGATGACATGAACGAGAGGTACAAAACATGGGATCCGGTTATCTGCAAACTCATCGCGCTTGTTCCGCAGTGTCTGAAATGGCAGAACGCGGAGATTGAGAAGCTCGAGACCTGGGTGTCGCAGTCCGGGAAGGTAGTGCTGATTGGAGATTCTAGCCACGCCATGGTCCCATATATGGCTCAGGGAGCCGCCATGGCCGTGGAGGACGCGGTTACACTGGCTGAATGCTTGGACCGTGTTTCCGAACCAGCACAGATTCCTGACATGATGAAGCAGTTCCAGGACATTCGCCTTAATCGTTGCTACTTGATCTTGGATGGTGCGCGGAATAATGGTGGTGTGTGGCACCTTCCTGACGGACCTGCCCAGCAGGAGCGTGATAAAAGGATGGGCGAACCACCGAAACCGCTAGAGCAACAGTCTGAAGCTGCAGATACTGCTGAGAACCCCAACAAATGGAGTGATCCTAAATTCCAGCCTTGGATGTTCGGGTACGATGCACGTGTTGAGGTATGTATCCCCTCCCACTCATTGCTGTGTCGGTGCTAATCATCTCTGGTTAACAGACTATTTCGTACCTGAAGAACCATCCTGCCGCAATATTAGCTGTCTGAAAGTTGGCCTTGGGTATGATAGATTAATTGTGGTGTCTAGGTCAATATGCAGAGATGGTTTCGGAGAAGATATCTTTCCGTAAATTGCAGCGCTTGTTGCATTTTTAATATTTCGACCTCATTGCACGTAACGTCCCAACGACAATATCGACTGCGGCCACAACCTGCGAGCAATGTTCCCTCGTTCTATTTTTCGAGTTACATTCCCTATTAGGAACCTTGAGGACAAGCTCGCCCTTAAGGGAAACCCACCTATCTCTGACTGCCTCCAACTTTCTTTTATTTTTATATTTATTTTTATATTATGTAGTGCAGTGGGATATCCAGTGACATTATATCGCTTAGTCGTTTCTGTTTTGCAGTCTATTTGTCTGGTTTGTTTTGGGGATTTTCTGCGGAAATCGGATGCTTTAGAGCGAGGAAGTGAGGAGATGTACAGAACACCCACAACAGAAGTGTGGGACGCATTCTGAATGGAGCTTTTCTTCTCATTTTTCTACCTTTTCTCATAGATCATGACGATCCTTCAATTCTGCTATTAAGGCAGCTGGATCTACTGCTGATAGGCGTTTACTGACCGTGCGATTCCATCCTCTTGTTGCCTCTCCTACGGGAGGTTCGCTGTTGGGAGTTTATTCTCTCTCGCGTGGCTCGAGCTGCCTGTGTCGACCAGGCAGACTTGAGCTTCCCCACCTCAATAGGTTATCTTCTGGCGGAGATTCCGTCCTATTTGGCGGATTGTTCCCGCGGGTGTTCTTAGGACCAGCGTTTGCTGTTTGCTTTCCTTACTTCTTCGGTCTATATAGGCCGGGAGGGCCTCTCTTTCCCTCTTCCCTTCGAATATAGATCGAAATCGCTTTTCTGTTTCCTTTCTGGCTTCCTGTGCGTAGACGTAGAGAGGCGTCTTTATCTTCCTTCAAAGGTTTAAATATGTAGATAATCAGGAGACTAATCAGCCCCGAATATCACGTTTCTTTCCAAAAATTATTTGTGAACCGCCACTCTATCTTCAGGCAGAGAAGAAAGTCGAAAATATATTTTGCACCGGAGGGGCCTGTACAAAATACTGCCGAAAATTTATGGAGACATAAGTTCATCATCCCCATACTATACAGGACACGAAATACTTTAAGTAAGATATTTAAGAAGACTATATATAGGTAACATTTTTATGTTACCAAGTGGTTTAAATGAAAATTTATCGGTCGCTACTGACAAATTGACGATTCAATGAATAATTGACACGGTAGAATGTTCAAATGCCCCCAGACTTTCTAATCATATGTACATACATTCAATGGTATTTCATCAGCCATATTCTGAAGTGACGGTGTCCTGATCAAATCAAGCCCAGCCCGGTTGAAAATCCATCAGTCTCTCAGGCCCCAGCTCTTGACCACGCGATGTGACTGTATCACGATCAAAGGCGTTCCAGAAACTAAAAGAACTGTGTAGTAAACAGCCCATTGTCTCCGCAGAAAACACTCCCAACTCTTCCATTTGGCTCGGGTTTACGTTGCTCGTTGCATCCTGCATTCCAGCATCGGGCAGTGCATTCACGGGTCCCCATGCATCCAGTCCTATACTATTTCCTACACCTACATGATGGAGTCCTATATCCTTACCCAATCCTGGCGCGAAGGTACTTAGCGGCATCTCTGGGTTGTCACTGTCGTCGTTGCTGTTGGGAGGGCTTTTTCGGTAAGGCCTGTCCTGTAATTTGAAATATGGTTAGGCATGTTTTGAAAGCTCGTTGAACTATGGGACTTTGTCGGTAGCCGGGGGGCTGTACCTGCTCATATGCAACCTGATGTAACTGCTGGAGAAAAATCTCGCTTTGCCGCAATTTGTCACCCCCAAAAGGGACCAGAGAACGAATTGTCTCGAGCCCCTTGCGGATGGTTTCGTGAATCACAGCCACGTCTAGGATTATGACGGCCCTGTGCTCGGTTGGAAGCCCTACAGCACCGAGCAGGACACATAGAGAATCGAAATTGACTGATCGGGTGCTTCATCAGACGGTTTTGAACAATGGATGCGGGGTTGGGAAGCTTACAATGAAAGTCCCACCACCATGCGCCTGTCAGATTGGCGGGGCGGTTAACACTAATCGCGTCAATCTGCTGCTGCGCAGATTGGACACATATTTGAGCACTGAGATAGGCCAGCAAGCTCTCAAAGTTGGACTGAGGCCGTATGACAGTACCATCACCAGCCGGTCCGTGGATAAGGTCGGAAAAGAGTGGTGGCCAGTGATACGACGGATCGGTAGCGCTCTCAATTGATTTAGGCGGGCCAAGTAAGAAGAGGATAGTCTGGCGGTGAAGTAAAATGCGCAGTCCGAGAAACCTATTTTTGAGGACAGTTCTACATCGCTGTATCCACCATGGTTGTGGTGATTCTTGCTGCTGTGCGCCGTCCAACGAAAATCGAAAGTAGTCAGGGAGAGAGGCATGCCAAGATACTAGCTGTTCGTCAGCCTTTAACAAACTTATTAGCGACTGCAATACGTTGCGCCGTGTATTGGGTTCGAAAGATGAGTCAGCTCGTCCACTGGGTGGTTGCAGCTCTTCCGTGATCTTGTCCATCACTAGGTAGAGACGGACGGTGCAGCGAATGAAGGCGTTCACCGAAGGGATTCTATCAGGTTGTGTCTTGCCATCGCGTATGTATATATCATCAATCGACTGAGGAAGCGGGGGATTCGAGAATCTGGGGTGTAAAAGAGTTGGCTGACGACCATAGATCATGCTGGCCACCCTGACATATCGAGATCTTAGCATACATCACCATAAACGACAGTCCATGCGACAAGACATACCTGTCGAGGGAAAAACATCCCCACCAAAGACGCCTGCCAAGCTCACGATCAAGAGGGGCTTGCGAGCAGTCCCGCGAATCCAAGTGCAAGCCCAGGCATTGTGCAATCCTTGTGGCATGGCCGATAGTAAGCCAGCATTGCTTCCCCCTCATGGTACCTTGTTGATACTGCGCCATCAGCAGGAGGGTCTGCAGCATACTGATTGAGCAGGTATTATATGTATGAGCGACGATAAAGGCGCGGGCACACCTGTAGAAGGAAGTACCGGAGCCCATGGTGCTCACTGGATCACCGTCGGGAGTCATGTTGCGGCAGAATAGGCAGCCCAGTGCAAATATCAAATTCATGGTCGCGATAGCAACTGGTTCCATGGGATTTTCGGAGGTGTACATCTTGTCGAACTGAGCAAGCGTATCCTCTTCGATTAAGAAAGGCCAGATAGGGTGGACATTGAAGAAGTAAGCCTCCAGCAACTGTTTCGCAACATGTCGATGCGGTATGCCTGAGAAGGATGGCATAGTGAGGTATGACCGCAATGCGGCGAGATCATCCTCGTCATCCCGGGAGCTGGCGTTCGCTTGAAGGAGGCCCTGTCTAGGGGGCAAAGACTGGCCTGTTGTGGTGGATGCAGACATCCTTCGGGGCATGGTCGAGGCCTTAACGTGCATGGCAAACCGAAGAGAATAAGAATCACGGTAGAATCCATCCGTGTCTTTGCCCTGTTGCGGCGACATGGAGTATGCGACCATTCCATCTGTTGCTGGCACCTGGTCTGCCGTTTCCCTTCCTTCTGTCTCATTTTCGCTGATGGTAAACGTCGTTACCGGGGGCCTCGGCTCGGGGGCTACAGGAGTGTAGTTGTTGTTTCCTCCGTTGATATCTGTGGCCGCGACGTTGGCCTGTATCCCGGTGAGACATAGCTGCGGACTATTCGATCGACTGTGGGAGCTGTTTGGGGGCGAGGCGATTGAGCCCTGTTGATGCCTGGTGATCGTCTCTGGTTGGGGGTTTAATTGAGCTTCCAATTCCTGTATCTTCGCTTCCAAATTATCCACGTGCCTACAAACTGTCAGGACCTACGTGTCAAAAGGATTATGAACTGTAGGGACGTACGACTGGGAGCAGATCGCCCTCTTGTATGGCGGCGGATAGACACACTCCTGGTTACGGCCTTCACAAAACGAACAGCGCGGCCGTTTCGAATCGCATCGGGCTTTCCGGGCCTTGCAAGTAGAACACGCCTGGTGCACCTGATTATGCGACCGATCGACCGTTTGCTTTCTTTTCGAAGGTACTGTGCGTCGAGGCGCTGGATTTGGCGGTGGTGATTTTGCGGAGTCGGACATGTCGACGGTGACCTTCACCTAACGGATGGTGGGTTGTTCGAAGAGAAGCACAGGCGCAAAAATTAAATTACGACCGATGCACACTATCTTCACCTACTTCGTCCTGAATGCGGGGTTATTTCCCCAACCACGGGAGTCTGGAGAACAGGAACGAACTTCTCCGCAGATTTTTAGTGGGTACGTGCGCCCCGTCCCCACATGATGACTACGTACGGGGCGAATAATTAAATGGGTTCCAGCGGAGGGTCCCTCCGAAGCGATATTACTGGCAATTGATTAGCTGAGAGTTTGTCTAGTTATTGGGTAACAAGTAGCCATCATGAGAGCCAGACTCGTCCACCGCAGGGTCTAGAGATCTTGGCTGAAATTGCTGTCAGTTACCGTAATCGTCTTGATTTGTAGAAATTCGTCAAACGCTATGAGAGAAACGTCAGAGTGGGTAGGAAAATTGGAAATGGAATTCCGCCTCAACTCACCCCAAGGGACACCAAACCGCCCCCATCCGCTTGACTTGGTTCCTCCGTGAGGAAGCTGGACTTCATCGTGCACGGTCATCGAATTGATGTGGACCGCACCACTATCAATTCCGCGCGCAATCCTTATTCCTCGCGGCACATTCTTGGTAAACACGCTGGCGGAAAGGCCATATTCGTGTCCGTTAGCCAAAGCGACCGCCTCATCTTCGGACTCGAAGGGTAATACGGCGAGGGTTGGGCCAAAGCTCTCTTCCGAGTAAAGCCGCATCGATGGCTTCACGCCAGTAAGAATGGTCGGATGTAGGCTCGCCCCGTTTCTTTCTAGCTTTCCATAGACCAGTCTACCCCCTTGGTTAATTGCATCTTCAACCAGAGCTTCGGTTTTCATGGCCTGCTGATCAGACACAGCCCAACTGCAGGGAATTCGTGGCGCCTCGGCTGACATTTTAGCAATCAACGTCTCGGCCACGGATTTATGAACCAGGACAGTGTCGGTTCCCATGCAGATTTGCCCATGCTGCGAAGCGTGTAGTTAGTTCATATGGCCTTCTGCAGTCGGCAGGACAAGCAATGAGTGACGGCTTACATGCACAAATGCACCCATCACAGCGGCCTTTGCTGCCTCCTCAAGGTCAGCATCTTCAAACACAATGAGCGGCGCCTTGCCACCCAGTTCCAGAATGCAAGGTTTCGCATATTGTGCAGCCTTGGCGGCGATTACCTTACCCACCGCTGTACTCCCAGTGAAATTCACTTTGCGCACGGCCGGGTGGCTAATGAGAGTCTCGAAGATCTGGGCCGCGTCCTCTCTGCGGTGCTGGATAATATTCAACACCCCAGGGGGAAGCCAGCTTCTTTCAGTAATCGGCCGAGAAAGTGATGCACACCCGGACAGAGCTCCGATGCCTTCAGAATTGCTGTATTTCCACATGCGATTGGCGTTATCACGGAGCGAAGGGCAAGAAACAGGGACGCGTTCCATGGCGCGATGCCGAGTTGGACTCCGTATGGCTGCTTGACCACAAATGCCATCGTATTCGAGTCACGACAGTGCGGCAGGGATCCGGTCGTCATATTTGTGATCTGGCCAGCGAGCTCTTCGAATAAGGCGATGCCATTATTGATGTTGATTTCCTCGACCATGAAGTCCGGAGCGGGGGTCTCCAGCTGCCACGCCAATCAGTTCACATCCCCGTTGGTATAATTTTGCTAAACATCACACACTTGCCTTGATAAGCTCTGAAATCTCGTGTCGTCGATTGTGCAGAATGCGAGCAGCAGATTGTAACAGCGTCCGTCTCTCCTATGGCGATGTCTTGGACCACGTCCTGAAAGCCCGCTGTGCGCTCTCAACAGCGGCAACAGCTAATTCTGGAGTCGCCCCATTCGCTGCGTGGACAATCTTTCCTGTTTTTCCGTTGATGACAGGGAACTCTATCGCACTGCTAACGTCTTCATTGTCTATCCAAAGAGCTTGGACGAGTGCCATCTTTCTGAATACTGATTGTAGATGAATACGGAGTTGGCTAGCAGTCGTCTACAACCTAGTTGGCACTATCTTGAATCTTCTTATGAGACATCCTCTACCCACTGTACTGATCTAACCCTTCAGGGTAGATTTCACGGCTTGCCATACCGTAGATCTCTACCGCGGCCGGACGCCCCGTCGGAGGTACGGGCCGAAACCCTATCCAGAGGCAGGCTTGGGAGGACAAGGCTGATTTAAAAACCGGGTTTCTAAAGCAGGTCTAATCTGATCTTATCTCTACTATTCTTTCTACAGGCTAGTGGCGGTGTGTTTGAGGCTCTTAAAAGTGATCCGATCGTGCTCACGAGGGTTTTCCGCCGCCGAGGAAGATCATCAAGATGTCTGAAATTGTGGATATGCTCGTCTGCCGCGAATTAGGTGGCCCGTACGAATTGCGAAAGGTCCGATTAGGGTCACTTCGAAACGACGAATTACTTGTCCGGATTATCGCAACTGGTGTTTGCCATACCGACTTTTCCTGTTGCAATGCACGTATATTTCTCCTAAAATGTGCGTACGCCTTCCGAACAATGGCTAACTGAAACTAGGGTACCACCCCAGTCCCCCTACCGCTGGTTGGTGGGCATGAGGGTGCTGGTATTGTAGAGCAGGTAGGCTCCGAAGTCACGGATATCTCTCCCGGTGATCACGTATTGCTCAGCTTCAGCACCTGTGGTGAATGTGCTCCTTGCACAAGAAATCTGCCGGCTTACTGCGCAAATCTTTGGAAATTGAACTTCCTTGGGGCTCGAACGGATGGCACAAAAGCGTACACCGATGCCATCGACGGGACAGAGATATCCTCGCACTTCTTTGGCCAGTCGTCGTTCGCGAAGAAGGCCATTGTCAGAGCCACATCTGCGATTCGGGTTGCGCCAGACCTTCCGCTGCAGACCCTGTGTGTTCTTGGATGCACGCTGCAGACTGGGGCCGGAACGGTCTTGAATCAACTCCAACCACCGCGAGGAAGCTCTATTGCGGTATTTGGAGCTGGTGCGGTCGGAATCGCATCGATATTAGCCTCACAGTTAACGCCCGATGTCAAAATTATTGCGGTCGATGTGCTAGCCAGTAAACTACAGATCGCGAAAATGCTAGGAGCACATTACACCGTTGATTCAACGAAAGAGAACCCTATTGCGGAAATCCTTGCACTTACAAGTGGTTTTGGTGTTGAGAGGGCATTGGATACAACCGGGCATCCTGAGGTTATTAAAACAATGCTGTCAGTTACAGCACCAGGTGGCACTGCTGCTTCCGTCGGGGCGCCAAAGATGGGAACAAAGATTGACATTGAGCCCGCCATATGGATTACTCGGGGGTAAGCTACATAGGCGTTCATCAGGGGTCCTCTCGACCGCAGGAGGTAGGCTCTATTCAAATTTTTCTGATCGCTATCTGTCACTGATTCCAAATATAGTTCATCCCCCGACTGATCCAGCTATGGGCAGACGGGGATCTACCAGTGGAGACGATGATCACGGAGTATAAGTATACGGAGATTGAGCGCGCAAAAACTGAGCTGCGAGGTGGCTCATGTGTGAAGGCAGTTTTGCTCTGGGACGAGAGTAACTAATTCCACATTTGTTCTTCCATGTGTTGAATTTGAACGTACCCGTATCATTGACTACCCACCCGTTTCCACGTGTGCGTAGTCCAACTTCCAATGCAAAAGACTTTTAAGGCAAAATGGCTACCTATTCTTTAACTATCTATATCTCTCAGCCACCATAACTATATGAAAATCTTATCCTGAGAACCAGGATCGAATTTTACAGCCTGTATAGTCTACAACCGTGGTGAAGTTTTAGAATTGTAAGTATTGTGACGGTCAGTATTTTCCAAGCCTGGGAATACCTTCGTTCCGGGTAACGCCTGAAGTCTCTGTTTGGCGGTGTGTAATGTCGGCTTATTTGCTGGGTTCTCGAGTCCTCTCCTCCTGGCTGACCTTCCTTTTCTTCTCCTTCCTCTCCAGCTTCGGTACTTTCGCCTGTCGGTAACCGAAGTGATCTGTTCTCTTTGATTGACCCGTAACAAGTAAAGGCGCGTCAATAGAAAGAGGTGATAAGGGATACCTTCGAAGATTGGCGATTTAAATGCTACACAACCTATTAAATAACAAAGACAGTATATTAGTAAAATAAGACTTCTAAAGTACATAATAACTAATTTCCGGGCTATTGGTAGTAGTGAATTAATCTATCCCTCACTGCTATTTTGCACGAGATTACTAGCAGCTCGCGGCCATGCCTAATGTATATCATGCGATAGGCATATTTATAAGCCTGATAGCTATTAGACTAATGGCTTAGTTAAATACGTAGTCGAGGTTTTATATATTGAAGGCTTTATTCTTAGATCTGAGAGGTATTACTTAATAGAATCATAAACCTACAAGAGAAAAATTATCGCAGTATTAAGCGGCTTCGAGAAGCGAATCTTAAAGAAATAAAGGGGCTATATACTGAACGTAGATAAATCACGAAGATTATACCTAGCGTTTGTAGATTATAAGGACCGTATCTACACAATCCTCGCTATCCTGATAAGATCTCCCTGCAGTTAGTAGCAAGCAGGTATACATGTTTGATTGATAGATAGATTTTTTGCATTATGAACTGCCCACGCATGAAAGGGGCATGTAGTCAATGCCACAGGTAAGCCTCAACCATAGAGTAAACAGATCAGTTCTCTACCATAAAGTCGGCTGTAATCCAGCTGGAATTCAAGGCTGAATTCTAAACACTGCCTAGAAGACCGAGTATTACACGATTTCGTCCTTCTCGCCAATTTCAGGCACTTACAAAGCACCCCACTCCAGGTAACTAATACGTGATGGGTGTTAGTATCACAGTGTGAGCGACGGGGATAGCGTCCGATAGCTTCGGCCCGGGAGACCGCAGTGGCCTTTCACCAGCCGGCGGTGGTGGATTGGACGTCGGCTGTCGGAGAAAGCAGTGTGACTATATCTAGTGATGTTGCAGTGTCATGGAATGATGAAACTGTGAAGACTTGTTTTCGCATCAAAGTATTTGACCACATCATGTCTGGACAACGTTCAACTGCTTTTACCGGCCTCGGACGTATCGATGTCCATCATCATTGTTTTCCGGGAACTGTCCCGGAGTTGCAGTCCGAGTTTGAGAACAATTCCTACAATCTCAACTATTCCCCATTCCCCTCCACGCCGCAAGAGCATATCCAGTATATGGACGAAGTTGGTATTCAGACCGCTGTTATTGTATGTCTTATGAAAATTACCCTAGTATTGGATTCGACTCCTAACGTGATTTTGTATTTGTCCTCAAGACTCCATCTATCAAGTCCGAGTGGCACAACGGTTACACTGCCCCCGATTTCCTCGAATTATGCCGCAAGTCTTTCCAGGCTCAGCTTGAATACGTTTCTTTCAATCCTCTCCGGTTTGGTATGGGCCCCCACCGCAAGGTATAGGGACACTATTAACGTTGTAACAAGGCTGTTTCGCTGTTCTTCCGCTGCCGCATATTCGGGAGACATTAACCTTTATCCGCGAAGCATCCTCCGCTCTAATCCCCCCGGATGGTTTCGCTGTGACCACCGCTATGGGTATACAGTCACCACCATCGTATCAGCTCCATCCTAGCTAACGATTCATCTAGGCCAGCGCTATCTGGGTGATCCCGCTTTTGAGCCCGTGTGGGCTGAGATCAACAAGCTTCGCGCAGTCGTCTTCATTCACCCAGCGGACACGATCATGCCAGAGCACCTAAACTTTGGCCCATGTAAGTCAATCATGCAGTATTTAATGGTCGGGCGTGCCACTGATCCAGTAACACACAGTCGTGCAGGAATTCCCCTTCGACACCGCCCGCGCCATCACAAGCATCATCCACTCCAGTATCCTCGTCCGCCATCCGGACATCCGCTTCCTCTTCTCCCACAACGGCGGCGCATTCCCGTACCTGGCTGACCGAATCGGCCGTCAGCATCTTGACAATGTCATCACCAAGACAAATGAGGGTCTGACTATGCGTGAGCTTTTGGCGACGAAGAATATTTACTTTGACACCAGCATCTCCTCCCCCATGCAGTACCCAATTATACAAGATCTCGGTATTTCGTCGAAGCGTCTGCTCTACGCAACTGACTACCCGTACACCAAGCGCGATGACAATATCACTTATTTGGACGGCTACAATGCGCCCAAAGATTCGGGACTTTATGACGAGGCAGAGATGGAGGGTATTCTGCGTGAGAATTCCCTAGAGCTGTTCCCACGCCTTGCGAAATTGTATGCTGCGCTTCGTTAAAGTGTTTCCAAGCTACGAGATTTTTTGCGTTTAGAATTGTGAAAATTAAGTTTCAGAAGATTGAAAAAGGAAAATTATATCTGTTTCGAGGATAATAGTATACCTAGTAATTCTAGTCTCTCTCTAGTGGTAAACACAATATATATAGATGTGTTGTAAATTTTCCACAAATATGTGATTCGTTCAAAATCATTGATGTCGCCTCGCTTTTCTATGATAAATTATCTTCTTTTGGATTCATTGGTGATACGCGGAGTGTTCAGTAGGGTTTTCAGCTTGCCCTAAATCGTCTCGTTCAAGGAATATTTAATCAGTGACTCCGTCTTAACCAATCAAGCCTCTTGATCTCATTCGTTCAATTGCGATGTGACCATTTTAGCTTGCTTCAATAATACTTAATGCTTGTTTTCAGTACATACAAACCTATTAAAAAGGACTGTAGACCACTCCTCAATGAAACTCTCAAATAGTGCAGTATGAATAGACACTGTTGCCTTGTGTTTGCAATGAATATATATAGTTGGCCCTAGCCCCTGTTACATAATAGGCGACGGCTTCCTAGCTCCCCTACTAATAGCCTATTTACGCAGCCCCAGTGCATGAGCTTCTATATCAACAGCTTCCGACACGTACTCCCATATCGATGGTTTCTGAGCCTTCCACCCCAGAGACTTAATGCGACTCGCATGTCCCAGCGAATTGACGCCCCAAATATATGGTCCGGGATGCGGGGTTGACTGCGCCTCCAGCGTTTCCTCCACGGAGAGGATATCCACCTTTTCGCTTTTGAAGTACCCCTTTTTAAAACCATCCTCAGCAACGGCCTTCGCTAATTCCTTCCAAACATGGCGACCATTTTCAACGAAGTAGTACCCCTCTGTATTCCAGTCTGCCCTTCCACCCCCTTTCAGGGCTTCTTCAACGAGAAGAACATAGGCGTCGGCTAGATCTGCAACGTGCACATTGCACCATTCATTCTCCCCCTTATTGACAGTCAGCGACCCACCCCGGCGAAGGGCGGCGTTAGCTAGATCCGGAAGTTGGACGCTGCGGATTCGAACGGGGCCATCTCCCTTCCGTAGATGGTGGGAGGGCAAATGATGGATGTTTTGATCTTAGCGTTCTCAACTGGGTCATCGCCCGCGGACGCCTCGAGCACGAGCTTGTCAACGTTCCGGTGCGACCGTTTTAGCGGGAATTTGGTGATGATTTTAATATCAGCGACATCGTCATATTCCCTGTCGGGCGGTGCACCGTAATCCTGGTCCGGGTCACACAGTATACCCGTGCCGGAGGTGTGGATGAGAACGCCCGGGGCGCTCCCGCCGGGCTTGGACTTAATCCCTTTGATAATGGCTGCGACAGCGACAGGGTGATCTGCGGAGGCGCATTCTGTCGGCACAGGTTGTTAGCTAACGTCCCCCTGATAGGTGAAGGGGTTTACACACGAAGTACAATGTCGGATTCCGCGCTCAGACGTGCAAGGATATCCACACTATCAAGATGGCCGATAACGGTGTTGACCTGTGGCAAGACGGCTTTGACAGCAGCCGCTTGTCTCTCATTGCGAACAAGCGCAGTTACGCTCACATCAGGGCGTTTGCGAAGTAAATGGACCACGGTCTGGCCCCCAATGTAGCCTGTGATTCCCGTACTGCGGAGTATATCGCCGATCAGTTCACCTGCAGATGACTTGCGCTTCCACACCAGACTGTCATGGAACGGAGCACCTACACGAATATTTTTGCAATCATGATGGTGGCAGTTGACTTGAAGTTGAGCGAGTATATGTTGTATCTACTTGATATGGCTTGAAGATTCAGCGTCTTTTGTACATAACATGCGTCGACTGCCGACAGCAACCTCGACGTCGTGATGTTAAGTCAATCCAAATTGGTAAGCACAGTACTCAACGGCTCTTACGGCCGTAGGATCCAAGTCCGATTGCGGATGAATCTCTGTCGCATGCCTGACAAAGGTCTGAGCAATCAAATGCTAATCAACAATACTCTGGGGCGTCATACGTTTCCTGAACAAGCCGTCCTACGTAAATGCCGCATTTCCGAGAGCTAACCCCGACACAGATTGACTTGTGGGTGACATGCAGGCTGACAAATGTTTACACTTCAGTAGTGGAAATATTGCGGGATTTCAAATTCCGACCAGGCACTCCAATCCTAGACGAACACAAACTCGACATGCGATTCAATCATCCTATTACCACTCTTACGGCAGCTTCGCTGTTTGGGGTTTGTTCTGCCTCTGCCTACTACTCTGTCCCTCTTCATCTCTCTCGTGCCTCGACCTGCCTGTGCCGACCAGGCTACCTTGAGCTTCCCCACTTTATTAACGTAATCCACAGTCATTCGGAACACAGCCATTCGGAACACAGCCATTCGGAACACAGCCATTCGGAACACAGCCATTCGGAACACCCACTCCCATTACAGAATTTTAAATCAGGATATGTCAACGAAAACGTATTAAGTAATTTAAATATGGCGATTTTTACATGTATTGATCCTATGGCCAATCTCCCTACACCCACTACACCTAGGCGGAGCCCTAGTAGCCCGCCGATCTGCCTGAATAGGCAATTCGCCCTGCGTATGCGATTCTACCACAGGCGCTTCTGGTGGTAAATCTAGCTGCGCAACTAGCTGTATGCCCTCTTCAACGGTCAAACCCTCATGGCAGGGTATCCGCTTATGCGACCGATTGCGCTTCTTGACGATCTTCTCATTGGCTGCGCGTAGATTCGCATTATCTTGCGCGAGTAATGCAGCGTTGTGTAGCGATAGTGCAGTGCCCTTGATAATCTGATCTAGCATGGTTTTGATTGGGCTCGGAGGGCTTTGTGACCGCTGGTGTAGTAGATCTATCAGCATCGAAGATTGCTTTTGTAGCTGAACGATAGTTCTAGGCGTCTTTGGTATAAATTGGCTAGATCTACTGCTTGGCGGGCTTGGTGGTGACGGAGTTCGTAGAGAGATATTAAGCTTCGAGAGCACTCTTTCTGCATCGATTGGCACTAGGCCACTAGCTGCGAGGCTATTTTGAATAGTGCTTGATTGGTAGGCTTCCTGCCGCGCGCGTTGGTAGTCTTCTAGGAAATCGAATTTATCGATATGATTATATCCTCTACGCGCATGATCGCTTACGAAGCGACCGTACGCGCGCTTTAGCACTGCAAAAAGCCAACATCTAGTGGTTGTAGTGGATGCGATGGATGCGCAGGCATACAAAGAGGTATAATATCGTTTTCTGCGCATAATCGGTCGAATTGGGGCGTAAGGTGGCTACCATGGCCATCAAGAATTAGTAGCCGAAATCGGCCACTTACACGCGAATTCGTTGATGGGATAAATAGCTTTTCTAGCCAGCGTAGGCCAATCTCATCGGTAGTCCAGCCATTATTGGATACTTCAAATCGCCAATTGTGTGGTAGATTATCAAACCAGCCAGCAATAGCTACTTTGCCTGTAAAAACCACACATGGCGGTAGCGAATAGCCATCTGCGCAAATTGCTTCGATAGCAGTGACCCATTCGCGATTTCCTGGCTGTAGTATCGATCGCCGACCGTAGTATTCGGCTCGCGTAACTACCTTCTGCGCCGAAACAAGGCCCATTGCAAATCCCGTCTCATCAAAGTTGTAGATATCCTCCGCTAGTATACCGTTCTCGTCGATAACGCGCTGTACGGTCGTAAACCACTCTCATAGCGATTTCGGGTCTTAGTTTAGGGCGCGCTGGTAGTCGTAGCGTCTCGAGAAGCGTGTACGAAGCTCATCGCGACGTTTAATAAAATTTGATGGCCAATTAACACCGACTGTAGGCGGAGGGTGGCTACCGCGTTTAGCCAGTAAGATATTAGCCATTTCTCTCACGGTAGCGGGCCTAGGCGCTGCTCCACGCGAATCCATAGAGAGAATCCATTCAACAAGCGAACCCTCTTCGTATTGGGTCAGTTGATGGCCAGGCGGGCGTTTATCTTCGCGTGAGGTTTGACCGTGTAAGCGCGAATGTAGTGTTGTGAGCGGTATTTCGTATAGCTTCGCTGCTGCGCGGAGAGATTTGATGCGGCCATTTTTCATATCATCAAGGGCTAATAAGATCTTTCCTTCCCGATTAGCCGATTTCTGCTGAGATTCAGAGCGAATTGGTGGCATAGTAGTTCGTTGAAGAAGGTAGGTAGGTAGGAAGACGCGATTTTGGATGGGGTGTTCCGAATGGCTGTGTTCCGAATGACTGTGGATTACGTTAGTTATTTTCAGGATTACCAAGCAGTAGGATGGATAACTAAGTCTTTAGGAACTGCAATATTTAGGTCGTGGGTGAGGTGATTGGTCGATTAGTGGACGCAGGGTTATCTTGGGCAAATCCTGAATATGCTGCCCCTGGTCTCTTGCGACTTACAGATTTAGATATTTTGCGGGGTTATTCTATTATGTGCGTAGATACCGGCACTTTATTCACATTCTGACTAGGCTCCTATGCCTCTACGATGAAAGACGCTCTGTCGATCCAGCGGACGGTCCTCCAGTGGACGGTCCTCCTGCCCTTAATACTCCCGGAAGCATTATATCCAGAGAGCCACAGCTTATGTCTCTTGCGAGTCTCTGATGTTTACATGGATACTCACGGTATTCCGTAGCTATTGGCAGGTAGCGCTTTGCCTAAGCTGTATCTCTATCAGCTGAACGGTAACAACAGTTAATAAGAAATGACACTAGTAGTTAAGTAATTAGTGACGGCACTAGCAAAGGCGCACAATCGGGGAGAAAGATGCCTCGTGAGGATCGTGTACCTGAACGAGGGTAAATATCGACTCAGCTGTTGTTGCAATATCGTTTCAGCTAACTCTGTCGTCCGGATTGTGACGCAGTGTACCAGGCCCTTTGCATATACTACATTAGAAACGGAATATCTGTTAATCATCGCATTATGAAGGAGTTTTCTCGCCTTTCCACGAGGCCTCACATACCCGACTGTTCTTGTTCGTAGCACGTTTCTGTAAAAGCCGATTGATTTGATTAATTGAAGAACTATCAAGCATCTCATAGTCCCAGGGGGGATTTTAGATAGTTTGCTACGACACGGGTACAATTTAGCAATAATGTTTCTTGCCAAGAAAGCAAAAAGAGATTACGACCCCACCCAGTCGCAAACGTAGATCTGGTGGAACCTTCACACAACGATTATGATTGGCTCATCCTTTGGTGGGTCTATTGATATTGAAAGTGAATCTTTACGGCCGTATAATCTGCCAAGGCTTGCTGTTCGTACTCGATGTCAATTGTGGCGTTATCAAGGGGGCAGTTCAAGTTTCCTAGCCATTAGAAAAAGCCCACGTATAACTTGATCTCCGAGGAGGTGGATTTCAGATTGCACGGGTCACAGGGGCTTCTCCGGGGTAGCCCTGAAAAATATAAATCCTCTGCGGCTCCGTCGAGTGCTTCTCTATTAGTGCCCACGCCAGGCTTCTCCCTGGCTTTATTCATTCACGATTCATTGAACGTCACCCGCCAGAATGTCAGATTCTCAGCACTTCGTTACGTTTGGTCCTAACGCCAACTGTACCCTTGACGTAAGGAATAACGGATGATTTGAGGAATGGTGCTTACTTTGCTACTCGCAGCTTTGCTCGATAAAACAAAGTGTATATGGATATCGGCCATCTTTGGCAGCAAATGTCGTCTTTATTGCCCTTTTCAATTTATCAATGGCAATTCATATCTACCTGGGATTTAGATGGAAATCCTGGTGGTATATGTGGTGCATGGTACTAGGCTGTACCCATGAGACTGCTGGCTACATCGGGCGTGTCCTTATGTACTATAATCCGTGGAGCTTTGCGGCATTCATTCTCCAAATTAGTATCAACTCCCCTGGCGACTCCTAGGCTTGCGCCCTTGTACCTTCCGGTTATCGCAGGAGCTGACATGACAGTAGTTTGCATCACGCAAGCACCGGTATTTTTTTGCGCTGCTATTTATGTGACCCTCGCTCAAACGTAAGTTGTGCTCCCATCAGCTCATGGGCGAAAATATCTGATGTATTTTAGTATCAATCACTACTCTCCGAAGTTGGCAAGATTTCCTCCAAGGTATTTATACTGGGTTTTCATTCCTTCCGACATCATATCCCTTGGCCTTCAGGGTGCCGGCGGTGGGCTATCTGCTTCTTCCTCAGGCTCCAGTCAAATCGGGGTTGACATTGCGATGGCTGGATTGATCTTGCAAGTCGTTATGCTTTTCGTGTTCCTCGGGCTATTTAGCGACTTTGTAATCAGATACCTGTCATCAGACAGCGCCAGAAACATCGGTACTCGCGGAAAGCTTTTCTTCGGCTTTCTACTTCTCGCCGTTCTGACCACTCTTGCCCGTTGCATCTTCCGTGCAGATGAGCTGAAGGAGGGCTATACTAGTGGCAGTTTGATATCCAACGAGGGTTTATTTATTGGCCTCGAGGGAGTGTAAGTGAACCTGATTTGTCATTCAATCTCCTAACTTTCTTCTGGCTACTAACGCAATACAGTCTCATTGTGGTCGCGGTATTTTCCTTATGCATTGGTCACCCAGGATTTATCTTTAGGGAAAGGGAAGATCATGAATACACCAGTGTCAATTCCACAGAGCTGAAATGAGGACTTCATTCGGGTTCAATCTCCCACACCCACAATGACATAATCAGGAAAGGAAAGAGAGTGCTTTAGGGTACCCACTTGAGTCCTACATCTTTTGACTAGGATTAACAGGATAATATATCCGCAAACTACGGATTCGACTATTAGATATCTTCTTAGTGGCGCGCCTTGAGTCTAGGAGTCCTGTCATGATAACTTGGTAAATATTCTCTTAGCGTGCCAGGCGGCTTCGGGAAGGTCAACCCGATACCCCCGATCTGATAGTGGTCGATGGGCCTTCGCAATTCCTCGAGATGATGTATCCAGTCGAGCGAGAAGTAGGCGCTATTGTTAGGTTCATGATTTAATTCGTCAGGGGTATTCGTGAATCCTTTATCTCAACTAAGTACCTGACGTTTCCTATAGGACCGTGCTATGTAGTGCTACGTAGTCGGGCAGTGCATTGCGGATTAACGTAATCAACCACCTAATCGTCCACTTTTCCCCTGTCCACGATAAATTTGAAGTATTTTTACCATAGCCACAATTAAATTGTACTATCTGGTAAGTTAATTATACAGTTATTTGTTAGGACAACTCCTTGTAGTTTATCCAATAGTGTTGCAGCCACTACAGCGTGATGGAGCTCGCTGTCGACGGACAGTAGAGGGTAGATCAGGCTGCTCAACATGCTCATTCAGCTGCTGAACGCGATCGCGCCCTTCTTGGACACCTAAAATGGTGTCATTACCAATGCTTGCATGCTTTCTTGCCTTCTTCCTGCCTTTCTGCTCATTCTCAGCCCGTAGACTCCTCATTTCCTATTGAAGACGGTTGTTCACATTCATTGCCATCTGGGTGGCCTTTTCAAGGTGGCTAATATGAGACATCAGGCTGCTAGAGAGTGTTCGTGAAATAGGACTTTTTCGCAATCTACGAACCTTAGGTCTAACTTGCGGAGGTTGTAAGGAGTTTGAACAGCGGATGAGGTTGAGTCTTCGACCAATGGTGGTATCGGCGTACGAAGTTGAAATGCTTGAGGCCAGTCCCTGCGAAGCCACTGCATATATTCGTTGCGTTGAATACCTTTTCACGAGCAGGTGGATATAGGGAAAGAAAGTCTTCCTTGTCGATGTGGTTGTTACCAACCGTCATCATCCCTTCAAGTAGTTTCCCATATGCGCGCTTAAGCGGGCCGAAAACCCCAGAAAATATAAAAATCCGTAGTCAGATGACTCCCATATCCATCGAGAATAAGCAATCTCTGCGCACCAGTTGAATAGCGCCTGGATTGTGGTTCAAATACCTCCTATTGTACCTTTTGTCCAGCTATTCTCGCTGGTTGCAAACCGCCAGTCCTTCAGAAGTATAGGGTCTTGATACCGAGCAGCCTGATGGGTTGATGCTTTCAAAATGATAAGCGGCGGTATATGAATCCCCTTGAAGCTTATAGATTCAAGAATTGTAACCCATTCACGATCCCCCTGGATAGCCGTACGAGATCTTTCACTTCGCTTTACTGCAGTAATAACCTTCGATGTTGACCAGAGTCCCATTGCAAAGCCGGTCTCGTCAAAATTCCAGATATCATCTTCGTGAATACCTTGTTCCGTGATAGCCGCTTGTACAGACTCGAACCAGTCCCGAATAACCCGTGGGTCCCCCTGCTTTGCACGCTGATATGTAATCCTTCCATTATATCTTGTATGCAGCCTCATCATGGCGGTTGACAAATTTGTAGGTCCAGTTAATACGAAGTTCTACAGTTAAGACCTGTGTACGCTCACGAAGCAAGGTATGTGCCATTCCACGTATGTACTCTGGTCGAATTGGAAAGCCTCGCTTATCTGCATCTAGCAGCTGCTTACCCAGCACTTCTTCTTCAATCACCGTCAACATATGGCCGTTGGCGCGTGTTTCCGACCGTGGGTTGATTCCTTTGAACCGATCGAGAAGGGTAGATTTAGGCTCGTCAAATATTGCAACGGCCCTTGATTTCGACCGAATTCTTTTGCTTCTATAAGTTGTAAGTGCCATTTGTATTCGATATTTTCTTGGGAAAGAGACATTTTGCAAAGTAGTGGTGGAGAATCGGCGTGTTGGAAATGATTGAGAGATGGATGGAAAAGTGGACGACTCGCTGGTGTGGACGGCTCGGTGGTCGATTACGTTAATGGAAATGTAGGGTATACTGTCGTGTATTTAGTGGGTATACTACATGGAATTTATGGACATCCTGAGAGGCCGAGCTTGATTATTCTCTTTTTAATCTATAATGTATGATAATCAAAGTTGTTTTCGATCTGGTCGACTAGTAATTCGTAAAGTACGATGAAGCGCACCGTTTGGTAGCGAAAATATGAGTATATATACACAATTACGTACATATTGGAGTGGGGAATCCAGTGACATTATGTAGCCTACTCGTTCCTGTTTTGCTGTCTGTTGTCTGGTTTGCTTTGGGAGATTTCTGCGGAAATTGTTTACTTTAGAGCGGGCAAGTGAAATATATATAGAGAATACACGCCATATACAGCACAACACACGAAGGGCGAAGAAGGTTGAACATCGACGTATTTCCCGCGAAGCCTTCCCTCTCATCTTTCTAGTTCTTGTTTGTGGACGTGAAGTTTATCCATTTCTTCTATTGAGGCTGCTGGACTACTGTTGGTAGGGCGTTTACCAACAGTTTGATTCCTTCCCTATATTCTCTCTTACGGCAGCTTCGCTGTTAGGGGTTTGTTCTTCCTCTACTTACGACTCTGTTTCTTGCTCTCTCTCTCTCTCGTGCCTCGACTTGCCTGTGTCGACCAGGCTGCATTGAGCTTCCCCTCGTATCAGGTTTTATTATAAACCACAAAATCCTATAATAACTATTTACCCTTTCTCTTAGTCATTATCATAATATATTCAGCCTTTCTTCGGTCCTGTTAATGGACATTTAAACGCCTCTATCTATCTATATCATGTAATCCGTCTCAAGATTATAGGGGATTCGAACAAATGTAAATTTGGACAGAAAAGCCGGCGGAGTGCAATCCCTCCTTGTCGACAACAGGTTGGTCCCGATCGCAGGAATAATTTGGCACTATGTTTAACCCTGAATAAAGAAGAATTTATTAACTGGTGGCTACAGACTTCGGATGGAAAGTTTAAAGAACTTTGTATCAGGCTGGTTGACGTTAGGTAGGTTGTTAGCAACCTAGATAACCAGCTACCAGAACTACCAAAACAAGCCGCACCTGATCCCGATGCATATGGCGGGACTACACTACCTGAAACAGCCCTCTCGTCGCCTAACACGGATATAACTCCTCCTTTACACCGAAGCTACATCGGAACCTCCATCGAATATATGAACACAATCGTTACGGAACACATCGCTATTGCGAACAGTGAGTTCGGTCGAATGAGATGCGCACAGGTACCCCTCCAGCTCAAATACACTAACTGATAGATCAAGTCGCTCCCCAGACGGTATATTATGTATACGCGATGTCAATCGACCAATTACAGTGAAAAAGGACAAGGATAGCTCTCGCAGAGGAGAGAAGGTTAGCTAAACAGCATGAGAAAGTCTATGGTGTGGGGGTACTACCTATGCCTGCGCAGGTGAGTGAGAAACAAAAGTAGCGAGTGTAGTGCAACAGAGTTATTTCTTCTAGATAGCCAGCTAATGCGTTGATAGATTGTGTGAATAGCATCAAATTGACTGTTACAGCGTCGCGCACCCATACTGGGAAGCGGTGTGAGTACGCGACGGCTGGCTCAAGGGCAGCTTAACTATAATGGGCATGGCATAAGGTAAGTTGAAGTTCAAAAAGCCATTAAAGAAAAGAAGCGTCCCTGTACCAGGGGCTAAGTGATTCGAGAAACGAATTCTTCTGCCCGGTATTTTTATATGACCGTGGGTTGGGGTCGTGAGATGTTGAGCACAACCCCGCTTCTTGCCATTATCATGCCATTAAAGAGGAAGGATAGAGGCCACCATTCTCCCCCTAGTAATATTTTCCTACTCAGGAATTTGTCCACAATTCGCAGCTTGATGGACTATGGTAGCCAACATTATTCCAGTGTGTTTTACGCATATATGCACCTTCTTACAGCAGAAGATTGTAATATAGAGCATAGCCGTCAACGAAATATCCCGCCTTAGACTTTGAATCTCCAACAGGAACTAGACGCGATAATACATTGCGTAGTTGCATCATAAATTCACCCATCCCCTCACTGTCTAACATGTGGGCCATTCAACATTTGCAGCCACTATCAACCAACCATCTACACCACCTGTCGCAGCATCGAGTGCTCTTCATCTCCATCAAAGGTTTCTCCGCGATCAAACATATTATTCAAAGAGAGTGCAAGCTCTACAATCACCGGAGGATAGGCGCTGCGAAGGTATGCTTGCATCATATCCAGACCATTTGTTACTTCGGCACTTGTCCAAATATTCGCGTGTCGAACATATCGTTTCTTCTGCCACCGCACTTGGGGGATAGTTTTCTCCATCAGTGGAAGCATAAGCCTAGGGCATGCAGATGGGATGTCATCCAGGACACCAGCACGGGCCAGTGTCATCGTTCCCGTACAGATCGCCAGTATCGCTGATACCTTCTTCGATGTGCTAAGCAAGAATTGGACGACGGCAGGAGAGGGTTCATGTAATGGATGCGGACCGGGAAGAAGGAGGATATCCAGCGATGGCGATTCTGATATAGATATCTTTCAAAAGTTATGGAATTAGCAGCCATTTCTTGACTGGCCTGTCTGGCTCGCTACCCACCGTAGGCTGAATTCTGACGCCACTGGTCATTTTCACTGGTTTCTCACCATCCTCGGTAATGTAGTGAATTTCGCTCCTTATACCGAGGGAAACTATCTCTTCTGGAAGACCACAAGCATTGAGGTACTCCGGCTGAAGGGTCGTGAGGAGGTCAATCGGGGCCAAGTCCAGAAGTTGGACTAGATCGCTTATCAATAACACTCCAACCTGTAAGGGTCGTGTTTGGGTGGATTGTGCCATATTTCAAGCTGAAACTATGAAGAGAGAGCTCAGCGGTTATCTAGAGACATCATAATTGTTTATATCTAATATTTGTCACATAACCGGACGCTGGCGTATTCTAGCTCGAGCCTCGAGGTAAGCGGAACAATTTTTTTCCATCTCCTTACGGCCGAGCCAGCAGCTCATCTGGTATTAGAATAATCAGAATGTTTCCGACAGCCATCGAGCCGGGGCCTGTTACGGCCGTAAGTGCTGATTGTATAATACAGTCAGCGTTCATTAGAATTGGAACATGGTACCTGGCCCACTTATCTTTCTGCCAGTGGGCGTGCGTCCCAAATACTAACGAACGGCCACTGTATGCCAAGTTCAAAGGTGGTATTTTAGTTCGTTACCGGTCCGCCTGACCCAGCGTCTACCCAATCCACGTATATTTCCTACGGTTAACTGGGTCAATTCGGAATACCTGCGTCGTAGCACGTCAATACTAGCCCTTGGGGGTGGGACGCTTTGAACAGCAATCTCCTCGAGAGTTCTTCAATCAATCAATCAATCGATTACGTCAATTTGTTCCTCAGCTATTTTATGCGGACATCCTCGATCCAACGAGGGTGAGTATCGAAATGGAATGGCTGGAGGGCAGGAAGATATGCCAGAATGCTGCAAAATAGGCGGATACCGGGAGGCAGGATATAACTATGGTGGGAGTGCAAAAGTTTGAAACAATTTCCTCCTCACCGCCTATCACCCACCGCCTAATACCACCTACTTCCTACAGATGACGCCTGATATAGAAGCTAATTTATCGCTTACAATCTCTCACGGGGTAGAGGCAATGATTGAGGGACATGGGTTGTATACGAAATACTAGGTTGTTGTACTTTAAATCTAGCCTCTTGAGTGATATCTTGCCTAGCAGAAAACTTGGCATTAAGGAAATAGTTTCAGCTTTTGCACTGCCACTGTACTCTATGTCCGACAAGATTAGTTATGTATGAGAGCCTTTTAGCAATTCAGACCTATTCATACATTGTATTGGTGCATCGGTATTTACTCTGTGTATCTCAGTGAAATATGGCGTCCAGAAACATCGTCACTTTCGTATACTTTCGGCGTTCAATAAAAGCCAAACTGAATCTTTTGACCTTATAAGATACCTTTGAAAGTAGGTCATCCTAGGCCACACGCGGCGGTTCAATGATAACATGCAGAATCGGGCTTTATCATCTTTAATAAGCTTCTTCAGACGACTGAAATGAGGTTGAGACTCACCCTTGAGCGCTCAGGTCCATTTTTGATAGTATATCTAATACCTAAGAGGAGTTCAGGGGCAGCGCCTATGAACGCGTTTGTACCTCCATTTGATAGTGCGTCGCTCACATACACGCCCTCGCAAGGGCTAGTGTAAGCTTTTTTGACAGGACCACGCTATTTGGTAGCAATATCTACACAAAATATAGCTAATTGATTGAGATATCAGATGCGTATATGCGTGTGTAGGGAGTAATTCAATATAATATCACTCTGTACAGCAGTGTTGACACTGTAGGCGGAACAGGAGGCGGTAAGGATGAAAGGGCTTGTCTGGGCAAGCCAAAACAGTATGGACTAGTAAATAGAATAGACGGATGAGGTGAGGATAAGGTCAAACGGAACAAATTCGGAATGATACAGTTGACTGATGGAAGAGAAAAAAGTATGCGCCAGGTGTAGGTTGAAATACCCATGGATGGTGCCGATCCTCGTAGCTACAATACTCAAATTGCCAAGAATATCAATTTTACTGAACAAAACACAAAAGAAATCTGTATGGATCCATCTGAAATTACCCATATCTCGACAAGAGATTGGTTTGCCTACCACCTCACGTATCAACCATTTGATATCTTGCTTTGATGGTTAATACGTCGTATAAGTAACACCTTCCTTGTAGTGTTCATGACGATATTCCCAGTTTATAATTGATCAATAAAACTGCACCACGCAGTAAGTACAACAAAGGTATCGAAATCAGTTGTCGGCCCATGTGGGAAACCCAACGTGACGGTTTGGCATGGGTGTAAGCGTTATGCATAACGAAATTAACGGAATAAATCATTACGACGAACATTTTAGAACTTCAGCTTCCAGATGAACTGCCTCCGAAATACCTTCCCATAAAGGTGGTTCGCGAGTCTCCCAGCCACCTTTACTAATGTGACTTTGCGATGCCAAAGGAGCTTACTTCTCAGAGAGTCTACTCCCTAGATTACAGGCCCTCGCACGAAATCTCCTTTGATACTAAGACACTTTCCCACAAAATCAACATCGGAGTTTCCAAATAGTCCTTCTTGAACCCACCGATGACAACCGGCTTCGCCCGCCTCTTGTCAAGCATGCTGCCCGTTTTCGGCAAAAATACCTGCCGGTACTCCAGTTTGCGTCTATACTCACTTTAAGGCATCGTCTACAGAACATCTTCCGGATCCGCTAAATCTGATTTTGAAAAACAGTAAGGTTTACTATATATATCGAGGATCTCCGTAGACTAGCAAATGAATACTGTACTTTCTACTTGGATCAATGTTGGTGTCATATATTGTAGGCGGACAGATCTCTTCATGTTAGAATATTCGTTCTCTAAGAGAAATGAAGTCAACTCTCTATACCTACGTTCCGAGCCTGTGCGTTTACCTACAACTGAGCCGTTACGTATATTCACGATATTCAAAAGAACTATTTAAACTCAATTTTACTTCAAAATTTAGAAAACACAGTTATTGTAAGCTTACATAATTAGATTACCATTATTGTAATTGTAAAATTGGGACATTCCTCATCTGAATGCAACCACCCCACCCACTACCTGTGTTATCACGTCTAGGTCCCATATTTACACATCCTGTACCAAACACTTTCAGTTTATGCAAGTAGGCCACTGCTAAAGAACGCCCCAGCTATCCACATCCAGAAGGTCGGCTTTGTTATCGTCACTGTTTTTCTCGCATGAGGCCGTCAGATTCATTTGCTTACGGCCACTATATGCTACCCATCTTGGATGGAAAGTGAAACAGGTATTAATATAGTAGAATGGATCACTTACTTGTGGATCCCGAGGTATGGGTCGTCGATAGGGATGTAGTGGTTGTTGCCGTTGCGTTTGTAGTCGACGTTGAGCTTGAGCTTGAACTCGAGCTTGGGCTTGTGGCATTCCCCTCAGCCTCTGAGCACATACTAGCCAGACCCTGCAAGCCTGCTGTTATCTCCGAAGTTATGTTGTTGTTGGACCCACACTTCGAAGCAGAGCATTGGACTGCCGTATTCCCCCCATTATCGAGATTTGCCTCCATCGCAGTGCAAACACATTGTAGGTCGGATAACTGGGTGCTGGAGTTTGCATCACTAGCGCAGGAAGTACCCACGCTACTAGAGTAAAAGGTTTGGAAGCATGGTTGAGCGCAAGTGGGGAGGCTTTGCTGCCAGGAGTCGAAAGAGTTCGGTTTTGAGTCTGCAGTAGCAATGCCGAGGATGAAAGTGACAGTAAGGGAAAGTAAGAAATAATGCATGGTGATAAAAATGAGATTGTCTGTGTCGAAAGTCAACCAAAATTTTTGAGCTGTCTGTCAGCTCTTATACGTTGAAAAGGACAGATTCTCCTCCTAAAAATATCCTAGAAGTAATCAGTAAATGTATCAGGGAGAGCGATAAATACGAGCTCGTGGCCTGGTTAACTGGTACGGCCGAAAGGTCTACCTCGTTACGATTCCGGGATGGCCCCACACCAATGTGCGAGGTATTTGTGCCTTGGCAGGTGAACCCTTAGGTACCCTTCTGCTGGCCAGGTTGTTTCATCGCACGAGATTAGCAAAATCGCTGGTTCGGCCATTAGAGACTCGGAAAAGGACTATTCATGGCACATGTAACTGGTGTACTGTTCTCCATTGGGTCCACCATGTGTTGGTGTCTCTCCGTTGTGGCATGTTCTGTATAAGATTACCTCGTAACTCCACAGATGTACGGCCGTAAGAAAGTTTGAAATGGAGAGGCGTTTGTCCGAGTTACGGAGATTTTCCCTCTCAATATGCCAGCAGGATGATAAATCATCACACGAAGCCAGCGTAAATCCCTAAATAGGTACTATACTATGGCTCGCAGAGCGCAGGGTAGGTTAAGGGACCGCTTAGGCAGGGGGGATAGTGCTTTAGTCAGAACCAGCTTGATGTCTTTGTTATGGATCTTTCGCTGACCTATCCAAAACCCGACCTGGAGCCCTCCTTGATCTGGTCCAAAGATATATGTGTTTCTGGGTGTGGGTTGATGGAACTGGGGATTCCCCCGGCCAGTGTTGAACGGATCTCGGCATGGCTAAGATGTGTGATCAGTTCTGTTTGGTAGGGGTCTAAAGAATGAAGGAGATAATAAAGTAAACGGGTGTTGAGTACTGGCGATGTAGAGGAAAAGACCAGAAGGAAACTTAGGCCAACTATGGATTAATGCAAGCTTCACTAACGGGGCGCTTAACTTGGTTGGTAAAGCTGAAGCTTAGCCGAATATCCTAGTCACCGTTCGATAACCATATTAGAACCAATCTCATAAGAGAAGTACAAAATTTATCTACACATGATATCAAGGTCTATTTAACACGCGCAATGGAAACATCCATTTCATAAAAACCCCTTCCCCCCCCCCCCTCCACCACCACCATCCCGCTCCCTGGAAGCTATAAGCACAGCTCTGTCTCGAGGTCACCAGTCATCAACCTAGGGCTACATATTGTCCTCACTCCAATGACTCCTAGTCTTCAACCAAGCCTCCCTCTCCTGCTGCCCCTCAACATCCGTCTTCCCAACCCCGAGTCCGCGCTCAACCCACTCGCGACTCCCCATCTCCGAAAGCCGGGACAACGCTCGTGCAAACGCGAACCGCTCCTCGTCACCGCTGAAGATGGACGTGTTCTTCAGCGCTTGCACGGACATGCCCAGGTCATCCATGAGGTTGCGCATGGCGTCGGAGAGGTCGGAGTGGTCGCCTTCCGCTTTGAGGGTGTCTTTGAGGTCGGATTGGGAGAGGAAGAGGTTTGTTAGGGGGACTTCTGTTGTTAGGACGAGTTTTGCCTGTGGCCAACAGATTAAGTTAGAATTAGTAGGGTTGTAAAGTGGTGTATTGGGGCTTTGTGAGTAGGAAGACGAACCCTGCTTTCGTATACCGCATCGATAAAAGTGATGAAGCGTCGAGCAAGATCACGCTGGTTGAGGCTCATCCCGGGCACGTTCGTAACGATGAATGCATCGTAATGCCGCACCAGCTCGAGGTAATCCGCCGCGCCGGTGGCCGTTCCAATTAATTGGTCAAAGGTGAAAAGAGCGGCCTTGCCACTGGCCTGCGGGACTTGGATCTTGCGGCCCCAGACAACCTGGGTGGTCGCGTGGGGTGGGTCGTTAATAGGGTCACCCAGGAACTCGAACCACTTTCTGGCGTGCTGGTCTGCGTCTGCGCCCAGCGGGTGGTGGTAGACAGCTGCTGGGGGACGGGGGATCTTGCGATAGTCGGTTGGAGAGTTGAGGTTGATAACGTTCAGGGCGGTTTTGAGGAGAGTAATGCAGGGGATGAAGGATTCGCGCTGAATGCCGTTTTTGTATAGATCGTCTGGGTGACGGTTAGATGTTGTGACGAGGACGACGCCGTGAGATTGGAGGAATTGGAGGAGTCTGGCGTAGATATATCCGGGTTAGCATATGCAGATTAAGAAGATCGAGTACATGAAGACCTCGTACTCACCTCCGCAAAATCATAGCATCCGCAACGTCTGTACACTGAAACTCGTCAAAACACAACACACTCGCCGTCTCCGCAATATCCGCCGCAACAAGCGGCAACGCATCAAAATCATTCCCAAACTTCATCTTGACCACATGCATCCGCTTATGTACATCCTGCATGAAATTATGAAAATGGATGCGAGTCTTGGTCTTGATATTCGGCGGCAGCGTATCAAAAAACAGATCCATCAACATGGTCTTGCCGCATCCCACATCACCATACATATACAGGCCCTTCGGCAGGCCCTCGGGCGCCGTAGAAACTGCAGGCTTGGTGGCAGCGGAGCCGAACAGGGACCCGAAGAAGGACTTTTTAGGTTGGGGGTCGAGCGATTCCACGCTGGGGTGAATGACGGCGGGGGCGTTGTAATATTTCAATGCTTCATATAGGTCTTGGAGGTTCTGGATAATTCCTGGTGGAGAGAGTTTGCATTAGCTCTTGGACCAGGGCACGGGGCTGCTTCAAGGCCCTGCTTACCTCGCTGGTACGAGTCATCCCGTAGTCGACCCTCCTGCACGCGTATATCATACTCCCTCATCGGACCATCCTGCGGCGCACCCGACACTTTCGTCTCGGAGAGAGCCTCTGAAGGCGCAACCCCCTCGGCGGCGGTAGCCAGACCCCGCTTCTGCAGGAGACTTGTATTCACAGGCACCGTGATCAGGTTCGTAGGCACAGACGATTGCAGACCAGTTCGTTGCGGAAGCCTCGTCAGAGTTGAGTATGCCATCGGCCGCAGACCAAGAGATTTCTCATTCGCGATGCTTCGGGGCAACGGCGCAACCCGCGTGCCATGGGACCGCCGCACCGCGCAAGGGACGCAGTCCGCGCAGAGTTTTGCTGGAGGTCGCCTCATTTGTGTAGATGATGTGTATGTACAGTGGGTGTGGGGAGTGTGAGACCCGTGGAGTGACGGGCAAGTGTGAATGGATGGCGGGCGAAAGTCGTAGCCGAGGTATCGCCGCAGGAATTGTTTTCTTCCGGGGAAGCGGCGAAGTAGACGAAGTACTCCGTACAGAGAGCGGATAGGGCAGCACAAGGCCCTCGACGAAGGACAGAAATAGCAACACAAGCCAGGAGTCCAAGAGAAATGAAGAAGAAAGCTGGAATGAAGGCTCAAAGGATATCTACAAATCGACAGGGAAATAAAAGTAAGGCTAAAGTCGAGGAACCGGCTATTGATCTGGCTTCCGAAGGGTGGCCGTTCCTGAGGCAAAAAGGCATCCCGGCCGAGATGCCGAGTCACGTGATCTGTAATTTTCATAGGCACTCTGCCAAAGACCAAAGTTCAATAGTTATACAGTTAGATATATTGGTATAGTACTGCCAACTAGGATATAAATCAGTCCAGAAGCCTTCCCTGTATATGCACAAGAAAGAGAGCATATGTACAAGTCACTGTAGCAGACAAAAGCAAAAGCACTCAGGGTATGTCACCCACACAAAGAAGACGTGAAGAAATGAACTCGGTGGCTCAGATGTGAGCTGTACAGATTGGAAATCAGAAGGCTGGTCGAACATCAAACAAGATGAAAGTAAGGATAAGACGAGAACAGCGGTGACCAGGATAGGTAACAATATGACTGAAAGATGTTGAAAACGTGAGAGAATCGCGAATGAAAATAAAGAAGACATGCCAAACATCACACATCATACTCATAACATCGCGATGATCATCCTCCCCTGAAAGGAACACAGAAAAGAAGCTCATCGCTGAAAAAGGCAAATGGAGGACTTGGGATGAGAGTCCTCCCGAAAGAAGAGATGCCGGAACGCCGATGCACCCAGAAAGATGGAGAAAGGAAACGGGAGGGAGAGGTAGAAGAGGTCTATGACAATGGTCGAACAAAACACAACAAAATACCCAAAGGGGTCGAGAAAGAGCACATCAGAAGCTCGCTCCATTTATGCAATGTTGACGAACAATGTCAACTTGGTGTTGCGCTGCATCGCGCTCTCCAGATCCGCGTCTGATTGCAGGTCGACATAAGTCCCCGAGGACTCATCGCGGTACTGCACGATGATATCCTCCTGGATCTTAAGTCGATCACACAGCTTGTCCTTGAGGTGCTGCAGACTCACACCCGATGGAATGCGGATGGCGATCAGGTCGTCCTGGAAGAACACCTTGACCTTCATCGCGCTAGAGTTGGACGTGCTCGACACCTGCGTCAGGGAGCTGGGCTGACGATTCATTGGAGGAGGACCGCCGTTGGCGTATGTGGCCGGGGCAGCGCCCTGGGCGCGCTGCTGCGATGCGCGGTCGGGCCCGGCGTTCATGGGCACCTGTGAAGACTGGCGGGAGACGCTCTGCGAGGGTTCCAGACCGGAGGAAGAGTGGTGCGATTGGTCGGAATAGCGTGCCTCCTCGCCAAAGGCGGTCGGGTCGATTTCGAAATCACCCTGGCGCGGAGCGAATAGCTGCCGTACTAGTTGGCAGCGGGCGATGTGTGGGGGCATGGAAAGGAGCTTCTTGATGTACTCGTCGAGATTCTGGCGACGACCGTTGGAGATGGCATCCGTGACGTGGGTGACGGGGCCGGGCATGAATGGTAGAGTGCGCGGGCGGCCACGGTTACCGGCTTCATCTTCGAACTGGGTGAGAAGGGCGATCTGGAAATCGTAAAAGTCGTGGTAGTAGCGCGACAATTCCCAGCACCGGCCGTCTTCCATCTTCGCCTCGATGATGTACCAGTACTTGTCGTTGTCGAAGCAGTAACGGGGGATGGAGGCGGCGACGGGTGCAAGAAGGGGCGGGTAGCCTTGCGATTGACCCATAGCGGTTTGGCCAGCGATAGTGCCCTTGCTGGCATTGCGCTGGTGGTATCCCTAACGAAACATCACAATGCGATTAGTTATTGATCAATGTGGAAAGTCGCAAGCGACAATGAGATCCATCCCACTGATCCTAACTTACAGAGGAGTTGCCATTCTGACTCATGTGGCCCGCACTCTGGTGCGATCCGCCCATAGACATCTTGTCCATGCCCGCAGTCACCGTGAGAACGCTGCCACCAGAGGGCTCCAGTTTGCCCAGCGTGATGCTGCTGTTCTTGTACTCGGCGGTCATCTTCTTCCACTCCTCTACCTTGGGCACACCCGCACGGCGCACCGCCTCCAGTGGATCAGTCACCGCCTGACCACTCTGCATATCGCGCAATTCAATAAATGAGACGGGGATCAAGCCTGGGCCGCCGAGACGACCGATGGGCTTGGCCACAAACCACTCCGGGTTCGACTGGGCGATGACGATGATGGCCTCGCCAGCGCGCGCATCCAATTCATCAGGTCGCTCGGCCTGGAAATCATACTGGACGATGCCGTAGACCATGGCGCCCTGGCCTTTTCCGAGGGCAGACATTCTGAACGCGCCTTGTCGGGTGGTGTTGGTGGAAGAATCGGAGGTGGGACTGCGGTCGGAAAAGCCAGAATCGTGGTGGTCCTTTTTATGTAGATCCACGGACCCCCCACTATCCCTTTCGTTTTTGCCGATGACTTCGAAGAAGGAGACGGGAACGAGCCCTCGGGCACTAGGGATGAGCGGATTGCACGCTTCGTACCAGTCCGAGTCGTCCTCCCTACTAATAACGTGGAAGAAGTCGCCCTTGCTAAAGGCCAATTCCTGGGTGGTCCCGGGTTCGGGAGTGTAGTCGTAAAGCGCTTTGATGACCTGGTGCGCGCACAAGCAGCGACGGGGGTCAGCTTTGGTCTTTGTTTTCAGGGAGAGTGTTGGTGTTGTTGTCAAGTTCCAGCGCACAGAAAGGGGGGAGGAACCATGGATTGGGGGAGTAGTGGGAACCGGAGGAGCGCACTGATAACGGAGGGGTGGGAAAAAGAAGTGGGAGGAGGGAGAGTGGGTATGAGACCGTCCAGTTGAATAGTGGCGGTAGTGCGAGATCGCAACCGAGGGGCGTTTTTGTGTTCCCTTTTGTTTGGGGACGGTAGGGGGAGAGAGAGGGACAGAGAGAGTTGGTGGCTGGGAGGGGCCGGAAGGATCAAGGAAACAGGGGACAGAGAGGACAGGGAGAGAGCGAGAGAGAAGGGGGAATGCCAACAACAACAACAACAACAACAAACGACTCACCTTTTTGGGCGGCAGGATGGCAATGGCCGACTTGGGAGTGATGGAGATATGGTGATGATGATGCTTGGGATCTTTCTCCCCCTTCAAGGAGCGCCGGATGGCCTATATTGGGCGGGACCGGGTTAATTTAACGACACACGAGACGTAATCTTCCGGAGTGGTCTGCGACACGTCCGAACGAGAGAGAGAGAGAGAGAGAGAGGCTGGAGAAGGAGAGAGAGGGGCGGGGGATCGGACACTCACCTTCATCGCGGAAGGGAAGAGAAGGAGGGAGGAATGTATTCAGGGCCAACCAGGATTGCTCAAGGGAAGGTGGAAGAAAATGATGAAAGAGAGGAGAAAGAGGGCGTGTGGAAAGGAGAGGAAAAGGATTTCTTTTTTTTCTTCTCTCAGGTCAGCAGTATACCCAGGGCCATTTGGGTAGTAGCAGGAGGAGAAGGAAGAGAAGGTAGGAAAAGGAAAAAAAGGCAGGCACGCGATGGAGTAATAAGAGAGAAGGTCAACTACTACATTAACCTCTGGCCACCTATAGAAGAAGGAGATGAAGAGAGAAAGAGAGAGCGAGAGCGAGAGAGAGGCGCTGCGGATTATTGGGGTTCCAACCACAGGCTGGATTGTGATATTTGCGAAGCGACAAGAATAGATCGTCACTGAGGAGCGGAGTATGGAGGAGAGCTATAGGTTATAGGTTGTAGGCTATAGGCCAGCGGAGGACACAGTGATGGAATCTATGGATATATGGATATAAAGCGGAATAATGCGACTCACGAACATCCTCGAGGGGCGTTATAGTCCCTCAAACATGGTCTCCGAGAGTTTGGGACCAACGACCGTGGATGCAGCACGAGCGTGCCTGTGGCAATCTCCCAGTTTGGCAATCTCCCAGTTTGGCAATCTCCCAGTTTGGCGCGCTACCATATCGACATACAACGTATGCAAGTATACATTGAGACACGATACCCAACTACAGCCCCAGTCTCAAGAAGATGAAGATAGGAATAGGCTCCGGTGTCTGTAGTATAAGTCTGTAGTATAAGTAGGTATACCAATCCACCGTGTCCATTCTCTTGATAATCATAAGAGCCCCCAAAAACTGCAGAACCGTCACGGAAATTGTAAAATTCACAGACCACGCGATCTCCACTACCGCCGGGTCCACCGAGTCCCCGTTGGGCACCGACCTCGTCAGCTTGGGGCGGCTACTGGCCCCTCCAGACTGGCCCCTTTGTTCCTGTGGCCACTGAACACTAATCAGCATTCACCACCATGAGGATGGACGACTATACGCTGCACTGGCTAGCCACCAAGATCGTTGGCATCGGCAACCCGGGGCATTTCCAGACGCCGAAACCAAAAAATGATCCATCATTTTCCTACTTCAGTTCTTCCCACTCCCCACCCCACCAACCCGTGGTCCGTCATCCACTGGGCCCATGGCTCTGACGACGTTTCATCCGAAACCCGCTTAGATCCGCGGGGCGGTTTTCTTTGAGAGGATACGCTGGGGCCAGGAAATTGAGAGCCTGGATGTGTACACAGGCGAAAAAGATGGAGACATCATATTCGAGAGCGATCGGCAGAGTGGAACAAAGAATGTTTCCAGACGTTTTGTCAGACTGTACATGATATCATGAGCTAGATTAAAGTGTTACTCGAACGGTCTCGACCTGGTTGGGCTGGAAATAAGTTAATTAAACATAGATTAATTCTGGGGCTGTCTGCAGCCTTGGATGGGTCCTCGACGCAGTTCACGATGTACAAGCACAAATCATAGATCACAGCGTATGTATGCTTTAATTTTAATTCCCTACTGTACCTTGCTTTATGTTTCTATGCCAAAGAGCCTTGCTCGCAAGCGGAGATGAGATCCTTGATCCATGATATAATGATTAAGAGGAAGATCTACTGTAAATGTGTATCGGTCGGCTGCCTCACACCTTGTATACAGTACTTAGTCCAGCCCTCCCACAGTCGAGGCTCTACTAGTATACCTCTCGAGTACATATTAAGCTGAACCTGCATTCCCCCTCGGCACAATCCATCGAGAGCACCCATCATCCTCCTCACTTACAGGAGTAACTATACGCAGTCCCCCATACCCGCACTCAAAAATAAAAACTGCAGTAGTTCGCAAACCTCATTGGATACACCACCACAGCTGAAGAAACGCTCAGCCGCAGTTCGCAGCACCGCCGATCAATGCAATGACATCAAGCCTCCTGCAGCCCGGCGCATCGTGAAACTTACACTGCAGATCCAGTACACACAGTAGATTTAGTACCAACTTGGCTCACAACGGAGGAAAAGCCTATAGATACTTTAGCATCCCATGGCAGGGCTCGATGGATCTATCATTTTTCTCTACTATACAACCACGGCCGTACCAATATACGATACTGTGCTAGGGTACTTCCACAACTAGCGAGCTACCAGCTAAAATACACCCTCAAGAAAAGCCACAACCACACCCATCCAGATCCTCCATCCCCATCATCGGCGGGTACCGATGAGGGGCCCCTTAAAAGTTAACTTAAACCATTTCTCCGCCGGTACAGAACCCAATTACAAATTCCCAGTCTCATATCCATAACTATCCAGACTCAAAAGTAAGCGTGTACCTACACACTCCACTCCTCCCCTCCCCCCACCACACACTTCACTACGTACGAACCATACTGTAGTGTAGTCAAGTAACTCACATTTACCTGGGCCCAACCCCACCTATTTCAACTTCCAACCCAATTTTCCACCCCCTCGCCTAGGCAATCTTCTCGAAGCACACGATGGAGTCCCGGTGAGCTTGGTTGCGCCAGTCACCGCCGATGCTGGCGGGGGGCGTCCATGGGTGGCGGCGTGTGGGACCCACGCGGTGGGGCGGCGAGGGGGGAGTTCCGTGGGAAGGGGGATCGAGGATGTGAATTCAATGGAATAAACGGAAACGGAAACGGAAATGGAAGATGGATGGAAGAGTGGTACGGTGGTTGAATGGGATGATGGTTAGCAAGGCTTGGTCTTACGGTTCCGAATTGATTAGTATGTGGCCTGGTGAATCGGGTGTCAATATAGTACAGTAGACAAGATACTGGCATCAGGTGTCGGATACCAAGGTTTTTCTACGACAACCATTAGTAACGATCCTGATGAACTTCCACTGTACTCTGGTAATTTTTATTGATGGCTGTAGATAAACGAGGTAAATAGGCAGAAAACAAAAACAAAATCTACTCGGGCGCCTCGATACCCCACAAATATCAATCAACAATGCGCAACGGCGCATACCGCATTCACCACCCTTGACCCAGAAAGAAAATCCAACAAAAACTCATTCGGGGGGTATTAGTATGGTTGCGGGTCCGAGTGTGCCGCAGGATGATGATCACGACACGAACTCGACTCCGCGGGACGGACACTGAACGCCACAGGAGAAAAGTCCGGGAGAATAGGAGAATAAGAGATGTAGAAGGAAGAGAGGAAACTGCAACGCCTAAGATGTGGAATGCGGACGAACATGCTTTGCGTTCGTCAGAAAGGGAAAAACAATGCAGGTGAGAACGCCGGTCGCTTCGAATGAAATGGATGGACCAATATTGCCTGCAGCTGCTTGGAGATAAATTTGGATCCACGAGTGTGAACTCCAATGGCGGCCAGCCTAATGTGTGATTAATGAGGAGGGGAAATAATTCGGGATGAGAACAGGTCGAGAACAGGGATGGGCCCGGCTTATATCTGGCCCTTGATGTCGACGACGCGGTGGGCTTCAGCCTTGGCTTGCTCAAACAGCGAACCCGCTTTGCCGGTCAACAGCCTCACAGTCCCGTTCTTCTCTTCCAGAGTGTCCTCGGCCGAGTGGTCGAGAATGAAACGTGCGGTCTGCTCATCGGACTCGAAGCCAAGCTCTTCCGTGATGAACCGGATATTGACATCCGGTTTGTACCTGAAGATAGACAGTTAGCAGGGGAAACGCAAGGAGGGAGAACAAAAAACTCACGCTCTACAAATGGAAGCAAGAGCAGTCAACCGCTCCCGATCGACAAACATGTCCATGAGGTACGCCCCCATGTTCGGTGTATCCAGATACAACTGGAAGAAGCGGTGATAATTGCCAAGAGCGAGAGCAGAGCGAACGTCTAGCGCATGCTTGACGGCACTCGTCTTCTTGTCTTCTGCAGTCACGTCGGCTAGCGCATCGTTCATGGCCGTCCAATTCCGGGTGTAAATGAAATAGAGAATACGATACGCCTTGAATTCCGTCGGATGCCCACCAAGTTTCTGCTGGTACAGAACCCGTAGCTGGGTCTGGCACTGATTATACTCACCAAGGTCCCCTTTCTCCAAGGCAATCCGCGCGTGGATCTCGTAAACAACGACCGTGAACTCGTTCCGGATGTGTTGCACCGTCAGGTCCTGGCGCAGAGACTTGAACTGGTCGCATATGTAGGTATAGTTGCCCTCTTGCTTCCATTTCTTTTTCAACAGGTCCAAGGCCTTCTGAAGCACCGGCAAGGGCCGGACAGTATCCGGGTTCGGAGCAGAGGTCAGGCGGAAGTAGTTCTTCTCCAGGGTTTGGCATCGTCCCACAACGGGTCCTTGGTCCTGGTCGACGCTACGCGAGGAGGGAGAATCCACGGGGGACGAAGTCCCAGAGGTTCCATAGCTGACGCCAGCGCCTTCAAAGCGCTTCCTCCTCATCTCCAAATTAGCTTTTGACTTACTAGAATCATCCAGTGTCATTCGTGATTTCTTTCCTGTGGATGGGTGAGTTACTCGGTCTTCAAACCGATTGCGATTGTTAGCTTTCTTCCAGGGCGGCGAATCTTGTCCGGACTGCTGCTGCTGGCTGGATTCTGTCGATTTCCTCTTGCGACTGGCATCACTAGGGGAAGGAGTTTGGCCAGACATTCCCCAGTTTGAAACGTTGGGGTTGGCCAGGACCCTATTGCGTTCATTTTGGATCATGACTTGGGGCAGGGCCAGTCGTTCCCAGTCGATGATGTGTAACTTGTTGTTCTCGGCCGCATCGGTAATAACCTGTCGCAGCTTCTCTTGCATTTCGGGGTGGCTCACACTGGCAACCTGATTCTCGGGAGCAAAACATCGTTGCACGTAGAGGCGCACCGCAGGGGGAAACTCCATGCGTGGTCGAGGAGCTTCAGCCACTGGGGGCATGGTGGGCTGTGTAGAAGAGGATCCGGTGGAAGGTGGGTAGGTAGTCTTATGAGTGGGGAGGCTACGACGTGCTTGTACTGGAATATAGGCAGGAGTCGCTGGAACAGCGTTAGCAGGCCGAACAAAGGTGAGAGGCAGGAGGCGTAAGACGAGTCTGGACGTGTGCACTTACCAGAGGGTTGAAACGCAACGGGCGTGGATGTTGGGGCCGAGGCAGTTGCACGCCACGGTGGAACACTTGAGTTCATCCCGGAGTCTAAAGTATGAATGTGGTTTGTGATGAGGCAAAAAGGGAAAGAAGAGAGATAAAGAGGCGGGAATGAGGAGAACAAAGAAAGAGGAAAAAAGTGGGAAAGGCTACGATGAGGGAGTTCCGACGTTGATGCAGGTAGAGAACAAAGAAAGGGTAGATGGTCTAAACCAGCAAAATCAACGATGAGATGGAGTTGTACAGAGGTGGCGATAAGTCAGTCTGGTCGAGAGGCACACAAGACGATTCCCAAGGGACGAAGAATCTCAACTCGCTTACTCTGGTCGGAATTTCTTTTCTCCGGCCCGGCTATCCCCAGGTTTATCTTGTTATCGGTGACAGCTCCGGAACGGCCTTGAGGGGTGATATGTCGCCTGCACCCTCCTCTACTAGATGTTTTTCAAGTCTCTGGACCTGACCACTGCACTGCGACCCTTGCTGTTACCTGACGAGACGCTTCTCTTTGTCCAGGATGCGGTGGGGTTATATGAGGGGTAAGCTAGTTCCCCCGCTGTACAATAGAGAGTGACGCCATGTGTACTAATCCGGGCTTGAATGAGCAGGAAATACAAGATCCCTGACTACCAAAATGGCCATGCCTACTTGACCTCTCATCGGGTATGCTATGTTGCAGCCGAAGAACCACGCAAATTCTCCGTTGGTATTGATTTGAAGGAAGTTGATCGAGCCGAGTACCAGGTAGTTAGGTCCGATTGACAGTTCGGCTGTGTGCTTGCTAACCACTTGGATATCACTCTAGGCGGGCTTTTTCAAATCATCGCCAAAAATCACGTTATATCCAAAACCACAGAAGGGAAAGACTGACAAGTCGCGAAGCGCAACTGCCAGTCCTGCGGTCTCCCAACAGTCCAGCCTTCTCCCGGTTCATCCATCCTCTCCACGACCACACAGTGTCGTGCCACAGCCATCGGCCTCACCAAAACCAGTCAATGCGACCTGGATCTGCCCGATTTGCTCTTTCTCGAATCCCGTGCCCTCAAACTTTGACCCGGCTACGGCCACCGCGACAACCCATTTACCACCATGTCTCGCGTGTGGTATCAAGCCGCCTTTTATAACGGTCTTAAAGGCCGCAATCAGCGCTGCAGCAAGTCGTGATTCCCCTTTACCCAGCACAACGTCCTTACCGACTGAGGATAATGCTCAAAAGCATGGCGGACACTCGGGTTCATCTGGGCTGATGGGTTCCGTGTCGTGTCCCCGCTGCACATTCGTCAATCATCCATCTCTCATAGAGTGTGAGATGTGCGGGGCGCCTTTGACAACCGGGGGACCTTCGATACAAGGAGATGATGCGAGCCGCGCCGACTCCCCAGCGCCATTCTTTGCACAGTCTCGCATCGCCAACTCAGAAGTCACAGACAGCATCAAGCTGTCCTTTCGAAATGGCGGGGAGAAGACCTTCCACGAGAGACTCAAAGGGGCCTTGATCCAACGAAAATGGCTACTTCAGAATGCCCCACCGGTGCCGCTGCCATCGCAGGCAGCTGCCTCACCGAGTGGTCCCGCCATTGCGACACTAGAGAGCCCGCAACCTTCTGCTCCACGTGTGACAGCCGTGGGTATCGCAGGTCTCGAGCAACGTGGGCTAGAAACGCGAATGAACAATCAACTGGTCATTGGTAACGCCTTTGAAGATCTGGAGGCACTGATGGCCTCAGCAAAGCAGATTGTGGCTCTAGCAGAGACCCTGGCCCGCGAGTCCGGGATGACGACCAATGGAGGAGCCTCTGCAGAGACCAACGCGGTCCTCTCCGAGTCGGCTGCAGCCTTGGGGATGGTGACTACAAAGGACATGCTGAGCTCTGGGTCTGAGAACCTCTATTTATCAGAGCTGTCCCGCAATCTAGCCGAGTATCTTACCGATGATCGCAAGGGGATTTTACAACGAGAAGGGGGCATTATGAGCCTGATTGACCTCTGGGCGGTGTTCAATCGGTCTCGTAATGGAGTCGAACTCATCAGTCCATCCGATTTCCAGCGGGCAGCCGAGCTCTGGGAGAAGCTGAAGCTCCCTGTGCGTCTCCGCCGGTTCAAGAGTGGTCTCTTGGTGGTTCAGCGTTATGACTGGAGCGATGAGAAGACGGTCCGGCAACTGCAGGAGTGGATGGAGGAACTGCGACGAGTACCACCGGACGAAACGATTCCTTGGGATTGGACGGTGTTTGGTCGGGCCGTGACGGCACAGGAAGCAGCGCAGCGATTCAAATGGAGTGTGGGTGTGGCCGCCGAAGAGCTGGGGATGGCCGAAGACCGGGGTTTACTGTGTCGGGAAGAAGGTATAGAGGGGCTACGGTTCTGGAGCAATCATCTCGTAGCATAGACAGAGAGAGAAGAGCCCCAAGAGCTCAACTGAAAGAGAAGATAGAGCGAGAGGGAACCCCCAAATTCAGCTCTGCATTCAGCTGGCCAGTGCATCTGCAAGAAGTACGATGACGAGTCTCTCTCCGCCTTTGGAGACTCTGGACTGAAACCCAAGGAGGACCCGTGACGTCACAGTCACACTTGGTGATGTAAGCCATCCGAGTTGCGGGGGAATGGGCGGGGGTGGCGTGTGATTGGCCGACACCACAGCCGATCCCCGTCCAGCGAGTCCCCCCGGAGTGCTCTGGTCCTGTCACAGTAGCAGCTGGCATCCTACATGACCCTTCTTCTACTCCTCCCCCCCCTCAAATCGTACTGCTCGTCTCTCGATCTCCTTTTATCTCAATTATCTCCCTTTTTCTCCCTCCTAGGCCTGTTGTTCCCCTGAACGGGCTTCATCGGACCATCTACACTCCAGATACGGCCCAGGACCCACTCCCCCAATCTCGTGTGATTTCGGGTGGATATGATCGCCAGCGCCTTGGAGCTTTCATCCCCACGCGCTTTCTTCAGACTCTCCACAGCCTCTGTCTCCCGTCGGTGGCTGACTCCGCTTCGGAACCCCTCTTACAGTAGCCCAGTTGGAACGGGTCACATCTCGAATCTACACACTCAAGGATTCACCATGAGTTCCTCAATCTCCCTGTCCTCCGTCACTATGGCGGGGTCAGGTGCAACTCGATCAGCTCTTTCACAATTAGTGGCCACACGTACCTCCCGAAACCACAGTATATGGTGCAGTGCTCGCAACTACCATAGCATCCGTGAGAAAATGGAGCGTATTGCTGAATCCATCGATAAATACCAACGTCACCCCCAACCCAACCTCCGCCGGAAGACGAAAGCCTGCAATAGCTGGCCCGCCACAGCCCACAGAGACCCCAGTAGCAGCAAGGGCTGGTCCACGCACTGGCCCCAATCTTTCCGCTTCTCTGAACTCTTCGGTCGAGACAAGACGTATTGGGACGCCGAGCTTGAGCAGATGAACCACCGTATCGCACATCTGAAGAGACAGGTTGCCCGAGACCCCTACGAAGCTATCTTTGGTCGCAGAGTACATTCGTCGCACTATATGGACCAGTCTGATACTGCTACCGCTTGGCCGGGTTTCCTGCGAACTTTCTTGGGAGCCGAGAAGCCTATGACGAATCACCCGTCCAAGGTGCATCTCCAGGATTTCAATTTTACTCAGTTGCCTGCTCAATCTAGGGCTTCAAATCGCCTGGATACTCTTGAATATGACCCTATCAGTGGCCGTATGGCCCCGAAAGCACCGAAGCCGCAGACTGGAAGTGAGAGCACGATGCAAAGCTCTAACGCAGGCGTTGACTGTTCCCCGGGTAGCGAATTGGAGACCAAAGTTGCTTCTGACTTCAACCTTGACTCCCAGCACAAGGAGGCAACTTCTGTCGATTGCTCCTCAGATAGTGAGCTTGAATCAAGGATTGTCGCCGAGACTACTCGTGCTCAGCTGTCTGATCCAACTATCGACTGCTCCCCAGGCAGTGAGTTGGAGGCATTGTTCACGACTAACCCGGCTACTGTCCAAGTCTCCCACTACCCCCCGGTTATGGCCACGGCCGATGCCGCCGTCAAGAAGGCTAACGTCACCGTTGACTGCACGCCCGGCAATGGGCTAGAGGCCAAGTTACTCTCTGATGCCGCTAGCGCCGAGATCCATGGCGAAAGTGAGGACTTGACTGCTCTGGACGCTAGTGACATTCGGGCCCGTTATACCTCACTGAAGAGCGACGGCATCCAGTTCCAGGGACTAAAAGACACCGAATTCGACGCCTCCAATGATCGTGTCGGCGACTTCCTGCAAAGCCAGAACGCCCCTGTTGCAACTCAGCAATGGTCCCAAACCGAGTATCGTATTCTAGCCTACGACACCACCGCAGCAGCAGTGACAACCGCCGAGTCAGACTCCTTCTTCGGTGCCAACGAACCCGTCCAACCCCATGAGATCTTCTCCCGTCTGCACAATCCAGGCAAATTCGTACCCTACTTCGCACAGATGCAGCAAGACGGATATGAAATCGCAACTGGTGGTGGTGACATCCTGGTCTTCAAGCGGTCCGTCAAGCCGATCAAGCATACTCCCGCTGCCGCCCAGCAGGACTCTATCTCTGAGGATGTTCAAGCCGATATCGCCAGCTATCTGAACAACGACTCTTATGATTCAACCAGCTTTGTCCACCACTATCACCCGTCTTCCACCACCAAGGTGAGTAGAAAGTGAAATGGCCTATTCCGGCCGGTCCGTCCCTAACTGGTCGACTTAGCCCTCGACATCCGGACACTCCACTTCCACTTCCACTTCCAGTGCCAACCCAAGCTCCAGCTCCAGCTCCAGCTCCAGCTTTGGTTCCGGATCTGACTCGGACCCGAACTCAACTCTTCACTCAAACTCATCATCCGCGAAGCCAAAATCAAAATCCACTTTTCGCAAGGTCTTCCGCAGAATGATCCTCACCGGCACTATTACCGCGGGATCATGTTATGCTATCGGCGTTGTGACCGAGTATTTCCGTACAGGAGGGCAGGATGGGTATGGTGTGGATGGGTTCACGGCTTTTGAGTCGGAGAGACGTCATCGGGAGTAGACCTCTGCTGTGATCTGGTCGATACACATGCGTGCACACATCTTTTTCGGAGTCTTTCGGTTTTTGTTCTTTTGTTCTGCCGGGGAATCGCCACAATTCCACTCTTCGTATATACCCCATTTGTATCCCCGCTCTTTGCTTTTGCGTGTGCTGTGTCTTTTGCGTTGATACACCGTTATGTGATATGATAGCTGTTTACTTTAGCTGGAGGATTGAATGAAGAATATTGCAATTATGAACAGATTGCTCTATACGAGGTTATTATCATTAATTACATTTGGATGAAGCTCTACACCTGCTACGAAGAGAATGTACGAAAAGAATGTACATCATACTCACACATTTGTTTTAGATGTCATACACTAACCTCTCATTCCATTCCGAGGAACATCTTAAATCGGTGTCCCATCCGACTCGTCATCAATCCTCTCTTCACGAAGCTCTTGTTCTTCCCCTCCCTCCTCCTGTCCAGCCTCATCACAACCTTCCACACCCTCAATCCCCTCCAAATCCCCCCGCCTCCGCATCAGTCCCCAGGTTATTCCACCAGGACCGTCGCAATTCCTGCAGGAATCCATGCCGTCCGTCATCGAGCTCCTGTGACTGCTCCGTCTGGCTGAGGAGTTTAGCGTCCTCGCCTCGGGAGTCACTCTCCTCACGGCATGACTCTGCCTCTTCTCGCTCTTGGAACGTAGTTTCCCGCTCCCATACTGCGTTTTGGAGAGAGTCTAGTTGTTGATTGAGGTCCTGGCAGAGATATTCGTTGGGGGAACGCTCGAGGTCGACATCACCTTCTTCCTCTTGCTCTGCTTCCTCTTTCTCGTCTTCTTCCTTTACCTCCTCTACCTCCTCTTCATCAAGTTCAACATCCTCTGCAGTATCTTCCGGTTCTGCATCATGCGGAGGGTACGGCGGTTTATTGAAGACAGCTTGCAATGCACCACACCGCGCAGAGCCGCTGAGTAGATACATATGCAGCCCGGCGAGGACTTGTACCGCAGCGGCAAAGTCATCTTCCTTCCAGAGGTCGAATTCCCGAGTACACAGGACGCGGAATGTGCGAGGGTCAAGCTCTTGGTCTAACATGCTGAGCTTTGTGGCTTCGATGTGGCGGCGTACGCGCGCGATGTTCTCGGGTGCGTAGAATCTGTTGCTGATGCGGCGGTGGCGTGCGGTATCAGTGGTACTTGTTGGATTGGTTTGCGCGGTATCGGTGTCGTCGGTGGGCTCAGTGGGTGTAGCTGGTGCCTCTGGTTGGGATGGAGATGGGGGTGGAGCGCATGTAGGGGGTGTTTGGGGGATGAGGGATGTTTCGTATGGTAATTCGCGGCGACACCAGAGGCTGGATACCTTGTGGCCGGGGAAGATGGTGCGCATTATGTGGAGCTTGGAACCGTGTTGGCCGATGAGGAAGATCTCTTGGTCTGGGATCTTGTCGCCGGGGACAGGGAGGGGTTTGATGTGTTGGAGGAGTTGGCCGAGCATGAGTTTAAACTTGTCGGCTAAGGCAGTCTCGAGTGGCTCTTCGTAATTCGTCTAGTAAGGACTTATTAGCATACTCGTACGGGATGGTATGCAAGGCTTATTTTAGATGACTTACCACGGAGATTGGCAGAATGGTGATCACAAAACTTTTCCCCGGATTGAACTCGAGAGAGAGGATGGCGTCTGTCTCCGGTCCATCTCTGTGCTTCTGACGGTAGCCTGTCCAGTACTCCAGCTGGTAGACCAACAAACGAGGTCTTTACACAGAGGAGACATGTTAGTTGATAGCCTCTTTGTGATAGACATGCGCCACTCACTTCAAGAAGAAAACCCGCCGCGCATCCGCCGTCAAATGCTTCAGATCTAACATCTTCCCAATCTCATCCAGCAGGGCATAGACAACCTGAGCCTGGGCACGGCTCTGGCTATCAAGCAGCTCCTGTTGACACTCCTCGCTGCCACCCTCCCAGAGGCCTGTCTCGATGCACGGGACACGAGCGAGGGTCTTAAAGACTCCTCGATACCGGATATCACTCCTGGGCCATCTCTTGAGGTTAACGTAACGGGCGTTAACCTTGTCTTGGCAGAAGATCCAGGGCTTATCCTGAACGATGGCTGTGATGGATAGGAGGTCAGTTTTCACTTGGTTTCCTCTCATTCATAGACGTATACGACGGGGGGGTGAGGGATTCACAGGTACGCTCAGCCATCTGGAGATATTGAGCTGGGACCAGCTCCTCGGCAGGACGATTGAAGAAGAATCTTGCCGTGAGGTTGTGGACCGTGATCACCGGGGGCTGGTCCTCATCAGCAGAGCTCTCCTCGTCGGCAGAGTTACTGCCCAGCGAGAACGGGTTGGTTGGGTCTCCGGATCTTGATGCCGCCATGATGGATGATAGGCGAGACGGGAGGGTTCTAAACAAAGCTGATATGAAGCGTATGGTTTGATCACGCTGGAAGGCGGGGTTGTTGGGATAGAAAATGGAGTTTGCCATACTCGACGACGTAAGCGGAAGAGGTATTGCGGATAGTTAGGTATGAAGAAGAGGAAAATTACGTGAGGCGTAAACAGAAACGACCAGACATCTACCTTGGTATCGATTAGATTTTTCGATAAGAGAGTAGCGGCTGATTCCAAAGCTGGTATATCGGGGCTGTATATCAGCCGAGTTATCACGAATATTGTGGATATCGTCTGCCAGTCACTCCTCGCAGTCTGATGACATTCCAGTCTGTCATAAGCTAGATATTAACAATATCTTGCCGATATTACTTCAATGCACCTTGCAAGAGAGTGCCGTGTGTAGGCTATAGTTATTCACATCAGCCTCGGCATCAATCAGAAGCTAGACGGTCTGTCTCGTATATAGAGCGGTGCCGTATGAACTGTCTAATCTATTCGTATTCAGCGTCTTTATTTATAAAGAGCTATCTGGTTGTCTGAAAATATTTTAAGCAGCAGCCTATAGGGTAATACGGTAAGTGATTCTGTATATACTAGGTGACTCTAGTGCATAGCAGAACCTCATTATCAGTGCGCAATCTTAGGAAAAGGCCTATTGGAATAGAATTACGGTCTCAAAGGGGATCTAATACGCTGTATAACAAATAGGTTAAACGATGTCATTTCCTTTCATTCTAGAATATCAGCCAAAGCTCTCTTTGTAGAACATTCTCGAATGGTCGTGCTGGCGTTGATCAGATATGACTTTCGTATTATTTAATGCAGTTAGTGTATCCTGTTAACTAGTGATGACGTGCCATCCCTCCCCTTCAAGTACATGGTATATCTAGTTAATGGCGTCAAATAAATACGCTTTGGGCATGAAAGGAGTCAAAATCAGTTTCTTTATCCAGGAGAAGCTGCACAAGCTACTTATAGATGTTCACACAGCCCCTATACGCTAAGCAGGTGCATCTATGCTGATTCTGTTAGATATAGCTCCTTTCTGTATAGAGTGCGCCATAACCTCTGAAGTAAGAAGCGATTCATAGGGATGTCTATCTTCCATAGTACGTCAAGATCGCTAAAATTTCCCTGTTGCTCATGTAGGCTAGCAGTATCAAGAGCAGCGGTAAGTATATCTGCCTCGGCATCATGAACTCTTCTAACTCTAGTCAAGCCCATTATGGCCAATCATAGAGCAAGAAAAAAAGCAAGGATAACGAAGTGCTTTGGTTGTATCGTCTGGAGGTTCGTCTGGGGGTAGGTAAAAGTCAACTTCGGTCTCATAATTAAGCCGAATGCTGAAGAGAGGGGATAGTTGAGATTTGATTAAGCATAGTAATAATGCTGAAAGAGAATCAGAGGCACAAATGGGATATTCTACATTCCATCAGTTTATTTAAAAGAAATTCTTGCAAGGTATAAGCAACTAACACAGGTGTCCGTCACTCGCTGCGTTTGCTGTCCTGGGAATATATATCACGGCATAGTAGGTTCTAACCAATTTTTCAAAAGGGGCCCGTCATCAGATCAATCATCTACAGAAAAAAAAGGCTACAAACGGCAAGCTCTTGAATCCAGGAATATTGCTTGCGTATCCAATGCTAGTCTAGACAATATACCACACAGCAAAAACCCCCATCGACTTATCCAACCAACCTCTCCGTTCTAGACCAACCCACCAGCCAATATCTGATGACGTTCCAACCAAAGACAGGCCCCTGGAACTGACTCCACGGTAACCGGCAATGCAGAGCCTCCACCTGCAATCAAATTCTGCACGGCATTCCTGCTGTTGGCCGCTGCAGTGCAAATTGCTTCATCCCCACTGGTCCAGACCAGCATGAGGGCTCCACCTATTTTTGTCTAGACTAAGTCACATGATCCAGGGCATGCCAAGTCACGGGCAATTAGCCTGGCAGGTACCAGGGCTGTGCTCTGGGTGTGCTTACATAACCCGTGTACGGAGCAGGAGTGACCTCAAAGGCCCAGTCTCGAAAAGGAAAAGTCTGTGGCTCGCCCTGAAACCCGCGGGTGGTGGGGCCTTTAGTTCAGGAACAGGCCTAGCGTAGCTTTGGCCCTTGGTACTGTATCGATGATGATCGTATTATTTACTCTCAACAGTGACACCAGCAGAAGGGTTCTTGAGTGGAATGCATACTATCAAACTAGAGAGACAATCCAGGATATAGGTATGTATCTGGGATGCAGATGATGGTTAGCATGACTATTGACTACTCGAGCGACATATTCGAGGCGGAGTATTGGCTGGATAGGGCCGAGCCTTGCACTGCCCAGGCCCTAAACAAAGAATGGGGCTCATCCCCGGAGAAAAAAAAGTCTAAAATTCCAGTATTATACCGGTAACTGGCGGGCTTTGCCGGACTGGAGATATGACGCCGGTACTGGACTTTGTGTGTTGCTGATGGGTTTCTTTGTTATAGTTCGCCTTTCATGGGTTTGAATCAGGTACGTTGAACTAGAATAGATTCTGAGGAGGATAGTATCGTTGATGCTACTGGCACTGCCACTGCCACATTACTCGGGTATAGTCTGTACACAGTCCACCGTACAGAGAGTACGAAGCAGTGTACGCACGATGCAAATCTCAAACAAAGGGTCAACCCGAGGAATCAAAGCAAACGATGCATGGGCAAACATGCGACAATCTCGATCCGACGCGCAGTATGTACATAGTACATCCGTGGTAGGCTGGTCGCGACTCGCCAGCCCATCTCTCCACATCAGTCTCAAACACGTCAAGAATGTTAAAATGACGGAAGGCAAGCCTGTCGAGGGACTCGAGGTGTCTGAAGGAGCGCTCTGGAGAGGGGCAGGACGTGCCACTATGACCTCCCCCTTCATTCCGATCTGTCACTGGACTTCTATACACGTGGCAGCGCGATCCAATTCGCATCGTTTCGCTTTTCGTGTGCTTTGCGACCGGAGATTACATATGGGATATTGGCAATAGTTACGGCGTGGAATTTCCTGGAATAGTGTTGCCGCCGTTGCGATGAAATTTAGCATCGATAGTGGCTACGATAGTGTCTTCTTCAGGGCCCGACCCGGAGAATAAAGAATACTACTGTAGTTTAGTGAAGTAGAGTACTCCGAACTTTAAGTGCCAACGCTCTCTCCCCTTTCCAGCCAGCTTCCGGTACAACTATTTCCCTACCGTACTGCCACGAGACAAAAATACAGTACACATTCATGACGTACAGACTACAGAAAGGGCAGAAACTCTGTCGCTGGCGGGTGGCTTACAGTAACCAGCCCAATAATACACGCCACCTGCACCAGACAAGAGGGCCGGACTTGGGGGATACACACACCCAGAGCAGGCTGGAAAAGGATTCAAGCGCAGCGAAGAAGGGGAAAAAAAGGAAGGAGGACCTCAGTGTACACTAAATACTACTACTGTACTACTGTACTCCGGACTGTACAGTAAGTTGGTCAACTGCCAAGTGCCCCATTTTAAAGGAAAGCGGCAAGTTCCCAACCTTACAGCGTTCGCTGATTCGAAGCGGGTGTTGATCGCTTACCTGGCTGAGCGAGACGAGAGACCTGGGCGCCCGCTAGAGGTCCCACTAGAGCTGGATGGGGATTAGCGGGGCATGGCAGGTACGGGCTTTGCAGGTTGGACGTGAATGTATTTCGGGAAGTTCTGGTGTGAGGAGTGTAATCCCCTTGTACGGACGGGCTGCGGGAGTGAGCCATGGCTGGTCTGGGCTGGAGGGGCCACGCACTATCGGGGTCTTGTTACCACGGCCAGGAACGGAACGCGTGTCAGTGACTGAGATTTTGCTATGGTAATATTAATGTTGACTGGCTTCATCGTTGTTGTGTGGTTTATACGGAGGACGTCGGGGTCGGTCCTCGCACAGGGTCTGGAACTTGAACTTGGGCCGGTAGAGATACTAATGAGTTGTGGTCGCTGGCTAGATCGTGGCAGGAACTCGCTTGAGGGTGATTGCGATGCGCTGTGCTCCGTAATTTGCGAGACCATCCCTAAAATTGATCGTGCTGCACCGTTGATCGACAGGTCACGGACTTTTTTGAGCCAAAAAGATAGAGAAGCTACGGCCTCGGAGAGCAAAATGTCAGACTGGGACCGTGACCCTCAAGTTGAATCTAATTGATGGTAAAGTGTGTGCGAAAGTGCAAATCTGACTGACTGGCCAAGCCACGAGAATTCCACAACGCAGTCAGCTTCTGCGAACGAGATAGCTATCTGCTCTCCTTTCGTATCTCTGTTGAATACTGATCGAACATATCTGCTGTCCCGAGTCGAATGCCCCCTGCGGAGTGTGGACTATCGTTAACTTTGACCATCTGGCAGATATGTCGATCGCTATATGACGCTCTGCTCCCCAACGGTAGAAACCAGAAACCCGTGCAAAGTAGACTTTAAGCAGGTCCCTATCGAGGAAAAGTAGGCAGGAGGCTTGGTTCATTTCATTTTTATGCTGTCAGCCATGATAGCAGCTACCTCGAAGAGGCGAGAGATGCTGTCAGTAGTGGTGATTGCGGTTCCCTGCATGAGCCTTTTGTGAGTTAGTCTCTGTACCTGCGTCTTGGCTGGACCCAGGGAAATTGGACGAACAGAAGCAGATAATAGGGGATGTGCTAGGCGTCAGATGCTGTGTCACATGGTCATGGCTTTTAGTATGATGTGTACGGAGGAGATGGTAAATGTATGGATAGGATGATAGCTATAGTCCTTGAGATTGGGCGTTGAAAAGGAGTTATACAATCTATGCCCTGTTTCCAATGCACCATATATACAATATCTATACAATCATATCCAATCTACAGTACTCCGGACCGTAGTCCGTCTGCCCGGTTAATTCTATGCCCAGCCCTGAGGAAATTGCCGACTCTCGTCCCAAATGAAAAGTGGATCCCGCCAGTCCAGTGCGTGGTTATACAACCCCCAATTCCCCACTGTTTCCACAAACTACCAAATGAGCATCTTACCCCTGGCCAAGCTCTGACCTCATCCCATAAATTACCAAATAATTTACCGTCACATTACAGGAATTTGTTTGTGTTTCCAGTTTCCACACGTGTTCCACTCGGCCCCCATTTCTCTCTTCTCCTGCCCCCCTCCCCCCTTCGCCCCCCTTCAATCCTGACTCTCCTTCAATTCACCTTATTCACTCCTTTATCCTCTTCTCGTATGCATCGTTGCCGTCGACCAACCCGGCACCTTTGAGACCTGGGACCACTGCCAATTCACCTTCCCCTTGCTTCTCCCACGGTCGCGCTGGGTTATACGAACCTCGTCCCGGCCTCTTCCTCCCCCGTTTCTTTCATCGTGTCGACCGTTGCCCGGACATCTTTTGCTCTGCCTCTTTAGTAGGCTGCCGCTCGCTCCCTTACAGCTTCAACAAGCCCACACTCGCTCAGTTTTTTGCTTCTCGCTCGGGTCGTTTCAGATCTTCTGTCGAAACCCCTTCCACTCTTTTGTTATATCGTCGATCGTGCTAGATTCAGCACGTGTTTCACTTGAATTCGGTTGCCCTTCGAGACGCTCCGATTTCTTTCTCCAGAACCTGCGAAGGAACTAGGATAAGATCCCGTTGGAATACGAAGAGGAAGAGGTTGTTGCGACTGCGTCCCAACATCCTATACTGTGAACCTCTCCGTGACGAGTATTGGACCTTACGAAGCCGCGATATATCGGATCCTACGACTTCGAATCCCACCAGCACTCCGCCAGAACCTTTTGAAGGGTTGACAGACGAGTACGCCTTGAACTCGTTCTGTACCCTCCAGCACCGGAAACCTAAGCATTCCATACCGCAGGACCGTCGAACAAGATGCGCGCCAACACCTTTTCCCTTTTCGCGGCCTTGGCCTTTGGAGGATTCGAGCTGGCCACCGCCGAGTTTGACCGGCCCCGCTACCTCCCTCGTGAGGTGAAGCGAGTTGTCAAGAATGGTACATTGTCGACTAGGAGCGATAACCCGTTGAGTGCGATTTGGCAGAGTATCGAGGATAGCTTGACTGGTCAGCCCAGCATCACTCCCACCCCGACACCGACCGCGTCCGATGTACCAAAGCAGGTTATTGTCGTGATCTCCTCAGACGCCGAGGGTCATGTTTACACCCTCACTACCTCTACGGAATACCTCTCGGCCTCCAAGCCCCCGGCGACCACCAGCACGAGTACCAGTGCCACGACCACGACCACCAGCGATTCCCTTCTTGGCGATGTCTCCAACCTCCTTGGCCTCGGATCGAGCAGCTCTACCTCCTCCACCACCACCACCAATGCCAGCAGTACGACTTCCAAGACGGCCACTTCCGGTGCGGCTACCACCACCAGCAGCAAAGATTCCCTTCTCGGTGCTGTTGGCTCTGATGTTTCGAACCTTCTCGGAATTACCACTACCAACTCCAGCACCACCGCGACCGCTACTGATTCCTCGACTGCCACTTCCACTACCTCCTCCCAGGGTAGCCTTCTTGAGAGTCTCGGCATTGTCATTCCCTCGGGTGAGACTACCACCTCCGCTACTGGATCTTCCACCATCCCGGTCAGCGTCCCTGTCGTGTCTTCCACAGGTATCCCGACTACTACCAGCAGCGGTGGTCTGCTTGGTTCAGTTGTGAGTGATATTGGTGGGTTGTTTCCCAATGCCAGCTCTACTAGCCCTGGTATCGGTATAATCCCTACCCCTGCAACTACCACCGCAATGGGCCCAGGCTCCAGCGGTATCCCCCACCCGTCGATCCCTCTGACTAGCTCTGGCACAAGCGGAACTGTTACCGCAACCTCGGTGGGCATCATTCCCAGTCCTCACTTGCCCGGTTCTACGGTTATTTCTACTCCTCCTGCTAGCCAAGAGACCTCCAAGGCTCCTCCCTCCACCTCCGAGACCAGCTCGACGTCCACTACCAAGACCACCGAGGAGCCCAGCACGACCAACAGCAACAACTGGATTCCTTCTTCCATTCTCGTGCTGCCGTCCTCGACTTCGTCCGAGACCACTAGCACTGGTACCAACAGCAACAGCCTCACCGAGCCTACCACGCTCCCGGGTTCCATCACTCCCTCTAACGGTGTCTCCGAGGCCCCCTCCGACTCGGTGCTCCTTCAAATCGGTTTCGATGGCCACCTCCCCTGGGCTTTCGTCGCTACTACTCCTCTGTCTTCTTCGCAGATCTTCGAGTACGTTCCTTTGGCCCTGAAGAACGCCTTGCCCTTGGTTGCCTCTACCATGTGGGCTCTCGAGCCTTACTACTCGTGGCAGACCACTGGCTACAACGCCACCTTGGCTATCTTCTACTTCCCTCGCGACAAGGTCCAGTCCCTGAAGGACCTGAAGCTCAACCCCAACTCGGCTCTTTACCAATCGTCCGATGAGTCTGTCAAGACTCTGATGGCCATGGTCGACCCCTCCATTCCTCTGGAGTTCGCCGGCAACTACCCAACCTTGGATGGTTCTTCGTCCCCGAGCTCTGGTGCCGGTGGTAGCAGCAACGGTGGTAGCAGCAACGGCAGCGGCAGCCCTGACGGCTCCAACAACTCCTCCAAGGCCAACGCCAGCTCTGTCGGCATTGGTGTTGGTGTCGTTGCTGGTGCCGCTGCCTACGGTGCTGGTATGTTCTGGGTTGCCCGCCGTTACCGCAAGAGAAAGCAGCTGCACCGCCGCTCCAGCTCTACTGCCGAGCAGATGAGCCAGGCCTCCGGCGCTGGCTCTCTCTTTGCTGCCGGTGCCCGTATGTCTGGCAGCCAGCGCACTGGCCGGTCTGGACAGATGATCAGCGCTCCGGTCATGGCTGAGAACTCCCTGGGCTGGAACTAGATGTTCGAAAATGTCAAAAGACGGATAGACTTGGCCTCTTCCCTTTCTCCTCCTTTTTTCGTTTCTTTGCCTTTGTTTCTCCCTGCCAATGCCTCTCGCAGGTCAGACCTCCAGAGTGCACTTTGACGGCACGCCGTTATTACCCCTTGGAGTCGGGTATCTACTCGTCTCCATGGTTGCCAGTCCAAGGATGGGCAGGGATTTGAGAAGCAAGACTGCACAAAACTTCCTTTCATTGTTCATCATACCACCTCAAACCAGGATATATATGTGCATACATATTCACGTATCTTCTCTGTGAAATTTTTGTTTCGCCATTTCCCCCCCTTTCTCCGATGATCTGATACTCCGCATCCATCACTGGACACAATCTGTATCTTAACTCATCTCATTTCCATTTTTCTTTTTATCTTCTTCGGAATATTCCCCCTTTTGTTTCCACCCATACCTCTTTCCCTTTTTCCATACTCTTGTCTTCTTTACTTTTCAACGGCACTGTGACAAACCTGAATGAGACGAACTGATTTCTCCACATTAATTCCTGTTCCTGTCCGCTCCCTTTTCTCTCTCTCCGTGCCATTGATAAACATTCTTAGTCCCCCACTTTTTATTGGCCACAGTTTATTATGTTCCGAGTCCTCCTTTTGCACATTGCACTCATGCGAGCCAACTTTGATGGGTTGGGTGGCTAGGATTCCTCATGAGCCGACGCTAGTTCCCTGCCTGATTTTCTTTTCGTTGTCTTGACAATCCATCATGGGTTGATATCTGCTTTTCTGTTTTGTTTTGTTGTTGTTCCTCTGTACAGATGCATAGGTTGTGAGTAGCTGTGGTGTGATGTGGATGAGATAGTTTTGAGATGTAGACGAATGAGAGGTGTAGATTTTCAGAATTTTGTTTATCTTTGTAGAGTATATTGGTTTAGTATTTAGAGATTTGGCTTCTATCTGATACAGTAGTTCGGAGGTCACTTAATTAGGATGCTTAGGGTAGCATTCTGTTACTTGGTCAAGTACAAGGTTGGAACTGAGATTGCGCCAATATAGTACAAGTCTATGCAAAACATAGCAATGTCCACTTTTTATGAGAATTTGCACTGACGATTGAACCGTGATATCCCCGATCTCGCTCGCTGATAGATGGCCAAAGGGTCTGATTAGAAATAGGGGGTTCATTCCCGATGCTGATGGTGGATATTAGGTAGTATCTTGTACATATACTAGAACGGGATAATCGACTGCCGTTAAGGAAGACAAAAGTATGATGGAAAATTAGATAATCCTCGAACTGGAATCTACTTGGTGAGTGCTCGAGCCCTACGGAGCAATACCGCCGTCGATCCTGACACTCTGGCTGTATGGTTGACTTGGATATCGTATCACCCAACGCAATGCTTGTCTTGTCACACTTTTCGGAGCGACATACCCCCGCAAGCAGGATAATCTCGTTCTCGTTCGACTTCCCAGGATTTTATGCTAAATGTACTCCGTACTCCGTACAGCCTGAACAAACCCCCCCCCCCCCCCCCCCGAGCATCAATCACCCAACCAAAACCCTCGCCAACTAATTCCTCCATTGTCCGTCAACTCCAGCATCCTACTAGTGTAGTACCCTCTCACAAATAAGGCCCTCTCTTGCCGACAGGATCTACCAATAAGCAACCAACGCAAGTTCTTCAACGCCCATTTCAAGGCCTCCGCGGACCGGACCCCAAGCCGCCCCCAATCAGGAACAAGAATCTAGACATTCCGCCACTAGTGGGCCAGTATGCGGGACCCTGAATCGAACTCTCTTTGTATGTGAATAATGGACCCTTTTCTTTCGGCCCCATCCGAGAAATAAATGCCACGATCCGTCGCATCTATTCGTGGACCCCAATATGTCCTCGACTCAGCCCCCGCACGTTTATGGCCCCCCCCCCCTCTTCTCACGATACAGTCATATATCACTACTTCCGCCCCAGGTGACTGACTATTTACAAAGATATTCTTCTCTGAAGGCGAAGTCGCGCATTCTCGAGACGGAAAATCTGTAAGGTCTGTTCAAGACATATCTCGGACTCCTGGAGACCCCACTCGACACAACAGGCAGCGTTTCATCATCGCATCGGACGCAAACTAAACACCGACAACGACCACAACCACCAGAACACAAAACACAAACCTCAAGACTCCCCTTCAAGTTTTCAACGCCATGACTCACCACCAACCCCAATCCTCGAATCCAAAACAATCCACAGACAGACATGAAACAGACTATGAGCGGTGGCTGAAAGACCACGATGAATATTACCAACTAGCGGGCAAACCGCGGTATCATCCATCCGACACCGAGAACACGAACGAGGACGAAGACGAAAATAGCCTTTCGGTTTCGCAACCTGATACAGATACCAAGATGGATTCAAAACCAACATCAAAGACAACAGTTTTGCACAGTCATGCAGAAACTATCGATGTCGATCAGCACGGGGCCGTCGTGCAAGGCTCGCGGTATGGATCGGTCCTGTTCGCGAGTAAACACCAATCGGCGCAGTCGAAGCATATCGGTACGAGTGCGGAAAGCACGGTGATGCGGGTTGGACAGGGAGAGTCGATGGTATGCTGTGAGCTTAGCATCCTCTTTCTGGTGGTTGTCTTGGTGGGGATGGTTTGGGGCGTGAAGGGGCATCGAGATCGAGATCGACAGCGTCAGTGGCGAGGACGAGGACGGGAACATGGGGACGTGTCGATGGACTTGAAGGATTGTGAAAAGGTGTGTTGATTTGGGTTTGTCCTGCAATGAGATGAGTTTTGCGGTGTATGCTGACTGGCGTGTTTAGAATGACTTGAGGCAAGAAGTATGAGTATGAGCGGGTATTTTTTTTTTGCGGGGGGTTGAGGAGTTTTGTATGATACCCTTTTATTAGCCTAGGCAGGCTATGTTGTATCAGTTTCATGTGGTGTTTTTATTATGGAGTTTAGATCTGGATATCTCATACGTGCAGAGGGATGGGCTTATTGTCTAGAAATATCAATAAGTCATCCCCTAAGATCAATCCTCTTGTACCTTTATCCTGTTAGAAATTGTTCGTAAGAAACATTCATCACTCTCACTCACTGCGAAATCTGTGGGTTACAGACAATAATTCTGGGAATGCTGTGGGGTCATATCAGTCGAGAGGTGGAACTCCTACAAATGCCGAACCTGGTCTTTTGGGATAAAAGAGAGAAATACGCATCCGAGTTTAGGCCCTTAATTGCATGGCATCTTCCATGCTCACTAACACTCTAATGATAAACCTATACTCCGCAAATAACAATCCCCAAAACCCCAATACGTCCTGACTGAACTCGTATGAACACCAGTTTGTCCAGTAAGCAAGTGAACTATCAGAGACTTCCGGTGATAGCGACCGTCCAACTAGCTATATACCATTTACGAGTAAAAATTTAGCTTCACTGGTTCAGGTCATCGCAAGAGCCCTGTCCGCAAGATAGGATGACTGGTTCGTATTATACACTAAATTGCGTTAAGGTTATCATTTCAAAGTTTTTTGTAGCTTTATAGCCGGGGGAATGACGTAGATGGCATCTACAACCCATGGGAGAAGTACGCAATCATCCACGGCTAAGGTTTCAGGTAAATGTATCCCAGTTGATCTTAATAGAGTTATTCATATGTATGTCCTATGTACAAGAAAGGAAAGGAACAGGGGAGATGTATGTCCATGAGAGAGGGGAATCAGCTAGATATCCGGTCAGAGAAGAGCATCACTCAACTCTTCTACTCCTTCTTTGGCTTCTCAGATTCAGCGGTCCAGCCTCCAAACCAACTAGACAGCGACTTGCCATCGCTCTGCTCCCGACGGAGCTCACGAGCCTTTTCCCGCTCGTTCTTGTACGCCTCCCACGAGAGTTGTGCGGCTGCGCTCACGCTGCCAGTTTCCTCGGGCTTGGAGAGGAGGGCATGGTTGGGCAGGGGACGGACGGCGTCTTCGCCGCCGTAGATGCGGAGGGCGGTACCGAAGGCCCAGTCCACGGCTTCTTCAACGGGGTGGTCGAAGAGGTACGGGAGGAACGGTACGACAGAGAGACCGAGCTGAAAACCAGAAAAAAAAAGATTAGCATCATGCTCTCCGAATGCAGTGCTTCGACATTCTCGAAAAGGAAAAGCTCAATACATACCCCGATAGGCAACCAGGTCCGCACAAGCGAATTCTTCACACCCTTAACCGCCCGACCCGAATACTTGACCACACTATGAATCGTAAAAGCAGGCAACCCCATACTAGCAATACTCTGGAAAACCGCCCGCTTGACCATAACCATGCGATAATCCTCCGCCAGCGAAATCTCCGTCGTCGGCCACGGCGTCAACGAATCCTTCTCCTTGCTCCTCCCCTCCTTCGTCAAAGGCATGCTGATATTCCCCGTCGCCATGCCGCGGATGATCTGCTCCGACGTGATAGCGCTGGCATCTTTGTGCGCGTCGCCGGGCGGAGCCAGTGCGTGCCGATTGCGCAGGTATGCTTTGTACCCTTCGTGGCCGACGTCGCCGAGCAGGTAGGCCCAGGAGATGCCGTAGGCGGAACGGATGAGGTAGGGGTGTGCGACGGGGCGGAAGGATTCGCCAATGTCTGAGGTGTAGGCGACGTAGCGGTGGGCTGAGAGGAGGATTGTGCGGATGCGCTGGGCGTATGCGGCGTAGCGGAATGGGGTGTCGGTAGAGTCGACGGAGCTGGGAGGTTCGGAGGAGCTCATGTTAGCTGTATTTTGTGGGTGGACTGGATGATGGTTGAGGTAGTGAGCTGAGCCAGGAGCTTTGAAGAGCAGTGTGCACGACTGTAGTAAGTAGTAATGACTAGTTATGTCATTGGCAGCCGGGAAGTGCACTGCACCGAAAAGTGGAGCATCGCGGGAAAGACACGGGCTTCTCGTCGATCTCGCTGGCTCTTGTCTCTGCTCGCTCATATTGCTCATGATCATGGACTTGGGCATGATTTGGAGGAAAGTGTCAGGAATTGATATTTGGCAGACACTTACTATGAGGAGTAGATATCATCATAAAAGTCATCGTCCTTGTCCACTAACTGCTGCAGTTTTGTGGGGAGCTTCTCCCGCGGAATGGGCTGGTCTGCATCAGGCGGGGGAGGGCCATTCGACTCTTTTGGCTGGCGACCCCAGACCATCGTGCGAAGCTAGTCTTGCAGTTGAAGGGAAATCAAAAAGAGTGTGGGCTTAACTTGCAGTGTCGGCAAGGGTGTTGCAGAGAAATGCAGATGTGAAACCGTGTAATGGAACACGCTGAAATGCCGGGGGAAAAGAGAGAAAGAAGGGAATGAAGAGAGGAAACAAGAAAGGGAGAAGGAACCCGCGGCCTAAGCCTCTTCACGATGAGCCATCGCCAGGAACCGTCCACAGCAGCCGAAGCAGGCGCAGTGCATCACTAACCAGACAGGGGACTGGCATAGCCGGGGGTATACTCGGCCTACAGACCATGGAATACTTTACTTCCCTTCCGTTCCATGGAGAGTTTCTAGTTGGGTCTGGGGTAAATAAATCTGATTTCGCGACTTCATTCTCAAATGCTCAAATACTAGGCCCTCACAATTCTCAATATCTTTTGAAACTAGAATACATTCATACACGTTGCCTTGTTTTATTCTTCTTCCTCGGACGCTCGTGACATCTTTCCCGATACAGTCACATGATTTCGGATACACCCGGGACATCACCTGACCTGTCACCCACTGATTCGCTGACTCATCCACTACCCGCACTAACCACAACAGGCAAAGCGGTCTCAAAGCCCGACCTCGTCTCTGCTCCAAGCCTGAGGATTCCGCTTCCACATCGTTGCACTAGACCCTCCCTCCATTCTCACATCCCCAATCCCTCAAGATGGTCGTCTACTACCAGGTCGCTGGCAAGAAGGTCGGCTCCCACGTCGTAAGTGCCTACCATCCGCCCCTCCCCGGCGGCAATCCCGTCGCTCGCAGTATCCCTTTTACCACCACTGCGGCAAGCAGCTGGAAATGTGACCGCGCAAGCTAACCATTTCCCTATTACGCTAGCTCTCCATGGCCGTCCTCGGCACAATGTTCGCCGGCTCTTACCTCGCTATGGGTGGTGGCTCCAAGCCCAAGACTGCCGCTGGTCCCCCCATCAACGCCTCGTCCAAGGAGGAGGGCGACTTCATCCAGTACGTGCTGCTATATACCTGAATATCCCCGACGACGCCGAACACATTTCAATCTCTTGCTATGGCACGGACATGGCCAATCGCATGACGCCCCTGCTAACTCCCCCTGTACAGACAATTCCTGAAGGAAGTGGATGGAGGCGACAAGAAGTCCGAGAAACACTAAAACCACCATTCTCTCTCCAAACACGGATTTATATTGACGGCCCGGCCCGGCTATGAGTGCGACACCGCGTGATGCATGACTCGAATCGCCCGTTTTCGTTCTTCTCGTTTCCCATCCGACTGTTTTCGATATGTCGGCTGTTGCGATATACTAGTCGCTACGACTTTGCGGAACTGGGCGGGCTGATTCCTGGGAAGACGGGTGATGAGGGGGTTTTCGTGGTTTCTGTACATAAGAGGCGTGTACGTTGCATAGAAGAATTGTTCCTTCTGAAATTTGGTTCCTTGGTCCGTTGGTCCGAATCCGAGGTTGCGTTGATGGTTGGAGTTGCAGTCAATGCGTTGGAGAAATGGCGGACAACGCTATTTCGTACTCGAGAAGCTCATGAACTGCTCGGGTTCTTCTGTGTTTGCGGACTTCCTGAGCCATTGTGCTGTCTCAGAGCTGGATGAGTGAACCTCGTAGCATCTCCGGCCCCGCTTGGCGGAGGTTCTCGTTCCTCACCTTTGATAGTAGACCCGGAAAACCGTCGTAGCAGTATATCACGTATTCAGACAAAAGATTCTCGATGAATAACGCTTTTTCTATGGAAACAAATGCTACAGCTACAGTCTAGTCTTCCACGCCCCCGGAGTTCGACTTCTGCCCAAAACGCCAACCGCGCAATGTAACCCATTCCTCTCCAACTTTCTCCCCGACACCATCCAACAACCACACCTCCAACTTCTCAACTCACCAACCACACAACACCACAACTCCCGTACAATTCACTCCCATATCACACCCGTCCAAGTACCAATTCAATCTCGAACGGGCACTAATGAAACCAATCTCCTTCCCCCTCGCCCTAAACATCGGCACCGACATCGTCCACCTCCCCCGCATAACCCGCCTCCTCCAACGACCCAACTACCTCACCCGCTTCACTCGCCGCATCCTCAGCGACCAAGAACAACTCGACTTCCAAACCCGCTTCAAGGACACTCTCCCCGCAAATCTCTACCGTCAAGCCTCCCACCCTCACAAGCCAGCCCAAACAATCATCACCCCAGACATGACGCGCTGGCTAGCCGGCCGCTTCGCCGCGAAAGAAGCCGCGCGCAAAGCCGCGCCGGGCGGGGCTGCTTCGCTGGGGTGGAAGGATGTGGAGGTGCGTGTGCCGCAGGGTGATGGCGATGGTGGTGAGATGAGTACGCGAGGGCTTGCGCAGGTGCAGCAGGAGGGCACGAGTCGGAGGCCGGAGATTGTGTTTTTGGGGGATGGGGACGGGAGGCCGGATCGGTTGGGGCGGTTGTCGATTTCGCATGATGGGGAGTATGTTGTTGCGACTGTTTTGGCGGCTGGATGATGGGTTGTGGATGGATAGGCTGGCTTTATGATTGAGGTCTTGCGTTTGTCGAGTTGTCTCTCTGGGAGAGCGTTATGTTGGGATTGGATGGCTTCTGCTATGTGTGGTCGCGGACTACATGGGTTGGAGACCTGAGAGAGGTCACTGATGTCCATGGACTTCTTGAATAGCGAGGGCCATTATGAATAATGCCCTGCGATTATGCTCTTTGCAGGTCGAGCTGCGATCGTCAGAATGTGACATACACAGGCCGGTCCGATGGCATAGTGACCACCAATGCAGGGAGTGCTATCTCACAGCCTAGCTGTGAGGCTATATAGCATCTACAGGTCTGACCTGGATTGGGGAAACACGAAGTCTTCGGGGCTGGAAGCACAGCATCGGCGTGAGTTCCGTCCAGATAGCTTCTGCTGTCTATTATCACATCAATAATGATATCGAAGTACGGTCACGCCCACACCTAAGCATCATGTTTGAAAGCTGCACCACTGGAATTACCGTGTGCCTAGTTATGTTTTGGCATGGCTGACGTAGACAGTGAATTAAGTGCCTCATTCTATGATTACATGTCGCTCGGCGATTAGTTAGGGCAAACCTGATAGCCCATCTATGTTTCTGTCCACCGTAGACACAGATCTGCCTAACTTCGCGCTTTGCACACTCGGGGGCCAGAAATCACAAACCACAGCCCATCCAATAGAGCTACTGTCGATTCATATGTCAAGTATGTCATGTACCATAAAATGGGATCCGCAGATCAGCAAAACACTCGCCGGGAGAGGATGCCAAGAATTCTTCGTAATTGGTACAAGTACGAAGATGCCTCATTGGGAAACCCTCGTATTGATCCTATCCTAGGCACCACAAAATGAAAATAGATATAAAAAGAGCAGATATTTGCATGGCATCTTAGATAGTTTCTTCCAAACAAGAACCTGGTCTTTCTAATAATCCATCTATCTTTTCTACTATCCATGCTCGTCCAAACCCCCCTTACCACTCTAGGACTCCTCACTACCGCCGCGCACGCGCAAAGCCAACCCCGTCGTCGATGCGCATACGGCGATGACTGCTGGCCAGATGCTGCTACGTGGGACCATTTCAATGCCACTGTCGGCGGGAGACTGATTCGGTCCCTGCCATCTGCTGCCGTGTGCCATGCTGAGCGGTACAATGCCAATCAATGTGCCGTCGCGAAGAGTAGCTGGCTAGACAGTTTCTGGCGAACTAATCAGACAGGATCGTATGCTGCTACTTTGTGGGAGATGGGACCTACTGGGCAATGCTTTATTGATACAGCTGTCGAGGCACCCTGCGATCAGGGAATTGGTATGACATGATGAAATTAACTGAGGTTGTTATTGCTAATTTCTGTTGTCAGTGCCGTATTACTCGGTTCGGGCTGAGGGTGTAGAGGATATTCAGACTTCGGTGAAATTTGCTAGTGAGAAGGATTTGTTTTTGGTGACGAAGAATACTGGTCATGATCAGTAAGTCTTGGTCTATTATTGGGTTTTATGACGTTCGTGTCTGACCGTATCGGTTGTCAGTCTTGGTCGATCAAGTGGCAATGGAGCATTCTCGATCTGGACACATAATATGAAGGGTATTGAATGGCACGACTCGTTTGTCCCGCGGGGAGCACCGACTGATGCTGGTGGTGTACCGGCTGTCACGCTCCAAGCTGGAGAGCAATGGCTCGGTGAGTGGATATTATCTTTATCTCTTCGATGCTGGAATGAACTCTGGGCTGACGCAAGTCAATCAAGATGTGTATCACGCTGCAGCGAAACAGGGAGTATTGATCGTAGGAGGATCAGCACGTACAGTCGGGGCCGCAGGAGGGTATTTACTTGGAGGAGGACATTCACCATTTGCACACTACTACGGTCTCGCAGCTGACAGTCAGTGGTTCATTGGGATCTGTATGTCTGCTCTACACGACTAACTGAAATACAGATCTTCTGGAAATGAGCATAGTTTCTGCGGATGGCAAACACAACGTGATCAATCGCTATTCAGACCCGGAGTATTTTTGGGCCGTTCGTGGGGGTGGTGGTAGCGTTTGGGGCGTATGTTAAGCGGTACTACTGCCGATTTCATATTCAAGACTGACGATTGAATGATTATCAGGTCGTTACATCGGTGACCTACAGGACCCATCCAGTCCCAAAGAATCTCATCATGGGATTTGTGCAGCTGAATGCATCAGATGATGCCAGTTTGACAAATCTCCTTGCCCAGTCCATCAAGCTCCTCCCCGAAGCTACAGATGCTGGGTACACGGGTTACGGTTCAATTGATCAAGGGTTTGGAGCCATCTTCATCAAGCCCAACAGTACCGTTCAAGATTTCAACAAAACCTTCGCAGAGTTTTACAATATGACTCACCTTCCTGGTATCAATGGTACAGTTGGAGCTATAACGTCGACTTGGGATGGATACGTTGAAAAGATCCTCCAGGACCCCAACATCGGGACTAACATTCAAGATGTCTCCCGGCTCTTGACTGGGGATGTGATCAATAAAAAGGCAGACGAGTTGGCCCAATTCCTAGTCAAAAATCCAGGGGGAGGGTTCAATTTCAGTAAATCTCAAGACATGATTCTCCGCTGTAATGATACTAACTTTGGCGCAGTTGGCAAGGTGAACAATGATGAGCGAGATAACACCGCTGTCAATGATATCTGGAAACAGAGCCATGCTCTTCTATCTATATCCGTTGATTGGGCCGATAATGCGACGGCGTCCGAGAAACACGAGAAGCGAGTTCACGCGGTGCAGTTGAGCGAGGGTCTTGCAAGGATCGTTGGCTCGGAGGGAGGAACATACATCAACGAAGCGAATCCGTAAGTACTACTCGCTATATCATTGGATTGAAACTCACGGGAGGTTACAAAGGTATGAACCCAACTGGCAGAAGGTTTTCTGGGGCGAGAAATATGAGCGATTGGTCTCGATCAAACAACGGGTCGATCCCACGAACCTTCTTGTGTGCAACCGGTGTATTGGGGGAGAATTGGTATTGCAGCCATAGATTTATTTGTCGTCTGGTTTTGCTGGCAATGTGGATACTCCTGGGCTTTTTTCTTTTTCTAAAGAACTCAATGCCAACTCGCCGGACAAGGTCAGGGTAGAGTTCTAAACTGATATCCTACTATATTGGAAAATATCTCTGGGTTTGCCGTAATTAGTAGACACTGCTATAAGAATCTGTATGCATTTGAGTTTTAATCTCTCCAATGGCAGAAGTTCCTTGGACATTCTGTTAATTTCTAGTCTTCATTGATTCCATCGTGAAGGCTTGGATGCAGAAGACCTGACACCACGAATACAAGCCCAATATTGCCAGAATGAGAATCCTACAGGTTAAAATATGAACTATTGATTGACTATGACACGGGGTTTACCTAGATTAATATTAACCTAAGGAAGGCAGAGTCTTGCGCTCGCTGGATACCATAGAGAATGGGCAGAATCATACGAATGTGCACAAGTCAAAGTGATTTCACGATATTTATTTATAGCTGCATTAGTTATTATTTCATCAGAATAGGTTTCTATCTTTAGCCAGTTGTTAGCTAGATTCATGGAATCTATACTTATATTAAGGCATATGTAAAAAGAGATCTTTCCACACATCTTTTGGGAGATCTTTCTACATGTCTTTTGGGATGGTTTGGTTCTGTATGGGAAACATCAAAACTACCGCTTTCCGGTAACGCTTCGGGCCGGTTTAGGCCCTTGCTAAGTGTGTTATATAAACCTTGCTTTCTTTAAAGATAGGTCTACCCTGCGATAGGCCCTTCTAGAAGGTTTCTATTTAGCAGGTAGCATATATATACTACGCTATGTAGTTAAGAGAGGCTTGAGGATAAAAGGCCTATACAATAGGGCCCTTTAGAAAATCCTCAAGAATCAATTAATATTTTAACCTATATAAAAAGAGATTGATTCGTAGCCGAACCGCTACTATATTGACTATCTTTGTTTATTTTAATTTAACTGTTATGATGTTAGCTACTTGCAGGGTAGTAAGCCTGTCAACTAGGTAGGAGAGGATGAGCACTAAGTTGGATTAGAACAGAGACTGTTTCTTGGGGGCCTTTCTTCTTTTCCCCCAGGCTGATCTTATATACATTCCCCTTCAATAGAAGGAGGGGTAACTAGGTAAGCGTATCAGCCCGCATAAGAAATATGTCGGTCAGCGGGCAACTCTCCTCCGACGAAACAGCCGTGGAAGGGGGGTGAGAGATCACCGAACTGGTGCGTCATAGCCAACACCTCAGGTGGCCTCAGGCCGAAAAGTGTGAATAGCCTCACAGGGGTCAATACCATAACATTAACTACCTTCTACCTAGCCTATTACCTTTCTATCCTTATAACTTTTAATTCTTTATCTAAGAGTTACCTAGAAGAATAGCTAAATCGCCTTATTACCTAATTAAACTAATTCCTGTTAAGGAACGAACCTTAACCCCTATATCTTCTAATCGAAATAGCTAAGATTCTACTACTTCTTTAGCGAGATCTATACCGAATCCGATTCCTACTTTATTAACCTTAGATAAACTAAACCTTTCTAACTATCTCTATATTATTAAAAGGATTTAGAAGCTCGAATCTAAGCTAAAGGATAAGACTACTAAAAACCTTACTCTTAAAAATCTTATAAAGGGATTTATTACTAAATCGTATTAAGACTCTAGCTAAAAAGATCTTAATTAAAAGGTAATTCCTAGTATTCCTACTTTTACTAGGAAGTTTTCTCTTTAAGATCGAAGCGATTAGCTTAATAACCTAAATTAGACCTTTACTAGGGTACCTAAGCGCTATAGTACTAACTAAAGATATGTCAGCATATATACATGCGTGCGCATAAGATCTTACGTTAGCTTCCGCTATTAGATCCCGGAGGAATCATGCTTCCTGTATAAACTCTCCTGCAAGATAAACCTACCCCGCTTAGCCCGCTCGATATATTATATTGATCCTTAACGATCTCGTCAACATTGCCTATTGTGAGCAAGCGATGCTGCGCAGGTTGGGTAAAGAGGAAGATAAATTAAAGATGATTAAATAAGATCGATTGATCTTTCTTCCTCTTGATTGAATAGGAAGGATAAGTTCAATTCGGCTTAGAATCATAAAGATGAGAGAAAAGTAAAGTAGGACTGAAGCTTGGTTGATTGTATTGAATCTTGCTTGTATGTCTTGAACATGATTTTTGTAGAGAAAACAGGGCTTATTTATAATCAATCTTTATCAAACCTCTTTTGCATGTGATCGTTCTAGATCCTAGATCTAGATGCATGATGATCTCATGCAGACAGATAGTGATCTCATGCAGTAGCTGTTTGATCGGTGGTTGCTTGATTGTACGATGTCATTGATCGTAGTGATGATGTAGATCGTATACAATAGTATACGTCTTCTACGATATCATTGACCGTAGTGATGATGGTATAGCGATGTCATTGACCGTAGTGATGATGGTATAGCATAAAGCTTATAGAGATTCAGCCATCTTGTATAGGCCTTATGAATCTGGCTTGATATGCTGCATGGCGGTCTGGCTTGATAACATCCTGCCCTATATCTCACACCCCCCGTAATCTTTATACTATAGTGCAGATAGCAGTAGAGTATAGAGATTAGTATAGAGTAGATAGGATCGATATATATATATACTGCTATAAGATAGCTAGATATATATCTTCCTAAATCTCAATCTCACAGGGTTAAGTGGTTCCTTCCGCATTCGCGTATAGAGTATGGAAAAACCTATTTAGGTGAAAACCATACTCGAAGGTATCCATGATATTATATATCAAATTGGATATATATATAGCTAGATCTCATAGAGATTAGCTAGATTCTTCAGGTCTTCAAATATTTCTCTTCTGACATTTTTAGTCAGGAAATCTGCTAATTGCAGTTTAGTGGGGACGTATTGAACATCGACCCTTTCTTGTTTGACCTGATCTCTGATATAGTGATATTGTATATCAATATGCTTCGTCCTTTTGTGAAATTCAGGGTTTTCGGCTAGCTTAATAGCTGCCTTATTATCCACTAATATAGTAGGCTTGCTAGGCGTATAGCCTAGGCCTAATCTATCGTTTAGATAGTTGAAGAGATTAGCTAGATAAATAGCTTCTCGTATAGCTTCTTTCATAGCCATATATTCGGCCTCGCAGGTAGATAGAGCTACTGATTTTTGTAGCATCGAATTCCAGCTCACTATATTATTAGTGGCTAGATCTCCAGATAGGCTAAATATATACCCAGTAGTGGATTTTCTACCATCGATATCGCCTGACCAATCAGCATCAGAGTAGCCTTTTATATATAGGTCATTCCCTGTGCAATCGTAGTGTAGGCCTAGATTTGGCCGATATTGTAGATATTGCCATATCTTCTTTAATTCAGAGATATGTGATTGGTCAGGATTGCTCATATATCTTGAGCAATAGGCAACTGGATAGGCTATATCAGGCCTAGTCTTTAGGCTGGTATAAAGTAATGAGCCAATCTCTTTTTGATAGAGATTAATAGTTTGCTCTGAAGCTTTTGATTGATTTTTTCTTAGGTGGATCCCTGCTTCACCCGGCGTTTTCTTTGGCCGTTTGCTAGTAGTAGCAAATTTTGACAAGATCTTTGATATATAATCATTTTGATCGATAGTTATCGATTGATCTTGATAATTCAGGCTGATATTATTGCCTAGGAAGGTGGCTAATTCGCCTATCTCTTCCAATTGGATATACTGCCTAGCCGCAGTAGCTAGCTTATTTATATAAGCTAGATCTTTGTGTATAATGATTATATCATCAACATGTGTGATGATAATGGCCTGGGTTTTGCCATTTATATATATTCCCTCGTCGATAGGAACTCTATCGAATCCGAGGTTCGCGATAGCCTTTGTAAAGAATTCAGACCAAAGCCTTGGTGCTTGCTTTAGGCCATATAGGGCCTTCTTTAGATAGCAGCACTTATTTTGATGATCTTTTGGCCTATATAGGCCAGTTGGCAAGATAGTATATATATCACTATCGATATCAGCATGTACGAATGCGTTTTTAACGTCGTATTGCCTGATATGCCATTTTTTATTCATCGCGATTATCAGCAATATATGCCAGGTTTCTGTTCTGGCAGTAGTAGAGAAGGTTTCTAGGAAATCAACACCTAATCGTTGATTAAATCCTTGTATAACCCATCTAGCCTTATAGCGAATCGTTTTGTTCGCATTAGTAATATAATTAGCCTGGATGCCTGTGGCATTCTTTATAGGCTTCTTTTTGAATACCCATCTGCCCCTAATAGGTGTTACACCAGGGGGTATATCAACGATTTCATAGGTTGCCTGATCTATCAGGCTTTGATTTTCGTCCTGACAGGCCCTATACCACTCATTCCTTTCAGCTGATTGCATAGCTTGATCAAAGGTAGAGGGTTCTTGATCAGTTCCTGCCGATAATATATAATCGGTAGGCTGATCGTTGATAATAGTCTTTATAAAATCTCCTAGTAGCGTATCTGATATAGTATATATATCTTCGCTATCTTTGGTAGATTTTAATGATGGGATTTGGATCTCTATCTTATGAGACGGATCCGCTGCTATAGCAGCTTCCTTACTAGCAGTTTGCTTAGTAGGCTTACTAGCTGATTTGCTAGTTTCTTTACTAGCTGATTTGCTAGTAGATAGGCTAGTAGATTTGCTAGTATATCTAGCAATCTTCTTTTTGATAGGGTTTGCTGCTTGTTTAGCAGATCTTTTCTTGATTCCTGGTTCCTGATTGGCTAGATCAGATTGATTCTTCAGGAATCTACCTTCTAAGATAGTAGGGTCTCTTGACCAAACTGTCTTCTTCTGCTTCAGATCATATAGCTTATAGTGCTTCTGCTCACTATAGCCAATAACAATAGCTATAGATTTTCTTGGCGATAGCTTGCTAGGCAGGTTTTTGTTTGTATGATAGTAGGCAATAGATCCCCAGGTCTTTATATGCC